TCTGAGACACCAGCTCCAGAGACTAGCAGTTGGGTTGACTGGACGTCTTCTGAGACTCCAACCCCTGAAACGAGCAGTTGGGCTGACTGGACGTCTTCTGAGACTCCAGCCCCCGAAACGAGCAGCTGGGTTGACTGGACATCTTCCGCGACTCCTACTTCTGAAGAGAGCAGTTGGCTTGATTGGACATCTTCTGCCACTCCAACTCCCGAAGAGAGCAGTTGGCTTGACTGGACTACGTCCTCAACCACGGTCCCAGTCACTCCCGTCGCCCCAGTGACCACAACTTCTGAAAGCAGTTGGCTTGACTGGAGCCCCAGCAGTGTTTCTTCCAGCACAACTTCCTCGTCGACTGGCTGGGCGGACTGGACCAGCACAATGACAACTTCCTCGTCTACGCCAGTTGCTCCTTCCAGCCACTCTAAGACTCCTCAATCCAACACCACCACTAGCAGGACTTGGCAAGTTGTAGGGCCCAGCTCCTCGGCGCGTCCCAGCACCACGATGTCCACCCCAGCTGCTCCAATTGCATCGGGCTTCACCGGAGCGGCAAACAAGCTTGGATCATCTGCCGGCATGATACTAGCGGCAGCATGTGCTGGCTTGGCTATCTTTTGAGATACCCTTTGAGAATTTGTCCTCCGTACAGATTGTTTGTTTTTTGTTGATGAACTCGGACAGGTACCAGCAGGTACAACGACACTTCTATTATCGCGATTTGATACCCATCACATAACATACTAATATTTTGTTCATTTTCGGGTCGGACACACTGGGTATGATGCCTCGGATGGCACTTGATGTTTTATTACGATGAAATCAGCATACGATTGCACATACGACTAACTTGTACATGGGAAAAGGAAGAGGGCATTGATTGCAAGGTTGAACAGGACAACAGAGTCAACTGACGGACAGGGCGAAAAGCACAGGATAGAGATGAACAGAACGAATCAAACCCACTTTCTCCCAAGATCCTTGCACCACCTGTCGTCGTCTGCATAGAGAGCTCGCCCTTTCCCCTTCATCGTGCGGTAAAATTGCGTACCTGCAAGCCATCACTTCATGTCAGGCTGATGCGAAAGCACGTGGTTCGGCTAATAATATGACCTTCACTGCACTGCCCATCTAATAAACCACCTCGGTTGATGTTCTTGATATTTTATATCTTCTCATTTTCTGACAACAATATCCTCCCGGGCTCAGGTCAAACTAGCGCCGGGCTAGAAGGCGAGTCAGAGACGAATTGTTCGACAACTCCTCTGTTCGAATCCCGCCGTTGCTCGACAATCCGACCCTCCTCGATCCCTCCTCCTCCTTCGCAAACGAAAACAGAAGCCACTGGTGGAAGAAAGGCACAGAAATAACATAATGGTTGCATACTTGACAAGTCAAATCGGCGGTAGATCCGCGAGTTGGGAGTAGACCGGGTTGGCTTGCCACCACCGGATATAGCCCAATCAAACACACAAACAAACAATACCACACTTCTACTGTTCGAGTAGAGGTCGTGGTAGAGTTTTTGCGACGACGCTGTCCCGGTTGTTGGGAGTCCTGTTGGTGCCGGAGGACCTCAGCTCAACGCCCTACCAAGAGGTGTACTCTCGATGCACAACGCGCTCAACAGTTAATCAGTTTTCCTACCGTGCGATAACCTCCTCAGATATTCCCCCTTGTGTATTGCTCCTGTTGAGATCAGTCCTCAACACTCTGTCTCCAGCTCATCATGGCATGTCTATCGTGGTCTGATAAAGCTTCGGTCGCCCGGCTACCAGCGTTCTGAAGAATGTCGACGTTGCGCCCTTATGAAGTCTCTCCACTCGAGTGCCGAGAATAACAAGCGAAGCAAGCGCAAGGCGAGCGAGTACGCTTCCAATCACAACACGTCGCACTCCATCCGCCTCGAGGTCCTTGCATGAAACAAGAAGACATCTGACACCGGATCGTATATCCTTCCAAAAACTGCCACTTCCATATGTTGATTTCCCGAACTTGCAGGTAGTAGAGTTTTGTCTTGCAGCTTCAATCGTGAGAGCTAAGCTGACATAGGCAAACAGAAAGACTGGGCAAACCTTGAGCCTACAGCATCTCGGCCGCTGGCCGGACAAGTCCCGGCTTGTAATTGTGCCCCCTCTTCGGGCAACGATTCTCGAGCAAATCTGCTGCGTCATCCTCATCATGCGCTTTCGCCGAAACCTCCGCGACTGGCTCAACGGAGCACAAGGTTACAACATCCGAAGCGGATCCGCAATGACCAAACGTTCGCTCGGCTCACTATCATCCCAGATGCGGGGGACTCGCGCTCATCCGGTCGTAGACGACGCGTCTCAGGAGAATGAAATGGAGAAGCTGGGTCCCCGCGTCAGGTGGGATGCGTACATAAAGATGGCTTGATCTCGCGGTACCGGTCTGTCGGGTCGTGAGCATCTCGAAATCTCCCTGTAAAGTGAGCAGAGCTACTCGAGTTCAGACACAGACGCAATCAGATCTTCAACATGCCCAACACCAAGACAGTCCAAGTCCCTCACCTGGGCGGCATCGATGCCGCATACCAGTCACCCCATCCCTATGACCCATCGAAGCCCACACTGATCCTTGTCAACAGCTTCACGACCTCGTCGGAGCTGTACCAGAAACAGTATGCCAACAAGGAACTGACGGACAAGATGAACCTCGTGGCCATCGAGCTGCTAGGCCACGGCCAGACGCGCACCAAATCCGAGCAGTTCACCTACTGGGACACGGCCATCATGAACATCCAAGTCATGGACGCGCTGGGCATCAAGAAGGCCTTCGTGTTGGGGACTAGTCAGGGCGGCTGGATCACGGTGCGAATGGCACTTTTGGCGCCTGAGAAGGTACAGTGTCGGCCCTTTACTATATATCTGCCCTCGTCAGCGCTGACATGTCTTGCCACATCAGATTGTAGGCATAATCCCGCTGGGCACGTCCCTGGACTATGAATCCCAGCGCACTCGCGATCTCGGCTGCTGGGACGGCGTCAAGGACGTGAGCGGACCCGTCAATGCATGGACTTCCAAGACGAATACCCCGGATTTCCAACCCGACCTGTCGTACTGCGACTTTTTGATCGATATCGGGTTCGGGAAGAACTGCCCCCAGGAGACGCGCGATTTCTGGCGAAAGACCATCCAGGAGAACTACAAGGGCGATGACGGCAGGAGGAGGGCCCGAATGGCGGCGATCAACCTGCGAGACAGAGACGGGTTGCATGGACGGCTGTTTGACGTGAAGTGTCCGGTCATGTGGTTGCATGTGAGTGTGCCTGGAGATTCAAGCGTGGCCCGAGCAGCTGCCTAGACGACGCGAGGTGATGCTAATGTGAAACCGTCCATACAGGGCACAGACGATGTCGTCTACAGCGTAGCGAACGCCAAGGAGGAAATCAAGCTGTTCGTCAACTCGCCCTCTGCGGAACTGATCACCGTTGACGGTGGCGCGCACTTTTTGTCGGCCTCGCATCCAAAGGAGGTGGATAATGCCCTGATTGCGTTTGTGGGCAAGTATGCCTGAGGAAGCAGATCGAATTAAGAGGAAGACGAAGGAGAATACCTGTGGATAGTACATAAATGCTATGTACCTAAGTAGCTAACATCCGTCATCGGATCGTTATGCTAAATACCCTGCAGAAAGAGGCCCGGCTTATACACCGCTGAACTCGAACATAGTCCGCGCTGCTCTTGGAGCTACGCACCAGAGTGCGTATGGACAGTACATAATTGCTACCTTGTGTACCTAGCTAGCTAAGATCCGTAGTTGGGTCGTTACGCTCCGCGCTCAACGCCATACAGAAAGAAGCCTGACTCTTACACCCCTGAACTCGGGCACGACTCTTACACCACTGACCTCGAACATAGTCTGCGCTACAGTACCCTTGAAACTTCACACCAGATCACTCGACTTCTGGCTACCTGTGTCACTCACTGCTAGGTACTGTTAGGTATTCCCGTCATCTCCTCGGCCAGGACGTCAGCCTTGAGCGCCGGCCGATCGCCCACCGATTTGCCCGCCGTGGTCCCGCCATCCACGGGCATGATGAGCCCAGTGATCCATCTCGCCTCTTTACTGCACAAGAACAGCACGGCTACAGTAACAGGGAGAGTATCAGCAGCGCACTTGATAAGAATGTAGCCATACTTTTCCCACACAGGGTTTGGGGAGCGACACGCACACAGACAAAGACAGAAAGAAGCGAAGAGGAGGGAGTGAGTGAGTGAGTGAGAGGGAGAGAGAGCGTGATGCAACGTAATTAGGGACAGGTAATTAACTCACCATACCCGACATCCCACGCCGTGCCCTCAGTCTTGAGCAAATTCTGGTTCCGCCTCGCTTGCCTCATCTCCTCACTCATCCCCCCTCTGCGCACCATCGGCGTATAAACCATGCCGGGACACACGCAGTTCACACGAATCCCCTCCTCGCCATGCTGCGCCGCCATGGCGCGCGTCATCTGGATCACCGCGCCCTTGGACGTCGGGTACAGCAAGGAAGGATTACCGCCGAGCAGCCCGCTCACGGAGGACATGTTGACAATAACGCCACCGCGCCCGCTGCGACGCATCTCGGGAATCACGTGCCGCGCCATGAGAACCATGCTGGTCACGTTGATGCGCATGTCGCGGTCCCAGGCGGCGAGGTCGAGCGTTGTGACGTCGCCCATTGCACCGCCTACGCCCACGACGTTGACGAGGATGTGGATGGGAGTGTCTTGAAAGTGGGATACCGTCGTCGCGACGGCGCGCTTGCAGGATTCCTCGTCCGTCACGTCTGTGTGGATGACGACGCTGGTGCCGCCTGCGGAGTCAATCATGCGTTTGGTCTCGGCGGCCCAGTCGGTGTTGATGTCTAGGAGGGCGACTTTGGCGCCTTGTCGGGCGAGGAGAATGGCTGTGGCGCGGCCGTTGCCGATTTCGCCTGCACGCGGTTAGCGGACGGAGGATGTATGTTATGGGCGTGGCTGTGTGGGCTGTATGTCTGTCTCTATGCAAAGATGGACAGTACTGTATATTGTGGTAATTATTGTGCACACAGACTTGTGATAACGACCACCCCGGCCCGTAGGCATTACGCACCTGGTAGACGGGAGCCCGCACCCGCGACGATGGCCACGTCGCCGGTGAAGTCGAATGGAGCCATCGATGACCAGAAATACAGAAGACTAAATGTTTACGTGCTTTTCGTCGGAAGAAGGGATGGATTGACTGAAATATGGATAGGGATACCTGTATGAGCAGTCCCCTGGTTCGTGACTGGGTAGTTGCTTGGGAGTACAGAAGGTAGAGGGGAGCAGTAAGGACTAGGTACTAGGTTGCAGTTCGTTCACGGCCGTCCTGCGACGCAAGGTCCTCACATTTGGAAGTCGATATTCCTTCTAATTGAATAGCATCGAGACAGCATGTCATATCATGTCACAAGACCCAGCGCTTGCGGAGTGTGTGATGCGAAGGTAAAGTACGTAGCAATCAACCATACCCGGGGGTTGCCGTGAAGTCCGTTTGCGGGAAGGATGATTTCACCATCCAAACGCCCGTGCTGTAAGTGGTGACAGTGGTGCTGTGCTGTACAGACATGGACTAGTTCGTGGCCCGAACAGCCACTTGGTGGGAATGTACTTTTGATACAGTGTGTAGATCCCAAGACTGAATACCGAGTACGTGCCGAGCAAGCCGACCGTGCCACAGTAAAATACCGACCGGGGTTGACTGCGTGGCCGGCCCGCCGGCTTACTCCGTGCGGGCTGTTGGATCTCAAGGATGCTGTAACTCGTACAGTTGCATGCTCGTGCATGCTGACTGGGTGACGCTGGTTGCGGCCTTGTTTCCCCGCTCGAGGTGACCACGCCGACTCCAATCTGCTGCATGGAGAAGGATGGTCTTCTGGGCTCGTAGTCGCGGTACTGTGTAACTGTAGATTAGCCGCGGGGTGTGGCCGGCCGCGGCACATCCAGCATGTAGCGTATTCTGTACAGGACGTATGTATGGCGTAATCGTGTTATATGAGGAGGAAAGCGTACAGAGATACTGCTGAGACCACAGAACCTCGAGAGACAGAGCCACAGACATTGGTAGTACGCCACTGTTACCTGTCCGGCCTACATTTCTGACTAGTTCCACCAAGCCATGGCAGACAAGGAGGGCTATCTCGCAAAGCCGTCGGCCGACTGTTGTCTGAAGGGCTCGCTGCATCAAGGAGAGCCGCGAGGTCGGATCGAGACGGTCGCTGGTGTCGAGACATATATATCGACTCCGCAAGGCAAGAACAACGGCAATATCATCCTCTATTTCCCTGACGTGTGGGGATTCTTCAACAATGGCTTCCTAGTCATGGATGGGTTTGCTGATGCAGGCTATACGACTATTGGGCTGGATTACTTTCGAGGAGTTGGTCTCACTCTGAGTTCCGGTTTCTCTGTGGTCGTGGCCATGGTTGTACTGGGACGCTCAAGATGCTGATATCCAGATACTGTAGGATCCCGTGTGGAAGTACCGCAAGGATAAAAACGATCCGGCTCCAGGCTTTGATTATGAGGCCTGGAAGAGGAAGCATACTGCCGTCGCGGACGAAGTCACCCCTAAATGGGTCGAGGCCGTGAAGGCACAGTTCGGCAGCCCGACGACCAAGTACGCTTGTGTAGGGTGTGTTTCCGTTCATGTCCACCTTCATGTCAGCACGTAGCTAATCAGGCAGCAGATACTGCTTCGGAGCGCCGTACGTGTGCAATGAGCTCGCCCGAGATATCTGTGCCGCTGGCGCTTTCGCCCACCCGGCATTTCTGAAAGAGCACCATTTCCGGCAGTTAAAGAGTAAGTGCCGGCCGCTCTTGAAGGCCTGTTGGTTCGCCGCATCAACTGATGCGCTTGTCCAGAGCCTTTGTTCCTGTCGTGCGCCGAGACCGACCATACCTTTGGGACGGAAGCCCGCAACACGGCGGTGGACATCCTCCGCAATGAAAAGAAGACTTACAACCTGCAACTGTTTTCGGGCGTCGAGCACGGGTTCGCGCTTCGGTGCAATCTGGATAGCTCATATGAGCGTATGTACTCGCCAGCTTCTCAGGGGTACTGGTTCATTTTCCGTATTAACAGTTTGGCAGGATATGCAAAGGAGGAGAGCCTGAGGGGAATTGTTCAGTGGTTTGACTTGTGGCTGTCACAATGAGACCGCCCAGGAAGTTTGCAAATGTAAAGACCCTTGCATATACCGGCGATACCTTGGGAGATTTGCCAGATGGAGGTGAAAGTGGATTTACAGAACGGTGGAGTCGTTCGGCGATCCGTCGCTCTCGCCTTCGACTCAAGCTACTGTACCTGGTATATTCAGTAAACCGAGTCAAGCAACGGGTGGCCCGGGATCCGTGACTCGACAACTGAAGTAGTGACAGGTAGCTTTCACATTCAGCACACTTGAAACCTGCCGGCCGATGTACGGGACTGTCCTGGAATTAGTACATGAGTTACGCGAGTGCCTTTCACATATCTCTCCACCTGCGGTCACAGCCAACGAAGCGTGAGAAATTCTCTTCGAGGATTGCTAGCAACCCTGAATGGTTTCGAAGCTCAGAGAGGGGACTGTACCATGTTCGTGGATGTAAGCTGCTGCCGATGCAGTAGAATCCTGCAGCGCTTTACCCCTTGCGGAGCGAAGTCTTGAAGTCCACGGGCCGATATCGCGTGTCGGAGTCCGGTGTGATGTGGCCAGAGAAGCACTCAAAAACAGGTGAAAGAAGTCCCAGAAATAGGTACGAGAGTCTGATCTCGGAGAACTGATCTCGGGAAGCTTTGCGTTACATTTATGGACGGAGCTGGAATCGCAACCTGGACAACCTTGGTAGGGCACGTCCCTGGCTGTGTGACTATGACGCACTTTTGTACAGTAAAGCGACTGGACAGCACACAACCAACCTGCCCACCACTCGTATCTTTCCCTGGGTTACACTTTAGACCTTGTGCTTTTCCAGCATTTCAACCTGCTGAGGCACTCGAACGTCCCTGTCAGCCGCTGTTTCCTGATCACCGTGGCTCCTCCATTCCGCGGATTGTCGGGATCCCGCAACACCTTCTCCCTCCTCCGCTACCTGTTCCCAAACACCCACCGTCGTGCTCGTGAACGCTACCTGGGGTTTCGTCACGAGACTATCCCGCAATTGCGCCTGCGAGCCCAGTACGGCATCTATCGGGCCATCCTCCGCAGACAACAACGGAAGCAAGAGCGTAAAGAAGCTCGCAGAGACATTGTCTCGATAATTACTCGGAGGCTGCGGCGCAGTCGCATTGCATCATTCTTGCGCCGGCGGGTGGCAAAGAGCCGCATCCTGCGGGCTTTGTATGGCCAGTCACAACATGGTGGTGGCCGCCAACTCAGAGGAACAAATAGACCTAGCGCAAGAGTCTCAGCCGGAGACATGACAAGCTATGGCGGCGGACGCGTGCCCGGCGCGAGGAGGGAGAGGGTGAAGGGCTACCTGAGGGCGGCTAACGAGTTAAGACAGACATACCAGGCACAAATCCAGCAGAAACTCCAGGAAGGCGATGGAGGTGTGCCGAGAGACTGGCCTGACGCCGAGATTGTGAGGAGTGGGAATGAGGAAATGCTCCTGTTCCCTAGCTATGCAAGAAAACATACGAAAAGGAAGACTCGGCCTGACGAAGAAGCTCGATATCAGCCTGGGACACACGAGTCGCTGGAGACGCCACACAGCAGTGGAGATGCCGACTACTGGAAGCGAGAATGGGAAAAGTACGAGGACGCCAATGCCATTGTCGACGTCGACGTGAGAGGTTGGATCTATTCCCCTCAATCAGGTCCCCTGAACAGGAAGAATCGCCTTCTGGTAGCCGTGGCGCGAAGACTCAGCGGAATATACGCACCTACACCCAGTCCGACGACATCAAGATCGTCGAGTCTGGCGCCTGCCGACCGTGCAGGCTCTGACGACAGTCCGTCCCGGCGTGAGGATGAGCTCGCCGCACGAGAAGCCGAAAGTATCGCCCGGCGTGGACAGAGAGAGGCGGATGCCGCAGTCAGGGGAGATTACAGCTCGAGCGTCTCTCGAGGCGGCACTCCGGCCGGTAGTAGATCGAATTCGCCAACGCGGTCACTCAATACAAATGCAGATACCGACGATGACGACCCGAGCCATCAATCCGTGATTAAGCGTCAATCCTGGAGCGAACCTGCAAACATGAGCCGAGACCAGCTGGCGGCCGCAAATGAACTACTATTGACTCGACTGGGACCGTTCATGTCTATGCCCACAGCGCATGTGCCGATTACCGTCTTCTTCTACAACAAGGAAAAGTCCATCTCCAAGTCTGTGACTACTGATGATTCTGGTCACTTCAATCTGCGAGCTGCTCTTGATTTTATTCCTGACCAAGTCAGGGTTCTTGCGTCGGAAAAGTTGTCGGCAGTCGAGGACGTCATCATCACAGACCACGCCGGTGTGAGCCTGATCAGTGACATCGACGACACCATCAAGCACTCGGCCATTGGGAATGGGGCCAGAGAAATCTTCAAGAATACCTTTATTCGGGAATTGTCTGACCTGACCATTAAGGGCGTCAAGGAGTGGTATACTAAACTGGCTAACATGGGCGTCAAGCTGCATTACGTTTCCAATTCGCCGTGGCAACTATATCCTTTACTCCGGAGTTATTTCTCCCTTGCTGGACTGCCTCCTGGCTCCTTCCACCTCAAGCAGTATTCCGGAATGCTGCAGGGGATATTCGAGCCCGCAGCCGAAAAGAAACGTGGCTCGTTGGATCGGATCATGAAGGACTTTCCTGAAAGGAAATTTATTCTTGTCGGCGACAGTGGAGAGGCTGATCTGGAAGTGTACACTGATGTTGTGCTGGAGCACCCCGGGCGGATACTTGGTGTATTCATTCGAGATGTGACCACACCCATAAAGAAAGGCTTTTTCGACCAAGCGATATCCAATACGCCTCCTGACTCCATGATCACCAGGGAAGGACGAGTTAGTCGGTCGTCAGACGACGCGCGTGCCGATGATTCGGCGAGTAGGCCCGCTCTGCCTACAAGGCCGAAGTCGATAGCGGATCCTAGGGCAGCCGAGGGAGACCTCATCGACTTCACTGACGATCCGATCGCGAAACCAAGTTCACCCAAGTCTTCGACATACTCGGATGACCTGCAGAAGCTTGATACAAATGGCAAATCGAACGGCCCGCCAGCCAAACCGAAGAAACCGTCAAGTCTGCGAAATTTCTCAACTCAAGCACCGACACCTCCTACAAACCATGAGAGATTATCAGCTTCTTCAGATACCGAGGCCCAAGACGCCGTGAAAAAGAAATCTCCGCCACCACCGCCTGCCCCCCGTCGAGTTGGGCGAACACCTTTTGACAGCGTGAGTCCCGACAGCGCAGAGTCTACGCCGCAATCTCAGCCTTCGTCAAGAGCACCTTTCTCTTCTGCCCGCCAGAACCAAGCACCGCCTCCACCTCTCTCCCGCACAGCCACATCTGGAAGTACTACGTCTTCGCATAACGACGAAGGCTACGTGGCGTCAGCCCGCCGCCAAATCTCCTCCGCATACAACGCCCTCCCTGCCATCCGCTCGCAGGCACCTTCCAGTACGTCCGATTCGAGCTCCTTGTCCTCGTCCTCAGACCACCGACCAAACCCACCCCTTCCCATTCGCCGAAACCTTTCCTCCTACCCCGCTGCTGCGGCCCGCTGGGCCACCGGCTCCGACACATACAATTTACCTGGAGGCGGGACGGGCCAGCTGGGCGCCCCTAGTGCAGCCACCGAAGGCGCCCCCTACGATAAGAAGATCGAGATCTGGCGGAGACGGTGGGCCCGTGCCGAGGAGATTATGCGGGCGAGGAAAGTGGTGCTGCGGTCGTGGAGGGTCGGTGGCGATGTCATGGACGAGAGTGTCAGGCTTGTGAAGCGGGAGTTGGAGCGTCAGGAAAGGGAAAGAGAAAGGGAAAGGCAGAGGTCGTGATGTCTGATTTTGTGCGTATCCAGAATGGAGTAAAGCAGTATTATACAGTACACAGGACATGAGCCCCAGGCAGGCAGGGGGAGCGAATTCTATGATCGATGCAGTACACAGCAAGCAGATAGCGCGCGCACACCTCGCCCCGTGTGTTTCTCGGGATTTGCATTTGCGAAGGACAGCCCGGTCTACGAAACGCCTACCGACCATGTGATCGGTGTTGTTGTAGACACGAGGCATGTCAGAGACGAAGACGAAGACCAAAGCCATTCCATCAAGTTCTCTACACCTGATTTCCGACGAACGGACGAGCAAGGTCAAAGTTGGACCATCTATAGGCATGACCATCTCCACGTCGGTACGTCGAACTTGAGAAAATCATGAATTAACCTAAGCATTCGAAAACGCTTCATCTATGCATTGTGGTATCCATATGCATGTGCATGCGCATACGAATCTACCGAATATGGGCGTGTGAATCCCTCATAACCCGCTTGCAACTTGGGCTTGCCTCGCTTTGATGCCCTCCCTCCAGCTTCTCAGCCTGACTGACATACGCAACGCGTCACCTCGCATGAATGATCAGATCATATGCATTCCATCCGTGCGTGGCTGCGACCCTCGCAAAGGTCAAAACCTCAGTTCTTCTTCCCAGCCATGTCGCCCGTCCCGCCGGGCTTCTTGCTCCCCTTGGCGGCATCCTTCTTGGCAATGATCGCGGCCTCCTCGTCCTGGAGTTCCTTGTCGATCTGGGCGCCGCGTGAGGGCTCGTTGCCGTGCATCCTGGCCGGGGCCGTCGCGTCGGTTTGGCCGGCCTTGGCCTCGGCGTTCAGGGCTTTGCCTGAGGTGCTGTCGTTTTGCGGTTCCGCGGTCGCGAGTCGGTTGGCGATGGAGCGTTCGTCTTCTATAGAGGGGGTGGGATTTGTCAGCTGGTTAGAGACTTGGGGTGGGATGCAGGACACATATGTAGCATGTAAATAGTGGAGGGTAGGGGCCATTGGAATTCCCTTCGTGTTCCACCATTTGTGGTGTCAGAGATTGACAGTTCCGTATGTGGTCTACTTGAGCTTTCTAAGCATGATGCCTTGTTGCTAGCATGTCTTTCCTCTGCTCCTTTGGTGAAACGTTGATTCCACAAGAGTTTGATATCGCCGTGGCCGCATTCATAGTCCATGACATGAAAACCACCACACGACAGAGTGACTGACGGAACAGCACCGTACTGACGGACCACAACTTCAAAAGTGGCAGAATGCAAAAAAAGAAAAAAAAACCGTTCTTCACTTACTCGAGTCGTTCGCCTGGTGCGAGTTCTTCGTGCCTTCCTCGCCGAAAGAGCCACCGGGCTTTGAGGCCGGCTCGGTGCGCTGGTCACCTGCCTCGTAGACGTTGCTGTTGCCGACGCTGGAGTTCCCGGACATGGTGGTACTGGTGGGGGTTTTTAAATTGTATTGAGGGGTGGTTGAGAGTGGGTAGACTTGTAGATAGACGGTTCTGATAGTGGCTGTATGTCCTTTTCGATTAGGGGTGTTCGTGCTATGTCGACTGAGTATTTATTGCGGTCTTCGAACTGTACCGGTAAAAGTGAGCAGTGACAGGCAATGGTGAAGGGGTAAATAGTCGTAGATGATGTGGTGGATGTGTGGTTGAAACATTCACGCATGACATCACCTGCAGAGGTGAGAATGAAGTCATAAGGTCAGAAGCGACTCCACCATGAAGCCAGAGTTTGACCGGAGGTGGAAGATGCCCCCGTGCAATCTACTTTTCCTTTCAGGATCTGCCTGGTTGCCCCTGAGGCGACGCTGGTGCCTGACTAGACGGCTTGGAGCCTGGCGGAAGCTATATAGGGTAAGATGGCATGTGATCATCTATGGTGCTGAACCATAGCGGCAGTGCAATGGCAAACATAGAGTTCCATTCTCGGAGGATTGTGTGTTTCAGAGCGTATATCCTGGGAGGCAACCATCATCAACAGTTTTGTCGTCCCGCGGATCTTGTGCCCACTCCGGGTATCAGGCGATGACCCGTCTGCTCGGGACCGTGTGTCTTCAGCCTCTTCTGCGAAGATCATACACACGCCTGTCGTCCAACAAAGCAGAAGCTGGAATACTCGACTGTTCGTCTGCGTCTTCTCAAAATCCGTGGTCCATCAGAAAACCTCCTTCTCGTAGCACTCTCTGAACGCGGCTTCATGCGCAAAATGCGCCCTAAGATGCTCATAAGCATTTGAAGCTCGCGGTCTTAGCTGCTGCCGTGTTCGCAACCGACTGAAAGATGCCGATCGACAGATCGGTCTCTGGGAATTGAACTGCCGTTTGTGGAATATTGCTAGGCCACGAGCCTTTGCCACGAAATCCAGTGCGATTGGACCTGTGCAAGGCGAGCCGCAACACTATCATGCTTAAAAAGCGTTGATTCCAAAGTTGTGTGTGATGGCCGTGGTTCATCAGGCCACATCACCTCCGCTGATATGTTAACACCGTTCCGGCCATCATCTCCCAATGGTCAATTGTGCAACCTCATCTCTTGTGGCTCCCACTTTATCGGCGACATCGTAGAGACTCCGCTGAACTTCCCCAAACACATACCGCAGAAGCTGAAGTTGATGATCTCGTTCACTGAAAGCAGCGCCATTCCGGTCGCCGTAGGTGAGTCGATCGTTCAATTCCCTCTCTTTACCAACCACCTTCCCTTCTAAGCCTTGCACGAAATCCTCAATCTGGCCCAGCAGCTGTCGGTTGCCCTTGATAGCGTCTTGCATTTCATTGGCCCGATTGTTGAAGAGCTCAACCAGACTCTTAGGACCTTGAACATCCTCCGCCTCCTCGCCAGGCAGTTGGATCTTGTCGCCTTGCGCATGGACTCCTCGGACACTTCCTCTTAATGTCTGCGGGTTATTCCACCATCCACTGAGACCTGTTCCTCCATAGACGCTGCTGCCATTCAAGTTGTCGTTGGGAGTGTGTACGACTTGTTGATACTGACGTGGCATCTTCAGCCGGTCAATAGCGCGAAATACACACTTCGCTTCCAGCTCGTTTTTCTTGACATCGCCATCCCGTACTGCGACGATCGCCTCTGCGTCGTTCCCTAGTCCAGCTTCCAGCTCGTCCAACTTCTGGGTCACAAAATCTACCCCACTGGGTAATGTCTCTCCAGCGGCGATGACGGTGGGAAGAAGATCTGCCACTTCTGACGCGAGTTTTATCTGATTGAGGATGAGGGTGTCAACAGCTTCGATTTCTCGCTGTAGGTCTGGGGTGAGATGGTCGAATTTCGTCGTCGAGCGCAAATGGGCGATGTCAATCTGTGCTTGAGACCCTATCGTAGAGGTGTTGGCCCCTACCGATTGTTGTTGCTGTTGTGTAGTCTGGCTAGCATTGCTTCGGGCCTCTTAGCTATTTTGACTTTCATCAAGGAGCCCTGGAGGAAGCGCTTGAGTACTTACAATGCTGTAGAGCCGGGCGCCGGCTGACTGGTGCCCAGATTCAGTCCTAGAGTAGGCCTAGATGTGTTACCACCGAAGAGTGACATCGCAGAGGCAGGGTGTTGGTAGTGCTGGGGTGTTGGAAATGAGAATTGTCGTATTGCTGGAATTCCTGGTGCTGGCCGACGCGATGCGCGCGACGGATATTTGCGGTTCTGGACTGCATGACTCGTCGTATTCACGCATTACGGCGGCGCAATAGAGCCATGATGCCCTTCTTTGTTCGTCAATCACAGTCAATCAATCAAGCTCCTCTTTGTCTGCACATTTCAGTGTGGATCTGAAAGGACACTGAGACCTCTTGATATTCGGCTGGACATGTGAATCACAATCGAGAATTGGATCTGCTCGCAATTTGTCCTGCTTGCATTACATCTGCCAGCCCGCTTTCGCCATGCTTGAATCCTTGCAAACCGAGTCGGCAGTCCAAAATACGCAGGGCCAGAATGGCTGAAGGGTTCATGACCACTTCTCGGCTAAAATGTGTAGCTAATTCCTTGAATCCTGCCGACGCTGATACCGGGGCCCCTTCCAGGGACAGGGCGTTCTTCAGAAATGTGCAATGGTAGGTATATGCACTCCCAAGCTCGTTAGTTCGGCTCCCTGATGTTATGGCAGGAGCGCAGATGGGACATCGCTGATCGCTAGTCTCTCTAATAATTCGATTCAGACATACATTGTGTAAGTACAACCTCTCGTACTCCTGTACAAGCTTCTGATTTTGTGGAAGGCCAGCCGATCTCCTCGACGAGACACCTAAGCTTCGTCTTCTCTCGCCTTACTGCACCATTCAATCAAGCGAATCAGTCAACGCTGTGATAGGGTACCCGCTCTTCAGCCTGCAAGACACATCTACCGCCTTGGTTCTATCGTCAACGAGAGACCACCCGATCCGGTTGACCTCGGCATTAACCGGCCATCTGATCTGCTCTTATCCCTTGGTTAATCCCATGACTGAGGAATTTATCAGTCCGCATTCGCTTCTCTTTAGCAGGTCAGGCGGTCGCTTCGCTGCCGGCTCAGAATCTTTGATCTCCATTTTTGACTCGTCTCGGCCAGGGGAAGGGCCCTCGGCCTCGATGCCCACCGGCCCAAAGAGGAAGGGGACTGACTACAGTGTTGCCACGACCATGAGAGGAATTGTATCCGCCTTGGCCGTTGATGCGTCTAGCGGTCTCTTAGCCGCGGGAACGTATAGCCGTTACGTCGGTCTTTACGATGCTATGGGACAAGGCAGTTGCATTGGTGTATTCTCAGTCAAGGGAACATCTGCCGACGAGCAGATTGGTGGAACCGGAGTAACGCAGGTTTCATGGAGTCCATGCGGAAGGTACTTGTACATTGCAGAGAGAAACAGCGACGGGATCATGCTCTATGATATCCGTAAAACGGGGCAACTGCTGTCATGGCTCCAAGGCCGGAATGCGGAAACAAATCAAAGATTAGGTTTTGATGCTATGGCCACAGGCGATCAAAAAAGCCATGAGATTTGGGCTGGTGGACTTGACGGCTTCTTTAGGATGTGGAACAACCCTTACCAACACGAAGGCTCCGTTGCTCCCGCGCTCGAGTTCAAAGGTCATGATGGTGAGCGAGTTCTCCTGTGCATTAATCCGAGTCTGTGCTAACATCTTCCAAAGATGCGGTGTCGAGTGTGGTTATGCATCCCTTCGGGGGCGTGGTTGCTACTTCATCTGGTCAACGCCATCTAACTCCACCAGATGATGAAGAGAGCATCCAGGGGCTAGCACCCGATTATAGTCTGAAAATATGGACGTTATGATCCGGTGATCCGAATGTCTCGAATGTGCTTAATCAACGTGACTTTGACAGTTTGCTTCAACCTTGCCGATAGCTGCAGCCTAATTAATTCGACCCGTCGTTCATATCGATTTGGTGTGGAATACGTAGCGTCCACCCTCACAGGTGCTGGGATTTCTGGGATATTCCCTGATTATCTTCGGAGACCACAACCTGTTGTCTTCTATATCGGTGTAGACCTTGCAAACCCCAAGTATCAATCCTGGTGTCGAAGGGCATGAGCACCTCGTAGAACGGGTGGATCATCGTCCGGCCGCCATCCATTCATTTCATTGCTTGGCCAATTTAAGCTTAAATGCATTATTGGCTTTAGCACAACGTCGTCCTCGTCGTTCATATCGTCTCATTCTCATTTGCAATCAGTCGTGATGCATGCAGACGTGCTTCTGTCACCTTGATCGATCTTCAATGTCCAATTGTCGGTTGTGGAATCCTGGATATGTGAAGGCCAGTTGCGGGACGTCCCATTTCTGTTATGCCCAGCTTCTGTCATTCTTTGGTTCATTGTCATCTCTTGATTCTCCCCTTGACTTCGTACCTAAGTCGTTGAAGCTCATCAGCATCACGGCGACGTTGTCCAGTATCCAGTGCACACAGTCTGCACACTGTGCCTCTTAGGGGCTTCGTCGGTTTCTCACGCCAAACGCATACCATTTGTGCCACAGATCCTGAGCACCAAAGTCGAACAATGATCAGATCACAACACCGTGCACCGCTGGTCCTTTTGCATTCAGCTCCGAATGTGGCTGTCGACGTGTCTCCAGCAAGATAAGCGTCCTGGCATTTGTGTTCTGGCTGGAGAGAAGCTCCTTGCTTCGTTCGCGCAGTCTTCACCCGCACGCGGTCATCCTCCAGCTGTCACCTGCTCTCGATGATGTCGTTGCCAGCCGCGAGTGTACTTACCATTCATCTCTTCAAGGATCCGCTTGGTCGACGCCGTGCCTCCGCCGTGGCTGCGCAGTCTTGGCCCACGTTCTCAGGCCTATAAATCTCTGCTTCTTCCGCATCTTTGTCTCTCTTCTCACACCTTTGTTCTTCATGCCCTCACCCTGCTCACAAAGACAGACGCACAATTGTTCAACAAAGAAAGACTCACAACAGTCCAACAACCACTTACCACAACGCTCTCGAGGCCTCGAGGCTCTGTATGTTTGAAGAATCCTCTTCAGCACAGAGCCTCGAGGCCTTGAGAGGATCTGCAACCTGTTGGTAACATCACCTCGTTACCTTGTGACTCCATCTTCGAACGAAGACTGAAGACTTCCCATTGCCGAAGGTAAGCGCATCTCCAATCATCCTGGCATGTACTGACCAGACCACAGTGCCTATGACTTCGACGAGAGAAGCACAGTGGCTACTCATCCTCTTCCGCAAGCAGATGAGCCTCAGAGGCGCAATTTCGAGACGAGCATGATGGATACCGCCCACCCAGACCGACAATCTCACAACACTTCTGGGATGCTTCAATTGAAACAGTACACGTGCTCTTGCGACATTCGGAGCCCCTCGACACATGAGAGGGGTCTGGGCTCTCATCAGCCTGTCTCAGGCAGTACATGAGTGAAGTAAGTGTTGTCACTGTGAAGAAGAAATTGAAGACGCAGTCATTCTTTGTTTCACCGTCAGCTGCTAATGAGTGAAGCAGCTGTTGATGAGTGAAGCAGGAGCCGGTACTGCCACACCCTCGATCTGAGGCAGCGATATGTCTCCTTCTCCCTAATAGATAAAAATTTGCCCTTGGCGCTGGTCACTAGGTACTTTCCTCCTCCATCCATCCACCCTTCTCTGTGACTGACCAACTTCAAAGACCAACAACAACTTTATTTTCTTTCTCTTCTCTAAGGGGAAGATTATTTAGGCGCCTCAATGGCGTTCGCCCAGCACGATCCTTCGACGTGCCCGGAGCTTCTGGTCGCGGCCAATGCGGAGCAGAAGGCCGACCTCGTGCGGTTAGGCCACGAGCAGCTGGGGAAAGCTCAGCGAGGAGTGACAACATTCCTCACTCTCCAGCTGAGTGACCTCAGCAACTCGGTGGTCTTGATGCAAGACGGCAATCGAGACACGTTTACCTATTTCGACAGTGAGCTCGAGGCCGAGAAGTACCGCGAGCGTCTGCTCCCATTGAAGCAGGAGGCCGACTTCACGATCCCTCAAACCGCAGCAGACAAGAAAGCACACGTCAAAGTCCTTTTCAAGGCATTCAAGTGTGTGCCTGCGGAGTGCTTAGAGGGTGAAAACATCAAGAGGCCCTTCATCAACCACATCCACGACAATGTCATGGTCGAGTGCCTGTGCTGGGAGATTCTCCGTCGCTGCATCCAACGCTCCGAGGTCCTCTCCAATCTAGTCGAAACTTACGAACCGGACAAATACAAGTTCAAGAAATTCATGGACAAGGATTTCGAGCAGCGCTTTGATGCAATTGTGAATGCCATGGCACGCAGCAAAAGCCTGTGTAAGCACATGTATGATGTCCCATACCTTTTCAAGGTCATCGATGACCCACAGACCAACGTTGAGCGAATCGACTCGAACCGCAAGCTCAACGGACAGAAGGCAGTTGTGATGAAACGAGGCAAAGAAGCCGTTGCAGGAGATGAACAGCAGGGCCCAAGCAAGAGGCGAAAGACCGAAACCACCAAGACTGAAGCCCAGTCTGCTTTGGTGCCTGCACAACGTCGGAATCAGCGTGCTTTGACTGCGACCACCTCCTCCCAGATATCCACGACAACACCCGCCCGGCAGCTCCTCACCTCCCGGCAAGCTATTTCCGCTCCAGCTTATCCAAGAATGGCACCGCCAGTTAAAACTGGGTACGCCCAACAGAACCTCCTCCAAAGCGGCATGCAACCCATCAACAATCTTTACCACAGAAGCCCGACGCGGAACGACTCCATGGTACCTCGACCAGTGGTTGGCAATAGTCAGCGCCCGGCATACACAAACATCGACGCCCAGTCTCCGTACATGCTCCAAAACCCATATCCCATGCAACAATACCCACAGATGGGCAATCAAGGCTATGCGGCTCGACAAAACATGCGACCTCATCAGTCACAGACTGCCTGTACCTCAACCTCAACCACTCACTCTCCGTCCCGAACATCCCGCCAATACCCCGATCCGACCACGCCAAGCGAGCAGATGGCTGTCAGCTGGCTTGTACAACCACAACCAGAGAGCCGTACCATGCATTCGAGCTACAACTCTAGCGCCTCAACCATCACGTCCCCTCTCAACACCATCGATCACCAACAACCTCAATGGCCTGGCGACAACTACAGAGAATCCGACCTCGGCGAAACATCTCTTACTTCGTCGGAGACACACGCGCAAGACGATGGCTTCGGACCAAATCAAGAGTACGGACTTGACAATATCGAAGAATTTCTTCAAAACGCAGAGGAGCAGAATGCCCGTATTGGCGCTGCCGAAAATTATGAAGGTACTGCCGAAGAATATGGCGATGCGCCCTATGAGACCGAGGACCAGGGACCATCTCATATGTAAAACTCTCAGCATGCACGGCCATTCGGCATCACTTCTGTCACCTCTCTTCTCTCACAGCACTGAGCAATGTCCTCAGGACAACATCATCGACCCGGCGCAGGCGTCAGGACCCGATACGCGTTACTGAGATGGTAATGCCTTGTACACCATAGAATTCTTTTTCACCACCCACACACGCATGCATACGGCTCGGACGGATACCCACCAAATTTCCTTTTCTTTTATTTCATATGTACAATGATCCAAATCGAGGGGCTTGGACAATGGGCATTGTGTTTTCATTTCCTTCTTTCTCCTTTCCTTGTCTCTTTTCGGTCATCGGAGTTTGGGTACACAGTGGGTCGAGGTCATCATGCACGGGAGGCAGGTTGGAGGCAATGTGTAACGAGACACGATGATACCCACACGCAGAGATACCCCATACAGTACCCAGGATGGGACATTGTACATTTTCAAAATCAAGTCAGCATGGAGCAAGCAGGACGGCGTCGATGACCCGAGACAGACGATACTCGAGCCTTCAGGATAGCATGCTCAGCTCAGCAGGATAGTTTCCTTTTGCAATGAAATGATCAGATGAACACTGTCGAGTCCGCTTGATCCGAGCCAGTCTCTCAAGATCCATGCGTGGATGTGGTCTTGCACCGTGCTCGAGATGTGGCCGTATCAGCTGCACAAAACATTCAACAACACGCTCAGCAATGTCAACTACGCTCACAATGAGTAGCGGGTGAGAATGAAACTACACTGAAATGACAATGCCAGCAAGACTGTACATATCCTATCCCGAGCCTCAGCAATCGATTACTACGAGCGAATGTATATACTGTAACACCACATGTTGGCCAGCTGCAAGGTCCTGTACTTGCTACTGCAGTCAAGTCATCGCAGTACATGCACTGGCTGTACATGAACCCCGGGCTGAAGTACAGTCAGGACATTAACATTCCCAGGACTCTGGAATTTCGCGAAACGCTTCAGACATATGCCTCATGTGATGACCCATGCATACACAAATGCATGTTTGTGGACAAAGTGGGCGATAACAAGTGGTAAGTGGTGAGTGGTGAATGATAGGATGTTCTTTCACTTTCACTTCTCTTCTCTCTTCTTCATTCCTTTCTCCTCTCTTTCATCTCTTCTTGCCTTGATGAATTTCACTTCACTCTATGGATAGAACGGGCGATCATGAGTAGTAGGTGGTGAGTGATGGGATGTTCAGAGACCTTGGCCTGCGCCTTCCTTGACTTCACTTCTCCTGCTTCTCTTCTTGCCTCCGTGAAATTCATTCCAGTCCATCAATAGTCAATACTATGATTGTAACACTGATATACACACCCTCGGGCCTCAGTCATCTGCCCTGTTTCATCCACTCGTTTTTACCATTGATCTGCGACAGGTATACGCTCCGCTATGCTGTTATCCTGTGTCACGCCGACTAACCCTTTCCCCCACCCTCAAAACTCAAGCTATACCCCCCTCCCTCCCCCTGACTCACCTTGAACATATCCGTGCTCAGCCCGAACGGCTTGAGGACCGTGTTCCCCAGATCCTTCAACTTGCCCATCATCTCACTTACTTCGCGCTGTTTCGCGGCCTCGATCCGAGGCGGCAAGTTCACCAGTGCAAGCTGCACGGTTTTGCGATCGCTAGGCGGCAAAGCGGCCCAGTACGCGGGCGTGTCGCGCAAGAGGGTATAATCTTCCAGAGCTGCTGAGAGGGTCGACCACGTCGAGGATGTGCCGTTGGATGTCTTTGACGAGGTGGGATCCGAACTCGAATTTGGAGGAGCACCGCCAGGAGACCCGAACGAATCAAAGGTAGACACCGCCGGCATACTACTCCTCGAGCGTGCACGGCGGAGCAGCAGTTTTACACGGATCCTCGTGATGTCCGCACGGCGGGCGTCAGAGAGGGACAGCGCGGCGAGGGTTTTCGCCACGTCCTCTTCCCCGAGCGAGGAGGGCAGTTCGACAACTGTGCCGCCCTTGTTTTGCTGACCCCAGTCTGAGTGCCCTTCTGAATCCGACTCCGTGTCTGAATTGATTTTGCCGTCCCCCTTAGTCCGCTTCTGGTGCCCGGTCTTTGTCTTCGTCTTTGTTTTCTCTGTCTTTGTCTTCTTCGTCTTTGTCGGCATCTCCCGCTCCAGCCCTCCCAAGCCGGCCTCACACGCTTCGACGGCGTCCTTCCACTGCTCGAGTTTCACGTGGCATGCCGCGACGTTGCTCTGCAGGACGGCCATCTCATAGTCCAGGTAGCGGGGCAACTCGGCCAGCGCACGGTCGTAGGTCGAAATCGCGGAGACGTACTCGGCACGGGCGAACAGCGCGTTTGCCTGTGCTTTCAGCTCGTTGGACGCAGAGACCATGCGTGTTTCAGAGGTGGGAGAGAACCGGCCCGAGACGGCCGAGTGGAAGGATCTGGTCGAGGAGATTGAGGAAGTCGAGGAGCGTCGAGACGCCGCCTTTGTTGACCATGTTGGCGGTGTTGGTGTTGGGTCTGCGGGTGGTTTGACACGCTCGGGGCGAGTTTTGGGACCATCGGCCTTGAATGACATGGTGTGAGCCTGAGCGGACGGCTAATTGTGTGATGGGTGTTACGCGTTCATCAAGTTGAGCGCTGGTGATCGATGCGCTGGAGTTCAAGGCGGACTACAAGGCTGAGGTGAGTGGGCACGAGCGAGGCTGAACTCGCTGCGCTGTAATTACAGCCGAGTATGACGTCGTGGCCTCGTGTTCGGCTCGGCAATCGATTTCTGCCCCGCCACTGGATTTAGGTTTCATGAGATCCCAGCAGACGAACAAACCAAGATTTTGGTCCGTGGCTCCTAGGAACGTGGTTCATGCAGGGTTGCAGCAGCCAGTGAGGATTTCTCGTAACGCTCTCGGAAAATGACCATGCAGGCGCATTGATGATAGCTTGATCTGCCTCTTCTTCTCAACCTGCTGACCTGGAGCTGCTCGACTTGCTCTGTCAGTATTGATATGTTCACTTCATACAGCATATCACACACACGCACACGCACACGCACACACACACATTCGTGAATACCCATACGCACACACGCTGAAGACCTTTCGATACCGGCCACAGTACACTCACTCTATCGTCACCTCTAGCTCTCACAACATGGCCCAAGCAAACGGTATCCCCGTCCCGAACAGCCACAAGTGAGTGCCACATGTTCCTTCCCCGGCTGCTACCACTGACATGTAATCTCCACACAGCTTCCCCCCTGTCCGGGCCTGCATCTTCGACATGGACGGCCTCCTGATCGACAGCGAGGACGCCTACACGCGCGTGACCAACACGATCCTGCGCGAGAACAACCGGCCCGACCTCCCCTGGTCGATCAAAGCGCAGCTACAAGGCCGCCCCGGCCCCGCGGCAGGCAAGATCTTCCACCAGTGGGCGCAGCTGCCCATGTCGCGCGACGAGTTCTTCACCCGTCAGGCGGAGCTCCAGGCCGAGGAGTTCCGGCACTGCAAGCCCCTCCCCGGCGTGGCTTCGCTGCTGGGCAAACTGAGAAACGCTCACACGAAAAGCACCACAGGCAGCGGGCTGTCCCCCGGCCGCGGCGGGCGGAAAGTCCACATCGCGCTGGCGACGAGTTCGCACCGCCGGAACTACGAGATCAAGACCGCAGCGATGACGGACCTGTTCGCCACGTTCCCGCAGCGACATATCATTCTTGGTGACGACCCCCGCATTCCCAAGGGGCGGGGCAAGCCGTTGCCGGACATTTATCTCCTCGCGCTGCAGAGCGTGAATGAGACGGTCGCCGCCGAGGGGGAAGGCGAGAGGCCGATCGCGCCCGAGGAGTGTCTGGTGTTCGAGGACAGTGTGACGGGCGTGGAGGCCGCCAGGCGGGCGGGCATGCGCGTCGTGTGGGTGCCGCATCCGGGGTTATTGAACGTGTATGCCGGGCGGGAGGAGGACGTGTTGGCAGGCCGAACGGGCGAGCACAAGGAGGACGATATAGATCACACCGAGGGCATCCCTTTTGCGGGGAGTCCCGGGCAGCCCGGCGAGATCATGGACGGGTGGGCCGAGTTGCTGCCCTCGCTGGAAGTGTTTGACTATGAAAAGTATGGTATCGAGGTCAGTGATGCAAGGTATGTCTCGGAGAACGGCCAGTCCGCGGTCAAGGGCACGACGGATAAAGAGCTGGAAGAGATGACGGCGCTAGCGGACGGCAAGAGGCATGCGGCCGAGGAGCCATCGTCGATGTATCTTCCCAAGATGAGCCTGTGAGAGGCGCTAGATGTTTCTGCATTTGAAAACACATATACGGACTGGCATGGGCTAGAGGAGCTTGCAACGAGACAGGTGGGCAGACAAGCAGGCAAGCAGACACGCGCAAGCACAGACACAGACACAGGCGTATAGCATGGAGATTTCCGACGTTACGGACGTTTTCATCCGGGGTGTCATCGTTGTCGCAACCATGTCCACGTGGTCCTCAATCCGCTCTAAGCAGCGGCGTATGCTCTGAGGGGTCCTGGTCCTGCTCTTCCTCCACAACTTCCGGTTCCACCAACGCATCCACACTCGTATTATACTCGATACGTCTCTTCAATTCTTCCCTCTCCCTCCTCCGCCGCGTGATTTCGAAATAACTCCCCATAACTAACAAACAGCCCTGCAAGCAGCCAGTGACAAGGTAGACGCCCCAGGCGGACCAGCCCTCGGGACCCAGCCGCGCGGCCAGGGATCCCGCCCACACGAAGCTCCCCGGCGTTTGGATACACATCATGGGGATGCTGAGGCTGCCGACGCGTTTGAGGCGGTACGTGGTGTAGATCTGCGGGAAGTACTGGATGCTGGCGAGCACGGTGGAGAGCACGCCTAGGAAGTTGGCCCACGACTGGGCGTGCTGGGGCGCCGCGTAGATGAAGAAGAAGCTTAGGATGGCGGTCAGGGCGGCGTGGAGAACGCAGACGGCGACAACGACGAGTGCGGTGCGGTACGACGGTGCGAGGGCCACCGAGTCCGAGTCGGCGGGTATCGATTTCGTGATTCCGAGCGCGGGGGGTGGATCTGATATGGTCGCAGCCGTCTCGTCGCTGTCATCGGCGGCGTCGAGCGCAGAGGGTGCCACTTCGCCGCGCGGGAAGAAGATGAGGAATAGGAGGAGGCTAGTTGGATAGCGCACGTCAGCACCGGCACATTTGGTACACTGTCATTGCTGACAAGGCTTGCTGAGACTCACATAACTCCAAAGCACGACCACTGTACGCCCACCTGCGCGACGCCCAACAGCCCCGCCAGGCACGCAAACTCATCGACCTGCCGACAGCATGCAATGTCTGCCCTCGAGCGCGGCAACACGAGAATATTCGCAAAAGCGCATGTTCCGCTCGTGGTGCCTAGCAGGACGAAGTAGGGCGATAGGCCATACGAGGAGCGCAGGCGGATGATCCGCACGTGCTGCGGCAGGTAGGAGATGAGGATGCCGACGAGAATGAGGCTGCGAACGTTAGCTATATACAATATTGTGTGGAGTTGACTGAGCAGCGCCAGCAAGCAAGCGCAGGGAGGAAGGCACGAACAGAGAGAGCGCGAAGTTCGTGTAGCTGACGTGGGCGAGTTCTTCGCAATGCGCATCCATGGTATATTCATGAATCCGTCCGGGATGGTGTACAGTACTACAGGGACTGCGGATTCACCATTTTCGGCTGCTGCAGGAACCGATCGAGGTCGGGGGCGACATCGTTGTCGCTGGAATTGGTGACCACAGAATAAGTAGTAGACGGTAGAAAGGTAAGTCACAGACGAAGCAGGGAGGTCGAAGGAGGCCTCGCATGTGATGTGCTGTCCTGGATGTGACGTGGTGTTGATTGGGTTCCGAATGAAGCTTAGCTCAGCCTTCGGCGTATTGACTCTCCGACGCATCGTTCATTACTCCCCACTATCCTTTGTCTTCCTACTCAGCGGCAGCATCTGCCATGGTGTACTTGAGACACCCGTGGCTCCTACAGTAAACGACGCGGTCTGAATTCATGGTATCTTCCTGCTGTGTCACCCATGAGCGGTGTTTGTCTGCCATGACCTACCAACCAGGAGCGGCAGCAGTCAATATGGGGTGTGGATGTACGCTCATGCAGCACCGTACAAAAGAGGGGTCAGTCAACAGGAGAGATGGTGCTAAGAAGCACGAGAGTCGCGGACCATACTGCAGCCGCGCTGTTCAAAACTTGGCCAGTCAACCCTGACGTGGCTACGCCTTCAGAGTTCGAACGAGCTTGGGGGTATACCCTGCAGCTCTTCGATGCTGCCAGCAACCAGCAACAACCATTCCTGATCTGTTTGTCTTACTGCCGCCCATATCATCATCACTGTGCGGCTTCAGCTCATCGCCATTCCCTGTCGAGCACCAAGTTGAGCCTCTCAGTCATCCTCGATCCTAGTATTTGAGTGAACATGGCTCGCCTCTCCTCAGGCGGCATTCGAACAAGGTCCCTCAGACCCAGCTGCTGGCTAAGGTTGACTTCTGGCCTGTCTTTCCTTCTCACCAATGCCAGCACGATCTGAGCAGCCATTGGGTTGAGCCCTGCTCTTCTCAAGAATTGCTCCCAGGGCGACTCTTCGTTAGTCAGGGTCGCCCCATCGACCAAATGCTCCGCACCCAGTGATGGGTCAGCTTCCGGGAATGCATGTCGACATATCAAGTTCCACGCCATCTTGTTGAGCGCTTCACCGGTCGTCCGTGTATCTGGTCCTGGGTTCACCCATATTGGAGTCACGCAATGACTGTCCTCGCTGCAGATGCTCGCACAAAACCCTGTAAAAGTGGCCATCGCGTCGACCTGGGCCTGCATTAATGCACCATCCGGGTTTGGCTTCGGAGTCGTGATCACTACTAGCACACGATGATACTCTTGTGCAAGCTTGAGTACCCTGCTTCGCACCAGATTCTGGCCTGCAGCAGCCTGCCCAGGTAAGCTTTTCTGACCCAGTGCTTGCAGATTGGTCAAGATGAGAGCTGTCGTCGGACTCAGGATCATGTCAAGCGCTGCTGAAACACAAGGCTCCCATCCTATCCTACTCATATCCCGGTATACAATGTTGAGTCGGTCGCCCCCATGCGTTTCCAGGAAATTCACAACCGAGGCGTATTTTTGGAGACTTCCTGTTTCGAGGACAACTGCCCTACACCATTCTAGCGTCATGAGTTGTGGCTGGTCCTCCTCGGCATGCTGATAATCATCTGAATCGGGAATCGCCGGTACTCCCATGCTGCTCGGGGACGAGTAAGTCGGTATAGACAAGATTTTGGAGGCAGAATGAAAGAGGGCGTCGACACAGTCATTCTCCTCTGATTGCGTCTGCTGGATTGGATCTTCTGCCAACTCAAGCTTTGCGCCGGAAGCCCGTTGCGGGACTGCAACCTTCTTGAACTTGCCTGCTCGGAGATCGAGGAAGGTGTCCAAGGCGCTGGATATCGAGAAACCACCAAGAGAGGTCGCTGAGCTGCTCTTCGGGCGCAGTCTATCCGGTAGATCCTCGATGCGAGGCATGCATGTTTTCTTGACTACCAAGTTGAACTTCGGGTCCAGCCCATGTTCAAGCCTCTTTGCTGGAATAGTCACCAGAGGCGGCTTGCGCATCTCAGTCAGCAGATCGCTGTCCTCCTGTAGTTCATCGTCGCTTTCGTCCCCCATATCCAAGAGACGAAGACCGGGCTTTTTATAGATCAGTTGCTCGCTTTTAGTGACGGTCTTCGGAGGTTCCAGCCATTTGTGTAGCTGGCCATTATCCTCGATCTCGTCGTCCAGGCCAAGCTTCATGAGGTGAAGAGGAATCGGCTGCCAGTTGAGTTGCTCCTCCTGCTGTCCATCAGCTTTGTTAGTGGGAATTAGGCGTGTTTCGTCCAGTTTTCTGACAAGGAACTCGTCTTGTCGATGGTTCCATGGGGCGCTGATCAAGACGTCGTCCAGTTGGGGAACAGGATGCTTCGAAGGGCGTTCAGCGGCACATGTGTCGTCTTTCTCAAGCATGGCATCCACTTCATGCCTGGCACTTTCTGCTAGTCTGAAGAACTCTTCAGGGAGGTCCCGATCCAAAACGTCATCTAAATCATCCTCCACAGCATTGAAACCACTGCATGGGAGAAGCCCGTCAAGCGAGTCAGAATACGGGCTTTCGGCCGTACCATTCGTCCACGAAGGATGCAGAGGGTTATCCATATCCAGAATGTCAGCCGGGGGTGGCGCTATGGTGTTATCGGCATGGAATCCTTGCTCCAGCTGTGATGATGGCGACGGATCGGTGGGATGGGGTGAGGGTGTTATCGTCGTATCATCGCTAGTTTGCTCGAGATGAGAGGAAGATGAAACAACCGGGACATCGAGCTCAAGGCTGTTAGACCTCTTCCTTGCTTGCCGACTTCCAGCACCAGATGGGAATACGGTCTCTGTGTAGGTATCCTTCACTTCCGGTTTCGTTCGAGCGGCTTCTAGCAGTTGCTTGCTTGCGGCGAGTTTCTCAGGACTAATATTACTTGCCCTATCTGAGTGTATCTGATCTGTCTCTTGCATGTCTCTCTCAATCTGGAGAAGGAGATTTTCCAAGTCGACATGCTCGTCGGATCGTAACGGAAAGTCAAGATCAGGGCTCGATGGAACATACGGTTCTGGGGAGTCTTCTTCTTGCATAAGCACCGGAGTGACGGACCTTGCTCTTGGTCTCTGTCTGCGGTCAAAGAGGGGTTAATTAATGATGAGCATTACTACGAACCTGGCATGAAGGAAAAAGGCTGGTGAGAATCTCATCTTTGGATTTCTCCGTCACCTGGTTCTTCAGCAGGCACGAAAGGTGTATCTGTGCTTCTTTTGTAGTGTGGCACCTCTCATCTGCGAGCTCCTTTTCGACTCTTCGCGCGGCATTGCCAGATTGGATATCGTCCCACTCCTTCTCTAGGTCTTGGTCGGAGGTTGAGGTGGTCAATGAACATGTCTCCAAGAACTGGTCAGCGTTCCGGTGGCTTGCCACTTCCCTATAAAATCGGAGGACGTCAGTCTGATGGTCTCCGACAAGGACAGGCTCCTCGATTTTGAGCTTTCGCACACGATGACGTGCGGGAAGGATGTGGTTCCAGTCAATGACAGACTGAGGATCTCGGATACTCTCGGCGAGCAGTATACCGCCCTTCTGGCTGATTTGTAGTTTCGGCTCCAGCAGCTCGTCGGCAAACAAAGAGAAATCCGGTTCAGGTAGCCCTGCTTCATCTCGAGTCATTACCAATGGAGAACATGATAGGCTGTCGAGAAGGTCCTCAGCAGTGTGATCAAGAGCCAGCCCGTGAGAGCGAGCGTAATCAAGAACAGATGGCGAAGACATGGTAGCAGAGAATTGCAGTATCAGAGATCACAAACCAAGGAAGACATAATGAGATCAGATTGACACGGTATGAAGAGTGAGATCGTGGTGACCAGAAACTGACTTTCAACTCAAGCTCACAGGCTGTGCCAAGGTCTCCTTCCCCCGAGGAAGAAACAACGCAGGAGTGGTTCTCCCTACCTTCAGGCACAGGACTCAGGGAGATTTCTTCTTAACATCCGTGCTCTGCTTTCATGTCTCAGTCATTGTAACCCAACCTACTTGTACCATTCTTGTTGGGTTGCAGCAGACCTCATTCCTTGTTGCGCTCTCCCTTCGGGGATTTCCCAGCAAGAGAGAAGTATTCGAATCATTCCTTGTGCAACTGCAAAAATCCAGTGAGGCTTGACCAAATGTGAGACATCTTACATGTACCTTCAGCAGCCATGCGTGGCGATGAAGAGATAGAAGACTGTCATGCCTGGAGGCTGTTGTAAGGTCATTCTCTGACACAGCCTTGCTTCTAAGGCTATCAGAGTGAGAAGCTTGACATGAGAAAGACGACATCCTATTGGCCACCACTGATCACCAACGGAGGCAATAAGCTGTCGCCAGTCAAGCCTCATGCTAGAACAGACGGCTCATGTCTAGTGAACGAGGTTTCTCTTGCCGGAAGCTGCGTAAGTGGAAGGCCATGTCTTTGCGAGGGCACTGGAAGAGTGGAACGCGCGCTTTGAAGTTCCTTTGCAGGCGAGGATCTCTATGGGTCTATAGCAAAGTACTACACGCAAGGACAGTTTATCCCGGCAACCACCCCCTTGATGATCAAGACACCCCTCCGCAAACGCTGTAGATCTTCGTCTATACAAACAGCCAGATCTAACCCCCTGAATACCACGGCGATCTGTGCCGCTCCTTGAATGTCCAAACTCCAAACCTCACCCTTAAAAGCCACCGCGCCAATCCTTTAAAGACGCAACACTCTATTCCATCTCGATAGTCCCCGGGGGCTTACTTGTGACATCATACACCACACGACAGACACCATCGACCTCATTGACAATGCGTCTGCTGACTTTCTTCAGGAAGGCACCGTCAAATGGGAACCAATCAGCAGTCATAAAGTCGGTAGTCTCGACGGCGCGGAGGGCGATGACTTGGGCGTGTACACGCTTGTCACCCATGACTCCTACCGCCTTGACTGGCAGCAGCGCCGCGAACGCCTGGGAGATTTTCCTGTAAAGGCCACTGGCGACGATCTCGTCGATGAAGATTTTGTCAGCATGACGGGCGATTTTCAGCTGCGACTCATTGACTTCGCCTAGAATGCGAATTGCCAGACCTGGGCCCGGGAAGGGATGTCTCCAGACGAGATCTTCCGGGATACCCAGGTTTGTTCCTAGTGCTCTCACCTCATCTTTAAAGAGTTCTCTCAGCGGCTCGATTAGCTTGAGGTGCATATCCTTGAGCAATCCACCAACATTGTGATGAGTCTTGATCGTGGCAGAAGGGCCTTTAAAAGAAATGCTCTCAATGACATCAGGGTATAGCGTGCCTTGTAGCAGCCACTCAATCTCTCCAGCTCTTGGTGAGTTTGCCGCTTCCTCGGCCATTCTCTTGGCCTTATCCTGGAAGATCTCGATGAACGTATTGCCAATGATCTTGCGCTTCGTCTCTGGGTCTGAGACGCCTTTGAGCTTACCCAAAAACAGATCCGAAGCGTCGATCACTGTAAGATTGATACCAAGGTGCTTGGTGAGAGTCTCCTTGACCGTTTCTGCTTCATTCAGACGAAGCACGCCATTGTCGACGAGTACCGCATGGAAGCGATCACCGATGGCCTCTTGCATGAGCTTCGCCGCCACGGTGGAGTCCACTCCACCACTCACGGCGCCAATCACCTGGCCCTTTGGCCCGACCATGGCACGAATGCGCTCGATTTCCTTGTCCACAAACTTCTCCATGGTCCAGTCTTGTCGTGCTTTGCAGATTTTGACTGCGAAATTCGACAGAATCTCCTTACCTCGGGGCGTGTGCGTGACCTCAGGGTGGAACTGAATGCCAAAATACGGCTTGGACGTGCTGGCAATACCAGCAAACGGAGAGTTGCTGGTGCTGGCGATGGGATGGAAGTTCTCCGGAAGCCTGGACAGTTTGTCTCCATGGCTCATCCACACCTCGACGTAATCCTTGATACCTTCAAAGAGACGATCGATATGATCCTCCTTGCCTGTATGTCTCTCGATCTTGAGATAGGCGTGGCCGTATTCTCTCTTCTCGCCAGCCACGACGTTCTTGCCAAAATGCCAGGCAATTTCCTGCAACCCGTAGCAGATGCCTAAGACGGGCACTCCAAGCTCGAATACAGCGGGGTCCACGTGGGGAGCGCCGTCCTCGTAGACAGAGTAGGGGCCACCCGAGAGAATGATGCCTTTGGGGTGAAAGTGCAAGTCGGCGATCTTTTGAGTGCAAGGCAGCATTTCGGAGTAGACATTTAGTTCTCGAAGACGGCGCGTGATGAGATGAGAGTACTGTGACCTGGGAACGTGAGCAATCCAGCCAGATATGAGGCAGCAGGACGTCGAGCCTACCCAAAGTCAAGTACCAGGATAGTGTCGAAGGTCTTCGCGGGGGCATTTACAACAGCGGCGCCGTTGACCTTCCCATTGGTAGTGGTGGCCATGTTGACGACAGTGTGGAGGGACCTTCCTGCCGGCACAGGACCAGCGTTAGGAGTGCAAAGGAAGGGGGAAATGCTCCCAAGAGAGGTTAGAAACAAAGCGACGAGAAAGAAGATCTTGTTGCGACCATGAATTTTTTGTGGGTCCTAAAATTGGTGTACAAATTCCCCCGCATTCAAAAAGTTGACCAGGTCAAGATTCAAGCCACTTCCGCTACTGTTGTCATTGCAAGATGAGTAAACGAAAGCAGGACGGCGACGGTCAGGTGGTCAGGAATGAGGCGCCTCAAGACGACGAGAGCGGGGACGACGAAGATTTCGATGTCCTCGATGTTGAGTTCGAGTGGTTTGATCCTCAACCCGAGTTCGACTTTCACGGTATCAAGACATTGCTCCAGCAGCTGTTCGACGTCGATGCCCAACTCTTCGACTTGTCCGCCCTGACGGATGTGATTCTCGCGCAGCCTACCCTCGGCTCGACAGTCAAGGTCGATGGCAACGAAACCGACGCCTATGCCTTCCTCTCTATTCTGAACCTCCAGCAACACAAGGACAAGCCATTCGTGAGCAAGATTGCTCAGTACATACAGTCGAAGAGCAAATCAAATCCGAACCTTGCTCCGCTAGCCGAGCTTCTTTCTCAGCCCACCATTCCACCGATTGGCCTCATCCTCACCGAACGCCTCATCAACGTGCCCGCCGAGGTGGTTCCGCCGATGTACACAATGCTGCTAGAAGAGATGGACTGGGCTGTCCAGGACGGCGAGCCTTACGATTTCTCCCACTACCTGATTCTCTCTAAGACATACATTGAGGTGGCTTCCAAGCTGGACGCCGAGGATGAACAGCCAAAGAAGAAGAAAAAGTCGGCCAGTGGCTTTTCCGAGCCAATGTATTTCCATCCCGAAGATGAGGTACTTCACCGCTACGCTGTTTGCCATGGTGGCTTCGATTACTCGATCCGCCAAGACGACGGGCACTCGGATTCGAAACGGGCCTTTCAAGAAATGGGAATCAAGCCGCAGGGACATGCCACACTGATTGCAGCTGACAAGTTCAAGGATGCGGTTCAGAACGTCGCGGAGTACCTGAAGCCATCCTGATCACTCCCACTTTGTTCCTTTGAGTCTCTGCATAAGATACTCCACTTCGACCACTTTGGTCAGCGGAATGACGACCTGGGCATACATTTTGACCACAGCCTCCACGTTGATCTTCTCCTCCCCACCAACACCGTTCGATGTCAAAGAGGGGTCCTTGCCGTATGTTTTGGCCTTCAATCGCAACCTCTCAAGCACCTGTTGCTCTACTTTTTCGTTGGTGATGGCGGCGTCGATGCCCTTGCGGTCCTCGGCCTTGATGAGCTTGACAAATCGTTCGGTCTCGGACTGGAATTTGCTCTCAGCCACGAATTTTCCAAAGTGTATGCGCCGGCTCAAGGCCTGCAGACAGGCCACATCGCAAGTTGCGGCACTACCGTAATTCTCCTTGGCCTCACCACGGTCCGCTCGGCCAAATTTCCGACAGGCTTCAGGCAGCACCTCGTTGATATACTTGTCTTTAATCTCGGGGTTGACATTGACATCGTTGTCGTGGAGGATCTTGGGATATGCTATTGGCTTGAGCACGGGTCGCTGCAGGACCTGAGGAAAGAATGGATACTCGTCTGGAGCATCGTATCGGCGAACAAGCGAGTGTACGCGCTCGGTCTCGGACAAGAGATAGTCGCAGAGGGAGAGATTGGCGGGTAAGGCAAGGTTGCTAACAGGTATGGGAAGTGCCCCAGCGTCGTAGATGGTGGCATTGAGGGGGAACTGGACTCGTTCAATTAGATGGAAGGTGATTGTGTCTTCGAGACGGCTGCAGTTCAGTCAGCGTCTGCTTGATTTCGTCTGTGCACGAGACCAACATCAGTTGAAAGCGAATATTAGCTAGATCCAAAGCCTTGGAGGCATCCGACAAGTCTATCGCCGTGTCCATGTCTAATAGTGGCATGAGTTGGTGTCGAGTTTTGCTCCGCTTCCTGTCCAAGATCCCAGCTCAGTATCTCCCACAGAACGACAAGAAGGAAAGCTTGCGTCAAGTCATAGTGCCAGTCTTATATGAGAGGTATTCTTCCGGTAAGCAAAGGGAGAGTCACCTTGCGATGATTTCCGCAGTCACAGCGGCGTGCCTGAAAAATACGTCACAGACGAGCTGCTCCAAGTCCGTGTGCTTCAAAGGTTGAGCTCCACCATCCCGAGGACCGACGGCAGCATTATCCAAACGTTGCGTTCTGTGAAGTCCCAAAGTCCGCTATCATTCAGGAAAACCACTCATCGTCCCCCTCGACACGCGGACGAGCAGAAATCTGACCCTCTGGACGAGAACACCGGCAATAGTAGAATCGCATGGCCGGGTCGCGACCGCATAGTCGCACTCCCTCGCAGACACGAAGACCAGCCGGAGATGGAGACGACTCAGTACTCGGCGCGGTCCTCGACGTAAGTAACCCAGTTCCACCGGATGCACGTAGGGGCTATGCTTGTGCTAATGCTGGCGATAGACGCGCCAGCTGGAGGCGTTTGGCCGTAAGGTGACGGCCACTGCGAGCCACCTCATGGGCGACAATACGTCGACTCACTATCCGACCGCCATGACTAGCCTCTCAAGACAGATGCGACGGCCCGGTATACAGAGGGCTGTCTTCTCCTTCTCCCAGCAGGCGCCTTCTGAACTTGTGCGGGCAAAGCTGTCGACCAGCGAGATTGCGCATCGAGCCCTTACCTACATATCCGAAGAGCATCTACAGAACATCCCTGAAGACGATAATACCTACTCCCTATTCCAGGGCTTCCAGGCTTCCATTCCTGAGAGCGAGAATGAGCACCGGAAAGGACATCGCCGGCGGAGTTCGAAGCAGCACAGACTGCTGGGCGCTGGAGATGTCGAAGAAGATGGTCCGCCCACAATACAGAACCTCAAGAAGAAGAGAAACACAGTCAATCATCGGCTGGAGATGATGGCTATCCGCAAGAATATGTGTACCACCGAGATCACAGACATTGACAGGAAGCTGGCCAATCTTCAGCACATGCGCAGGCTCGCGGTCGACCGGCTCACCTCGCTCGAGCAGGATGAGGCGGAGGTGGAGCATGAGCTGGCAGAGCTGGACAACAAGATAGAGGAGATGCAAGAAGAGCTGGAAGAGCAGGGCGAAATGGATCAGTCCACTAGCACCATCAACCCGCCTCGAGTCGCCACGCCCGAGTCCGAAGCAATGGACGCATCGTTTATGTCCCAGTCCATCTACGACAAGCTGCCCAACTCTGCCTCTCCAAAGTCAAAACGCCGACCTAAACCCACGAAGAGAAAATCCATGCCAGTACTCCATGAACACCTTGAAGCTGGCTCCCATATCAAGACCCTTCCTGCCCACAACGACGCAATCACTGCCATTGACTTTGACCAACCTTTTGGCACGATGGTTACTGCCGCGCTTGATGATACGGTCCGCGTGTGGGATTTGAATCTAGGCCGTTGTATGGGATTCCTGGAAGGGCACACTGCGTCGGTCCGGTGTCTCCAGGTCGAGGATTATATCGTGGCAACTGGCGGCCTTGACGCTACGATCAGGCTGTGGGATCTCAGCCGTGCCAAGTATGAGCCGTACGAACATAAAGTGTTCGAAAATGGTGACGACAAGGCGGATGATGATGAGGACGATGGCCTAGGTTTTGGCAACGAGGGTGAAGACGCTCCTCCTCCCCCTCCACCTGACGCCATGGAAGACTGTCCACTCTTCGTGCTCGAGGCGCATGTCGACGCAATCACGGCATTACATCTCCGTGGTAAAACTTTGGTGTCTGGGTCGGCGGATAAGACCCTCCGGCAATGGGATCTGGAGAAAGGGCGATGCGTGCAGACGCTCGACGTACTTTGGGCAGCAGCTCAAGCCAGCTCGACAATGAACGATTCCGACTCCCAGTGGCGGCCGACAGGGCGCTCGGCAGATACCAATGCCGATTTCGTCGGAGCCATCCAATGCTTCGACGCAGCACTGGCTTGTGGCACGGCGGATGGAATGGTCCGATTATGGGATCTGAGAAGTGGACAAGTCCACAGGAGTCTGGTCGGACATACCGGCCCTGTGACGTGTTTGCAATTTGACGACACTCATCTCGTCACGGGCAGCGTTGACAGGAGCGTTAGAGTAAGTTTGCGCAGCCCGCAATTTTTATGCATGAACTAATGTCTCTCTTGCAGATCTGGGATCTCCGCATGGGCACTATATTCGACGCTTATGCTTACGACGCGCCGATCACGAGCATGATGTTCGACTCGCGCCATATCGTGTGTGCTGCGGGCGAGGACGTGGTCAAAGTCTACGACAAGGCCGACGGGCGACATTGGGACATCGGCGCTGGTGCCAACACCAGCGTGGAAGATCGCATGGCTGGCACGAAGACAAGTATCGTCGACAAAGTCAGGCTGAAGGACGGATATCTGATCGAGGGAAGAAAGAGCGGTGAAGTCGGCGTATGGAAGTGTTGATTGGTGCCCCACGAGTTGGAATATACACAGTAAAAGTACGATTACGTGGCATCGTCCCAGGGATTGTGGACTGGCTGCTGACGGGGTGATCAGTCGGGCCAGACGCCCTCCATGTCCTTCTCATTCTCGTTCTTCCTCAACCGTTTGCTGTGTCGCTCAAGCCACCGTACATCCCAACATAACAAGCAACGATCTCGCCGCCATTTTCGCATCGAACACCGGCTCCGGCTCCGGCAACATCGAAACCATGATAGGCTTCGTCTCCACCTGACTTTCCACCGCCCGCTCAGCCCTCAACAACGCCACAGCCCGTCTACACCTCCACAGCACATACTTGCCCTGCGTTGATATCTCCCGCTCCACCTTCTCCCTCAACTTCGTGTACGCGGACTTGTAGACAGTGAGCGCCCGCACGGGACTCCACTCCTGAGCACCCCCATAATAGCAGAGCGAATCCCGCCATTCCTTTCGCGAGCAAGCGACCAGTTTCCGCCATTCCTTCTCCGTGGCATCCACAAGGGAGAGGATCTCCACGGCGGTATCTTCGCTCCTGAGCAATCGATCGACCAGCGTTAGTTGTGGTGCTGTTGTCTTGGACCCTCGATTCTGCTCGCGCTCCCGCTCGAACAAGGGCCTCACGAATTCCTCGAGGAACGCCGCCTCACTGAACGGATACGGTAATGGTAATGGTGATGATGATTGACTCATACCCATATCTATCTCGGGGCCGGGCTGTCCATCTTCGGGCAGAAGCTTCGCGGGACTGCCCGCGAACCGAACGGATTGTACCAATGCCGCCAATTCATCATCGAGACCCCCCCTCTCCTCGAACGGGTTGGTGAAACTCGCCATCTCTCTCCGGTAGTCAGCCCACGCCTTTTCGCTCGTGTTCGACACGCGCAATTCGCGCGCAGGGACTTCGGGACGGACATGCGACTCCACGCACTCTGTGGGATGATCTGAGCACTGGCGCGGGAACTCGGGCTCTGATGGGCTGGAACCGTCATCAACGTCCATAAGGTCCTCCGTGACGGCCACGTCCTTGTGCCCGGCCTTCAGCAGATGCCGGGTCCAATTGACGTACGACGCTCGCGCCTCCCTTTTGCCCTTCGCGATCGCGGTTTGCCCTTTCGAGGCTAGATCCGTCGCCCAGGAATCCACGTCTTTGGGAGCCACGTGAAAGCGTGCGGTGACGACGCCCTGGCCCTCCTCGGTATCGGTTGCGGTCATTTTGAAGCCCATTGCCCGGGCGTCCTGCTTGATCTCATCGTCGGTGAGCTTGTCGAGCGCTGGGAAGGAGAGCATGTTGAAGCGATAATGGTCCGCGAAACGGGGGTTGTATACGGGTTCGTTGAGCTCGAAGTGCGACAGAATCTTTGTCTTGGTTGATGGCATTGTGGACGGTGGAGTCAATGGATTTGGCAACTAGCTATATTGTCCCGCTGGGTGATGCTGGGTCAATTGATCTGGCAGCCAGCTACGTTCTCTTCGTGCTGGAGGACGCTGCCGTCGTCAAGAGCGTGAGCGTGACCCTGTGGTGACGTGGGATATTAAACACTGAGAAGGCAATCCGGCCGGGAATGAGTGAGTGAGTTGTGAGAGGCACATGGCCACGATGGCCGATGCCATCGTTTTATATGTTGTCGAGGCGGCGACAAGGTCCTCATGGGGGCTCGGGGTACGCACGGGTTGGCCTTGGGAGCGTCAAGGTCTTCAAGGGGGTTCTGGCGGTTTGGCGTGGACGACCTCAAGCTCCTCATGGCAATACTCGCGGTCGGGCGTTGGGGCGGCGTCAAGGTCCTCATGTGGATACTCGCTGTTTGATTTCAGAGCAAGTACCTAGGTAGGTTATACTGAACCACGCGGAACGAAACTTTATTCTTGTTTTCTATGGCGAGGAACTTTGGCGACGGCTACTGGGACGCACGGACTCGCTGTTGAGTGTTCAGCACCAGCACCAGCACCAGCAGCAACAGGGCATCGGGGGGGGGGGGGGAGCACATGGCCAAAATAATCTCTTGTCGCGCGACGGACATGTTTACTTTCTGGCAAATTCTACTCTACTCTAATCTGGCATAGCCGTTGAGACGGAATGGGTGCTCTAGGAGTCAGGGTCTGTCTCCTTTCGTACCAATATCTATCTAGCTGATCACTGTACTTACTCCAACGAACAAACAAAACAGCCCTAGTCGCCGACGTTGCCGATTTTGTGGTTGGGAAGGTGACCGACTGTCCAGCTGGTCTTAAGTCACGCACCCTGCTTCGATGAAGTCCGCACTCACGCCGAGCAGAATCCTCGTGCTGCATAACAGCCGCTGGGCGTCATGAATCTACGTCCCGGTGGTATAGCACCGCTTCTCAGTCTGTCTTGCCTACTATGCGCGATTTCAGGCCTTCCGAACCACAGCGAAAGCGGTGAGTCGCTCTCCAGAGTCGGAAATGGACCTTGCCATAAGGCAGGCAGAGCATACATATCAGACGTCTGATCTGGACCTTGAGCATAGTGCAAGACACGGATACCGGCTTTCCAGAGATATGACGAGACAAAGAACGTGACCTTTAGCTCGGGTAGGCACTTTTGCCTTCTGGTCTGATTAGGCTGTGGAAACTGAGGCATTCCTGTTCTTGCGCTAAGATCCTGGACGCAGACGCAGATGCAATTTGCCCGAACACACGTGGAGTGGAAGCAGCGTGCAGATTTTAAGTGTGTGTATGCTGTTTGCTTCGGGAATTGACACTCAGGCACGTCTATTCTTGCGCTGAGATCTCAGAGGCAGATGCACCTTGACCACATACGAAGAGTGAGTGGAAGCGGTGTGCAGAGTTGAAGCGTGTGTTTGCTGTTTGCTCCGGCCATCTGCGCTCCAAAGGACGCGCGAGGGTGGCGTGGTTCGCTTCGGTTGGGTTGATAGGGATGTTATGATCGGTCCGGTTTCTCATGGTATGTGTATGCCCGCTGGGCATCTGAGATGGACGGTTCAAACCATGGGGAGGATTCTGATGCTCGCATCTGCAGTTGCGCTCACCGCAGAAATGATACGTCTTGTCAAAACCCCGTACTCAACCCTGACATTCTGGCACGGCAGACGAAGGGATATATCTGAGACGATCCCTGGGTGATCCCACGTGCTGAGATTCATTCCTTCCACCGTACATGACTGCCACTCTCACCCATACACTCACGTCTCGGCTCTGAAATCATGACGAGCTCCGACGCTCCCATCCCTTCAGCAGCGAATGCAGACTCATCCATGGAATTAGACACTCTCGACGTCAAACCGACCGTCATTGGCATCTACGGCCTCCCAGGTTCGGGCAAGACATACCTAATCGACCAATTGAAGCGACAACTCAGTGCAGAAGACTTTCTCTTCTACGACGGCTCCGCCGTAATTGCTGCTGTCGTGCCAGGCGGTCTCGAGGCGTTCTCCAGAATGGCAGACCAAGGGCAAGCGCAAGCGCGAGAGTTCGCCATCCATCACATCGGCAAGGAATGCATCGAGACCAAGAAATCGGCAATCGTGGCTGGCCATTTCATGTTCTGGCCGAAGACTAACGATGGAGTTGAAGGATCGCGATCTCCCCCGCCGGTATGGACTCCCGGCGACGCAGTCACGTATACCCACATTCTCTATCTGGACTGTCCCGTGAGCCTACTCATGGAGCGTCGTGACAAAGATGCGGACAGGGAGCGGCCGCAAATGATGAAATGGCAGCTGGGGAGTTGGCAGCATGAGGAGAAGACCCAGCTCCGCAAGCTCTGCTATGATCTCGGGATCTTGTTCTCGCTCGTCCACGCTAAACCGCCCTCAACGTTGCTTGACAGAGCCATTGCGCTGGTCTCTGACTTCGTCAACCATAGTGAGCAGGAAAACATGCTTCGCGCAGAACGCCGACTGGATGAAGTGGTGGTACATATGCTTCGCAAAGATGCGGATGAACCGGTGCCTGCGATGGAGCGCATGCTCGTCATTGACGGTGATCGCACCCTTACTGCTCAGGATACGGGCTCTTTGCTGTGGAATCTAGCCAGGAGAGAGCTGCTCGTGACATTTGCGCTCGAGAGAGATCCTCTGAAAGCGATCTTTGGCAGCCCAATGGGATACTCATACACTGCTTTTCGCCAGGCCACATTGGTGTATGAAGAAATGAGTGGGTGGGCCGAATTCGACGGACTTGTCAACCAGGTTGCAGAGGCGACAGATCTGTACGATGACTTCGTGTCCCTCCTGCGTATTGTCGCAACACAGCGCCATATGGGAGCAATCCTGGTAACCTGCGGCCTACGCCAAGTATGGGAGAGGATAGTGGCTGTAGCGGGCCTCTCTGACAGCGTCAAGGTCATAGGTGGAGGACGTCTTACCGACGAGTTTGTCGTCACCGCGGCAGTCAAGACAGCCCTCGTCTCTCGTCTGCAGAATGTCTACTCTTTGGAGACTTGGGCATTCGGCGACAGCATCCTCGACCTCGGGATGCTGGCCGCCGCGAATCAGGCCATCGTCGTGGTAGGTGATGCCAAGCGTCGGAGTAAAATCGATGGAGGCGGCCTTGAGGATGGCACTCGACAACGGCGATTTCAAAGGTACGCCTGTGTGTCAGGTCGTCATGGCGAGCGGCGCTCCACCTCGACTGAGCGCCACTACACTGCCGGTAACCACTTTGACAGATCCAGACTTCATGCAGGCAATCCTCTCGCGTCGGGCGAACGGCACTTGCGTCAGTGTCTATATCCTGGAAATGACCAACGAGAAGGCAGCCAAGATTCTCATGACGCCGACACGCGATGCATCAGTCGCCGGCCCGGCTTTGAGAGAGACACATCGCCGGGCGGGATGGTTCTTGGCTAACAGTTTTGTGCCCACCATCGTCGGCGTGGAAGAGTATCAGATCCCGCATGTGCAGGGCAATTCCACCGCTGGCCACCACTTGCTGGATGAGTCGCGCACCATGGTTGTTGCACTGATGCGAGGTGGCGAACCTATGGCGTTGGGCGTTAACGATGCGTTCCCCCTCGCTGCGTTGCTGCATGCCAACCAACCTGAGGATATCACAAAGAAGCATCTGGAGATCATGAGGACTATCATCCTCGTCGACTCGGTGGTCAACAGCGGGAAGTCCGTGCTCGAGTTCATCCAACGTGTCTGGAAATTGGCGGATAGCGGCCGCAAGGATGATGGGAAGGAGCATGGCACGATCCGAATCATCGTCGTCGCAGGAGTGGTCCAGTCGCAGGCGGTCGACAAGATTAGGTCAAGTTGGCTGTCGTTGAAGCATGTCAACCGTTTAACTCTGAGTCTGATCGCTCTGAGGCTGTCGGAGAACAAGTTTACAGGCAAGGGAGGCACCGACACAGGCAATCGGTTGTTCAATACGACGTCTCTGGATTGAGTCGGGAACGAACGCGACATGCCGGCATCGGCGTGTCGGCTCGAGTGAGGGATTCGGGCCGTAGAGCTGGTGTGCCGCATCTCACTTCAGATCTCTTTCAGGATATCCCACACAGTAGTCGTGCAGAGGAGCAGTTAACGAATAATGAATGTCAAATGTCATGCCTTCACAATTAATGTTCCGTAGAAAAGATTCATGCCCTTCTTTTGACAAAAGTACTCAGTGGGAGGCGAGGACCGCACACCATACGAGGCAAGAAGTAAAAGCCAGTAGTCCGAAAAGTGGTGCAGTCGCAGTGAGGTTTAGACGAGCAGGAATTCAGAGCTCAAAAGAAGAGTGAGGAGCTCATGAACTGTGAGGCACAACCCCGGAACAGGCATCCGAGTTGAATTTAAGCTTAAAATCTAAGTTTAGAGCCGCGTTGGTCTGCTAACCATCCAAGGCTGCCCTGAGAAAGGAGTTCCAGCCGCCGACTCCCCTAGTCGACAGAACGTGAAATTGTTGACCCTCCATCAAATGTACCCGGCCGGTACTGGTCCTGGGGTTTGCGACGGAAGGAGGAAAGAAATGAAGGTCCGAACGATTCGAAGTCCTAGATGAGCAACCGCATGCTTGTCGGCTTGACACTCGTTTATTCAGGCCTTCGAAAGTGAATATCCTCCAACTGGCCATTGATGCGAAAGGTGGGGGTCCGATGCAACTCTGTGGGCAATGATGGTCACCAGCGATAGGTACTGCATGCATCTGATATCGTTTTCTTGACATACATTCTGATTCGAGGAGCTCAAGGACCTAGGCGTTGGCATTGTCGTTGGTATTGGCTTTGGTACATAGCTATGGGCGTTAGTAAAAACGTCGACATTGCCCCTGACTCCGCTCTCGTGTCACTCGCCAGCGCTGCAAGTCCGTGTATCTTGAGAAGCAGATTCCCCTTGCACATCCACCGCCACTTTCTCCTCGATGGCCGACAGCGGCGAGCCGATACTAAAGTCGATGGTGGTGTCTATGTGGATTCCCGTGGTGATGAGGGTGTTAATGGTTGCCTTCGTGGCATTGCGAGAGGCATGTGGTGAAGAAGAAGTACAAGTGCCTCTGCAGACAGTATTCTCAAGCAGGGCGGTGGAGAGACCCATTGTGAGGAAGGTGGTATCGGGGTTTTTGAACTTCAGAAAGGAAAGTCGTGGAACAGGTCCGTCATGTACTGCAAGTAATGTAGCTGGAGCAAGACAAGTGCGCACGCAATGTCCGTATATTAGCTTTCCGGCGTGACGGTCCTCAACGAGCTGCCTGTCAACTGAGTCACTGGGTGACTGCCCAGTACCTTGAATGGCAATTACCTCCTCGAGACGCACAGACCCTCGTCGACTAGATTGTGGCAGGAACTTTGGCTTTCCAGGGAACATCTTGACGAAGACCTTCACCAAGATATCAAGTATTATTTCGGCGTGTGCCCTTGGTGTCGCGACCTTCCTCTTTCGTGCTTGGCCTTCCAGCTGAAGCCTGGTTCTACCTCTTGCTCTCTCCATGGCAATCCTCTTGAATGTACTTTTGTACACGCTCGAGATTAAGGTCACCGATTTTAAGTCTTCAGTACGTTCTCTCGTTTCCCTTGCTACCCAAAGTCCTTCTGACACATGGTCATAGTGCCATCATCACAATGACAGCCATCAGAAATACCACTTCCCCAGTTGATACTATACTTGGAGGCCAGACGAGATAGAAGCAGCAGATACCCTTCTCCTTCTCGTGAGCGACCGCAACCTCCAGGAAGAGCAAGCTGGGTATGCGCTCTTGCGGCTACGTTGCGGAGTATCGTTCGTGCTGGTGGAGCAGGAGAGCAATGTGGCCGGAAGTAGCAGGTCGGAGGCACCCCCGAGGTTGATGCCCAAGATGTCTATCGGACGTGGCGTGGTTCAGAAATCGATCATCGACAGCAACAGCCAGGTCGATGGAACTGCTGTTTGGCAAGGCACGTAATATCGACAGCGAGGGCCTCGAGAAAGATCCTGCGTCTGTCGTGCAAAGGCAAAGTCGAAGGCCTGCCAAAATGGTTCGTGGTGAAGGAGTCCAGACGGACCTCAGGCGGGGCAAGAAGAGTCCGTTTCTTGGGCTTGTCATAATTGGCTAGAATGGGACAGTCGACATGCTCAGCCAGGGTCGAAACGAGGCAATGATAGCGCGTTCTGCGTGTACACCTGGCCGATTGTTGAAATTATGACAAGACTTGGACAGCCGCATGTCTCGTATAATCCTGACTCATTCGAGATCCCGAAAGAACCGATGACTGGTGCGGACCAGACTAGTACCTGGTTAGCACTTCTCAGTAAGAAAGACAGAATAGGGAGACTTATAAAAAGAAGTGCGCCCACCGTCCGAAGAGCATGTAAGCATCCAGGAACGACGAGCACCAGGACCATCTGTCCATAGCCTGCACGAAACATATCGACATGCTTTCCGCGCTTCTCGAGGCAAATCGCCCAACTCCCGTCCATGGTCCGTCACTTCGAGTAAACCGGAAAGTCGTCCTCGCCAGCCCAGAGCAAGAGCATATCCATCGCGGCGACCAAGAGTAGGATTGTAACAGAGAATCTCTCAGAAAGCAAGATCGGACCTTGGCAGCGACAATGAACAGCAGGCGACAAGAACAGACAAGCCAAAGCTTTGATCCTCACTCGAGAGAGGTCCTGTCTCGATCACCTGGTGACTCCGCTCATCTTCGTGATGCCTCCGGCTTCTCAAGCAAGGTGATTAAGTCTCTGTGGAACCTTCCCGCTGGTAATTTGGAAGCTTTGCAGGACTTTTCTATAGCTCCACTGACTAGACTTTCAGGACTTGTCGCAACAAGAGTGTTCCCTGGACCCAGGAGGAGGTTGGGATCATGCAGCAAGATGCAGTCCACTTGATACAGTCTTCGGTAAGGATCAGAAGGCGCGATTTCTTTCCAACATTGTGGTAGCAGCATAAAGTCAAGCACTCCGCAGGCAGCTTCGGGCAGTCGTCCCTCTGAATCCATCCCTCGGCCGACGATATATCCCACGCTTCATCCCTACGTGGTCGGTAGAATCCGATTCAAATGCAACATCCAAGCCCTGTCAAACAGGAAAAGATGCCTCTCTCGTGTGTGATACAGTAACCTCGGAGACAAGATTTTGGTTTTCTCTTCCGCAGATTTGAAGGACATTCGCCATTTCTCAGGCTAGGACGCACAAAGAACATCATAAAAAATCGTCCTCTTCCCACTCGAGAGTGAGGTTCATCACGAGTCCAAAAATCCCGAAGAATCAAGGACACGCTGATTCGGCGCTCTCAGTTTTCACCATGATGCAACATGATGCTGATGATTAACGCGGCTGATCGGGATCTTCCGTAGAAGCTCACATCTGGTGGCGGGTGCCTCGACGTGCGTTCGGTGAATGAGCTGCCGTGGCTCGCACGGTGTGAAAGTGGGAGCAGAGTTTGAAGAGGAGTCGCAGTGTGAAACTGGTGTTGACTTTCGTGGAAAGCATGTGCTCAGATACAGCCGGCCGAAACAGACAAAGTGCCAGGGTGGAAAGACATGCCGATATCGAAGTCTTGCAGAAGTGTCCGAGACCTGACAGCGAGTAACATAAACTCGGTTTCCGGCCAGTGGATCCCGTCGACTGCAGCGAGGACTTCCAGCAATGTCGTGTGTGGGCTGCATTATCTTTGTGCTCTAGGCATATACCCCGGTGCACGTATCTTCCACGAACAGTCATCTCCGCTTTCTCTTAACTCGCGTTCCACGCTCATATCGAGCAAAACATCCCATACATGATCACGTATACTGTTCAGCGTTGGAATGCCGACGCGCGGTCCCTCAGGGACGCTTACCAACCAGACGCATGGCGAGACCGTTTTTCACTGCCCTCGAAGGAGAGCTCTGAACGTCGCACTTTTCTTTTGACCGCACCCAATCCAGCCCACCGTTCTCCGCCGGAGCAGATAGTAAGCAGGAGGCACGCGGATGAAGCTAGTCAGAAACTCGACAACTTGACCGCGACACTTTGAACCGACAGATATCTTAGGGTTAGGTTCCGATACGCATAACACTAGCACCCGATATCCCTCCTGTTGCTTTGACAAGTCCGTGCTATGAGGCTCAAGCGGTTGGAGGGCAGGTACTAGCTGCTCAAGAGCTCAACTTGTATCGGGAAACTCAGTGGAGATTGAACTGTATGAGGGCCCGTGAGGGGCGAGAGGGTTGAGGATGAAGCATTCGAATCCGGATGGTGGTTCTCCTGCGACGTTGCTGGGACCAGAGTGAGATATACGGAGAGAGGCTTCGAGAACAGGGATTCAAACATCGTGCCGAAAGAGATTCCGAAGTGCTGGGGACTGGCTGCCGCTCGTCGACAATGTTGTTGCCATGTTCAAGTGGCTGCAGCACAAGCAGCAATTGAACTCGAACGCGTCGCGTGGCAGAAGCTTGTCCCTTTCCGGTTAGAGCACAGTAGCCAGATTGCACTGTCACGTGATTAGTTACTTTCGAACACTCCCGCCTGTTCGTCTCATGTCTCTTCTCTTCTCTCCTCCTCCGTCCTCCTCTTAACCAACTCACTGCTTGCAGAACTTCTTCGATAGCATCCACCCGCTGAAGAAGCGCAGGTGCTCTCCAAGCTTGCTTCGAGCCCAATGAAGAATGGGCTCTTCCAAGTGACACCGCTCTCCATGGATCAATCGATCACCACGTCGAATCCCACAACCGATTGACTTAATTGTGTTTGGTAGATTTTGCCCTGCGCACTGCTTGATTTCCCCGCATCGGTGCTCGCCTCTCTTTGATCATATTGTCAGCCGCATTGATCTGCTCAAAGCCGCATCTGGAGCTATCATTCTGCTCCAACGCAGATTTCATCCTCACTCTTTCCGCTTTGATTCTCCCCAAATCCTCTCTGACCTTCTCTAGCACCCCGGCGACGGGCTCTACTATACCATACTTCCTCGGGTACTCTGACATTGGTGCTGTAAAGCTCATTATTGTGGGTTTGGAATGCATTGGTCGATGAAGTTGCTTAGCATGGTCTGCTGGGATGATCCTGACGGGCCTCGTTGTATGTTTGGTACTTGATCAGAGCTGTTGTCAGCCTTGTCGCTTGCGAAAAGGAAATCCACTCCTCGGTCTGCACACCTAGTTTGCTGACCTGCCACAGGCTGTACCGATTTCGAGAGGCTTACCAACTCTCGGCTCTGGTGTTTTCGTCCTTGATCGCTGGTACTGCCGCCGCTTCTGACTCTGGATGGCTCAATATGCTCTTCCACTAGCTGTGCAAAATGAACACCTCTCCGATCGTTGCTGACTCTCTGCGATGCTGCAGTCTGTCGGGTAAGCGCCGACTGTTACCACTCGCCGACCGCCGAGGCTGTGGCTGTGGCTGCGGCTGCGGCTGCGGTGGCGGGCTGGAAACAGTCGTGATTACACAAGAAGGACAGCCAGTCATCGAGCGGCCACACGACGTAGTCGACACCAGTACTGTCATGTCCTTCAATGACGCATCTGTTGATGAAGATGCTCTCCGAAAAGCACACCTCGTGGGCACAGCGACAAGCCTGTGCCACCTCTGCCAGCTGAAGTTACCGAGGTCGGCCTTGAGGAGCTGCACCACATTCGAAGATGCATAGAAGCAGTCACGTATCTTTGACAGTGGGTAACTGACAAGCTGGTCATCCCCAGCTGTGTAATGGCCAATCGTTCTGCACAGCGTCCGTGCGCGAATGCCCCTCAAGCGCTGAGACGCGGCCCTACCAAAGGCAGCCACACCCACGGCCAGGGTCCCCAGGCCTTTCCCGATGCGGGAATTGAGAAATCGTCTGGGCGGCCCGCAATTCTCCCGCACCATTGCGCAAGGCTGACTCGTCTTCTTCAATATCCCTCGCTACCATTCCGTCTCTTCAGCCAGCGGATTACTCCTTGTCGAGCCCCTCCCACCTTTCAAAGTCATAAGCGCCGAACGACTGGAAGCCTTCAAACAGCGAGACGTCCTGGCCTACAGGCGGTCGCGGCATGGACCAAGCGGCTGACCCTCGTCAGGTCAGACGCAAAGCTAAATTCATTCACCAAGATCCGACCTCCTCACAATATAACGGGAGGATTAGTAGCGACGATAAGAGAACGCTTGCAACTCTGCTCCCCACCCTCCATGAAAGAGGTGTCAATAGAGAAACGATGCTTGCGGAGTGCAATGCTGTCCTTGGGACGCCAATCACTTTCGCCCAGTTGGACCGGCAAAGGGCGAAATTCAATCTGCATACGTACCGAAAACAGCGCCTTGGGCCTCTGCCGCAGACACAGTTCCCCAATATCATAGCGCCTTCAGTGCCTCCATCGTCTAATGAGGAACGTCTGGAGAGGAATGAACCAGGATCAGACTCAGAAACCTTGAGTGCATACCCGGCAAACCAACTTCAACACCGAGCTGCGCAAGACGCGCAACAACTCGACGGCGAAGTGTCTTTCTCAGGTATGGACTTGTTGAATGACAGCTGTGACGACTACGATGATGTGGCTCCGCAGCGTGAATTCATAACAGATCTCGTATCAATCGACATGGGAAACTCAGCGATGCTGGGAATCCGTGGGGTCTCGCCGAAGCCATCACCAAGTGATGCTGGCCCATTGTATTACACCAATACCGCGAACTCGTCCCACTCTGACATGTATGGTCGCCCAGCTCCCCCTAGACTTGGGCTATGGTTTGTGGCGAGAGCCCCTCATACCTGGCTACACCAAGAACTCGTTTATTATGTTCAGTCACAACTACTCGTTCGCATCTACCTGAGGCTGCTGGGCCAGGGTGCTACGGCAACGGCTATTGCACAGCTGTTCCAGATCGGAACACTGCTACGTATAGTCAGAGCCTTCGACCAGGCTTTTGACCTCTTCTTGATTCTATTCCGACACTTTTACATCTGCAAGTCGATTAATGCACGTTCAACACACATGACCTTTGCGGCATTGGGCTGCGCACACACTGCCCGGAGCATTCTTAAAGTCCGAGTCGCGTCTTGCATGGTTCAGCACGTTCGTAGGAGTGCCCCTTATCCAACATTCCCTCCTGCATACGGCATATGTTGCACAGTCGCCTCGCTGGAATGGGCTATCATCTCGGAACCAGACTTACCAATGTTCCGCCCGCCGAGCCACCAAGGATTGCAGCAGGGGACATTTTAGGGCTTTTTGGTTCCCTTGGTTTAAGTCATTCAAAACACCACATGGAGTCGGGCAATACTACGTGCGACAGACGCTCTCGTTTATCCGACCCTCTACATGCTGTTCTAGATTCTGAACATCTGGTGGCTCTATTCCCGGAAGGCATGTTCCTGGAAGGCATGGCAATTGCGATTTCCATTACGGAAGAGCACCTGCATGAGCTCGACGTCCTGACCAGAGATACATGGAAACATGGTGACACCTTCGAAACAAGGTCGATCAGCTGCATCGGCAAAAGACTTGCTTGCACGTGTCTCAAAGAGTATGCACGGAATTCTGCGGCGGAGGCAGTGTCAGCCAGCGATCAGTTTCCGGGTGGCGACAGTTTTCGCGTCCGGTTAGAAAGCGTTACTATTGCTCTCGCCCCATTTCTGTTACTCAGAGAGACGGGCAAAGTCGAAAATATGGTCGACTTCTTCCAGGCCGCCAGGCAATATTAACGTCTTGTTGAGTCGGATCCGGAAACACGGGTCCGGTTTATGATTTCCTGTTGGACTGCATTGAGTCTCGGGGTTGCCGATTCCGCTGACCCATCTCTTCCCCCAGAAGCGGTCGTGGAGATCTGCGCATCCGTTGCCTGTGTCGAAGTCCCTAGCGATGATTCGACTATGAGTACGTCGTCCCGGAGTTCAGACAAAGGAGCACCTTCACGAGAGGGAGAGCCCTTGCGCGAAACAAGGCCTCCAGGACATCTATTACCACATTCTCCAATCACTCCTCCGGCTGCGACCGAGCTCAGCCTGGTGGAACCACCGCCTGTGAGGTCCCCAACCCCCTTTCCAGCTTTAAGCGAAGTTGCTCCATTGAGGGAGATAGGTGAACGGTCTTCATTTTCCGCCCCAGCGCTCGCCAGGACGTACAGCCCTTCAAGCAGTTCGAGTCTCCGATCTTTCGTCTCCATGGCGAATCGTTTGCGTAGAAACGGTCAAACGCTCTCCAATGGTGGTCACTGGCAGGATGCCGCGTCCGAGTCTGGGACCTCCCACAGCAGCTGGAGATTCAACTTTCATGAGTATCGATTCTGTGAGTAGTTTGTCTACAGGTCGTAGTGTGCGGAGTGCTGTATCGGACGTTGAGATGACGGGCTGAGGAGGCTGATGACGATGGTTTCAACTGCAGTTCGGAGTGCAAGGTGCATTCTGCAGCGGATTCACTTTCAACACTATATCGCGATTCTGCCATACGCTGCATCTACCCCTCGCCCCTGCCCCCTTCCCCCTCCCTCTGTTCTCCCGCCCGTTGGATTCCGCTCCCTCATCGTCCTTTTTCACTTCCTTTCAACAACACGGATCCCCTGACTGGCCTGATGTCCAAGACCTTCCACCACGCCGGCAGCCTCCAAGCGTGCCATACGCACGAGTTCCTCAATCTCTCCGGCCAAGGCATCCACGTCACCATCATGCTGATGATAGTGATGAGGATCACCACGGTGATGCGAGAAGGGCATCATGCCCACAACATCTTCGCCATGCGGTCCGCGAGTACTGGCTTGTGATTCCCGTTTCGGTTGGTCCGCGATGGACATGCTGACGTCTTGGACGGCGCACCTGGGAGAGGTCAGTATCTCGGATGATGGACGATATGCATATGTATGTGCTGTACTTGCGGCGTGACAACGAGGATGGCTTGTTGGTTTTGGTCTCGATCTTCGTCTTGATCATGATCTGGTCTTGGTCCGTGGAGCTCTCGTTCGTTGTGTACGCGAGGGGATGGTCAGTGAACAGGCTCCGCGACCGCCATGCGCGCCCTCAGAGCAATACATATAGTCAGGTCGACAGTCAGCAGGAGGGTACTTACAGTATGTCTAGCAAATGAGATCTATACCCTCATGTGAGCCTTAGGCGTACGGTTCTCACAGGTTCCATCGGGCGCTCAACTTCACCACTACTACATCCGGATATCACGAATTCGACTTTCAAGGATCCCCATATCCCCGGATCAAAATTGGCCAGCTGGATACCGAGATTGTAATTCCCGTGTATGCTTTGTGCATGCAGCTCTCACGCGTTCCATTGGATGGTCAACTTCACCATTACCGGATTCGGATATCACGATTTCAAGGAGCCCATACAGAACCCCCGGGACAGAGTCACAGAGTATGGAGTCCCCTTCCTTGCTCTCGCCCTTCCATCCACTCCACCAACGGCGCGTCGACTCGTATTCTGCATTGCCTGGCCTACCAAGGTATCGACCCCCCTTTCTGGAACCTGCATGTACAGAGCCCTGCCGCCAGCATGAAGCGCGCCCCCCAATCATTCACCTCAAAAGCAAGGCGCCACAGTAGGCAGGATATGCATACCTAAGTATGGGCCGGGCCCAACATCCTCCTCTCGCATTGCGTGTCCGAGGTCATTTTCAGTGGGCACACACGGCGGCACATGTACCATACTACTACTCTTGTGCGTTATGCATGTGATCATCAAGCCAACACCGATACCTTGGCTCACTACTTCCGTAATCGTTCCGCCATGGTAACAAAGTAGGTTCGAAGTGCAGAGGGTCCGGAGAATTGTAGACGAGCTTGAGGTTTCGGCAGCAGGACGTGCACTGGGGGCGCCATCCATAGACCACGAACGCACTCACAAAACCTGCGGACGCAGCCGATGCCAGAAAGTACGGCGGACTGAGTGTCAAGAGGGCGGGCTGAGGTTGGGAAGATCAGGCTGGCATACTGCTGTATATGACCTTTCTTGGGGAACAGATTCGCTTGGGTAGCAAGGCCTGCATGGGCTGCATGGCGAATTATGGATGGCATGGATGGCAGGGAGTGGCGTGCCGTGGTGAGGCTGTCCGAAGTCATGATTCCCCAAAGCGGCTACACACAGTACCACCCCCCTCGCACCCCTACAAGCGGGTTTCTTTCCTTTCCCCTACACACGCTCCATCGCGATCATTGCCTTATGTATTCTAAAGTCAATGCTACGGCCCTCGCTCGGTCAAAACAAAACCCCTTCCAAATAATCGGTGACGATGGCCGTAGATCTGCGAATCAGATAATTACAGAGTAAATCGTGATCCCTTGACTTTGGTGTCCTTCCTTTCGCCACAGGGCTTATCACTAGCAGTTTCCTGTGGCCCACGTGTAATCAATCATGCCATCGTCCTGCATTGAGCAGGCCAACCGCGCGGATTTCATCATCAGCCTGTAGCCCTCATCATATCTTGACCGTTTCCGCGTCATTCACGCCAAATATCGCCTCCATGGGATCCTTGTAATTGACGAACCCGCAGAACGGCGGGCTGATCGCATATCCCAGCAGCCGCTGCGCCCTGGGCGACAGCCGGTTGGCCTTTTCCGGCGGGACCATGAAATACTGGTTCTCCACCTGCCGATACATGCCCTTGCACAGAAAGATGCCCACCGTCTCGCGCGCTTCGTCCCTGCGTAACATTTGTTTAGAACCGATGGAATTAACCAAAAGAGAATCAATTAGAAGAGCGATGTGCGGGGGGAGGGAATCCGTCACGGGAGGAAATTCCTGGGTACAATTATGTACTTACGTCGTCGAGTTGGCGCCGCCAGCATGGTACGTGCCTCCCAGAAACAGGAACGTGTCGCCCGGATTGAGCTCGGCCGGGACGGCTTCGTGGTCGAACGGCGCGCGCTCGTCCCCCCACTTGTGCGATCCGGGGATCGCAATGGTCGCGCCGTTGGCCTTGGTCGTCTTGACCACCGCCGTGACGGCGCCGAGCATCATCGGTGTCGCGCCCGGGGCGGTGTGGTAGTCGATCTCGTCGCGATGGAGGCCCTGCTGCTGGCCGCCCGGGTTGACCTGGAACCCCACCGTGCTGGAAATCTGCGGCTTGGACACGGCCGTGTGCCGTTCTTGCCCGACCCAGTATTCATACGTGGACGTCAACAGGCGGGAAGCAACCTCGGTGAGGATGGGATTCAGAGCCAGATCGACGCATGCGTCGGAAATCCCCAGCAGCCCGATGGCTCGGCGCGTGGTTTGGGGGAAGAACCCAGAGACATCGCCGCCGTCGGAGTCGAAGTAGGGCTTGAGGTCCGCTCGGATTTGGGCCGCCGCTCCCGGGTCGATGAAATTTTCGATGATGATGCCCCCGTCGCGGTCGAGGACTTGCAGGATATAGTCCACGTCGGCATTCCTGCGTTGATGCGGACAATCTCTGGAGTGTCGGTGTTCAACATTGTGGGTGGTCAAGGTCAAGGATCAATGCGATGCCGAAGTTGTAAGTTGGCGTGGTCGATAGTGTGAATATCGCGTCGATAGTACATTGTCGGAGGGCCTCGGGCCAGAGGGCCTTATAATCTCTCTGTCGGTCGCTTTCGCTGGTGCAGCGGGGTCTTCCACGCGACGAGAGTCAGTATACTCCGTGATGCAGAGAGCGTGTGGCTGCCGGCTGCCATGGGCCAATCGAACAAAACTTCCCACTTCAGTCTAGGGTGTGGGATTCGAGCGAATCAAATAACGATGCCCTAGTCTCCCGAGCTTGATGGGGTCCTCCCTCCACATGGCTGACAGACTGCTGTCACCTGTCGACCATACTAGATTTTATGCGTCAAGGTGCTAGATCGTGACCATTGGGTGGGTGGATCGAACGACTCGAACTCCTCGATCAGAGAGCGGAGAATCACCAATTCGCCACCTCGTCGACGCCAGCCTGTCCATGGGCCATGCACGACCGTCGAGCAGGAGTGAGCGCCCGAGGTTGCGTTTTAGTAGCGGAAATAGTGCTGAAGGAATTACGCTACTCAAAGACATTGTGATCAAATAAAAAACCGCAGGTTCGCATCCTCCATCACGTCCACCCAATGCAGACTTCTTGGGGTCAGCGGCTGGTATTGCTGCACAGGCACAGCGTCGCCTCGCGCCCAAACTTCCGTCAAAAGAAATCTGATCCTCCGATGGGCTTCCAGGTTGACGGATTGCTCGAGGTGCACGACCCTCTCCATGACGAATCGCCGCCAGTAGGAAATAGTACAGTCGCTCGTGACATCGCCGCCCTCTGTGGGCGACGAGACGCCCATGATAGACGGCAAAAGCACACTTCCAGCGATCAATAAAGGGAGATGATACAGACATCGGGCACCCGAGTTGGTTGGAATGCCCGATATCAGTCGTAGTATTTGCACCGACAAGTCACGCAGGAGTTCTGTGCATGTTGCGTCTGGTCGTACGTCCACGGAAAGCGACGAAGTTCCCATGTTATCGGCGATCAACTTGGACATTGCTTGCTGTTCCTCAAGGGAGTCGCACGAGCGAATAAACTCCATCAGTGCTGCAAGCTGGCAACACCGTGCGAGATCTTGGAGTTGTGACTTTGAGGTCTGCTCGTCGAATGTATCCTCAATCTGTGCGTCGCTTGGGGGCCGGTAGTGCAAAAGCTCCTTCGCAGGACCATGCGCGACATGAGAGACTTCTGCCAGGGGCCGATGGGAAGTGACGGCCTTGGTGCTTGAGAGCTCGCCACAGTCTCGCTTTCGTTTGGACCGAATCACACACCCGGCTTGGGCCAAGTACAACCATGGAACCGCACTGATTCCCGTCCAGGGATGAACAGTTACGGCCTTCATCCGATCGATCGCGAAGGAAATATACAGATAGTCCAGCTGGTGGATGTCCTGGTCGATCAAGAAAGAAGCCATTGCCTCCCAGTAAGCCTGAAGCCCCAGGTAGAAATGCAAACGCGGCCACTCGAGGGTGGCAGATTTGAACCCTTGCGCGATCCATGTCCGAAACAGGGCGCGTGATCCGGAAATGTGTTCGAGGCCTAGACCTGATGAAGCGTGCCAGGAGGTGGTCATGCCCAGCATGATAACTCCTAGTAGGACAGTACCCAGGTCTTGATCCGTGGCGGTGGTTGACAAAGGGCGCACGGTGGTTATGACGCCGCTCATCGCCTTTGACAGCTCGGTCACCGTCGCGGTGAGATATCCCAGCCCTTCCAGTGACCAGTGTGGATGAGAGTTGCTCAGATGGGCGGCCGACATGCTCAAAATGCAGAATTCGATCAGGCGCGACGTGGTGAGGAGAGCGGCGACCTCGGTGCGCAGCGGATTGGCGAAGGAATCAAAGCAAGAATTGATGGCACAGACGTTGTGAAAGTAATACGCAAGCAGCACGGCCATCTTGTCGTTGAATGGCAGTAGGTCAGACACGAGGTCTGGTGATGCGCCTCGGTCGACTGACAATTCGCCCGGCGGCGGGGTCAGGGTTCGTGAGGTCTCGGTAGAAGAGATGTGATGACCTTTGTTCGCAACGGAGGTCGATGGGTTTAGCTGGTGCTTATCTTTCCATCGCAGCGTCTTGCCGTAACCAGGGCAGGTCAAGTTTCGTGTCGAACAATTGAGACACCTTGGAGTGCCTCTGTCACATTTGATCCGTCGTGACTTGCACGTCATGCAACCCGCTGAGCGATATGGTCAGATACTTTACTTGGTGACGTGGGCGAGAGTGTCAAAACCAACCTCGGGAGTTCTGTCGCGGGACAGGGCGAAACCGCGATGCCATCTGGTCATCCTACACATGAGGGAGGGTAGGGGACAGGCGAGCCCCTGTGACGATAGCAGAGGGCAAATGTGGTTTTGCCATGGACGTGAGCAGAAGATCTAGCGGGCTAACAGAAAGAGTAGCGTGGCGCCGGGGAGAAAACGCTCGCCGTGTACACGAATGGATAGATCAAGATAAGGTCGGGAGTAGTTGACGATAGAGGGTGGGTCAGAGGGATGGGGAGGGGTGGGGGGATCGGCCGGCTTGGGAACTGAGAAGCTTTCCTCCTCGCGTCTGGGCTTGGCGGAAAACCCCGGGCTCGACCACCGAATGAAGAGGCCGACTTAGTAATGAAAGCTGGGTTAGGATAGGTACTAGTACAGAACGTCTCAAAGGCCTGTGCTCCGAGGATTGGGAATGGTGCTATTGGCTTACCTACATACATATTCACCGATGCCATGACCGACCATGGGAAGGTATACCCTGGCCTTTATCTCGATCACCATTTGCCCGATTCTTGCAAGGCTGCACAACGCTCCACGTCTTGACAAAACTTGATGTCATCACTCTCGCCAGCACTGGCAGTCAATGGCCGTGTGGGCCACACTTCCTTTCCAGCCTGTTTCTCAAGCTTACGGTGTGCGGTAACGGCTTCCCGGACCAGCTGCTGGAAGCAGAGAACGCCACTTTCGCTGTCCGGCTGCAGGTGACCGGTCGAGTAGCTGCCTAGGTTGAGGTTGACTTGTACCGCGTTGCACAATTCCTTGTCTTCGCCCTCGACCTGTTTGAAGAATTTGTCCATCTCTTCAAACTCGGCATCCGTGGCATCCTTGTGGCGGTACACCTCATACTCATTGTGGACTGTCGTCGCACTCGTGGGGCATGAGCGCAGGAGATACCAAAACGGAGCACTGTGCTCTGGTCAGCTCACAACGCACGTACAAGGTGCCAGACGGAGGACTACTGACGCAATATTCAAAGCTCCGTTGGGATAGAACCAGCTGGGTGTAAAGTCGCGGCTGGTCTTGCCTGGTAGATCTTCCATGAAGTACTGTAGTTCGGCGCCCTCGGCTTCAAATCGATATTTGTCCAAATTACTCGTCTCCACAAACCCGGGATGGGTCGTGGGACAGTGATAGCACTGGATCGTGGAGCATTAGCCATCGTTGCACATGGAAGGGAGAGAGAGCTTACCTCATTATAGTTGTCGGCAGCCGCCTTCCAGTTGTAGTTGCCTTGGATGCTCCAGCTGTGGTCATACACATAGTCATCCATATTGAAGATGGCCAAGCGAGATCGCCGGTCGCTTCCTTGTAAGCGCATTTCCCACGGAATGGAGGGTACTTCCGAAGCCTCGAGGTTGACCCAGATGATGCCTCGGGCATCGATTCTGACATGAATGGGGAACAGGCCGTTCTTCTCTTTCTCGAAATCCTCGACCCCGTCGAATTTTGGCGCCTTGGCGAGTTTCCCATTCAATCCATAGGACCATCCTGGCATGGTCAGACGGGGTTCAACATCTCTCTCCACCTTCTTTGCACATACCATGATAGTAACACGCAAGGATACTTTTGGTCCCGCAAGTGGGGGCTTCGGGCTTAATGACAGGATAACCCCGATGTCGACAGACATTGTGAAAGCCATTGATCTTGTGTTGACGATCCATGATCAGGAAGAACGGAAACCCAGCGATCTCAAACTTGTGGTAGTCGCCGGGTTTTTGGAAACGGCATTTGTGTGTGGTCAGCAACCACTCCTTGGAGAAGATGGCCCGCCTTTCGAGCTCGTAAAGAGCAGGCGAACGGTACCACTCTGATGGTAGAGAAGTATTGCCATTCACCTTGGTGCTCTGCATGGTCAAGGTTTCGGTCGACATGGCTGATTGCTGAATGATTTGTGATAGTTTCTTTGTGACTGCGGCCTTACTTTGATCAGGAATCTTTACATTGCCTTGTACAGTCTTTTATAGAGCTTCGCTCGCCACTTCCCCGCATCACGAAATGCGTCGCTTGAAACCCCGGCATCTGGGATGCGGTAGAGGCGTTTGCGAATCGAGCAAAACTTCTACACTCGGTATAATGGCCCATCTTGCCCTCGTTGATAGCCCAAGAGGGTCAAAGTGCACTTGCGAATCATATATTGCTTAGAGCGTATGGAGTAGATTCAAGCCCAGATGCGGTGGCACAAGGCACCCAGGCTGCCTACCACATGAGGTTGCCGGGCGGCGGGTGCTTGGCACCGGTGCTGTTCTTCCATAGTTAGCTGGTAATTAGCTGCTAAGCACCGTGCGTCCCTTGTCAACCACCGCCGCGGACATTCATCCGACGAGACAGGCACCCACAGGGGAGCTCCTAGCACCAAGACCGTCAGAGCAATCGCACAAACCTTCCCCAACCTTCCCCAACCTGGATTTGATTCCCAGTTTCGTCCAGTTCCTCTCTTGGTTCGAGGCGTCAAATGCAACCGTTCATGTCACTGCGATCGCACTTTCGGGTCTGAAAACTTCCGCGTCCCTGTCTCGAGCGATCAAGGTGTAGATCTATCCGAGCCCACGTTGGAGGGGCTAGGTGAGATAGGCGAACTGCCAAGCGACCAATCGAACGAGAGTTCCCAGTTCGGCCTAGACGTTGAATGTCCCCAGAGCGCCAATCCACGCCGCTTACGAGTAGCGCCAGGAAATGGGTGAGTCCCAAGAAAATCCATGGGAAAGTATACTCAAAATTGGCTAGCATACGTATCGCGTCTCTCTTCAGGGAGCTGGAAGAGCTGAGGGGCTGTGCCCGAGGTGCAATGCGGCGACATGACTTCTCACGAGCTAGCACACTGTCTACTGGCAGTAAGCTCTTGCTCGAGTCGTTTAGAGCAATCATAAGACTGCAGAGTTCCCCGGCATGACCGGACTAGCACGGGGCAGGGACTACTGAAAACTAGAGATACTGTCGACCTTTGCGAGGAAAGAGACTGTCTCGGATACAAGGAGAGATCCCCGTCCTCATATCAACAACTCTGACCGCGGTTTTCGTCGCTTGACCACCGGCGGCGTCTGAAAAAGAAGACCCTCGTACAGAAAAATACGACGTGGTAGAAGACCACAAACTACGATCGTTGTCTACCCGCCAGGCAAATTCGACATGTCGACGGAGACTCCTGGGCAATATCGGAAAACCACGACTGCGTCTAGCCATGCCAAAGGCGAACATTACGTCGAAGGCTCGCCCGGACCAGCGTCCGCCGACGCCGACGTTCTTCTCGGCGTGCTGGGATACCAGGCCGAACTGGCCCGCAGTCGATCGACCTGGCAGGTCGCGTTCATGTCGTTCGTGCTGGCCTCGGTCCCCTATGGACTCTCCTTGACCCTGTATTATCCCCTGATCGGTGGCGGCCCTGTCTCGATCATTTGGGGCTGGCTGGCAGTGGGTATGATCATGACCTGTGTCGCCATTTCTCTCGGTGAGATCACTTCGGTCTTCCCAGCGGCCGGAGGCGTGTACTACCAGACATTCATGGTCTCCCCGCCGCGCTACCGCACGGTTGCTGCTTGGATTTGTGGCTGGGCGAACACCATGGGTGTGATCACGATCACCCTCTCCGTCAATTTTGGTTCAGCGCAGTTCTTTGTCGCTTGTATCAACATCTTTGGGGAGGATGGAAACCCGGTCTGGCCCGCGGAGACGTACGAGGTCTTCCTGCTCTTCCTCGCCATTACGTTCTTGTGCAATACGATATCATCCCTCGGAAATCGATGGCTGCCCATACTAGATGTCAGTATCTGTCCCACTCCCCCTCACCGGATCTTACTGACTCGTGCGCAGACCTTTGCCGTCTTCTGGACTTTTACGGGCCTCGCCGCCATCATCATCTGCTCCCTGGCGCTTGCAAAGAACGGACGAAACAGCGCAAAGTACGTCTTCACCGAGTTCCAGACCAACTCGGGTTGGATTCCGGGATGGTCCTTTTTCATCGGTCTGTTGCACGGTGCCTATGTCACCTCGGCGACCGGCATGATCATCGCGTAAGTTCACCGTCGTACCCACAAGCCAGATCACTTAGTAAGCAATGCGTGCAGCATGTGCGAGGAGGTCAAACAGCCGGCGATCCAGGTCCCCAAAGCCATGGTGCTCACAGTCATACTGAACGTGGCTTGTGGCTTACTGTTCTTGATCCCCCTCGTCTTTGTCCTCCCTCCGATCGAAGATGTGGTCGCCCAGAGCTCCCCAGTACCGTATATTCTCCGTATGGCCATTGGCAACCAAGGCGGTGCCTTTGCCGTCACCATCCCGTTACTGGTTCTGGCTCTTCTCTGTGGCACTGCATGTACCACTGCCGCTTCTCGAACCGTGTGGTCGTTTGCACGAGACGGCGCGATTCCCGGTTCACGATGGTGGAGAAAAATCAACCGCCGGCTCGAGGTGCCCTTCAACGCAATGATGTTCAGCATGGTGATCCAGTGCGTCTTGGGCATCATCGTCTTCGGCTCGACCGCAGCATTCAATGCCTTTAGTGGCGTGGGGGTCATCTTTTTGGTAACTACTCTCCAAAAACATTTTGTCCCCGCTGACCTTCTTCCAGACCATTTCCTACACGACGCCGATTTTTGTTTCCCTGGTCACTGGTCGAAGAACGCTCAAACGAGCTCATTACAACCTCGGTCCCGTTGGGGTTGCATGCAACATCATTGCAATCTGTAAGTGACCAAAACAACTCCCGAGTCACCATTATTCCGGACACACTGACAATACATGTACAGGCTGGTGTCTCTTGATCACGCCCATATATTGCATGCCGTCCTACCTACCCACCACGGCAGATACGATGAATTACGCTTCCGTGGTCTTCATTGGTGGCGTGACCGTCTCGGCAATCTGGTATTTCGTCTGGGGTCGGCATAGCTATCGAGGACCTCCAGTCGGTGTGGAGGAAGCCAACGTACGGCGCGACTCGTTAGTCGAAGCAAAGTAGAGGCACACTACAGTATCAAACATGGCCAGCACTTTGTGAATCTGAAGACCGGATCGTGTCCCACTGGTCCTACAGATAGCTGGCGCCTGCCTACACTTTCCGATCCCACCCGCGGCCAGAGTCGCTTTTTTTTCTTCTTGGCATTTGGCATTCGATGAAATGTCGAGATTGTACTCCGTAACCGTACCTGCGTGCAAAGGTGCAGTTCTTGGTTGTGTTGTGTTAGAAACAACGGACACCGGACAGTACCTACGTTCCTCTCTACCTAGGTACTGACCAGAGTAGAGTAGAACATTACATCTCTTTGGTGTGGTCGAGTGTTGGTGAGTTGGAAGTAGTAGTTTAATTAATACTCGTACTCCGTACACTACTACTGTAATATGACTGTACTCCGTACTCCGTACAGTACCTCACCATCCACTTACCAAGAGAAAAACAGCCTCCAAAAGGCGCCGGGGAATTCCCCTGTAAACCTGTGGGTGACCTGCGCTCGCCTGCGTTGAACTGTACTAATTTACAGGACAGTACTGTGTAGCTTATTCATGCATGTACCGGTGGGAATCACCGTAACTACCAAATGTGTACCTATATGCCTGCCGCACCTACTAAGTAATAATTACTTCCTACAGAGTATTGAGTGCATTGCTGCACTGCGCTGCGCTGAGCTAGGCAAGGACAGGCTCGCGACATCAGCATCAAGGAAGAAATCACCAGAATGTACATAAGAGGACCTTGAGAGCCAGACAGAGCCATGTGTGCAATGTGCAACGTGCATTGCGCCGCGTGGCCGTCGAATTCCTGCTTCGTTCGGATTCGTGCGTCGTGCGTGGTTTGGAGACTCCTGCCGAGTTTTTCGAAGAGGGCCTCAGGCCGGATGCGCCTGTTCCGATGCTCGAATGTGTGCGTCGTTCGAGACTCCTGCATTCTTGATGCCGTCTGATGTGGCGCCGTGACCGAGAGAGGGAGGGGGGCAAGGCAGGCAAGGTGATCTCGTGGCTGTTGCTGTTGCTGCCGTGCTGTGACTGGGAAGGTTATCCGAAGGGTTAGCCAGACAGCCTCAAGAGGTGTACTGGGCCATACCCCCTATTGTACGATACCGTATTATTTATATAGGCCTTCGTAACTATATAGCTGGGTCTGCCCCCAGACCCCTCTGAAATTCATCATGTCCTCCAATTGAGTCACAGTGCAGTATTACTGTACTCTCGTGATTAGGCAGTCAGTCAGTCCAGTGCAGTGCAGTGCATAATTACTTGATTCCGTGGTCCTAAGGTCCCGTTGCGTATCAGATCCATCCATTCAGTCCAAGTTCCCATTGCGTATCAGATCCATTCGGTCCAAGTTCCCTTTGCGCATCAGATCCATCCATTCAGTCTCTTAATTTTCGGCGGCGGCGGACTTTGATGGCCTTTTTTTCTCCATTCGATGACTTCGAGGATAGAGATAGACGCGGAGCACTGCAGCTACGTACTGCAGTAATCAGTAACTGCTTGATCAACTGCCTTGAGACGTAGAGTCGTACATTGTCACGAAGACGTGGCGCCCGTGTCCGTACCAAGCATAAAGCCAAGAGGTCCAATAAACCTCGGTGCAAAGTTCTTTTGGGCATTTCCCAGAGGGCGGTGGACCTCTCCTGACATACATGTACTCATCCTCGCACAGTCCAGTCATCAATCAATACCGGCTGGAGAACCCGGGGCGCTTGTTAGAACGAAGAATCAACAGCCTGCTGGGCGATTGGGTACCAAACCTCTTCTGCAGTAGTCATAAGTACTGAAGAACGCAAGATTCAGGAGGAGAAGAACACTGGGCACCAAATCTCTTCCGCAGTAATCGTACCTAAAAGTACTGAAGAACGAAGATTCAAGAGAGAAGGGTGACCACTGGGCACTAAATCTCTTCTGCAGTAATCACAAGTACTGAAGAACGAAGATTCAAGAGAGAAGAACACTGGGCACCAAATCTCTTCCATTGTGCTTGTACTTCAACGGTCGCTCTACGTAGTGTTGGCTTGGACGAAGTTCGAACACCACCATCACTTGGAGTTGCTCAATCACTCCAGTCCCTGGACTACCTATCCTATCCTATCCTATCCCTTCTGTATCCCACCCTGTGTTCTCCCCTCCTCTCTACGTGGCGCGCCCGTCCCTCAACACAACCGTTTCAACTCCTCTCCCCACCGCCTCACATCCTGGACAGTCACATTCTCAGCGTCTAGACCGCCCTCTTTCAAACACATCGCTAACTCCTCATCCCTTAACTGAAGCAGAGCCTGCTCTAGCATCGCTCCATCGACCACGCGAAACGGCTCATCCTTCTCGCTCACCTCGGTCCGCCATGCCCGGAATTTACTCCACGGCATGTATCCCGGGGCTTGCACCCTGTTCGCCAGCACAGACTGCAGCGTCAGGAGGATTTGCATGTACGGCGGGTTGATCGTGCCGAGCATGTAGATGCTGCCTTCTATGGTGGCCACGAATGCGCGCGGCGTCACGACCGGTCCTTCGCGGGGTAGCTTTCGGATCCGCTCGGGGTCGTTGGACAGTTTGGACCAGCTTTCGCGACTTGGTCTGGGGGATGCGGACAGTGCGACGATCTTGTTGACCACTTCGCCCAACCGGAACTCGCCCGTGACTTCGAGCCGGCGGTTGTAGCCTAGCGGGCCGGTGCCATCTTGGATCTGTCGAAGACTCACCAGGTTGCCTTCCATGTCTGCCACGACCCATTCGTTTTCCATGATGGATGCGGTGGCCGAGGACCAGAGGGTGGCGAAGTGGCGGGACGTTTCGACCAGGCTGTAGCCTGTCGGGGAGTTCTTGTCTTTGGTGTCGACTTGTAGGATGGACAGCGATTTCATGAGGTCGGCGACGGCAATGAGGGCGGGACTTGTTGGTGTGGCGGGCGTGACGGCCAACGACAGAGGATTTGTCGACGTGCGGTATGTAGCTAGCTTTTGCAGTTGGAGCGAGTGGTCGCCCCGGCTTGAGGAGGGGACAAGTCCGTAGAGGACGACCTGGAGAGGAGAGGTTAGCAAGAAGACCCCGTGGTGGAACTTGTGCACTCACCGTCTTGACCAGGCCAGCCACGATCTTACCCTCGCACATGGCCAGACTACGGCAAGCGCCTTTGACCTTGATCGAAGTGACTTCCCTGAGTTTCTTCTCCTTGTTGGCCTCGTAGATGAGTATCTGTCCTTTCAGAATGTCTTCACCGTGCTCGACCTCGTCCTCCAAGATACTCGTCCCCACAACGAACATCTCCCCATAAGCCCGGGAATCGTCTTCGGTGTCAAACGAGCCCGTGGAGACGATACACTCGACCAATTCCTTGTCGTGCAGTTCTATCGAGTGCAGTTCTCGAAAGCTGACTTCGTCCGCAAGTTTGATGGAACTCAACAACACCTCCGCGCCATCTTCAATGGTTCGGCTGACGCATCCCATGGCGAAAACCTTGGCTTTGGGTTCATACGTGAGACATCGCACGGTCTCACCAATGGGGAGGGTCTGGAGTTGAGCTGTCCTCTCCTTGCCCATGAGAGCCAGCTTCAGCTCATTGGGCGTCGCAATCGCGATGGCATCCGGATACGCCTCCGAGTTAAAACTGCAGACCCGGGAGGCGTTGTCTGAATTGACTGCCGAATAGATGATCCGTCCCTCGGATGAGTAGATCAGCGATGGCTGCTCGCACGAAGCGAAAATGTTCGAAAGCTTTGCGTGGCTGCCTTTGGGTAATTGTTTGAAGAAAACGGGCTCCGTACCAAGCAGCACTTTGTCCGTGCACGTCAGCGTGTTCTTGGTGGAGTCGAATGAGTACGAGACGACCGTGCCGTCAGCCATTGCAACTAACAAAGTCGGCGGTGACTCGGGCAGGAGGTTGGCAACTAAGACTGACCTCGGGATGTCAGTCCCAGGTGTGCCTAGAGACTCAGTCCGGAGCACTTCCAGGGTATGTAGGTCGAGAATTGCGAGAGATGCAGTCTGCCAGAATGACACGATACATACGTTGCTCTGCGTTTCTGGGACGGTCACACTCGAAATCTGCGAGTCGGCCGGGAATGTCTTAGAAATGGCAGGGTTGGCGTCGTTCGTGGCTGTGTGGTAGACGTGCAGTGTGTGACCACCTTCGACGACAGCCAGATGGACAGAGTTTGCGCTTGCTGCTGTCAACTTGGCTCCTGCGTCGGTTGGCTTCCATTCGAGGGTAAGCATACTAGACTCGAGGTCTGTGATCCTCAGCCCGGTCTCATAAACTTGCATCAGCTTACGCCCGGGGAGATTTGCGGCATATAGAGTTGGCTGAGACAACTCGAGATGGTGGAAGCTGTCCACTTCTTCAACCGAAGCTTCTTGGTCAAACTGGAATATCCGCGTCTCATTGACGAATGAAACGAGTAGTGTGTCTTGGATGTCGCCGTCGCCGGTTGAACTCACGGCCCAGAGGTCGGTGATGTGGGCTATCTCCCCAATAGTGCCAATCTCTTCCAGACCGACGCCACTTCGAACACTCCGAATGGTGCCGTCTTGCCATGCGCCCGAAGCCGCCACTATTCTTGCTTGGCCAGACGAGAACTCAGCCGCGGCACCGCCTTGTGCGCCTCGACCCAAATCCATGATCGTGAAGTCGAGAATGGGCGCGATGTTAGGGAACGTCTGGACGACGCGGACGCCTTCCTCTTCAATGTGAACCACCTGCGAGTCGCCGGAATGCGAACCGACAAAGACATAGCCCTCGTCTAGGTAGACCAAGCACGACGCTTTGGACGCCACTCCGACAGGGTCGAGTCTCCACGATACAACCTCGGAAAAGCTGGTTTCGATCATCAGGAAGAACAGCTTGCCGTAGTCGTCCGCTAGGAGCCAGCGGTGCTCGTCGATCTTGGTCCAGCATGTCCAAATGGTGGACTGGTCATCCAACGGCTGGGTGATGACATTGGTAAGATCACGGTCGACATACCGGATGGCATGGTCGCCTAGGACGAGGAAGCCGCTGTAGGGTACGGAGACTGGAATGAGGTGGCTGACTCCCTTGTCGAGCTGGTCACCTTTCAACTCGGCCACTCGTTCCAGTTCCGCAGAAGCCTGCTCTCCTCCGGCTCGATATTTCAGTTCCCGCAGCACCAGTTGTGGATTTTCCAGGTTGTCTTCCCACAAAATAGCAAGCTTAGGGTTATCTTTGGAGTCCGGAGCCGTTTCCAGGAAAGCGGACGATCGCGTCAACAGCTCCTCAACTCTGACCTGCACCGGTTCACCCAACGCCCCGGCCGGAGGCTTGGTATTGCTCTCTCTTTTCACCCGCTTGTTCGAAGGCTGAACGAAGGGCACGACCGATACGACTCTATCATACAGTTCCAGGCTCATGAAGCGTCGTGTGGGATCGACGTGGCATCTGTCCGCCTCCTGTGAGCTGCGTAGCACTTTATCTGCGAGATCGACATAGCTCTGCTCCGTGTGCAGTTGTGCGATACTGGCATTCCATGAACACGTGAAATACTGGTAACGATCGGTGCCGACGAAGAGGAGGTCGGTCTTGGACGCAGACGGACGGATCTTCTCGAGGATCGTAATGTAGCCGTAGACTGTCTTGGTGTGTAACAGCGTCAGGCCTTCGGGCCCTTGCTCGTAGAGGTGGAGTTGGTTCGCTTTCCTACATGTTCAGGTCAGTACTGGGATGATGCTGCGAGGAGTCTCACAAGTTGCTCACGCGACAATGAGAGTGTCCACTCCCGGTTCGAGGAAGTTCAGCTTGATGGCAAGCCGGACTCCGCTCGGAGGGTGGACGGCGCCGACATAGGACATGGTGACGGTGACTGTGAGCGGCCTTATGGAGGGGTAGAGCTGTCGCAGCTCATGGCGCTTCCCTCGGCGGACGTGGCATTTGCATCTATTATCAGATGCTTACGCGCAGGATGGGTGGTGGCTGGCGCAGTGAGGGAGATACAAAGCCGCATCAAAGAGATTATGGTCAAATGATGACCAGTTCATTAACTTTACATTCTGTGAATATGCAGCCGTCAGCCTCGCCGACAGTTGGGGATGCAATTCACGACATATGACAAGCCAGCCACAAGTTGCCTCTTTGTGCTCAGCCAAGTTCCAGCTGCAAAGACAAGTTACAGCATAGACAGTAAAGCGCTGATGTTCAATATTGTCACATATTCGTGGTTCGTTGTGTACATGTTGCAGCCTACGTCGTCGCTGGTCTGTTTCCCAGCTGTTGCGGCAATCCCCCGAGCGCCATGCTTGCTGTCTGCAGTTCTGTGGCCCTGCCAATGACTCCGGGGGTCCTGATGGTGATTCTCCTGTTGACGGTGCTGTACAAACCCAGTCCTCTAACAAGCAATTACTCCGCCGCCGGTCCGGCCTTGTCAATGCACAACCACCACCACCCTGCTGTCTGATATCCCCGGGTCTTCTCATCCACCTTGACAAACCCACCCTGTTCAGCCCAAGCAAGGATCATCTCCACTTCCCCCATCCCCAGTGCGTTCCCGAAAGCCCTGGATGCATCCCTTGCCGAAATTCCAGGCATCTGGGCAACCAAGCCCATCACCCCTGCCAGGAAAATCTCCCACAGCCGCATATTCACATTTCCATGGATATCCACCCAAGGTGGGATTGGTCTTCTCTCCCCGTCAGCCTCACCTGTGGGGATGGGGATTCCCCTCGCGTCAACCAATGGATCACCAAGGACATATCCCTTTGCAGGGCGAAGTTCAACTCCAAATCCCAAGGCTTGCTTGTCCATATCCCTTGTCCGATAACCCACCCTCTCATGATCGAGGCCATACCTTGTACAGGGCACATCCGGGCCTGGCCTTGCTGTTATTTGGCCCTGTGCCATGAGATTCAGCACCGCGAACATCTCCGCGGCCGGGAGATCCTCATGTTTCTCCGGCATAACCACGTCCCCCACTCCGAAGGCCCTGTCCAGAATCTCGCGCTTGAACTGGATTGCTCCTCGGAGCGTCTCTGGCGAAACCAGCCCGAGCGCCTCAAAGCGGCCGAGAAATCCGGGATGAGCTTCCCAGGCACGCATGCCGCTTGGGTCAGGCGAACTGACTTGACGTCTCTGTGGTACTCGCTGGACAAATTTCGCATCCTCAAGGAGTTTCAACGCCTGGCCGAGACGACGTTCGCAGTCCATAGGAGTGGAGGACAATGTCGATAGCTTAGCGTGTGCGAGGGAGGCGTTGAACGTTGAGGAGGGGCAAAGGACTGCAGACAGGACCCAGCTTTTTGCTAGGTGGAGGTCCGGGTTGTTGCCTAGCTGCTTTTCGCAATGCGGATGATAGTGGAGGAAAGTTGGCTTGGTAGAAGACGTGTAGTCTACGCCAAAGACCAAGGATCTTGTGTTTCCATCTTTAGGTAGGGCTGAGGGGTGTGATGCAAAACCGTAGTACTGCTTGGGTTCATCGAAAGTTAGACCATAATCGTCCAAGAAATCATCACGCGTGTCAGGAAGTTCTATTTCAGTGAACTCTGCAAGGTGCTTCACGCCGGAGTAGTCCAGGTTCCCAAGGCCCCATTCGACGATAGCGGACCAGTCTGTGGCATCGAGTTGCTCGAGATTGACGGACGGAGCCTTGCCAGACTCCAAGCCTTCAATATATTTGCACTGGAATTCTTCAGAAAGAGCCTGGATGTTTGTGCTGCGCCTGCTTGACAGCGTTTCCCAGCTGGACCTGATGAAAACTTCTTTGCTTTTTGGAAACAGCGTCATAACAACCGACCAGTCGATGGAGCCTTCAACTCCGCCAGCGAGTGCACGGACGACGACAACAGACACGATGATCCGTTGGATCCGGTCTTCTGCCATGTCCTGAGTCCATCTCTCGCCTCGAGTGAGGCGTCGAGGTGCAGAGGCAAGGCCCGAGAGAGCCCTGCGCTTCAGGGCGTTGGCGGTGGATGTCTTTCTCGAAGCCTCGGGCGCTTCCCTGCGTCGCTTTAGTGCAGGTTCTAGCGCAGCATCCAGTTCGGAGGCGAGGAAGTCATTGTCCTCAGTCATCTTCCGTTTGGGGACTCGACTGGTGCGTCGAGGACCACGAAGGGGTTGGGTAGCGTTGGGAGGCGGTGGAGGTGGCATTGTTTGCAGCATCAAAGCATCGATTCCAGCAATCTGAGAAGCTGCCTCAGGCGAAGCACGCAAGGCATCCACGAATGGAGGCCATGATTCAGCAGGCGGATATGCACTTCGCAATTCCATGCCATCCTGGTCGAAGTGGACAAGGGCTTCAAACTCCGCCCTCGCGGGGAGCTCGGCCTCAGTGTAGAGCGCTTTCGGGATGATGTGGTTGATGAAGCCGTATTTAGACCTCGTCGCAGCCGCAGACTCTGATTCTTGTTCTTCCCAAGCACGGACACCCTCCACCTCACATGCAAAGCGTTCCCAATTTCGACCCAGACCTTCTGACACAAACTGGGCATAGTCTAGTTCCAGACCGGGAAGCTGCAGAATGTCATCCAATGAGGAAGGGAAGTTCCTCCAGAGAAGAAATTTGCCGGGCAACTGGGATCCTCTTCTCCCTGTCTTCTTCCGACGTGTCTTTACTTGCACACTCTTCGACCTCCAGGGGTTCCAAGACGAGACGTCGGACAGCAAAGCGATGACGGGGCAAGTCGTTCGCCAGATATGGAGCTGATAAGCGGGGTGCGAAACAAGAGATGGGATTTTCAGTGTAATGAAGCCTGTCGCAGCAGTCGCTGGCGTCGGTTCAAGTGGTGGCTTTGGTTGATTCCCAGTGAGTGCCTCAACCACAGAAACCAATGTTGGATTCGTTGCGACAGATGAAGCTCTTCGGTGTCGCTTGGATGGCCTCTCTTCGGTCCTCTCCTCGGTGTCGATCGAAGGTGTCCGAAATCTCCTTGCTGTGGGCGTTTGTATCTCATCGTCGAGTTCTCGGCCTCTACTTGAGGCATTCTTGTTGAAAAGAGGTGGGCGGCAACCCTCCGCAATCCATTCCGAGGGGATGTAATCAACAGGATGGGCGTCTTTGATTGACTGCTTGACACCTTCAACTAACTGAGACTCGGGGTGAATGCTCGGCAAGAAAAGGACTGAACCTTTGACCATGGTGGTGGAGTTGCCCCGATAGTTGAATGTCACCGATTTCAATTTGCCCAACTCGCAAAGTGACTTGATCGCCGCCTTGATGGTTTTAAGCAAAGGTCGGTCCTCCTCGCCAGCCTCCTGCCACCGGGCGACAGAGATACGCCTCAGGGTGATATGATCATTCGGTACAGCTCCAGCTGTCATCTTAACGAGCTCCAGTACGATGCTGCGACACAAACCAAGGGCCCCACTGTTGCGTTTTTGCTTCGCTGGTATCTGTGACACCTCAACTGTGCCGGGTTCATTTGTGTTCTTCCCCGTTCTTGGCGTAGATATCTTGGTGGGAGTCGCCGAGCGAGCCCTACTCCCGGAGGCAGTGGTGTAGCCCTGCACTTCTGCGGGCTCTTCAGGGAGTTCCGCTGTCAAAGAAGGACTTGGTGAAGCAGCAGCTGCCACGATGCCGGTCCACGGTCCAGGGTCGTGGTCAGTGACATCAATTCTATCGACAACCTGCACAACAGTAGAGCCTTCGGAAGGCATTGCTCTTGTCTTGGAGGACTGGCGCATACTCCTGGTTTGCCCGCTCTCCAGCATCTGACCTGCTTTTTCTGTTAGTTTGCGCTTCCGGGATGATCTAACAGGGGATATTTGTATGCTTCTGGCTTTCGGCGCGATTGACACCTCCGGAGTGCTGTTCTTGTCGGGTACGCTTTCATTGTGACCCGGGCTGATCTGTCTATGTTCGCTTGAGACGGTCTCAATCACAGTGACAGGCGAGAGAGCCCTTTCTGCAGCGTTATGGTTCTCTTGTAGAAGGCCTTGCTCTGCGCCAGTTGAGATCTCTATTAAGTCGACTTGAGCATCGTGGTGGATAGGGTTTACGATACCAAAGGGAAGCCTTGCTGCCGCCGTTGGTTTCTCATGGAATACACCCAACCTTGGCCCTGACGTCTTCTGCTCAGTTGTTTCGCCAGGTGTCGCCTCTATGTCATGCTTCGCTTTGATTGGTGGGCGTGAGGGGCGACGTGCCTTGACTGACTTTTTAGGGTGATATGGCCGGTACACGAAGCTGTGTGATGCGCTGGAGGGCCAACGTTGCCACAGATGAACCTCGCTTCTGTCAACAAGCGCAAGAGAGGCCAGGCGTGGTGTTCTGACAATCATAACACGTGAACGTTTTCCAAAATTGTCCCAACGTAAGCCGGCCGGAGACATATAGACGCCTTCCATCGAGCGATTTAGGATGGCTCTTGTGGAAGTTATCCAGTCCTCGCCTATCTCATCTGCACCGAGAGGGACCGGCAATTTGGCGTCCAAAGCCTTAACCAATGTCTGATCAAAGTCCGCAGGACGAGCGGCGTACAATGCTTTGGCAACTGGATCTCTCATGTTTCCCTTCTTTACGGTTTTCTCGTCGTGGCCGGCATCGAGTCTAGCTTGCTTGAATTGCATACGCCAGAATTTTTCCGTACCTCGCATGTACTTGCGAGGACGGCCGAGCGGGACTTCAGCGTTCTCATTGGTAAATGTCTTCCGATTGGGCGTTTGTCGAGGATTTGGAGGTGCTTGAGACTTTGCTCCTCGACGAGATCGTCGATCCGAGGTGTGAGGCAAGGCCGGCAGTTCATCGCGCATGTCTAAGGCAAGCTGTGCTCCCCTCTTAGCGACGACCAACTCTCCTCTTCGTGCTGCGACGTCTCCAGCGGCGGTCGCTAGCACAAGGCTCGAAAAGGTGGTCTCACCTCCCCTGACCTGGAGCGGCAACAAGTTCTGCACGGGAAACCCAAACTCGTCGAGGCCGGAGGCTCGGTCAGCCGCACCATCCTCACGGCTGTCGGACTCGTCTTGCCCTGGGGATTTGAACGCCCGCTTAGCGCCTGGAATTGCGGTGATGTCAATGCCTGTTTCTCCGGCATGCTGCTTGAACTCGTCCCATGAGTAGTGTATCCATCTTATGATACCGTCCTCTGTTACGGCGTGACGTATGATAGCAAGGTGTCGAAGATGTGGCGGTTGGACAACTAACGACTCGCACGAGACGCGGTGGAGGAGGGATTCCAGCTGCCGGCGCACAAAATCGCCTGTGATGATCTGCCGCGCATCCTGTTGTTCTGGTCAGTAATATGGAAAGGCAGACTGACCGATAACATACGAAATTAGAAAGACCATTGCTACCCGCGGACTGGACAGCTTCCACCAGTATGTTAGACATCAAGCGGTCTGGGTTCCATACTGCCGATTTAGACGGCGGTTGTAAGGACTCTTCACCCCCGGCAGCTGCTGGAGACTCTGCAGGGCCGGCGTTAGGAAGACATTCTGAGTCTGCACCAGTAGTCAACTCTTCGAGCGTCTGATCCAATGACAATTGCTCATTGTTGAAATTCTCTAAATCCTCGGGCCCAGCAAGACGCAGAAGCTGCACAAACTGCTGCAAGTCACCCGAGGTCGCAGACGGGCCGACTGCTGTTCGCACCCGCTTGACCAATTTAAGCCTCTCGAGCCGCCGTACGATTCTCTGAAGCACAGCCGACTTGGCTGGGGACTTGAGATTTAATTCCTCTGCCAGCCTGCTTTGAGGTAGAAGAGTCTGACTCGTCAGTATGTCGAAGATTCTTCGGACAACGTGCCGCAACATGGTTCCCGGGCGTTGGGATGTGTCGGCATCCACTGTAGCAGATTTCGCAAACTTCTTCAGTGTCAAACGACTGGTCCGATTGCCTCTGAGGAAGACGGCTTCCTTGATGATGTAGCCCTTGCTATGCAACGCATCAGTTCGCTTGGGTACGGAGCGCTTGTCCTGTCCAGATGATCGGATAAGTTCTCCCTGAAGGATCCCATCGGATCTTGTCGCCGTGATGTACTTCAGCAGCTCGAACTCCAGAGGCGCAACTCTTCTGGGATCTGGGGGATGCCCACATATTGCCTGGTAGAGTCGTTCTTCCTTGAGACGGATCCGTGGTCCTTCAGTAACACGTGGTCTCCGGATCTTCGGTTGCTCCTCAATTGCGGCGCTGACATGGCGTGAATCTCTTGGAGTGGGCTCACCCTCATCTGGAGGCTCGCTGCCTATAGCACTGTGATCGATATATCCGGGAAACTCTGACTCGACCTGAGCCAAGGGACTCTTGTTGTAGCACCCATTGTCCCCAAGAGATATGTCGGGATGTCGTCCTAGCCATAACCAGACTTTCGAGAGCAGGGATCGGTCGACGGTGACGTGTCGGTTTGTGCTCGTTGAGTCCGAAGCCGAACCCGATCCAAGCTCTTCCGCAGGATCCGCATAGAAAGCAGAGATCGATTTCGCAAGTTCATTAATCGTCAATCCTACCAGGATGGGATCGAGTTAGCTCTGTCGAGAGTCGTCACGGAAGAGATGCACAGTGGTGGGGCAATGGCGCCAGTGCTACCGAGGCCAGGCCATCGCCCTGCAAAATCTGAGTGATGTTCGTACCTTGGAATTGTGCTGCGATTTCACCAACCAGGAATTCGATCAGAGAGTCGAGGTTCTTCGCCATTGCTCATGCGCCATTTCCGATCGCAGCAAGAAGCAGTGGATGGAGGCGGATCAGTCTGAGTTCCAGTTCGAGTTCAATTGAGGACTTTTTGAGACCAAGAGTCCCCGAGACTGGCGCTGTGGCCTTGGCAGCTGTTCTCTTTCACTTCTGATTGGTCGGAGGTTTCACCATGGCGAGGCTGTACACAGTTGTCGGGTCTGTGGTTCATCGACGGTTCGTTCCTGTCTCGGTCGAGCCACTGAACTCCAGCCTAATTCAAGGCAGCCAGCAAACTATGGTGGGCAACACGAATGGTCAAAGTGAAGTATTTGTTCTATGATTGAGCCTTCTAAGAAGCGTTGCGGTATGCCGGCCCCATCAACGAGCCTTGAGTGGACATGTGTAGGTACAAGTCGAGAGCCTGTCTCTTCAAATTTTCCGACCTCGTCATGCCTCGAGATGCCCGTCTCGGCACCAGCGCTTGTTACCTGAGAAGCTACGCTTTTCCGCCGGCCGACTCCTCCGTGCTCGAAAAGCAATGAGATTGAGAATAACCAAAATTGCTAAGATCTGCCTGCCTTCCCGCTGTACTTCCGAAGCAGGGGATCGTCCAGGTATGGCAGGAGGACAGGGTGGTGTACAGAGACAGACGCGGAGCAGGCCCCGACGCGGGAAATGCCGAAAGCGACCAGCTATGATCCGGATAGGAAGATGCCGGGATTTCAAGAGGCAGCTGCTCTAGCCGGTGCATATCGGCGGTTGCTCTGCTTCTTGGGTTTCGAGACGGTGCTCCAGCCATCCTCTTCGATTTCTGCCGCCGTGCTCTTGGCAGGGGCCTGGGTCGCTGCGCCGTTTCTCCAGGAGCCATTGGCCTTGCCAGCTGTCGGCGTTCGTACAATCTCCTTGGGCTTCACTGCTTTGTCGTCAGTCGGTTGTACCTGCTCTTCATTGTCATCGTTGTCCTCATCAGCAACCATATCGTTCGTCCCGGAATCAGCTCTTCGCAAAATGTCAAACTTGGGTGTGGGTTGTGCAGCTTCTTCGCTGCCCTCATCTTCAGCACCTGGTTCATTCCGTTCATTGGGCTCCATGCTTTCTTTGGTGGGAACATCCTTGGCTTTCTCCTTCTCGGGGCCGGACTTCTCCCTTGCCAACCGCTTCTCCTCGGCCTTTTCGGCCTTGGCCTTGTCTTCAGCTTCCTTTCTCTGTCGAATAGCAAGCTGTCGCTTTTCTTCGACTTCCTTTTCCTTGGCCGCGGTGTCGACCGGCCGGGCAGCACCAAATGGGCTTGCTTTTGAGTCTGAAGCGTGGCCCGGCGAAGCAGTTGGATCGGCTTCGGAGACAGTTCTCTTCTGGAGGTTGAGTTTCGGCCGCGTAGCCGGAGCTGAAGGAGGAGCAGGAGACGACGGCTCACTGGCTTCGGGAGTGGGCACTTTGGGAGCGTCTGGCCTCATTCGGGAGCGCCACTGGCTATCGAGCTCAGATGCAGTAGGCTGCCGTTCAGGAGGTGGACGTTCGGTGAAATCGCGGCGCGGAGGTCGAGATCCATCTTGAGACCTCCCTTCGCCCCAAGAAGGCGAGTTCTTGCGGAAATTATAGCCTTCCTTGCTTCCCTGGCGGCCACCCTCTCGGAGGGAGGTTGGGCCAGGAGTGACAGGAGACAGTGGTCCTTTTCTCTCCCAATTACCAAAGTCTCTGACCTTACCGTCGTCGCCTCCGAACGCTCGTCGGTTGCCCCGTTCACTTCCAGCATCAGACGCGTTGTCGTTGGTAAAGGTCCTTCCGCCGTAGCCCCCGGGTCTGTCGGAGACTCGACGTTGGTTCGGCAGATCTGGAAGGGGCCCTTTCCTCGACCAGTCGCTGAAGTCCCGAGTGTCTTGTCGCTCTTTTGCTACACCGAAGTCAGACTAGTTACCAATTGTCGCCACATGCAACTCACGTGGTTCGGCAACACTGACGCGAACCTGCCGGCCCGCCAAATTGCTGCCGCTAAGAGCCAATGCAGCCTTGAGCCCGTCCACCGTTGCAAATTCAACATAACCGAAACCCTTGGGCTTGCGATCCAGCTTGTCTTCCACGATGCGGACATTGGTCACCTCGCAGTCTTTGAAGAAATCACTCACATCGCCTTGTGTGGCATCAAAAGATAGGTTGGCGAGGTGAGCAGTGTAGGGAGGTTGGGTGGGAAGAGGGAGTTGTTCGCGCATGGGATACGTGTCTCGGCGTTCCACTAACGGTGGCAGGTCAGCCTCATGATCGGATTCAATCCAGGACAGGGATACTAACTTGACTGGTAGCCATTGCCCATTCCAGTAGCCGTGCTGAAGGCTCGTCGATCTGATCCATAGCTTGGCCGCGAGTCAGACGCTGCTATTTCACAAAATCGTCAACAGCAGTTCATCTCAGGAGTGTAGCCATGTCAGGCTTCGAAATGGTCCTTACTGGGAAGAGGCATGTCCTCCATCTCGTCGGCCCAAGAGCCATAGTCTGGGATATAATGTCAGTGAACCAGATCGACCAAGGTCCATTGTCCCGAAGACGCACTCTCATCCTGCAAGAAGGTCCCGAGGGACATCTTCTGGTTCTTTTTGGGAGCTGGAAGCGGTCAGCGCATGATTCTTGGATCCCCAGAGCTGGCGCCGCGGGGCAATATGTGGTCATACGCATGATTGCGGTTGGATCGCAGCAGTCGCACGGAGATCGTGCGACCTGTAGTGATGGGACGAAGTAGTGGATATGTCGAGAAAAACGCCGACTTTGGACGCACTCCGGTCGGACCGCAGTGGAATTTGGTGTGTATGATAGATGGCTAACAGCGACCGTGCAGATGGCGGCGCAGTGGATGTGTACGAAATGTCTGTCTGAAGAAAGAGAATCTGTAGCCAAAAGGCGGCAGGAGCCCCATCTTTGTCCGTTTGGGTTTAGCGTCTCCGGGAAAGAACCGGGGTCTTGGCGGCTTCTCGTTCCGCAAATACCCATTCACCAATCGTCATCTATCACCCAGCATCTACTGTCAAGACATGTCACCATGCCCGGGGCACAGGATCTTTCTCGTGCTGGCCTGAAAGAAGACATCTTCTGGAAGCCGTTTGTGCCTTCACTTTATGTGGGAGCTGCCGCTGGTAAGCAATCTGCTGCAATGAAGCGCATCAACCGTCCACTGACTATGGTGAAAAGGAGCTTGTGGTGCGGCGTATGGAAGCATCGCCGGAACCCTCATCCAGACCTCAAGTCCGTTGGCTTACACTTCTTTGGCTGCAACGCAATGGTTCACCGCAGGGACTACCTTTTTCTGTCCGTCAACCTCTCCGTCAAGCCTTCCATCCCGACTGACATACTCTAGACTGCCGTAGTCTCTTGCTCTCAGGCCCATTTTCGAATGATAAAAGCCTGCACAAGGTCGCCGCCAGCGGCATTGCAGGATCATGTTCGGGAGCAGTAGCTGCAACCTTTCGTAAGTGATGTACTGCCGACGGAGTGCCCATCTGACCACTTCGAGTGCCTCGAGGAAGTGTGGTAACAGGGAGCATCATGCTCGGCATCATTGCTGCCGTCTCTCAAACAGGGATGAATGCCATGCAAGGCTCCACGCCCTTTTCTGGGGTGGCTACCGGCTTCAGAAACAGGATCGCTGCGTTGAGTCCGATGAAATCGCTTTCCGATCAAGAGTATGAGGAACTGCTCCTTGACAAGCTCCTGAAAGTCGACGTCGAGATTGCCGTCTTGGACGACCAAATATCCGATCTTCGAGCGGCCAAAGAGCAGCACTCGCCGGCTTCGCAACGATCGCCTAGAGACGGTGCTAGCTGAGATCTGAACCAAGGTCGGGTTGGTTATTCCATCCTAACACTTTTCTATGAAGCCACGACCACCGGCAGAGAGTGGGCTCGAAGCCAGCATGGAGCTACCTATCGGCTTATAGCAGCCTTCCACCGTCGGCAGGTGCCGATGAACGCGTATCCACTACCGAAGATGGTGTTCAGCACCTCGAGGGACTCCCATCCGGCACTGAGCGGATCGAGGCGAAGCTTCTACCCATGAAGGTCGGAGCATACGACGCCAAGTCGGGGAGAGCTGCAGGCGACAAGTGTACATGTTCGCTAGCGACGATCTGAACCAGAGGCCGATCGAGATGATAGAGCGCGTGGCATGCCGCACTCTACAAACGGTGCACACAGTAACAGTACGGGGTATGGGGACACTGGAAGAGGAGGACCTCGATATCATTGGGCGGTCACTGGTTAGCTGCAGCCCGGCGTCATTGACTCTGTAGAATGGACATGCCGCTCTTCAAGTGGCAATAGGAGGCATGCTTCAATAAGCATTCGAGCTTGATCATCCGCATGCGGATCTTGCTCACCACGTTACTCGTCTTGCTCATCGGCTGCACCGGCTGAGTCATCAATGGATGAGCTGCTTTGGGCTGCATGCACTGCTCCAGATTTCGTCGTATCTGCGTATCTGTATCTGCGCCCGCATCTACAACCGCATCGCTTGATGCTCACTCGTGATCATTGATATCGACTGGCCACGCCGGCAATTGCTTTTCCCACTTTCGACCGACCTCATTCTGTCGCCAATACCTTTTGCGACACCCTCTTTCACGCCGACGGTTCCGGCGCGTCAGCGGCGAGCACGACGTTGTTCACAATCCCCGCATGTCGATACAGACTCGAACTCGATCGAAAATCCGGTCTCCGGCCATTGTCTCGTGCATATCTCCTCACAACTGTTATGCGAAGAGTTATTGTGAAGGCTCTGTCGACTATGTGGCCTCGAGGAGAGTGCCGTCTCTACAGTGAGCGCCCTTGCTGCCGAAGCAGATGAAATGACCGACGGCACGCCTGGATTCACGTGTCTCTCTTCGGGCAGTGCTGGAACAGGGGGACTTGTTGCTGGAGGACCGAGATGCCTCTCGTCAATGCCACCTCGGTCACTGCCGTTCTGTTCCTTCTCTACCTGTCCTCCTTCATCCTCCTGGCAATCCTGCGAGTCGCGACCGGCATATCCATCCAGCGCATTGGTCTTTCCAGTCTTAGGCACATCTCCTACACTCCCAGAGAAGGCTTGCGAATCGACCTGCGAGGACTCGGCCTCAGTGTTCACCGCCCGACATTTGCTCAACCGACATGGATCAGCGTGGTGTTCGAAGAACTCAAGGTGACCCTCGATCCCGCCGCATTCGAGCACACTGCCGACGCGGCACGGGTCCGCCAGGAAAAGCAGGACCGCAAGGACGAGACACATGGACACCGCAGAAACCGTTCTCGAGATCAAAGCCAGGTATGGAAGAGGTTGACCAGGACCAAAGAAAGCATCAAGCGCCTGCACCGCAAAATCCACCTTCTGCGCATGTTCGACATCATCGCGTTAAACACTTCGGCGGAAATAGTCGGAGTCGGATATGTGCAGATCTCGTCCTTTACAGCAGCTGTCTACACGAGGCGGAAGCTTTTGGATCGCGGGCGGCTCTTTCGACACAAGAAGGATCCTCTGGGAGATCAAAGGCCAGCGGAATGGGTCTTTACAGTCAAAAGCATACTTCTGGGCGTTGGCGGTCGAGACCCGATTGAGGTTCTTGATGCCATGACAATCAACGTCCATGGACTATTGTACAGAGATCGAGAAGGACTTCGAGACACTTCAATTGCCATCAAGGGTGGCCGTCTCTACGTGCCAGTGGATGAATTAATCCACTTCTCGCGCAAGGGCCAAAGGTTGGCAAAGAGCCCCGAACCACCCGACCTACTGACCCCTGTCGACGAGATATCGTTCGAGGATGTGGCGGGAGAACTGGACAGTCCTGGCAGTCGCGAGGCAGCCATTGTCCAGACGGTAGCTGAGTCTAAAGAGTTTCTCCGGTCAACCCTTCAGAGTGTGCAAGAGGTCCAGGTGGGAATGAGCTTCGTGCGAATCTCGAAAGAGATCGAGTCGCTCAGGCAAGCCAATCTTCCTCTGTTAGCCAACGTTGTCATACACGAGATTGGCGTTGACCTGCATCGACTTGAGCAGAATTCCCCGGCTCACCGAATGTATTTTCAGCGCGAGGACATCGCTCACCAGGCCCTTCTTGCTGCTCTGTCTATCTCGGTCAGCCTTGATGAAGATGATTCGCGTCCGAACAGGATCATGTACATCCCGATGGCAACTACCACCATCAGGACTACCTTGCCAGCAAAGACGATGAGCTTCACACAAGATCGCGACGTTGCCGAAAGGAACACCAACGTCCTATTTGCTAACCTGGTCGTCACATCGCCATCTCTCGATCTGGCACCTCAGCACCTGATAAAACTGCTCGCTGTCGCCCACAGGCAAGAAGCCCGCTCCCTTGAGACTACTCACAATCAACATCGTCTGATTTCCAGGCTACTTCCGAAGGCGAGCATCAAGTTCTCCATCCATGAGCCGGTGCTCAGATTTGTTTTGCCGGTTGCGAATCCTACTCATGCTGCACCTGGTGACTATGACATGATCATATCTTCTATATCCTCGATCTCTCTGGACCTTGAGTCTTCGCATTCAGCAGGAGGTGAACTCCTTTATTCTCTTGCTTCGAGCTTCCGGGTTATGTCGCACAGGTTATATTACCAGGCTTCCACGGGTACAAAACACAATCTGATCATCACCGAAGCTTTGGAACTGAAAGTCCAACTGACGGCTTCCAAAGAGGTCTCTGTCGTCCTGCAGGGCAGCCTGCGGACTTTCTCCGTTCTCATGGTGCGGGAGGAAGTCAGCAAAGCACTCTACAACATAGTCAAGCATTTTCGACATCACTCTCCGGCAGATAAAGTCGTCGTCCAGAAGCCTCCACGGGTCGCCTTCTTGCGAAAGTTACCTGCTTGGCTTATTGAGGCAAGCTTCGAAGGCTCGGGGTGCAGTTTTGAAGCAGCTGGTATCGATGAGAGCGTCTCTGCTCAAACGCGAGGAGTCGCCTTGGAGCTTGAATCATGGTCGGCCCAGTATACATCAGCGAAGTCGGAGATCGGCCGGAAACCGAAAGGACGAAAAGTTAGTACCTCGGTCCGCTACGATGAGCACTTCTCGCCCACGAAAGCCGTCTCACCTCCGCCGACGCATTCCAGGCATCGGCATAGTGACCCCACGGATGGGAGACGGCTCGCATGTCATATCAAGGGCTTTGAAGGCTTCATCATCGAGTCTGCCGACTCCTGGGAGCCGGCACCGTTTCTCTCTGTGCCGAGACTGGAAGTTGCTTTCAGCACGTCCCGAGACCAACAAGGGCCGCTCTTCCATATCCATTCCGCCGTCCGCGCCTTCTATCTAGACTTCTCTCTCTACAAATACTACTCGATCGGCGTCGGAGGCTTTGTCGTCAGAGAAGCTTTCCATGGGCCGGTACAGCTCCAGCGGACAGCAGCGCACCAGACCAGCCTGGCTCATAAGGAGAGCGGCTTGGAACATGTACCAGTGCCTCTGGGCGCGGAACTGTTCGCAATTGATATCAAAGCTTACTATGTCCAAGTCAAGGCTCATTTGCCACATGACCCCCCGGTGATGCTTCAAATCTACCAGCTTACTTGTGGCCGGCACAGATGGTCGCCTCCCTTCTTACGAGCTGAACTGGCTCGCTTACACGCAGAAGCGCCGCGCCTCAAGCGAGTCTGGGCACGGGTTGTGGGCATCAGTGGCCTCAGGCTAGATCTGCGCCACAGTAGAAAGAAGACCCAGCATGGTGTGGTTGAGGAGAAGACCATTGATATTGGCACCGATTTCATCCGCCTCGGAGTCCCGCACGGACTCGAGATGTATAAGGTTTTTGACAACTTCATCAACACGGCCAAGGCGATGAAGCAGCTGCATCATCGTTTCCAGACGCGTTCGAACGAGTACGTGCTGGGTAAACACCCTGAACCCGCCAAGAAGGTCCCTCGAATATCAGTTCGGACCAAAGCCTTGTGCTTCGAACTTGAAGATGACCCGTTTGAATGGAAATTGGGTGTAATCTACCACGTTGGCCTGGTCGAGCAGAAACAACGGCTTGCTCGGGCCGATGCTTATCGGCTGAAGGTGAAGCGACTGAACGAAGAGAGACGGCCCAGGTCACCTTCTCGCATGCGGGCTCGCTCGACGCATTCGAGCCGGGCAGGATCACCTAATGCCTCTCCAACCCCCCAGCCTCGGCGCTCGCGCAGTGCCGACACCACGCCGAGGAAGCGATCCACCTCCAGGGGAAGACGTGGCAGGAGGTCGCGCCGGATCCGGTACGATCGCGAGGGTGTATGCGCGTTGACGGGTGACGCAAAGATAGAGGCAACCGAAGCATGGGAGAGGCTCCAAGAGCATAACTCTCGCAGCTGGAAACGACGGATTGACTTTATGTTGCGGCTGCAGAACAACGCTGTCAGGAGCGTCCGACAGATGTTCAGTGGTGCAGACGAACCGCCACACGACGAGCAGGAGAGGGAGACGATCCTGGGCATTCCGAATCGTCCTGGGTTAATGACTCTGATAATCAGCGACTTGCATCTCATCATTGACAAACCGTCATTTCCCGAAGCCGAGCTGCCCAAATTCATCCACGAGATCGGGAAAGGCATGCCCTATGACATGCAGTATGGACTCCTCATTCCCATCAGCCTCAGTCTCGACATGGGCGAAGCTCGGGTCTTCCTTCGTGACTATCCCCTCAATCTCATCCACATCCCCGCTATACGGCCTGGACAGCCAGCTCGATTACCCAGTTGGTCTCTACGATCAGATTTTGTCATTGCAGAAGAATTCCGAGATGAAAGGTCAACCAGGCACATCAAAGTCGAGATCGTGCCGAAAGGACAGCATGGACGCAGCGGAGAAGAGATCCCAGCATTCGCCATAGACGTGAGGAGAACCGTTGCACCCGTCAAGACCTACTCGAAGCCCGTCATTGATATCAATACTAGCCTGCCAACCACGATCTCATGGGGCACATCGTACCAGCCAGTTATCCAGGACATGATGATGATCATCGAGAGCTTCACCAAACCTGAAATAGATCCTTCGGAAAGGGTTGGCTTCTGGGACAAGATTCGGCTCAGCTTTCATTCCAGGCTGGTGGTCAACTGGAAAGGCGACGGTGATGTCCAGTTCCGACTCAAAGGTACTAGAGATCCTTACGTCGTCACTGGGTACGGTGCTGGTTTCGTCATGTGCTGGCGGAACGATGTACAGTGGCTCATACACCAGGTCGATGACCCGCGTGAGTTCATGACAGTGAAAAGCGGTGAGTTTGTCTTGGCTGTCCCTGATTACAGCCATGAAGCCCGCAGATCCTCTGAGCAGCAGATGAGAAATGACTCGGACAGCGTGTCCAGTATCAGCAGCACTGGAAAGAGCGCCGCCCTGTTCAAGAAAGTTATCATGAAACTGTCGGGGAATGTGCAGTGGACTGCCGGTCTGGTCTTTGAACGAGACGTCGCCGACGATATACGCAGCTCCGAGTTCAGACCGCACTACGATGTAGTGTTAAAAAATCCGATGTCCCTCCAAGATGTCGACTTGGACACGTATGACGCATTCCGAGGCTTCCGAAGCCAACATGTCCATCTGTCCATTGCGGTGGCTGCACCTTTTGACAGGGATTTGGTAGGTGCGGACTCACCGCGCTCGGAAAGCTATAACAGCGTCCACCTGAGTCCGAAGTTCTTCTCCCACTTCTTTAACTGGTGGTCGACGTTTTCCGGCGTCATGTCCCTGCCTGTACGGCAAGGCTCTCTATGGAGGGATCTGGGCAAGACAAGCAAGAAATTCGGCCGCCATCTTGCGACGATCAAGTACAATCTTCTGCTGTCGCCACTCTTCATATCGCACGTCTACAAACACAAAGATGCGGAGGACTACCAGGCAAATGTTGTGTCGGCCACTGGCTTGAAGATCAAGATTGACAACTTCATGCTCGACCTCCATCAGCGTCGAGAGTACTTCAACACTATGGCGAAAGGGAGGGCGAAACACATGAGAACGAGCGGCATGAAGATTAACAAAACCGAACTTGACTTTGTGCGGGCAGACTTAAGAGCTGTCGCCGCTCTCATCGCAGGGACCACAGCAGAAGACCTTGCAAAGGCTAGCGACGAGAAGCTGGCTTCCTTGGGGGAGGTACCCGAGAATATCGACCTGTCTCAGTTCACTATCCCCGATCAGGATTTGTCGTGGATTGACATGGACGACTTTGTCGAACTGGATTGGGTCTTGCCTGCTGAGTCGAATCCCGAGACGAAGATTCTGCCGCTAGCCTTCACTCCACGCTTCACATACTTCCGACAAACTGATCATGGAGGGGCAATCCAAGGGGATGCGTCCCGGACCAGTCCTTTTGGTGACGAAGACACGCACTTCTGTGTTATGGGCCGCGACAACGACCCGAGAAAGGTGCAGATGGATTTAATCGAGGCGCGTCTGCACGATTTGGAGGACAGGCTGCAAACACATGTACGTATCATGAACGAACACGAACTCCTCGTAATTCGGGACGGAGATCATAACCGAGCCTATCGAGACAAGCAAAACTTGCTCGTAGCACAACAAAAGGAGCTGGAGAGCAAGCGACGATTCCTGCAGCATGGGCTCCGTCGCCTTATGGGCCATGCAAATCCTGGCGACGCTCATCAACCGGACCATTTTCCTGAGAGCAATGGAAGCACGACGAAATCTATACCTGATTCAGACGCTCAAAGCGCTGGCACCCACATGGACATGGATGGGCTGTACTCGGCGCCCCATGATGAGTTTGCGAGTGACTATTCCAACCGCTTCATCATTCACAATGTTCAGCTGAAATGGAACAACTCCTTGCGCAACATCATCCTGCGTTACAGTCACCAGGTCAGCCAACGCCGAGGCTTCGTGTACTACATGTCACGCCGGGCGGTCAAGTTCATCCTGGACATCGTGGACGAGCAAGCTCGAGCGAAGGATGCACGGCGCCGGCAAGAGAAGAAGCACCACACTCCAGTACCGCCTACGCCGAGCGTCATCTCGCCCAGTGAAGAGAAAGACGAAGATTCCGTGATAGAAGATCGGATCATGCAGCTTTTGAACGACGTCAAGCGATTTGTCCATGCACCCGACGCCGAGAGAGATTCTTCGGAGTCGCCTGTCGATGGGGACACCAACCTGGAAAGGAGGACTTCTACGAGTGACCCTGCCGATAAGATTGCGGACAACTTTCAAGCGATGAATAGTTATCACCTCCGCCTGATTGCTCCCCAGATACAGCTCCAAAGCGAGAAGAATACCAAAGCTATTGTGCTGATCTCGGCCAAGGGCATGCAGTTGAAAGTCGTCTCCATTATGGACAAGGCTCGCATGTCAGACGCTGTGAGCGGACTGGTTCAACGCCGTTTTGCGCTTGATATGGACGGTGCCCAGTTCTTTGTGGCGACTCAGAAGACGTTGGCCAAATACCTCCACCTCTACTCTGGCAATAAATATGGCAACAGCCCTGGTTCGTCGTGGCCCCCCTGGGTCTCCCTTGAGGCCATGTTCGACTTCCATCTCGAACCCTTTGGCTTCCAGCGAGTTATACAGAAGACGTCCGCCGCTCTTAGATATGAGAAGTACAATCCACTCCGGCTAAAATACAACGAGGAAGTCGAAAGCAATGAGAATGGCGAGCAGGACGACGCAGCACGGAGGGAGAATCGAATCGATCAACTATGGGTCGACTTTCCCCGGATTCGTGTTCGATGCGACTCAACCCAGTACTATGCGATGTATATCATCGTGCTCGACTTGTTGTTGTACAGTGAACCATTGGAAAAGACGAGGAGCGAGCGGCTGGAGAAGATCATGCTTGCCTCTGACTTCAGCGATCTGCGAGGCGCTCCCGAGATGGCCGAGAGCTTGCAGGAACGAATCCGCCAGCTTGAAGACATCAAACTACATTTCCAGATCAACGCGAAATACCTCGACAAGCAGGGCTGGCAGGATCGAATCAATCTGGAGAAAGATCTCGCAAGCTGTGAAGACGAATTGTTCTTCATCATGAAAGCCATCAATACATCTCAGCAGAAGAGCGAAGATCGGAAGGCTTCGGAGACCAGTGGTGTTCTACGGTGGTATCTGAGTGCCTCTGAAATCGTGTGGCACCTGATGCGGGAGAAGGACGAGCCTCTGCTCGAGTTTCAGCTCGGCAATGCTGCGTATGAGCGGATTGACAACACCGACGGATCGAACCATAACGCCCTCGAGATCGAGCATATCAGAGGCTGGAACCTGCTTCCTAACGCGCTGTATCCCGAGATCATAGGGCCCTACTACGACGCATCAGAAAAGGACAGACGGCCCAGCGTAATGGAACTCCAGAAGATGGTGCAAGTGCACTGGTACATGCTCGAAGCTATCGCGGGCATACCCGTCCTTGAACACTTCCAAGTCACCGTGTTTCCACTCAAAGTCCAACTGGAGCGGGAGCTCGGCAAGAAGCTCTTTGAGTATATCTTCCCCAGCTCCGGGTCTGATGCATTCGAGACCGGTAACTTCTCTCCGTTGGCGGTGAAAAACCTCGAACCTACAGACGTCGAAGACGATCAGGAATTCGTCGAGGCACGTAGCGCTCTGATGTCCGAGGAAGGTCTTGACAAGGCAAGTGTCGACAAACCACGTGAACCTTCGCCAACGGCTGTGGCTAGGAGACTCAAACCGACCTACAGCCTGGACTACGATGAGAAGAATAACAGTCACTCGACGCACGGCAAGAACAGAGGCCTCGGGATTTCCAGTGAGCACCACAAGTTTTTCAAGCATTTCAACACGTCCAGCGCACGGTCTGTGCTCAAGGAACCTTCCCGCAAGGGCTCGTCAGGCAGCCTGCGCTCGGCGAAGAAACATGACGCCTCCTCCACGAGTCTCGTCGCCCTGGGAAATGGCAACACCGAGAAGAAACGGTTCAACCTTGGGTCCGCGGCAACCAAAAAGGACAAGAAAGACAAGGCCGCCAACGATGATCTGAGTCAAATGATGTCCCGCGCTTCCAACTACATGACCCTGGCGCACGTGAAGCTCAACAGCTTCGTGGTCTGTCTCTCGTACAAAGGGAAATCAGACCGCAACTTCGAGGACCTGCACGACTTTGTGTTCCGCATGCCTACACTCGAATATCGGAACAAAACATGGAGCAATCTGGATCTTGCGCTCCGGCTAAAGAAGGATGTGATCAGGGCACTGATTTCTCACACTGGCGCCATCATCGGCAATAAATTTTCGCATCACCGACCCAGCAAGAAGCAGGTCGAACGGCTCAAAGAGATTGCACATTCCAGCACGATTCCGAACAGCGACGTCAATCTGCAGCTCTCGGGGACGAGCGAGACGACGAGTCTGTACAGTTTCAGCCAGGACGGAAAAGACGACGACCTGGACTCGGGCATCACTTTCCAGAGTCCGCCGGGCACCAATGGTCACAAGAATGTGACGTTCCATGGGCCGTCGCCCCTCCTGAGAAGCGGAAGCTGGTCAAGTGGGATCAATCTGCCCAACACAGGGGCGGCGATCGGGGCGACGGCCTTGCCGGCTCCACGCTCCCTGAATGGAACAGCAGGCTCGGGTCCCACTAGCGGGTCCGCAGGAAGCGGCATTCCTAGCAGTACATCGTCCCTCTTTTCGCAACGACGGCCCTCATCGGCGCATCCCTCTGCCGTGCCCACCTCGGCTCCCAATGTAGCGATGCCGCCCCCGACCTCGGCCCTGCATCCACCAGCTAGCTCACACGGGCAGGCCAGATCGTTGCTTAAAGACACGATTGGTCGGCATTTCAGCGCGGACACGGTCAAAGGGCGCGTGCATTTCGGCGGCTTGAGCCTCATGAAGAGCGACACGCACAAGGAGAAGGAACACCACAGAGAACGCTCCGACTCTCTATCCAGCCACAAGGATAAAGACAGAGACAAAACCACAGGAGCTGCGGCACACAGCGCCGACGATGTTTTTACCGATGCCGGTACCACTACTGGTGGTGGCATCGACACTCCTTCGCGCAGACCGCCTCTTGCGGGAGCCTTGGCAGGCCCCGGCGGCAACGAAGCCGACGGCACCGAGCGCGACACGGACATGAATCGACGAAAGAGCGTGCTCACGCTCGGCAAGAAGGTCTTGAATCGGCTGAATTAGGACGTCGCTGTTCAAGATCTTCTCTGCGATGCGGCCAGCGCGGGCGAGTACGGTGCCGGTGCCCCGGCCGGGGTAGAGTCCGATGACAATGATGACGGAGCACTGCGGTGGCTCGAACGAGAAAAGGCACGACGGCGCGCCTTGAGCGGATTTGACGGCCTGGTGGAGGAAGAGGAAGACTTTTGCGTGGGCGTCCTGCGGTCCGAGGGCAGAGGCAGGGTTGGAGATCTACGCGGTGATGGTGTACATGTTCATGGACTTGCTCGGGGGGCTCAAACTCATCATGATCATGGTCATAGTAATGATCACGGCCGGGGAGACTCGGACACTATATACGGGCGGTTGCACGGTTCTTTTTGTTGGTTTTTGACGAGGCCCGATGGATGAAGAGCGAGGATGCAGGTAGAATGGCGCAGCGTAGCATAGCGAGTCACCATCGTCAGGCTAGTCAGAAGACTTGTGATTCCGCATGTATTTTTGCTAATGAGAGAGAGCGAGGTACCATACTCCCTAAGTCCTTCTTTTCCAGAGGCTGATGCCGAAGCTCGCGATGGCCAAGACGACTTGGGATTTTGACGTGGTTTTGATTCTTTTCCCCTCGATGTGTTTGCCTTGTTTGGGTACGTATCTGTTCGGTTGGGTGGTTGGTTGGTTGTCGATCTGTCCTAGTTGTCTACTTGCTCGGCTGTCTCTTTATCCGATTGTTCCTCGCGTCTCTCCGTAGGCTGGACAAGGTACTACGTACAGTACTGGACGGCGTTTTGGCGGAACCTGGAAAGAGGACCAGGTACTCCGTACTCCGTATTGAGATTTGGAATCGAAGAACGAAGAACGAAGAACGAAGCAACTTCAATTTACGACATGGATGTAATCCGTCCTGTATGTACTCACCCCGGATGTATGCAGCGTCTCTAGAACTCCTTGGTATTTGAGCTGTAGACGTTCTACAAACCACAACAGTCTGAATGATCCCTAAAGGCGTCAGCTGAAAGACGCCATAATTATGGTCCCCTACCTGCTCTACATATTCAGTCCAGCCATGCATAAGAGATGCTCTGAATCATGCAAAGCGTGGTCCAAACGGCTTAACAACTCTCTGTGTGGGCAACAGAGAGTGCCGCCACTCATCCCTGGTATCAGTGAGCACTATTAAGTTCCATTGCACGACTTCAAAGGATGAACTTGGTACTTTACGTGTTGCGGGACGTCCCATGCTGCCACCCTCTCTCACTCTCTCGGGATATCGGTGCCAGGCATGGGGCCTTGTTGGTATACATACTTAGGGCACGGCACGCACGTATGGTTGATCGATTGATGCTATTCTATTAGGGCAATCTCGGCGTCAACCTCTGTGGTTTTGGTGGTCTCGCTCTACTGCCCGGTTTTCTACTCTCACTCTTGTCATGTTGCGACCAACTAATTATGCACTCTTGTCCCATCTCGAGAAGACATGCACTCTTGTCTCAAACTCGAGCTGCTTGGAAAGTGCAATCTTCTTCGTCTGTGTCTGCACGTGCGCCATGCGCTGTACAGTATGAGGTCTCACTTCTCCAGACGGAAGAGTGAGGCAGGGATTCGTCAACCGGGTGCTCAGTGCTCGTGCAGCTATGGAAAGTGTGCTGTGCTGTGCTGTGCTCTGCGTCTGTGTGTACGTGCGCGCCATCGACCCCAGATGATGCCTCACTTCTTCGGATGAAATGGTAAGGCAAGGCAGGGCAGGGATTCTCAAGCACCAGAGGTCTCACTTCTTCAGCCGTCAGCATAGGGAAGGCTTGCCTCGACCGCTAGAACCTTGGTCCCTCTCAATAGGGACGTTCGCCTTCGTTGTAGACGAACGCGTCTCCACCATGACCAGAAGCATCGCCGTCCTTGAGCTCTCCAGCACCACCGTACTTTGCCTCTGCAGCATCGGTCGCCGGCTGCTCCACGGTTTCACCAGCACGCTGCCCGTTTTTGACGTTGCCAGCTTCGGTCGGCCCGTCTTCTTCGCCTTCGTCCCCATCACTGTCCTCTCCCGGCACATAGTCGTTTGCTCCATTCATCGGTTTGGGCGGTTTCCACCCGATCAGCATCTCATTGGCAATGAATTCGTCGAAGGAGGGATACACGTTGAGCACCTCGTCGAAGAACATAATGCCGCAGCCAAGAGTCCGCACGGTGGCCTCGATCTTCGTGCCGACGCGCAACATGGATTGAAGGATCGATTCGACAAAGAAGACGTACTCGGCCGGCGACGTCGCTTCGGCCTCTCGCTCGGCCTCTCGCTCCGCGTCTGTGAGGTCTTCGGCCAATGCCATAAGGTCTCGCCACCGTTTCGCGGTCACGCGGCCGACAGGGCGGAACTGCGCAGACTGTGAGGTGTAGATCTGCTTGCATTCCTTCGAGGGCGGTTGGATCTTTGTGATCTCGAAGCCCATGTGTTCTTGGACGTCGATGACGTCGAGCATTAGTGGCCTCTGGTTCTGCACGCCGTCCAGAAAGCCGAGGTAGACGTTTTCGTTCGCCGCGCCCGCGACGCCGAACTTGACGATCTGTTGTGCTTCTTCGGGCTTCATGCCCACGAAGACGGGGACTCCTTCGTCGTCTTTGCCCCACCATGTCTCGCCGTCGTAGTTGTGCGCGTAGCTGCCGTCGAAGAGCGTCGAGCACGCGATGTTGAAATCCCCCGGGAGACGGCGGAGGACTTCGGCGGTATCCCACAGCTCGGCTGCCGCGACCCGGCAGAACGACCGGGATGCGAGAATGTCGTCCCCGTACTCTGGGCAGACGTCGTGCTGGAGCAGGTAGTCGAGGAACCGCTCAATGGTGGTGCAAATCATGTCGACCTGTGCTCTGGTCTCGAGACCCCAGACGTTCTTAGTCCGGCGGCTGAGGAAGCTCTTGATGCAGCCGAGGAAGTCGACCTCGTAGAGACTCGTTTCGGTGCCCAGGTCACGCTTGTCTTCAGAGGCAAAGACTTGCGAGAGAGCCTGCGCGACCTCGACTTTGGACAGTCCTTCGGTGTCGACGCTCCCTTGGCCGACGTTGGGTCCTACGCTGAGGCCACCGTACGCGAGGTACTTGTATAGAACGTCACGGCGCTCGGGGGTAAGTTTGCGGGTTCTCTCGAAGCGGGCTATGGCTGTCAGGATGCGGTCGACAAAATCTAGCTGTCTATGCTCCGCGTTAGCAAGTGTGGAAGATACTTCTCATCAGTGGAGTCATCCTTACGGGTCGTAGAGTTCTTGGTCTTCGGCGTGTTCTTCCGGCGTCATCGGGGCATCTGCGAAGAAGTCTTCGAATCCGGTTGGCTTGTCCTGTAAAGCCGTCAGAGTGACCTCTGAGGCGAGACGCGGTCATCTGGATGCCATACCAACCCACGTTTACTGGCTGGCTTCTTCTTCTTTTTCTTCTTCTTCTTCTTGTCCTCCGGGGGCGGGACGTTGGACACCACGCCGTGATCCTGGTTCTTCAGATCGTCATGCTCTTCTTCTTCTTCGTCTTGCACTGAACCATCCGCTGATTTCTGCTGCCGGCCAGCCAGAGCAACGTTATGATCGCCGTTGGTTTTGGACATGTTGGCTTGAGGTCTCAATGGGAGATTCTGCACGTCGTTACCAGTGCTTGCACCATCGGGCTGGGGGTCGGTATCATGGGTCACAGCATGCTCAGGTTGAATTGAGCCTTGCGCCACGGGCGTTGGCTCTATACCTCGTGCCATTTTCTTGCGATAGAGTGAGGCGTACAAGATTGACGGGTGAGGCAAGACGGAAGAACTCTGATGGTCAACCAAGAGACATAGGCAGGTCCCTCTGGAGCAAGTGACCTGGCGGCTCAACTCCTTGAAGACTATCTTGGAACGTCACCCTGAGGTTGAACAGTGACGGTCCGAACATGAAGCCAGGTTTGAAACATTATTCACCGCTAACAAGCAAGAGAAGATGATGGGTAGTGAAGGTCGGTTCAGCAAACAATCATGTCTGTAGACAGCCGGATGGTGTGCCTGGAAGTCCACCTAGATTCACTTCTTTGTTATTTATTATGGACATGAGCTATCGACTCTTCCATTGCGCCAAAAGACGAGCAGAGGAAGATGTCGCTGGCCCCGCGTCTTCCACCTCGGAAGGGGTCGACAGCAACACGGGTTCCGCCAATGAAAGCAGCAATCCGGCGGGCGTTTCGAGAACTGCCTCGACCATGAACTTGGAACTTCCCAGCCCTCAGAGCGGGTGAGATCGGCCGCCCAACAATGATAGACTGAAAATCTACAGTGTAGAGATCTCTCCATTCCTTCTCGTGCATCACTCCTCGTCTACCCTCATCCTACACCATGGCAACACCCCAAGCATCCCACGCCAGCAAGAAAATCGCAGTCACGCCCAATGAATCCGAGCTCATACCCTTCGACCACAGCGCCGCCGGACAGTAAGCCCTGCCACCCTGCCCAGGTACCCGCAGCGTGTCTGTACTAACGAATCTATCGCATAGTGAAGGAATCAGCTCCAACGCGTCCGGCTCCCTGATCATCAAGCCCTGCACGCGAGCCGAGATCGACTTCTACGAGTCCGCGAAAGACCACCCCCTCTTCCAGGCGCATATGCCCACCTTCATCGGCTCTTTGTCCCAACATGAAGACCAAGACGCAGTCGCACCCATACTCCAAGGGGCATCCCACCACGGCGTAGCCGCGCCCGCGGGCGTCATCGCCGACCCGACCCCAGGCCTCATTAAGCGCGCGACCTGGAAACCTTCGGGCGGGAAGAAGCTCTCCACAGGCACGGCGATCGTCTTGGAGAACGTGGCGAGCGGGTTCAAACGTCCGAATGTGCTGGACGTGAAGCTCGGCTCGAGGCTCTGGGACGACGAAGCACCGCTGGCGAAGAGGAGAAAGTTGGACGAAGTGGCCGAGCGGACAACGAGTGGGAGTCTGGGCTTTCGAGTTGCAGGCATGAAGATCTGGGGTGGTGGAGAAGACTCCAACACGCCGCTGTCGCCCGTTGAGAACGAGTACGTCGAGGTCAAGAACGGGTATAAATCCTACAACAAGTTCTATGGGCAGTCTTTCAAGGCGGAGAACGTGGTTGATGCTTTCACCGCGTACTTTGGTGCGGTTGAAGAGAGCGGCGACGGCGCAGCAGTCGAGAAGAAGGTCACTTTGAAGCAAAAACGCGCACGGTTCATCGTCCAGCGATTCATCCGCGAACTGGAGAGTATTCAGTATGTGCTCGAGAACGAAGAGAGTAGGATGTACAGCGCGAGTGTGTTGATGGTGTATGAAGGCGATGAGGACGCCTTGGAAGAAAGTATTGCCAGGGAGGAGAATGAAGATGGTGAAGAGGGCAGGATCAATGACGAAGATGAGGACGAAGATGAAGACGCCGATGAGGATGAAGCACAGGACACAAAACCACACAAGATCCACGAGGTACGACTGATTGATTTTGCGCACGCCAGGTGGACGCCCGGTGACGGGTCAGATGAGAACGCGCTCAAGGGCATAAGGTCTGTTCTTGACATTTTGCGGAGCCTGGTGGACTGAAGCGGCTATGCCTTGCCTAGGAGAGACATCGAGCAATTGATAGATACGAATTCCTTAGAGGGTTGGTTGCCGGGTATATAGAGCGTGACACTCAAGAAACAGACCTAGCTCTAGAATTGATTATTTCTGGCCAAACGGCGGTGTATTTCTAGTATCCAGAACGAAATTGCCGTGTTGTGGTTCACATCCTCTCCAAGCCCATGACGCCCTCAGGCCAACCGGCCCACACAATCGCTCTGTTCGGCACCCTGCCGGCCACCGGGCTCAGCAAACTGATTCTTCCTCTCGCCTCGTCCGTGTCCGTCACGTAAAGAAAGCCCATGACGCTACTGTCTCTCTTGACCTCCTGGTCGGCTTCGCCATCACAGTTCAGTACCGCGAGTACGGAGCTTCGCATCGCGGCCACTGGAGCGGTCATCCGTTCAAAGATCTGATTTGGGGGTAGGGCGACTTTTGTTGTCGCTGGAAACGTGTCGTCTGCATCGTCGGCCCCACCGGGCAGGAAGGAGTCCTCGTCATATTCGCCAGTCGCCGCAAGCGCTGACGAATCCGGCGTTGTCCCAACTCGTCGCCAGACACTCAGAGTCGAGAAGTCGACTTGTTGCTGTCGAGGTTGTAATGCGACTCCGTTGCTGAGCCGAGGGTTGCCGTAGAAATATGTCTTGATTTGAGCAGCACGGAAGGCAGTCATGTAAGCCACATCGCGGTCGACACAGCCGCCTGATTTGGCCAGCTTGATCACGGATAGCGTTTCTGGTGAATATGTGGCTGAGCTGCGTGACGGGACGGGCTGGCCGTCGAATCTTTTGACCATGTCACTGTAGAGTCTTTCTGAACCTAGGCAGATGATGGCGGAGACGGCGAACTCTGATACAACGTCCTGGATGATGTCGTATCCCACCCTGTTGCCGGCCGTGATGTTTGTCAGGCTGCCAGGAGTGTCGATGATGAGGCCACTTTCTCTGGCCTCGGGATCTTGGGCAAGACGCCCTGCGACTGCGAGAGCTAGTCGACTGACTTGAGCCTTGTAGACTTTGCCTTCCTTTTCTTCTGGCCTCGAGCTGCCGAAGAAGTAGACGAGGGGCAACTTGACCGGGATGGCTCCGTTAGGTCCTGACATGGGCGCGGCCCCCCAGCCTTCTTCCACGCCCATCAGCGTCTTGAACACGGTTGCGGTCAAGGTGCCGGGGATGCTCATGACGCCTTCCTTCACGTCCAGGTTGACAACGACGGGCGAGCGTCCCGACCTGTTGGCGTACCCCGTGAGGATTTTCGCAAGGGTAGTTTTGCCTGCATTGTCTGGACCCAGGACCAAGACTCTCGGTCCTTCACGTCCATTGGCTCGCGCTCGGTCACGCAGTTCCTCAAGGGCAAAGTGAACGTTGATGTAGTCACTCATGGGCGTCTCCTCGGCAGTGTACTCGCTCTGCAGGGCATCGCCGCTGATCTCGAAGGAGCAGCCGTTCCACGTGTAGATTGCGGCTTTGGTGGCCGTAAAAGTATAGGTGTTTCCGGTGACAAGTTCAGTGCCGAACAGTTCGGCGGTACCAGTCAGCAACTAGATCAGTGTCAGAACCTAGGCGTACGATGGCAGGGATTTCGTTCGTACTTTGACCTGCACGTATTTGCCCACGGGGACCTCGAACCGCCATTCGGTCTCCTTCGCCAAGTCATGTTGGGTGGTCTCGACGGTGTGAACCTCCTCGGGCTCTTCTAGGCCAAGACCAGGCAAAGACATTTCATCATCCTGAGAAAGCGATGCAGTCGTCTTCTCGGCGGCGTTGTGGATATTGTATCGAGTCAATGACAACTGCTAGACTGTCTGGTGAGGTTGCATGAGTCTGCTTGAATCTGCTCGAGTCGGTCACTCGCGGCTCAATTTCGCGAGTAGCCACGTTTTGGGTTAGCGGCTTGGCCGACCGCTTACTCATCAAACGAGGAACCTTGGTGAACTCTTGGTGCGCTCATCAGAACTGTCGATTCCCTCGCAAAGCTATTCATTCTGCTTGGTCCCGGTGCCTGAGCAAATAGAGTACTTTGCCAGGATTCCGCTTCGCAAGATCCTCCAGTCGGCTTGCATGGTCCGAGCAGTTGAAATCAAACTTAGTGCCGATGCACAACTGACTGTCAATCGCTTGTGCCTTGGCCGCGGACTTTGTCCGGTCCGTCGACCCTGTTGATCATCCGGGATTACCGAACACTGACTTTTCGCAAGTACACAGTATGTACTCCATTCTCCGTCCTGAACTGAATCGTTCCCAATGGTTCCGCAATCGTCATTTCCGACTGTCACAAAACTAAGCTAAGCTGGAAATACTCTTCGCAGCTGAGTCACCAACTCGCAAACAGCTTGCCATCCACTCGGCACCTGCAATGGACCCATCTCGGCATTATATAATGGATTACTACGAGTGGCGCACGAGCACATGCAGGGCTAGCATCTTGTTCAGGCCACCCCGGACACTGCCCGTTACTGGACCCCAGCAACAGATTGTCCTCCTTCCAAAGTCTCTGCTTGCTGGAAGATGGTTGGCAGTTTCACACCGTGGTTCAAAGTCAGCACTACTCAAGATTCGGCATAATGTACGATCGCAAAATGGTGATATCACTCGGGCACTCAAATGTCAACACTTGTGGAAACCTGGTGAACCCAATTCCGTAGAATGACAGCAAAAGGAATAGGCGTGCATACTGCGCATATGCAATTCATCTCTACAGGGTAGCCAAGTCTATGCGGCACCGTGGGAATCCGACCGATTTTGACTTTCCCATTGAGTTCGGACTGACAGGCAAGGATGCCTCGATTCACACCACTGGCTTGCCGGACGGATGTATGGCCCAACGACAAAGGCGCGTTGTACGAGAGCAGCTCTTTACATACCTGTCTACCCAAAGTCTTTAGCCACAGCTTGTTTCATGTCGATCAAGCCCGGTTTGTGGTCCTGTGTTCATTGCAACGTCAATTCAATATCTAAGCCACTTCATGTGAGTATCTAAGTACCTGAGCGACACTGTGTGCATCGGAGCCTCAACAACCATCACCCGAGAAAGCCTGCTTCCACTATTCAAGGCGGTTCCTTGACGTGTTTTGGTCGTCCCGCCTTTGTCAGTAGGCCCGCGGCTGAGCCAGCCTTCACGTCATGGGCAACGAAAACGAAGCACCTTCTTCTGTGCCTCCTGCCCCAGCAGAGGATCAGCTTGAGCGCGAAATTTCAACAAGCAGCTCCGAAGCTCCGGCATTCGAGCGAATCCGGACGCGAAAGACGAGAGACATAGACGAATACCGCTTTGATGACGGAGACGAGACCACCCGCGATGAGCTGGCAAAAATTGCTTCCATTCTGTCCGGGGCGCGGTCACGCACAAAGTCCTATAGAAGCGATGGTCTCCAAAAACAGGACACTGTTGCGGGCATGGCGATAGAGTCACCTGAATTCGATCCCAACAACCCGGCCTTCAATTTTTACCTCTGGATCCGGAAGTTCCTCCAACTGCTTGAGGAGCAGAATATCAAGCCACGACGATCTGGCTTCACCTTCAAGAATCTCAACATTTCTGGGAAAGGGTCCGCACTGGTACTTCAGAACACTGTCGGTTCCGTCTTGACGCAGCCCTTCCGTCTCCGCGAGTTCTTCAGCCATCCTGAGGAGAAACAAATCCTCCGCAACTTCAATGGACATGTCAACAGCGGAGAATTGCTTATCGTCCTTGGCCGGCCAGGAAGCGGCTGTTCCACATTCCTCAAGAGTATCTGTGGTGAACTTCAGGGTTTGGCACTCTCAGAGGACTCAAAGATCACATATTCTGGCATACCGCAGGATCTATTTGTGAAGGAGTTTAGGGGTGAAGCCATTTACAACCAGGAGAACGAAAAGCACTTTCCTCATCTTACTGTGGGAGAAACCCTCAACTTCGCTGCTGCGTGCAAAACACCGTCCAACAGAATACTGGATGCTCCCCGGGACGAGTGGGCGAAATATATGGCATCCGTCATGATGAACATTTTCGGTCTATGTACGTATCCAAACGCATCCAATCATGTGTGTGTGTCGTGGATACTGACCTGTCAATCAGCACATACACGGAATACCAAAGTGGGGGACGACTTTGTCCGTGGTGTCAGTGGCGGAGAGCGCAAGCGTGTCAGTATCGCCGAGATGGCCCTAGCCGGTATGTGAATATACTGCTGTACCAGCGATATAGGCTCATTTTTTTCCCAGGTTCGCCAATTGCGGCCTGGGACAACTCTACACGTGGTCTCGACTCGCAGACTGCGCTTGAGTTTGTCCGCTCGCTCAGGATTGCAGCCGACTTCGGTGGCCTCACTTCGCTCATCGCCATCTACCAAGCCTCGCAAGCCATATATGACTTATGCGACAAGGCAATCGTCCTGTACGAAGGCAGACAGATCTACTTCGGGCCTTGCCACGAGGCTCGGCCATATTTCGAAGACATGGGCTGGTACTGTCCACCGAGGCAGACCACCGGCGACTTTTTGACGTAAGTAAAGACCACAACTTGACATTTGGGATACTGCGCCGGAGGTTTCGCTAAATACTCAATTGCAGCTCTGTCACCAACCCTAGAGAGAGACAACCGCGACAGGGTTTCGAAAACAAAGTGCCCCGGACAGCTAAAGATTTCGAGAAATACTGGCGGGAAAGCTCTCAGTTCAAAGCGGCTCAAGAAGAGATAGAACACGCTGAGCAAGAGGACGGCAGTGGTGAAAAGGCGCTAGAAGCGTTCAGGGACTCACATCACCGGCAGCAGGCTGAACACGTCCGCCCAAAATCACCCTATGTAATCAGCATTCCCATGCAGATTCGTGTCTGCGTGACCCGAGCGTATCAGAGGCTCTGGAACGACAAAGCATCCACCATGTAAGTCGAGCCCTTCCTGGCTTAGAGTCAAGTCGGTCAATACTCACACCCGCTTTATCTAGTGCCGTCGTCTTTAGCCAGATCGTGCAAGCCTTGATCATCGGCTCCATCTTCTTCGGGACTCCACTTTCTACCGGCAGCTTCTTCGCAAAGGGCTCTGTACTGTTCTTTGCAGTCCTGCTCAGTGCCCTACAGTCAATTGTCGAGATCAACACCCTCTACGCGCAACGGCCGATTGTTGCCAAGCACAAGTCATATGCCTTTTACCACCCATTCACTGAAGCTGTCGCAGGCATTGTGGCCGATTTACCGATCAAGTTCTGTACAACTACGGTCTTCAACATCATTTTGTACTTCCTGGCCGGGCTGCGGTATGAAGCGTCCAACTTTTTCATCTTCTTCCTGTTCAACTTCGTGGCCATGTTAACCATGTCAGCCATCTTTCGGAGCACCGCGGCGGTCACCAAGACCATATCGGCTGCTTTGGCAATCGCCGGCGTGATGGTGCTTTGGATTGTGATCTACACTGGATTCACACTACAGCGGTCATATATGCATCCTTGGTTCGAATGGTCCTCCTGGATCAATCCCGTGGCGTACGCGTTCGAGGCCCTTCTGGTCAATGAAGTCCATGGGCGCGAGTTTCCCTGTGCTCCGACGAGCTTGGTGCCACCTTACGGCACTGGTAATAACTTCCAATGCGCTGTTGCTGGAGCTGTGGCTGGTCAGACTACTGTGTCAGGCGACCGCTGGGTTAATTCTTCTTATGGCTACTCCTACAGTCATGTTTGGCGCAACCTCGGCTTCCTGTTCGCCTTTATGATCTTCTTCTTTGCGATCTACTTCGTCGCCACCGAGGTCAACTCCGACACAACTTCTACGGCCGAATTCTTGGTTTTCCGCCGGGGCCATGTTCCGGCATATCTCCAGCAAGGCAGGACAGACGAAGAGCGCCTGCAAACCAACGAGAAGAGCATCAGCTCAGACGACCCAGTTGAGGAGAAGCAGGCTGAAGAAGTCAAGGCACTCCCTGCACAGAAGGACGTCTTTACCTGGCGCAATGTAACACTCGACATCAAAATCAAGGGCGAACCTCGGAGACTACTCGATGGCATTTCTGGATGGGTGAAACCAGGCACACTGACAGCGTTGATGGGGACATCAGGTGCGGGCAAAACTACTCTGCTCGATGCCTTGGCGCAGAGAACTAGTATTGGAGTCTTGACGGGTGACATGGTAAGCCATCACCAGTCGTTTACAAGCCCTCGAGTCCCGTCTTAACTTCCTCGCAGTTTGTGAACGGCAAGCCTCTTGATCCGTCTTTTCAGCGCAAGACCGGCTATGTACAGCAACAAGACCTCCATCTTGAAACGACAACCGTCCGAGAGGCTCTTCGCTTCTCAGCTTACCTCCGCCAGCCGAAATCTGTCCCACGGCCAGAAAAGGACGAGTTTGTCGAAGAAGTCATCAAAATGCTCAGCATGGAAGATTTTGCGGAAGCTATCGTTGGCAATCCGGGCGAAGGCCTCAATGTTGAACAGCGCAAGCTGCTTACTATAGGCGTTGAACTTGCAGCAAAGCCGGCGCTTCTCATCTTCCTCGACGAGCCCACCTCAGGCCTTGACTCCCAAAGCTCATGGTCGATCGTCGCGTTCCTGCGCAAACTGGCAGATTCCGGCCAAGCAATCCTGTGTACCATTCACCAACCGTCCGCGATACTCTTTCAGTCATTTGACAGATTGCTTTTTCTGATGAGAGGAGGTAAGACTATATACTTTGGCGACATCGGCCAGAACTCACGGACCCTGCTCGACTATTTCGAGATGAACGGTGCCGCTCGGTGTCCTGATGAAGCTAACCCTGCCGAGTATATGCTCGACATTTGCGGTAAGAAAGCGGACCGCGACTGGAGTGAGGTCTGGAAGACATCGCCAGAAGCCAAAGAGGTGCAGGCAGAGTTGGACCGGATCCACGAAGCAAAGAGATCAGAGCCCGCGGCCGAAAGTTCCAACACGTCAGAGTTTGCCATGCCCTTGACCTCGCAGATCTACCATGTCACCCAGAGAGTATTCCAGCAATACTGGAGGACCCCTTCGTATATCAGTGGAAAGTGAGGACATTATTCTGCTTCTGCTACCAAGGATGGGTCGCTAACACAAGTTTAGATTTCTCCTGGGCATCATGTCGGCGTTGTTCATCGGTTTCTCGTTCTACAAGCAGAATTCCACCGCAACGGGGCTGCAGAACACCATCTTTGGCATCTTCATGCTGGTCACGTAAGTCGAAATGTCCACCGGTTGAATGAGCGTATCTAACGACGACAGCATCTTCTCTACACTCGTCCAGCAGATCATGCCCCGCTTCGTGATCCAACGATCGCTGTACGAGGTGCGCGAACGGCCCTCCAAAGCTTACTCGTGGATCGCCTTCCTCGTCGCCAACATCCTCGTCGAGATTCCGTACCAAATCGTCCTGGCCATTGTGATGTGGGTATCCTGGTACTTTGCCATCTTCGGCAAGAACCAAGACAACGAGACCAGGGGCCTCATGCTGCTATTCGTCATCCAATTCCTGGTCTTCACTTCGACCTTTGCACACATGATTATCGCGGCAATGCCAGACGCCGAAACGGCCGGCAACATCGCAACGCTGCTCTTCAGTATGATGCTCACGTTCAACGGCGTCCTGCAAAGCCCGACGGCGCTACCTGGGTTTTGGATCTTCATGTGTGAGTACAAGCCGCTTTTCTCAACGTCTTAATGACTGACGGTGCATTCCCAGACCGCGTCTCCCCCATGACATACCTGGTCGGCGGGTGGGCTGCTACTGGCTTGCGTGGCCGAAGGGTCCAGTGCGCGGACAATGAACTCGCCAACTTCGACCCTCCTCCAGGCCAGACCTGCGGCGCGTACCTAGCGAGGTATCTCCAAGGCGGAGCCCCTGGCCAATTATACAACCCCGCCGCGACGAGTCAATGCCAGTATTGCCCGCTGACGTCGGCGGATCAATTCCTCGCGGGCAGCAACATTTACGCGAGCGACAGGTGGCGCAACTTTGGAATCGGCTTCGCGTACATCATCTTCAATGTAAGTGCGCGTCATGCTGTAACATGTCTATTTCGTGTTGTGGTGACTGCCTTTTCTTTCCCTTGCGTCTCCTTGTTCTTCTCCATCCAGCCCCAATGCCTAGGTCACTAACATTTGGCCAGATCTTCGCCTGCATCACGCTATATTACCTGTTCCGCGTCCGACGAGTCAGCCTCTCAAACTTGGCCAAAGGCCCAGCCAGGGCTGTGGATCTTCTGGTCACGGGCCTGAGGAGAATGTTTGCCCGACATGGCGAGCCGACGCCGAGGGGACGGGAGGCCGAGAACAACAAGGCTTATTAACGATCAAGCAATGGACAGGGAGGGAAATAAGTGTATAGCGAGGGTAACGCCCCGGGATGGGTCCATGGGCCAGGTGTCGAGACTGTGCTACAGCTGATAGGAAAGGTACTTTTAGGTCGAATCGTGGACTTGATTCATGCTCTCTGGAAAAGCGGACTTACACATTGCAGTATGGGATTTCAAGGGTTTAAATACCGTGGACTCTATAAGCTGTAGTCGATGGAAATGCACAGGATAGTAGAACTAGATTCATTCGTCTTGGACTCGTTGTCCCTAAACTGGATTGAAGCCCTGTCTTTGCAGCCCAATGGGGACAATAGTACAGGCTAGGTACTTGAGTAGGCGGGCGAGTCCTGTGTTCAAGATACCTCCCATCCGCACAGAACAATGCATGAGCCACTCTCTCGAGATTTTCCACGCTCCCAATTCCGTGATATCGTACAGGCCAGGAAGGCAGAGGAGGTGCCGGAGTACGTAGAAATGCAATCTGTCCGTCCAAGAACAAGGCGTGACACGGGTAGAGGCACGGTCTCTCTATCTCTCCCGTCTCTTTCTCCCTGGGGATATTCCCACTCTACCAATTCGTGATATAGTACAGGCCTGCGGGCAAGGGAGATGCTGAAGCCATGATAGGACAATTCATGACACCACACCCCCACACGGGCTCTCTCCCTCCTCCCTCTCTCGGGATTTCCCTCGCTTCCAATTCCCTTCCATCGACATCCTCTTCTCCCACGCATCCATGCACCCATACCCGTTCGCTCTTCCCTTCGTCCGTACGCTCCCTTCGCTCGCCCATTCACTGCATAAGCCTATACCACCCGACCCCAAACGCCGCCCAACTAAGCCCCAACAACACGGGCGCCCCCCTCTTCTGCGGCTCGCCATGACTCTCCTTGAACTCATCATCCACCCACTTCGTGCCCGGGTAGAGGATCGCGCTCAGCTGCGTGGCCCAGTACAGACTGCTCAGCAGCGTTGCGGTGAGCAGATTGTCAAGCAGGCCCGTTGGGGTCCCACTGTTGGTGCTCCGCCAGGTATAGTACCACGTGAGCAAACCCAGGCCGAGGCCCGTGGACATGGTCTGGCCGTTGTGGAATTTGGCGTGGGCGGGCCAGCGCGGGTTGAAGACGTGGGTCTCGTTCCAGTCGGCGAGGTAGCCTCCCGCGGCGGTGGCGAGGCCGAGCGCGGAGAGGAGGATGCGGGAGGGGAGGACCGCAGAGGAGAGAGAGGACGGGGTAGATTGTGACAAGGACATTGTGTGGCTCAAGGTCTAGTGGTGTGTGGGTGGCTCGAGCTGTGTTGGTGCGTGGAGGTGGAGGTGATTTGGTCTCTCGTTGTATGTATGTGTCTTCTGCGAGGGGTAGAGGATTGGTGTTGCTGGGATGGAGGGAGATTGTTCAACACGGAGACGATACAGGACAGCGTGGGAACGGAAGAAAGCGTGGTAGTCTGGATGAGGAGCATGTACGGAGTACACAGTAGGGAGAATACCAGAGTACTGTAGTAAGCAGGTAGTGTTGGTAGGGGATATTGTGTGACGTACTGTGGACTCTGTACTGTGTCAAGGCCTTCCGCTGGATCGCGTCACGAAACTCTCGCTTGGTCTAATTAACGCAAGCTGCAGGCGCAGTTGAGCTTCTGCGGCTAAGAGTAACTTAGGGCCGCCTAAGCCGCTTAGGGCTGCTTACCACCACAGCCCAGGCGTTAATGGGCTCTGAGATCTAGAAGCCGAATAATCCCTAATTGAGAAAGCGGCAGATCCTGCAGGAAGACGGACACTACGGACTACTGGTGCATTTTGTATGCAGTACTTAAGGTAACCAGCACCATCGTCTTACGGACCACACAGTAGATAACCTGCCCTGTGCAAGCCGTATCAACTCGGTAAGCTCTCATGAGATCAACTACACGGTAAACAATATGAGATCTGAATCAAACACTGAGACTTGAACCCTTTTCCACATCTGACTGCTCATCCCACACTGTCCTGCTACTCACCCACGCCTACAACTGTGTGCCACAAGTACCGAGTACTCCTCTCTATTGCACCGCACAATGCCACCCCACCAATTACAAGTCGGCATCGTCGGAGCAGGCATCGCTGGCCTCGCCGCCGCCGTCGCCCTCTCCCACGCCGGCCACTCAGTCAGTGTCTACGAAAAGTCTCAATTCCGCAACGAGACGGGCGCGGCCATCATCATCGGCCCCAACGGCAGCCGGATCCTCTCCAAATGGGGCTTCGACTTCGCCGCCGCGGGAGCCCTGGATTACAGCCAGATGCGCCGGCTGAGAGGCGACACGCTGGCGCTCGACTCGGAGGAGTTCTTCACGGATATCACGACCAAGTACGGTGATCGCTGGCTGCTCTTCCACCGGGCCGACCTGCACACGGGGCTGAAAACGCTGGTATCTGCCACGCACGCGGAAATCAATCTCGGCGTCGAGGTCACGGACGTGGACGTCGGGCGTGGGATCATCTCGTTCGCGAACAGGGAGACCGTCACCAAGGATTTAGTGGTTATCGCGGACGGGGCGCACAGCGAACTCATTTCCAAAGTACTGGGTCGGCCTTGCCCGGTCAACAAGTCCCCGATGTCGATGTATCGCTTTCTGCAGCCTATGGACAGGATCCTCGCGCACCCTGAGGCAGGGCAGTTCTACAGGGACCAACCCCCGGGGTTCACGACGTTTTACAAGACCGAAGTGGGCCGCCCGGGCCTGCTGATCAACACGTACCCTTGTCGTGGCGGAGAACTGTTGTATGTCGCGCTCGTTCACCCGACCAAGCCGGCCGAAAGGGGCCTCGTGGGATGGGACTCGCCGGCGGATGTGGACAATTTTTTGGCCGACGCCAAAGATTTCCACCCGGCCGTGCAGGCCGTGTGCGACGGCGCCACGGACATCAAGGTCTACACGCAGATGTGGCGCGATCCGGTCGAGCGGTTCGCCAAAGGCCGCGTCGTGCTGATTGGCGATGCGGCGCACCTGATGCTGCCGACGCACGGCCAGGGCGCGTCCATGGCTTTGGAAGATGCCATGGCTCTGCAGGTGCTGTTCACCGGTGTTGAGTCTCCTGCGGATGTGCCCTCGAAGCTGGAGGTGTTTGATCGCCTTCGCATCCCGCGCGTCAGTGCCGTGCAGGTCATGTCCAACAAGATGATGGGCCCACCGGACAAGATGATATCCGAGATCAAGCGGTATTACGGCGGGGAGATCCCTGGGCCGAAGGCAAAGACGTTTTCGAATGAATATAATGATTTCTTCTTCCTGTATGATGTTGAGAATGAGGCGAAGAAAGCGGCCGCGTGACAGAGGGCGATGATAGAAATGAGCAGCGATAAAGTACCGACAGAATAGACTATCAATATGCTATCGGGTACATCGCTTGGACCATCATATGCCGCCTGAGCCCGTGTAAGGAGTGTTAGTATCGAGCCAAGAGCCTTGCCCTCGTGCACTGCTCCAGGGAACGCAACGTGAACACAATTCTACTCGAATGCCCCAGCCTTGACTCTATGTGCGCGAGAGTGGGACAGATCTATCATAGACCAATTAGCATGTGGGATGCGTTACTCGTGAAACGCTTACCTCGACACCTCCCAGGTCAAAACAAAACATCCTATGGACATGCCGAAGACCACAGGCAACTGACTACACAAACATAGATTTCACGCTTGCTCTATCATGGCAGTCCACGGGGGGTCGCCAGGACACGACAGCGGCGGATTTGAGGCCGGCTCTAAACACTGGTTTGCCGTGCGGCGTATTGACGGTAGGTCTTCGCTCTGGGTTCATCTCGCAACCAGGCATTGGACATCAGCTCCATCTTGCCAGGATGTTGGACAACCTTCGTCATAGCTGCAGTATCTGCGCTAGAGCTCAGCCATCTCAATCGTACCCAGTATTGAAGGCTTGGTCCCAGTCGTCCCAATTGATGTTCGGAGTCGGCCTGCCACCGCCAAGGCCAAAGGTATACTGGTCGAACTGACCGTGGTCTATTACTGCATCGGGTAGTGGGCTCGCGAGCAAGGATGTCCCAGGCTGGAAAGAAGTGCCAGGCTGGGCCACAGACTGCTCAAATCGGCCTGCCACCTCACTTGGAAGAGGTGTTCGCAGGGCCAGTATGCCACCAGAAGCTTTGAAGGCTTGCAGCTTTTGCGCCACAATCGATTCCACGTCGTCCCTTGTCAGGATGGCATTAGGGTCGCGGCCAATTTTGGTCCACACCCTTGCACGCAAGCGGCGGATGAGGTCCCATGCTTCAGCACCTCCTTCATTGAGTGGACGATGCATCATGGCTCCGTTTCCACTTGCTGTTATCCCGCCTTCTGGTGCACAGAGTGCCATGATCTGGTCGATGACCGTGCAAGAGATCTCCACCTCTGGGCCGGCCGGGTTGCGTTCAACCTCCTTCAGCACTAGCATCAGAGCGTGCAGTGGTTGATGATTGCCCGGCCAGGACCAATGGAAGCGAATGAAATCCTGGGCGCAGCAGAGGATGATGTATTGCTCAAGGAAGGCGCAGCAGTATAGTTGAAGGCTAATCCACGCAGTCGTGTCAGCTAACCCAATGTACCGTAGACAGGGAGTGGCTAAGAAGGACAGCTTACTTTGGAATCAAACTCTGCCAGGCCTGCGTGATGGAGCGATGGAGGAGAGGAGTGTGCAGGAACCACCAGTTCTTATCACCTAGCGTGGTGAGTAGCACTTTAGCCCACATGTTGAACTGGGCATTGTCTTCGTAAGTATGATTAGAGCTGTTGATCGGGATCAGCTGAGATCGGGCTCGCAACTGTCGTCTCAGCAGCTGTAGATCATTCCGAGCTGATACCATGTCGCCTATGGTCATTTGATCCTCATGGAAAGCTTTATCCAACAGCTTGCGTACTAATACTGCAGACCTGTCATCAGGCGAGAAACACATTCACGTCATGGCAGACTTACATGCGTCTTGGAACTTGCCTTGCAACCAGATCCCCAGCGGCGAGGCGAGTGACGATGCATCTGAACCACTTGCACCTTGCTGGTAACGTGCCCGAGATTCTTGGTCGTGCTGAAGCCCTTCCATGGTCCCAAATCTGTCTTCGTAGAGATCGCTGACCATCATGGTGTCCCAAGAGCTCCGTTCAATCAGTGGGGGAAGGCCAGACGCCACAGCGACAAGAACGTCGCAGTGGAAAACATGCCACCAAACGCGCCGTTGGATTTCGGCTTGGATTGGTGCCACAGTGATCTTGAAGCGTGACGGATCCTTGTGTAAACCGAGCATTTGAGCCACACGGACTGCCACGCCAAAATCGCCAGATGCAGAGAGTGGCTCTTCGTCCCTCATCCACATGCCCTGAAGAATCAAGTGAGCAGCCAAGCCTGCGACCGTTGGGACCCTTGGGAAATGTGCAAGGTGCAGGGCGGCGTTGGCCTCGTGGTGGATCTCTGTAGCAACGCGCTCGATGTCAGTATCTGGCCGGGTGTTTTTGAGCGACGGATGGTGGTATACTACAGCTCCGGCATACAATGCTGCGAGGATCAGTGGCATTGTTTGGATGGTGCTGGGAGCGCCACCCGAACGTTGCAGATCCCAGACCAATTCATAGTCCTTCTGGAGAGTGGGGATGTGTGTCAGTGGTACCACAGGGTGGAAGCAAGAGATATATGCGTCAAAGAGGGCATCAGCCCGAGATCGATCAAGAATCTGCATTGTGTGGAGGGGTGAGGATTGGCGAAGCTTTGAGGAGGCACGCTGCCACTTAACCCAAGCTGCTGGCGTTGAGACAACATCGCCATCGTCAGGGGACCGAGTCTCTTTCTGACCCTCAAAAAGATCATAATGCGTTTGGCCTCGGAGTAGCATTTCAATCTCGCCTGCTTCTTCGCACATTGCTGCCCAGTGTCCGCGCGAGACATAGCGGAGCCTTCCACCCGGTTGAACAAGTAGATGTCCTGCTCCAGATTCTCGCATTACTTCGGCCGAAGCAGCGCTTTCAGTTGTACGTACTCGCTTCGTCAAGTCGTTGGCCACGTCAGCGGACGGTTCGCTGGAAGCAGGAATCAATGACAGCGTTGAATTTCTGCCATGCAGTGCTTGAACTTGTGCGGTGAGATTCTCTAGTTTCTCCTCCAGGGTTCTCAAGCGAGCCGTAGAGAGCGCCACCTCTTCCGTTGACTCTAAATTACCCACGCCAGAAGATTCACCCCTACCTCCATGGAAGGTAGTCTGCACGAATTGAAAGTCGCGACTGCCAATGCTTCCGGCGCCGTAGACGCACGGCGAGCCAGATGACGCACATCTTGTGCAGGAAGGCCTGACCAGGTCGCAGCGCAACTTTTTGCGACGGCATTCACGACACGCATGAGAGGCGCGGGGCCGAGACATGGCGGCGCGAGACAAGGGAAGTGGCTTTGACGACGAGGCTGTATCGGCTGCACGAGATCATATTCCAACGCAGTCTGGCCATCTCCATCGTATACTTTGTTGAGCATGTCCTCATTACATTTCGGGTTTCCGAAAGCGAGATGACTGGGTGTGAGTAAGGTGACTGTGATGTGAAAGGGAGGTGAAGGTGAGGTGAGCGTTGGGTGAATGTTTCTGCCTCTACCTGAATGACATAAGCAGGTCTTGGCTGTAAGAAAGAACCACGGAGTGAGAAGCAGAGGAGGTACTGAAGGGACACAGCGTAAAGGGACATTTATCCGACTCGATCTGTTGATTTCCTTCGTCACAGGATTGTGTTGCAGCTGGTAATTAGCTGATCCCGTTCATAGGTCGCTTGGGCGCGCATGCGAGCACCCCCAATGGAAAGAGGACTGTGTTCACGCCAGATCAAGGATACCCTTCCTGACTGACACTGCTTCGAGTTTGCTCACCACCTCGTCTAGTTCTTCTGAGCTGAGCCATTCATACTACCCGTATGCTCATGGCCTTGGTCCTTGACCTCCCAGTTCCTCCAAGTGCCACCTCTGCGCATGCCATCAAAGAAATCTCGGATGCCGTACCCCTGATCCCACTGCCCCTTTTGCACGAGCTCGCTAATCTTCCAGAACAGTGTTCCGTCGTAACAGCCTCTCAAGTCTTCCTTCCATACCCTTCCGTCTTTCTGCAACAACAACCATGTCGTCCACAGCTCCATGAAGGCGAAACACCAGCCCGCCACGTCGGCTGCGAGGCGGTTCTTCTTCCACATGGCCCACATCTGGTCGGCACTCAGTCCTCCACATCGATCCACGTCCCACCGCTCAAACATGGTATCGAACCTGTCGGCGTGGAAGTGACCATCGACATCAAACACTCCAGTGTCGGATCCGTGCTTGGCCTTGTGTCCACTGTCCACGTAGATCCGGAGCAACGGGTCCGGGATCCAGCTATAGGCCAAGCTCGTCGGATACGAGAAAAAGATTGGAATTAGAAGGGAGCCGATGGAGAACGGGACATTGAAGCCAAGTTCGCGAAACCCCGTGTAGACGTCCCAAGGGTGGATGATGCCATCATTGTCCCTGTCCCAGAACAAGACGTGTTGCTGGAGCGCTGTTGGCTGAGGTGGTGTCTCTGCGGGTGAGAGCTTGGTGGCCGAGGATGGATGCTTTCGATCTGACGTTGATGTGCCGTTGGTGAGGTTTTCGTGGTGAGGATTAGTTGCAGAAGAGTCGTCCATGATGCATTCAGTGACTTGTGCTCGGGTAAAATTGTCGAAAACGAAATATCCCCAATCCTACGTTCGGCCTCAAGAAGAAACGCAGGAGTGCTCTGTCGTTCTGCTCTCAGTTTCTTGGTTGTGGGGAAGTCAGTCTCGTTTCACCGCTTGGGTCCGGATCAGGCTATCTACATATCGTCTAGACAAGCGAATGCACGAATGACTGCCCTTGCACGCCCTAAATGCTTTGCTATCACGGATTCGGACGCCCAACAAAATCGGGCCACAGAAGTCGAAACATGCGAGATTCGGTGTTCATGCACAAATCGGATCCCCAACCGGCTGCCCTTGCAGAAACATGACGGTGAGACGCATCTCGGCATCATGATATCAGGTACTGACGAAGCACGCTACGGATGTAAAACTCCCTGGTGGGGCGACACATGAAAGACTTTGATAGAAATTTATTGTCTGACATCTCGATTCCTGCGCGGCGCTAAGTTTGAGCTTCCCTACGAGGTAGTCACCACTTCAGACCCTCTCGTACCTAGGTACCAAGTCCACTTCCAACTACCTCAAATCATACCGAGTACATTGCGCTGCAGACCCGATGGGCGACCCCAGCGAAGCAGGAACCGACCACGTCGGGGACAAGTACGAAGTCCCAGCATTCGAGCCACACTCTTCCTTTGACAGCCTGAAGCAAAGGATCCGACACCACTACGAGCTCGCCTCAGACTATTACTACTCGCTATGGTGAGCACTGTACAACTCCTATCCCCCGAACCCTTTGCAGCGCACAATGGCGCACCAAGGATATAGCATCTAAGTCGTTTACTTATATCCTGACATGCAACTTTCAGGGGCCAACACATCCACCACGGCTACTTCCTCGACGCCAACGAAACCAAAGAGGCCGCCCAAGTCAACCTGATCGACCTCCTTCTCGAGATCTCCCAACTATCACCAAACTCCACGGTGCTCGACGTCGGCTGCGGCATAGGCGGGACAACCCGCCACCTCGCCCGCCAAAAGGGATGCACCGTAACAGGCATCACCATCAGCGGACGCCAAGTCCAGATCGCGAACCGACTCACCGAGGAGGAAACCGCCAAGGAAGGCCCGTCATCAGAACCAGCGACATCTTCCACATCTGACCTCCACCCCGTCGGCAAGCAAGGCGGCAAAGTCCAATACCTCGAACTCGACGCCGAAACCATGGACCAGCATTTCGGCCCCTCATCCTTCGACGTCGTCTGGATCTCCGAAGCCCTCTCCCACCTGCCGGACAAGGCTCTCTTTTTCCGCAACGCAGCCCGCGTGCTTGAGCCAGGCGGCAAACTCGTGATAGCGGACTGGTTCAAGGACGCGGATCTCACCCGCGACTTACACGAACGGGACATCAAACCCATCGAGGACGGCATGTTGCTCCCACCCTTGTCCAGTATGGGTGACTATGTCTCCATGGCGGAGTCCGCGGGGTTGAAAGTCTTCCATGCGCCGAAGGACATCTCGGCCCAAGTCGCCAGGACGTGGGATATCAGTTGGCAGTTGGTGAGCAGTCCGAGTTTGTGGGCTTTTGCGATTAGTCAGGGACGGGATGGGCTGGCGTTTCTGCAGGCGTTTCGGGCGATGAGGCGCGGGTATGCCGACGGGAGCTTTCGGTATGGGGTGATGTGCTTTGAGAAGAAGTGATCTCATACCACCTATATGTGTATATGGGGAACGAATGAGGCGCCGGAGAGCATGTGGGGGTCCAGGACACCGAACTCGTAGACGGGTTTCGAGCTGGTTTCCCTTAGATTGAAGCCGACAAACAAACACGACGATCGACTAACAGCCACAACAATGTTGATTGATAAACGCGCATTTTGAGATCCAGCCATGCTATGCACAGAAACGTTGATATATACAAGGAAGGTAGATTCCGCGGTCGAACGCTGGCAATGCGACGATTCTGACAGGTCGTCATACAAGCTTCAAACATCCGACACGACACGTTACATCTACTCCCCATCACTCTCCTCCTCGGCCGTGTTCTCATGGAAGTTCTTCCCCTCGGTCGTCTCATTGATGACCCCCGCCCTGATGGTCCAGTCTCCAAACCTCTCGCCGGCGTTCCTCTCCTTGGAATACCTCGCCAGCAATCCCCTCATGATCTCCAGGATCTCGTCCTCCTTGATACTGCTCCTGTACAGCTTGTTCAACCTCTGCCCGTGATACCCACCACCCAGGTACATGTTATAGGCACCGTAGGCTTTACCCACGAACGCCGCCTCGGCGACCCACGGGCGAGCGCATCCGTTAGGACAACCCGTCATGCGCATGACGATGCTGTCCTGCGCCAGACCGTTCTCTTCCAGACAGGCCTCCAGCTTGGTGATCAGCTCCGGCAGGTAGCGCTCTGACTCGGCCATGGCGAGACCGCAAGTCGGAAAAGCCACGCACGCGGAAGAGGACAGTCGCATGCCCGAAAACTGCGTGTTGTCCAGCTTGTACTTCTTCATGAGCTCTGCGATTTGGGGTTTCGCTTCGTCCGTCACGTTGGAGAGCGTCAGGTGTTGATTCCCGGTCAGGCGGAACTCGCCTTTGTGGATCTTCGCGATTTCGCGCAGGCCGGTACGCATGGGGAACTCGGCTGTGTCTTCGACGCGGCCGTTCTCGATGAAGAATGTGAAGTGGTTGAGACCATGCTCGTCCTTTGTCCAGCCGAAGGTGTCGATGTTGGAATCGAACTTGAACGGTCGAGGTGCTTCGAATTTGATCTTCAGTGGGTCCAGCAGGTCTTGGACCTTCGCTTTGAAGACTTCGTTGCCCATGTCGTCCATGGTGTACTTCAGGCGCGCGTGCTTGCGGTTCTTCCGATCGCCGTGGTCGCGCTGGACCAGCATGATCTTCTCACACGCCAGGTGGACTTTGTCGGCGGGGACGTAGCCCATCATATAGCCCAGGCGGGGGTACGTCTTCTTGTTGTTGTGCGTCACACCCATGCCTCCTCCGGCGAGGACGTTGAAGCCCTCGAGGTGCTTGTTGTCCTTGGTACGAATGGCGATCAGACCAATGTCGTGGGCATACACATCCGTGTCATTGTGAGGCGGGATGGCGATGGAAATCTTGAACTTTCGAGGCAGGTAGGTTGGGCCATAGAGGGGTTCAAAGTCTTGCACGGCATCGCCGGCAACCTGGGTCTTCTCGCCGGTCGCGTCATCTTTCAGCCAGATTTCGTGATACGCCGTGGTTGAGGGCAGGAGGTGGTCGGAAATCCTCTTCGACACGGCGTGGACCTCGTGGTGGTACTCGGACATGGTGGGAAGACTCGAGCACATGACATTTCTGTTGACGTCTCCGCATGCTGCGATGGTGGTCATGAGTGCTTTGTTGATGGCTCGCATAGCTGGTCGGAGCTTTGACTTGATAACTCCATGAAATTGGAAGGTTTGTCTTGTGGTGAGTTTCATGGTCTCGTTGCCGTGAGCTGATGCGATGGTGTCCATTTGCTGCCATTGTGACGGAGTGGCAACACCGCCGGGCAGTCGACATCTGATCATGAACGAATAGGCTGGCTCAAGACCCTGTGCTTTGCGTTCATCCCGCAAATCACGGTCGTCTTGCATGTAAGTGCCATGAAACTTGGTGAGTTGTTGGTCCGACGCGGAGATCGCGCCAGTTGATGTGTCTTCGAGTCCTTCCGCAATGGTGCCTCGAAGATAGTTGGACGCGATTTTGATGTCTTCGTTGGTCAATGGCGGAGGCTCTTCTGGAAGGCCTTCGACGTTGGCGACATTCAATGCTTGCCAGAGCCGAGGCTCCCACTCCTGATAACCAGTCTGGAACCCGTCTGGGTCCTGATCATCACCCAAGCCGATTGCCGTCAGTTCCTTTCCTGCCAAGAACTTCAATTGGGCGTCAAGGTCCTTTCCAGGCTTGTTGTAGAAGATCTTGTCCTCTTTCCGGGGCCAGTAATGGCTGTCTCCGAGGGCGAAAACTGAGTAATGGGTATTGGACAGATCGAGATCTGTGGCATCTTTGATGGCCTTCCAGAAAGCATGGCCGTTCTGCGGGAATTCACCCTGGCCAGCCGTGCTGGTGATGAAGACGACGTTTTCTTCGTTCGGCAGATCCTCCAATGGATAGTCGTCCATGGCGAACACCATCGTCTTCAACCCCCGCGCTTTTCCACGGTTACCTAGCCTCTTGGCAAGGTTTTCCGCGTTGCCATTATCTGAAGCGAACAAGATCGTCAACGGTGCCCCGTACAGACCCTCGAGCATCTGCTCGTAAGCATCCTTAGCCTTACGTTTCTGCAGCTTGCGCACTTCGGAGCCATATGACTCTGAGAGGCTTGCAGCGAACTGTGGGTGGCGGTTCATGACTTGCGTCAATTGGTTATCCCGTCGAAGGAACTCCTCCAGCTCTCGCTTGATCCTTTCAGAATCGAGGGAGAAGGTCGGCTCTCCCTTGCCTTCGTTGGATGGATTCCAGCGGTACAGTGGCCAGTAGCCCATGTCAACTGCCTTTTTGGTGTCTTGCAAGACTGATAGTGGAGAGTCGTTCTCCTTGTTGTAGGGTAGATAGGCCAAGACTATTGAAGGACCGTTGAACTTCTCGGCCTCAATAAAGGCTTGCAACACTTGCGTGTAAGAACTGTACACTGCAACAGAGGCAACGTAGGCATTGCCGAAGTTCATAGCGTAAAGTCCGATGTCTTTCTTGCGTCTCATCGAATCTGCTGCGGTCCTCTCGGAATACGGCTCGGAGTCAATGATGAGCATGTTGACATTAGCGCCCGATGCCAGAACGTGGTGAACACCAGAATTGCCTAGATCGTAGGCCCAGGCATCTGAACCGATAAGCCACTGCGCCTCTTGGAAGAAAAAGGCTTTCTTGTCCAACAGCGACCCAGCTAGCCTCGTGCCATCATTGGACAAGCGAGCAATCACTTCCGGAGCATATTCGTTCGCCTTCGAAGAGTCGTTGGCGTTGAGTGCCCATCTTGACAACCATTGCTTGGGTGCTTCGGTGATGAATTGGTTGCTGCGAGCGGCTTCCTCCGCTTCCCTTATGAACTGCTGGCGCCGCTCAGTCCGGGCAAGGAGAGAACCAAAGCCATACTCAGGCGATGTTGCGAGGGTAGCAGAGACACCGGCGTTCTTCTCGCTGAGTCGATTTGCAATGTAGAGTCTGTTGCTGAATAGTTGATCAAGGATCTTAAGGTAGGCGTTTTCTAGCTCGGGCTGCTCCGGGATGAAAGTGTCAATGACAGGTTCAACCTCATTGCCAATAGTCAAATTCTGAATCGAAAGGAGGGCCGCCTGTGATCGGCCCCGACGTCGGGAGTGCTTTCGAGGTGTAGTAGGTGGCGCCAGGTTCTGAAATATTCCCTTCAGCGCTTGCAGTGCCGTTGATGCGTTGATATGGCCAAGCCGATACTGCACCAAGGAGATAGTACTCTTTCCGCCACTGGGACTCAAGCTGGAGAGCAGGTCCAGGAAAGAAGGCCCCCACCTGGTGGTTTTTCGCTTAATTTGTTCCAATACTGCAATCCTGGTGATTGTCTTGGGAATCGAATCTAGAAGAACAGCGCTGCCCAGCCAGGGACGATATAGCCGAGCAGTGATGATACCCAGGTTCGTCAATTCCACAGGCACATCGTCGGCGTCAAGCACGTCAACAAATACTCCCGTCGACCCGAACACGAAAAGCGCGGCCTCGGCATCTGGGGGACCGGAATATTCGATTGCGGAATAGCTTCGCCCGGTTATGTGGGAGACGGCCGCCCAGATTTCACTGATATAGGTGAATATATCTGTGGCGTTTATAGCCCTGGCGACTGGTGTCTCTACCGACGTTGCGACCGATGACGGATCAGTGTGACCGGACGAGCTGTCCCGCCGTGAGGACGTAGAAGCCGCTGACGAGACCTCCGTGTGACCATTCGTGGACGACACCGGAACAGAAACGGGTGACAGAGCCTCACGAGAGGTTGGCGCGGAATCCTGCTGAGCAACAGCTGGCAGCCCAAGATCACTGACAGTGGCTGTCCTTCCGTTGCTGGTGTAGAGTGTCTGCTCGACCTCGCCCAAGTGAGAAGCCTTCCCACGAACGCCGTTTTCAAGCAGTGCTTGGATCAATTCCCGACTTTCGGCCGCTATAGGATTATCCCCCAGAGAATTGCTGGGGTCCCAAAAATGTATAACACCTTTTCCACTCCTGACAGCAAGAGCATGCGCCGATAATGCGATATCTTGCGCCTCTTGAAGGGTTTCTGACTGTAAAAACGTGAAACCAGATTGTCGGATGGAGCTAATTTCTGAGAAGTCTGCGTGAGGAGTCGCCAGCGCCACATGCAGAACAACGGGATATTGAGCAAGCTTGTACAGATGCGGCACTGAGTTCAGTAGTATGGATGAGGATGTCGTGACTGATACCAGCTTGCCGGCTCGAAGAGGCGTATACGCCGACAGAAGAGGGTCTGCATTCTGTCGTACAGGGACTATTTCGGGTAGGGTCTTGGAGACGAAGTTCTTGGAATTGTTCGCCTTGAACCGGGAGAAATGGTAGGAGAACTCGGATTCGGTGCTCAACGACGGCTGGACGGAGAGGACGACATCGCTGGCGAGGTAGGCGATTCTCGCGACTGTCAGGTCACAACTCTGTTAGCTTGATTCCGCCCCCAAACGACCTTGTCCGACGCGAAGAGTTGGCGCGGGGAAATTCTCTAGAGAGCACTGGACATACCGGCCTCTGCGGGGCTTGCAACGGACCCCATGTCGCTTGTAATCTTGTAAAGAGCGACGTCAAAGAGAGCTTCAAGAGTCGAGAGGGCAAAGGTCAGGACTGTGAGAAATCGAGGGAAGTAGTAATGCCGCAATTATTACTGCACTGCTGCGCTGCTTCTCCGCCGTCCCGCGCATCCACACAAGCCTCGATCAGTGTCGGCCTGCAAAATCCGCCTCTGAAATTTTTGTTGCTACGGCTGTCGGTCTCGTCATTCGCTCTCCGGCCGCTCTTATTGGCCAACGGTCGATTGCGACATCGCGTGCCGACTGTTCGTGACGGCGACAGAGATGAAAGCTTGAGCAAATGTAGCAGAGGCATAATTGCCGAGTTGAGGCAAACTGCTACGTCTTCGATGTCGACTTTTGTCTCATCACTCGCTCACCTTGTGGTTGGGAGGGCGCGAGTGACAGCTTCTTGTCATCGCACTTTCACGCCATGTTGGCAAACCGGAATGATTCCAGGTTGCTATGCGGATGACAACAAGCAACTGGACCTCGAATTGACTTGCAGTAGCACTGCCATGTCCTCAGATTCGATACTCTGTAATGCTATTGTCGGTGCATTGTTTCACCGGAGTGTAAAGTGTTTCTTCAGGTTAGTCAAGCTGTGCACAGGTAGCTCCTTAGTTGAAGACTGGCTTGCTGCAGTCATGATGGATTGTCTGGCTGTCATTGTTCTGGTTGATCTGCTCCTTTTCATTTAGAATTACATTCTTTTGCCTACGGCGATTGCAGCGTGCTACAGAACGTGGCAAATAACCCTACAAACATCGAACATGAAACACCGACTCCCGATAGATTCGCGTAGCCTTGCATCTTCAGCCTCGTCGTGAAAGCCTCGGCGTGCGTCATATCTGCGAGTCTCGCGGCTTGTCGATCTCTTTTTTCTGTATTGTTGCCTCGGACCTGCATTTCTGGCTGCCAATCTAGGGACCATGGCCGACGAAGACGATCCTGTCGTAGCGTCCTATGATGTCTGCTTGAGTAGTAATGTCTTTTCGGGCGATGCGGGCTCATCGAACTTGTACCTTCTCCAGTACCCGTCCCACCGTCCACGGTCGAAACCATACAATGCCGCCCGATCGCAAGCTCCTACCTTTCTACGCCTCAAGCCCGAAGCTGGCTTCGTGGAGGTTGATGTACCTATCCTAAAACACGAACACTACAATGAGAACCAGGGGCAAAGGTTTGGCAAAGCAATGGCAGACAGCCGCACACTTCAAGCAGGAGGCTCTTACGGGCTGGCTGGTGGCTTTGGCACAGGTTCAGTCCAGCCAAGAGTGCGAGATGTCCCTATGCATGACCAGATAAATGCACCTGTACCCGCATTGGACACTCAGACTTTAGGCGGGAAGATAACCAAACCAACCGCCCGCGACCCCATCTACTTGATCGGCTACGTGCATCAGAACAAAATTCAACTCTCCCACCTGGATGCCATTGTGCAGATGCGCCCTCAGCTGCATCACATTGACGCTGAAGAGGAGCTCAATCAGAAGCGGGCGCAAGGGGGCGCTAATGCTGGCGCTTCAAGACAGAAGCCAGGCATGGAACCACCAGCACCGAAGGTGGAATCGAAGGCCATTGAGATCAAAATCAAAGACAACAAGGATGATATGAAGGATCGGACTATGAAAGACAACGCGCGCCAGCTGCGGGATATTCTGGTGGATCCGTGGCAGAACCACGAATGGGTGGACGAGGACGAAGAGGAGGCCAGGACGGCATTGCGCGCCTCGTTAGGTTCTGCAGACAGTGTTCCTCTGCCCAAACTTCGAAGTGCTCTAGGCAATGGCGATTGGTTAGAAAAGATGAGTGCCCCGCGAGAGGAAGGAAAGAAAGGCCTGCTGTCAAAGCTACGCGGTCGAGAGCGGGAACGGGCACGTAGGAAGAAAGCCGAGGAAGAAAAGCGCCAACGTCAGCGAGAAGCCGCCGGCAATGCACCAGAGTCATCCGGCCCGTTCTTGGACATGAGCGACGACAGTGAGCTGAGCAGTCCCGAAATCACGGATGACGACTTGGCGGACGAAGTCGCGGCATCAGAAATGAAGGCCACAGAGGAGGTGCAGGTCAAGGAGGAGCCAGCCCCTTTTCCGGCCACAAAAAGAAGTCTGCTGGCATCGGCTCCGATACCAAAGAAAAGAGGGCGGCCGCGGAAGAATCCAGCCGCCGAGTAGGCGGCCGACGCGGATGATGTCGCCCGAAGTACTCCTGCTGTAAGCGCGGAATGCTAGGCACACTGTCTACAGGATGTGCGGAGCACATCCCGGTGTTGATACGATAATGATACCCATACTCATGGAGACTCAGGCTAGGAATGTCATCCAGATCCCGCCTTCATTATCATCTGGAATATCTCCAGGTCCTGCTTTGCATCCTTTGCTGTTGTTTTCACCTCTTTCCCATTCGCAGCCACCTGATACAATTCCTTCATCTCGAGGGTGTACGGATCCTCGTACGTCCGTATAGAGGTCGATTCTTTATATACCCCATCGACATTCTCACTGATTGTCATTGTAACTGGTAGACCTTTGATATAGGGTGTGTCGTATTTCACGTGGACAGTCTTCGTCATGCTGTACACCTCAATGTGAGCATCGAATCGAGGAACGCTGTCGAGCCCAGACTCGTATGTCACAGAGAAATTACGGTATTCAAGCAACGCACTAAAATCAATGCCCATCAGCGCTCGACAATCAGCAAGTTAGCTCTACGTAGTGCACAAATACCTCCAGAATGGCAGCTTGAGAGAGGCACCAATTACCCGTTGCGGCATTCCTAATGCCTCTCTCATTGCTGATAAGTCGTGAGAGCCCAGACCACCGAGTAGCCGCCACATCCTCGTTGACTCGGCAGTCACGGTTAGGCCGCATTCGGCTGACAGTGCCTGGTGTGCTATGTCGGACGCTCTGTCATTCTTGTCTTTGACGACTTCTGGTGAGAAATCCGTGAAGACTCTGGGGAAAGTCCCAGATTGAGCAACAAAGTGGCTGTTTGGGCCTATTATGTCTGCGTCGAGGCGGTCTCACTTCAGCGCTCTGACCTCGAAATGTTAACATCGACTGTTATCTCCTACCTCGAACTCGAGCATATAGGATTCTGTCCATGCCGCCAATCTCTGCCACTGCATCAAGAAAGGCAGCAGCATATCGACGCATGTATCCGACCATGACTCTGCCCTTCGATCTCTGCTCAGCCTCAATGATGGCATCCGCATCCCTCATGCACAAGGCCATCGGCTTCTCGATGAAGACATGCTTATCATGCCTCAGCCCTTCAATGACATGGATCGCATGATATTCGTCTGAACTGGCGATGAAGACCAGTTCGACTTCCGGCGACGCACAAAGCTCGGCAGGGTTCTGCGTCGTCTGGGGGATGTGGTTAATAACCTTCTGAGCATTGTGCTTCAAGGACTCCGCCGAGACATCGCACAAGTACGTGATAGTGAACAGGTGGGAAAGAAAGCACAAGGTTGGGATGTGTGCCACCTGTGTAATCTCGCCACAACCTATGATTCCAACCTTGACGATTCTAGTAGCGGCCATCGTCGCGTCTGAAGCTTCCGCGTCGGGTGAGAGCAGTAACACGGGGTGGCGACGGGAGCCTGAACTTCGAGGTCAGACACGATTGGCTGAAGCTCGTACCGCACGTGACTGCGGCCAATGCTTCTCCTGAGCCGAAATGGATTTTTTGCCATAGCAGTTATTGAACTCGGTTCATCCTCACTTTATCACCCGTCTTGTACCATCGTCTTGTTTTAAATTTGTTGTCGCTCGGTTGACTATTGCGTATTGTCCTGCGATGATAGATTCGTTCGTCGAGCCGGACTGCTGCAGTTAGGAGGGTTCCGTTCGCCCAGGGTTTCGCGCGATGCTGCGCACGCGAGCCACAGCCAGTTCAAGATATGCCCTCTCATATGCTGAACAGGCGGCAGGAAGGATACAGCTTCCATGGCTGTGTCCCGCACTCGGTCAGCCTCATCATTCAAGGCGGCAGCATCGAACGATAACAACCCGACCTACGATATCGCGCTCCAAGACACTCCCTGCGCCTGTCACCCAGTCGAGGCATCTTGCTTCTCCCGCGGCTGTCGCCGACTCCTTCGATCGTGGTGATGATTACATCCCATTCGCCTACAGGTACCGCGATCACTCTCTCACTCGGGATCCGCGTCTTCCTCGAAATGGGGATCTTTCGCCCTTCGACCTTTCCCAGATATTGATGCTCGACGTTGCAGAGCTTCCTGAAGATAGCATCGATACTCAGGGGGTTGCAATGAGGAACATCGATGAAATTGAGGCGACACTGGATGCGTGCTTACAAGTACATCGGTGGGACCGGGCGTTCGCGCTGCTGTCACAACTCAGCCTTTTCTGCCATCACAATCCCGCCCGGTTACGGAACTCCTTCAACCGCATACTTACAGCGTTGGTGGATGATCTGATCTGGAACCGCAATGCCGAACACGAGAAACGTATCAACGAGTGGATCGAAGTGCACATGCGAAAGGCAGACCTCGAGCCGGACGCACGTACGTTTGCCCTGAAATTAAAGGCAGCACTCGAAACGCTGCTAGGATCAAAGCGAGACCGCACCGTTCGCCGCTACTGGGACATGACGAAGAGGTACGCCCTGGAAGGTAAGGTTCTGGGGATGCGAGATGTGCTGGACGATCGGGATCTCGGCCGGCTGTCAGAAATATGCACCCTCGATGTTGCCACTCCACGAGTAGAGTCTACCACTATCACTTTCAGACCAGATGCAGCAGCATTGCCAGAGCCTTCGGACAAAGTGGAGGCTCACATCCGAGAAACAGAGCAGAAAGGTCTGGGTCTGTCTTCTCTCCGACAGTCCCTATCTCTCTTCTCCGAACAGACTCCGAACGTGACTGATTCGACGACGACGGAAGACCCTCTCGCGCAAAGACAGCGCAGGTTGGAAAGAGACGCTATCCAATCTGCCCTTCAGAGATGGCAGACCGAATTCCAAAAGAGAGCAAGGATGGGTGTCATGCCGACTGATCTTGCATACGGACAAATCGGGGCTTTGCTCTGGCAATGGCATGAGATGTTGGCCGAGAAGATTAGGCACGAAATCAAGCTGGCCAGGGAAGAAGATTTGGTACCTGGAACAAAGACTCCACAACAGAAGCTCCGTGCTGAATGTACTCCCTTCCTCGAGCTTCTCGAGCCTGAACACGTGGCGGCCATAACATCAATTGCTCTGATGCAGATAATGAGCAAATTCGGCGCAACAAAGTCGATCAAGCTTGTGAAGCTCGTCACTGCGCTCGGACAACTCCTCGAACACGAGTATAATGCGACAACGACCAATCAGAGGAAAAGCGCTTTCTATAAAGCTGCCAAAAAAGCAGAAAAGGGCCAAGGAGATCTCGGTTCGTTCCTCGAATCGGCCGAAACCATGGAGACGCACCTTTACAGACGCTCGTCCCATCACGCCGCTAAGCCTTTCATGTACACTCCTGGGTGGACAAAAGCGATACACGGTAAAATTGGCGCTGTCCTTTGCGAACTCATGTTTGATACGGCAAAGATCACAGTACGCAGGGAGAATCCTGCGACTGGGGCGATACTTTCATTGCCTCAGCCGGTCTTTCTGCACTCGACCGCCTACTCAAATGGCAAAAGGGTTGGAGTGGTGTCCTTGCACGAAGATTTTGTCAAGATATTGGTCACTCAGCCTGCTGAGCATCTGATTGCCAAGCAACTCCCTATGGTGTGCCCGCCGAAGCCTTGGAAGAGCTTCCGTGATGGAGGTTATTTGGAGTCCAAGCAGCCATTTCTGCGTATCAAACACAACGAAACGGCGCAGAAGGACTATGCTATTGCCGCGGCCAGCCGTGGTGATTTGGACCAGCTTTTCGCCGGTGTAGATGTCCTTGGCCAGACGGGGTGGCGCATTAACAAGAATGTCTTTACGGTCATGCTCGAAGCATGGAACAGCGGGGAAGAAGTCGCCAATCTTCCTCCTCTCAACAAAGTCTTCCCTGATATCGATCGACCGGGCGAAAATGCTTCCCCAAGAGATCGCTGGGAATGGTTCTCAAAGATGAGGGCAGTCGATAACGAGAAGAGTGGCCTTCATTCGAATCGGTGTTTCCAGAACTTCCAGATGGAGATTGCTAAAGCTTACTTGGACGAGACGTTCTACTTGCCGCATAACATCGACTTCCGTGGACGGGCATATCCTATCCCGCCTTATCTTAATCAGATGGGCGCGGACAATTGCCGTGGACTCCTCCTGTTCGATCATGGTCGCGAGCTCGGCGCCGAGGGTTTGCGGTGGTTGAAAATTCACTTGTCTAATGTCTATGGGTATGACAAGGCCAGCTTGTCTGACCGCGCACAATTTCCCATGGATCACCTCAGCGACATATACGACTCTGTGAGGAACCCGCTCAGTGGACGGCGATGGTGGCTCGGGGCAGAGGACCCCTGGCAGTGCCTGGCCACCTGTTTCGAACTCACCAATGCACTCGACAGCCCGGACCCAACTAGTTTTGTTTCCCGACTACCAATTCACCAAGACGGCTCCTGCAACGGATTGCAACACTATGCTGCCCTTGGTGGTGATATCGCTGGGGCGCGACAGGTTAATCTAGAGCCGGGTGATAAGCCTGCCGATGTCTACACCGGAGTGTGCGAGTTGGTCAAGGCCGAGATCAAAGAAGATGCCGCCAATGGCGATGAGTTGGCGAAAGCGCTTGATGGGAGAGTCACCAGGAAGGTCGTCAAACAGACCGTCATGACAAACGTCTATGGTGTCACGTTTCTCGGGGCCATTCGACAAGTGCGCAAGCAAGTCGAGTCCTTGCTTCCGGAGATCGAAGCAGCCGGACAGTCGGGTAAGGCGGCTACATACATCGCAAGGAAGATCTTCAAGGGTCTTGGAGCGTTGTTTAGTGGCGCGCATGAGATCCAGTACTGGCTCGGCGACTGCGCGAATCGTATCAGCTCATCCATCTCCCCTGCGCAACAAGACAAGATCTATGAAGATGTGTTCTTGTCCGACCACAAAGCTAAAGCTTTTGCCGGCGCAAGGAGAACCAAAACCAAGGGCAAGGAAGTCTTGGAGTCTTCGACATTCCGGTCACCCGTCATTTGGACCACGCCTCTCAAACTCCCTGTCGTGCAGCCATATCGCATCAACAAAGGCCAAAGGATCCGGACTAATCTACAGAGCATCATGCTCGCCCAGCCGAGCGCGGCAGATTCTGTCAACAAGCGAAAGCAATTGCAGGCGTTTCCCCCGAATTTCATCCACTCCCTGGATGCCACACATATGATTCTGTCGGCACTCAAGGCTAACGAAGTCGGTCTAAGCTTTTCAGCCGTGCACGACAGTTTCTGGACTCACGCAGCCGACGTCGATACGCTCAACGTACTGCTGCGAGACGCCTTCATCCGCATGCACAGTGACGACATTGTTGGAAGGCTCGCAGCAGAATTCAACAAACGCTACGACGGACACTACTACCTTGCTCAAATCAACAAAAACAATGTGCTCGGCCGGGCTATCGCCAAGTACCGCAGAGAGCTAGTGGAAGCGGGCGTGTTCCCAAAGGGCAGTGGCGCAAAAGCGGTTCAACAGCAGCGGCACGTCGAGCTCGCACGGGAAGTGCGTAAAAAGAAGCTCATGGCAAGCGAGGATCCCGCCGAGCGCAAAGAAGGTGAAGAAATGGTTACCGCCGCAGCCCTTTATGAGGAGCACAACGGAGACCGGTATCTTTCCACTCGAGACTCACTGGGGGAGACGGCAATTGGCATGGTCCCCGAGTCTGCCGAGATTGCGGACGAAGTGGTCCTGGACAAGGCGCTAAACGATAGCGAGGTGGCTAGCGACGTCGATCTTGCTGGCACGCTGGATCCGCTGAGAGACTCGGTGGCCAACGAGAATGACGAGGACATCGTCGAAGCGGGAGATCATCCCAGTGCATCAGATCCCACCAACGACAGTCACGATGTTAACGTCTTTGGACAGAAAGTCCGCAAGCCGAAGAAGCAGAACAAACAGGGTCAGAGCCAGCAGACGTGGGTGTGGTTGCCGATCAAGTTCCGACCTGTGCCACAGAAGGGGGACTTTGACGTTAAGAGATTGAAGGATAGCGTTTACTTCTTCTCATGATTGATTGTATTAAAGAGGAGGCGTTTCTGGCGGATGTGAAAATGGTCACCATGTCACCATCAGCATGGAGTTCGGAGATGCTACGAGTCCACGAGGGGACTCTCTTCCATGACAAAAAGTTGCATAGCTGGCGTGCGTGCATGGGACTCTAGGAAAGGCATGGGTGAAAGACCCTGTACAGTGTAGATTGGCCAAGCTTGTGCCCAACTTCATGTAGATATACCGGCCGCTTTGCTGGAACTTGAGCGCTGCCATATGCGGCGGTGCCTCTGAAATCGACAGCTGCATTGACAGCTTTGTACAAAGATGCATACAACTTACGTCGAGCGTGACTGTTCCGCAGACGATGTTTGGTCGTGCTTGGGCAGCATGGTTCCTGTCAACCGGAGCCACTGAGCAGATGAATAGACTCAAGTTGAGGACGCCACGACGGCCCCGTGCTGCCCAAAGTTGCCCATGCTTGCGAGCTTGATTCGGCTAGGCGTCACGGGCCGACAAGGGTACGGAGCAAGACTGATACGAAGTGCTTCCCGCCACGTACTCGTATCCGTCGAGATAACGTTGTACCCAGGCAACCACTTGCGCATTCCGACACTCCTGCGCATATGGCGAGTGTGGCTGTCCACGGGTCATAGCCACTACGTGCTCCCGCATGGAGATGACTGCTTAGGTGCGGGAATACCTGCCGCGAGAATGCCCGATGTGCGCGAGGTCTGAGAACGTAACACGCAGATAAATAGACGGCTTGAAAGAGTATGTACCAAGGACTGGGACCGATACACGGTCAGTCAGTGTCTATCTCAACACTGCCGTCATGCACTACTGGCGAGGCGTCATCACGCACCTGAGCATTGTGCTCGCCCAGCCTACGTATCTGGCTGTCAGACATTTCCTTGGCCATGTGTCTTTTCAGTCCAGCCATCCGCTCTATGTAGCGACACACGTCGCGGTATGGGTGTATATCGCGACGCGGATCACCATACCCTTCTTCAAATCACCGCTGCGTCGACTACCCTCACCACCGGGGGAGAAATTCCTACTATGTCACCTGAATTTTAACGGAGGACAGCCTCCGACGACCATTATGGAAGACATGGTGAACAGCATGCCCAACGACGGTATTCTCGTCGTGTGGCTACCGCTCTACCTGTCGTGCGAGATCATTGTGACCCGCCCAGACACCCTGATGGATATGCTCAACTCGCACAACTACGACTGGGAGAAGCCGCCCTTTATCAGGAAAGCCCTGGCTGGGATCGTGGGCGAGGGACTGGTGAATGTCGAGGGCGCGAAGCACAAGGCCATGAGACGGGTCGTGGCACCGGCCTTTTCCGGGCGCCATATTCGCGAGCTGGCCCCGCTGTTCTACTCCAAGGGTCTCGCGCTCGCGGCCGTGATGGCTCACCAAGTGAGAGACTCTAGCGATGGAGTATTGGACGTGACGGGGCCAGTGTCTCGCGCGGCGCTGGATATCATCGGTGCGGCGGGAGTAGGCATGGACTTCGACACTCTCGAAAACGAAAACTCGCGGCTGGCGAAGCTCTACCAGACGGTCACGAACGCGCCCGCTTTCTTCTTGTTGGTCAGCATGCTGTTTCCCCGGTGGCTTCTCCGGCGGCTGAAAGGGACGGGCTTCGCGCGGACGATTGAAGCACAGTTGCAACTGCACGACGAGATTCGTAAGTTGATGCAGGAAAAGAAGGCACTGTTACGTGAAGAGAAATCAGATGCACACGACGTCAACGACATCATCGCGAGTATCATGAGAGCTGGGGACTTCTCTGACGACTACCTCGTGAGTCAGATGCTCACCTTCCTCGCCGCAGGGTAAGCCGTCCCTTCCTTACTACCACGTTCGGATCCGCCTGACGCGTGATCTAGCCACGATACAGTCGCCTCGGCCCTGACATGGGCACTGATGCTCCTTGCGCAACACCCGCGAGTCCAAGATCGTCTCCACGCCGAATGCAACGCGAAACTAGCGCACTTGCCGACATCAGAAGTCGGCGCCTCGACCTTCGAGCCCGAGAACATGCCCTTCCTGACGGCCGTCTGCAACGAGACGCTGCGCTTGTACCCTCCCGCGCCCTCGACGGCTCGACACGCCGTCGTCGACACAACCGTCGGAGACGTGCGCGTTCCCAAAGGCACCGTCGCCACAGTCAGCCCGTGGGCCATCAATCGGAGTCGAGCTCTCTGGGGCGCTGACGCCGCTGAATTTAACCCAGATCGATGGCTTGAGGGGCCCCATGCAGCCGCCGGCGGAGCGGAGAGCCCATATGCCTTTCTCGCCTTCTTGCATGGGCCGAGGAGCTGCATCGGGCAGAGCTTCGCACGGCTGGAGGTAAAATGTCTACTAGCCGCGCTGGTGACGAGATTCAGATTTGAAATCGCGGACCCTGGCCGGAAGATCAAGGTCGTTGGGTTCGTCACCATCAAACCACAGGGGGGTTTGAGGTTGAAGGTGCATGATCGTAAGGAGAGAGTTGATGGTGCAAATGCTGAAAGCCATGGCTAGAGCTGATGAGCATTGGCAGCCAGTCGAGCGATGCAGGTCGCTCAGTGTAACGAGTCTGGGCTGATCTCTGCTCATTCCTGAGGTCCTAACGCTCAGGGTACCAGATGGGTATCTCATCTCACCTATCAGTCCTGAAAGGGGGCATGTCCACTTAGTCATACATTTATCGCCCGATAGTTGCATGATAGCCGCCGTAGCACCTTTCACTACATAAGCCGTTTTGCATTTCTCTTGAAATGAAGGTGGTGGAGTAAGATGGACGCTGGAAGGACAACGGAGCCAGTTGCTGTGAGAACCGGGAGAAACGTTCCGCCGTAGGCCGCGGACCCGGATGACTAAGCGGACTTCTTCCCCAGCCTTCTCTGTACACAACCTCTGTCCAATGCTCAGACTTCTATATCTTCATAACCCTCACACAGCTCTCGTTACACGGTCCGCAATTCCAGGCAAGACGTCTTGGCCTGCGATGGCCCTCCTCCGCCCCGCCATTCTAGTCGTCTCCGACACCGCGGCCTCGGACCCGTCCACGGACAAAGCAATCCCCACGCTCAGCGACGTGCTCGCCCAGGACGGAGCTGGGAAGTGGACCGACCCGTTAACAGCGATCGTAAAGGACGACGTGCTCGAGATCCAGAGGGCTGTCCGCTCCTGGACGGACACGGAGAATGATAGTACGGTCAACCTGGTCATCACGACCGGCGGCACCGGCTTCGCCAGGCGAGATTTCACCCCCGAGGCGATCGCGCCTCTCCTGCACAGACAAGCTCCGGGGATCGTGCACGCCATGCTGGCGGCCTCGTTCCAAGTGACGCCCTTTGCGATGATGGCTCGACCCGTCGCGGGCGTACGCAACAAATCGATTGTCATCACCCTGCCGGGAAGTCCCAAGGGGGCCAAGGAGAATTTGCAAGCAGTGGTGAAGCTCTTGCCGCATGCGTGCTTTCAGGCTGCGGGGGAGGACTCGCGGGCTGCGCATTCAGGTGGGCTGAAGAAGCTGGAGAGGGAGGCCGGTGTTGATTCCTCATCTTCGGCAGGGAATGGTGCTCCTCTGCCAGGCGGAGCTTCTACGGACAATAATTCCCATTCACATTCACACTCACATTCACATCAACATGACCACAGTCACAGTCACGACCACGACCACAGCCATTCGCATGGCCATGGCCACAGAATCCCAAAGGCTCACACCACCCTCGAAGAACGACCACACCTCCAATCCAATGACCCCCGTCTCGGTGCCAGCAAGCGGTACCGCTCGTCACCCTACCCGATGCTCAGCGTGGCGGAAGCCGTGTCGGTGATTTTGGAGAATACGCCCTGCCCCAAAGTCGAAGTGCGAGATCTTTCACCCGACCTGGTAGGCTACGTGGTCGCCGAGGACATCTACGCCAAGGAAGCCGTGCCGGCGTACCGAGCGAGCTTGGTGGACGGATACGCCGTGATCGTGGGGGACAAACGCGGCGCGGATGTAGTACCGGTCGCCAATGCGCAATCTGTATCTGGCACTGGCACCAAAGGCACCTTCCCCGTCGCCTCGGTGTCCCACGCCCAAGCCACATCCCTCCCACCCCCTCTGCAGCCCGGCCAAATCGCGCGCATCACCACGGGCGCCCCGCTCCCCGAAAACGCCAACGCAGTAGTCATGGTGGAAGACACCGTGATCGCGACCCTCAGCCCCGACGGGCTCGAAGAGTCGACAGTCGAGATCCTGACAGACAAGATCGTCCCGGGCGAAAACATCCGCGAACCGGGCTCAGACGTGCAACTCAACGACCTCGTCCTCGTAAAGGGCACCCAATTGACGGCCCTGGGAGGCGAGATCGGCGTCCTCGCGGCTTGCGGCACGCGCAAGGTGCCCGTCTACCGCAAACCGCGCGTCGGCGTGCTCTCCACGGGCGACGAAGTCACGGACATAACACACCCGGGCCCGCTCACGGGCGGGATGATCCGCGACAGTAATCGACCCGCACTGCTGAGTGTACTCCGCGGATGGGGCCTGTGCGAGGAAGTCGTGGACCTGCACGTCGCGCGCGACACGCCCGCTTCGGAACTGGAGCTCAAGCTGCGTGACGCGTTCCGACTACGCGGTGTCGACGTGGTGGTCACGACGGGCGGCGTGAGCATGGGCGAGCTCGACCTGCTGAAGCCGACGATCGAGCGCGCCCTAGGCGGGACCGTCCATTTCGGGCGAGTCAGCATGAAGCCGGGGAAACCGACAACGTTTGCGAGCGTGGAGATTAAGAATGGCGATCTTGGTTCGGGCACCGCTGGCACCGCTGGTGCCGCCACACCCGCCTCAAGCGAGCCCAACGGTGACTCCCGCCGCCGTCACCTCATCTTCGGCCTCCCCGGCAACCCCGCCAGCGCCCTCGTCACAGCCAACCTCTTCCTCCTCCCCTGTCTACAAAAACTCGTCGGCATCCCCTCTCCGACGGGCCTCCCTCGCGTGGTAGTCCGCGCGGCAGGGAAATTGCGGTGCGACCCCGCGCGCACGGAATACCATCGCGCCGTCGTCTCGGACGACGGACACGGCCGGCTCGTCGCGCGGAGTACGGGCATGCAGCGGAGTTCACGGGTCGGGAGCGTCGCCAGCGCGAATGCCCTGCTCGTTATGCCTAGTAGGGAGGGCTTCGTTGAGGAGGGGGCCGAGTGTGAGGCTTTGATGATGGGGTTGGTTAGGGGGTTTTGAGAATTTTGCGGGGCGTAGCGGAGCAGTTGTAGTTTAAAGGTTGGGTCGGTGACAGGAGCAAGACGGCAAAGATTGATCTCATGGCTGCGCTGTGGTGGCTGTGGCACTAAAGTACTGTAGGTACTCTGGTATGTATAAGGCCTCCGCGAGCTCTTGCTCTGGCCCTGTCCACTCGCCTATGTCGCCGGCTTTTAGACTGTCTCGCCGTCCCGGTGCCGAGGTGTCACTCACTGCGGCATCTCGCCGTCTCGATGCTGGAGGTCTCAGTTTATCGGTTCATGCGTCGTCCAACTACTAATTATGTAACATCGTCTCTATCACGACACTAAGATATAGAAAGACAGATGTTTGTTAATTTAGTCTGGCGAGATCGAGCTCCTTGCTAATTACTGAAGTACTACAGTAATTAAGTACTGTACACTTACTTCTCCCTTGGCTTCTCAGTACTGTACCCTTAATTACTTCTCTCTGGGCTTCTCAGTACAGTTTCATCCTCGTCTTATGTATGGTGCCGGCTCGCAGTTCAATGCCGCAGGGATTCCTGCGTCGGGGTTCATTAAGCTGTTGCCTCCTACCATGGCGATGTCAAAATCCGTCACAGCCTTGTATATGAAACGGTAGAGGGATGTTTGTTAGTCACCGTCTACATAGAAACATGATCTACTGCCCAGCGATAGTCCAGTGCTTGCGCTTGTCCTTCCACTAACTATAGTATCTCACCGGATTCCTGCTCTCACTGTTCCCATGCTGAAGGTATACCTCCATCTGTTTATTCATCCCTTGTATCTATCGTGACGATATTGTATCCAGCACAATCTTGAACATGGGAACGAAGGTGTCTATTCATTAGTCACGGCTGCGATATGACTCATGCTCAAGGCACGCCGCGCACTCGGCCAACCACAGATCTACGACTTGTCACTTGTACAAGATTATTGACATCAGTCTGTTCTGTCGGCCTATTCATTCGGCAGATTCTATTCCTACTTCGGGGTATCAATACGAAAACAACGCAATGTCATGAGCGGTACACCTGCTGATCCTCTCCACGCCAGTCTATAGTGGCACAGGTCGGTAGTCCCATCTCATCCCTGCCCTTCCCTGTGTCGCCGCCAGCTCTATGGCCGTTACTCCGTACTGAATCAACCGTGCGATGCTACCCATGCTCGAACGCCATGAGTGCCAAAAGATGCAATATGCACCACACCAAACCAAACACTGACCCGCTCAGCCAGGGATATACCCCGTTTGAACTCCCTCTTCTTCACAGCTCTCAACGCCGGCAAAAAAGCACTCCCCTGGTCATCCCGGGATATCCCCCCTTTTGAATTCCCTCTTCTTGACAGCCCTCAACGCCGGCAATGTATGGCTCTTCCCCGGCCCCCTCCCGATCTCTACGACCAGAAACCTGACAAAGTCTTGCAGTAACCAATAGCTGCTATGCGCGCTGAGCATGTTCAAGTATTGAAACTCCAACGGTCCAGCGCCTGCCGATAGGAACCAATCGATCTGTCCGTTCTCGTTGAGCAGATACATGCGTTTCTCGGCAATTTCCTCCCTCGAGAAGTTGTGCGTTTCCAACTCGACGGTACTAGGCATTTGCTGGAGCTCCGGACGTACGGGTGGCGCGGCCGTCGCGTATGCGTCACCCGCAGTACTTGACGCCAGGTGCAAATGTCTGCCCACGCGAGTCATGAAGCCGACACTGGCGCTGGGGATGATGGCGGGTTGAAGAGACCTGGCGTACAGTTCATCGACGGAAGCGTTTTGCAGATACGAGATGGGATCGTTCCTGTGGACTATGTTGTAGATGTTGTCCACGGCCAGACACCCGTACGTGGCTTCGCTAGCAATACCTGGCTGTCCATCTTCGCCTTCCATGCCAGGTTTGTCCCGACCCTTCCGGGGGACAAGATTGGCATTATGGAGAAGCAGGAAGAAGCCGGAAGGGCTGCCACAGGAGAACAGATTGGTGGTGTCGAATTCGAAAAACTTCTGGCTCGGCCTTTTGGGATCAAGTTTGATGTCCTTCCCTATCCGAGTCGGCTGCTGTCCGAGTATTTCCATGGCCATCACGGAGCCCAGTGAGTGAGCGACCAGGTGGACGCGGCCATAGTCTTCGAACCCAGGATTGTTTCGACACCATAGTCGGTAGACCCTGTTCGCTTCTCGGATGACTGCTGAAGTCATCTTCTCCTTGTGATGCGACATGTAGTATGGAATGTCCAGCATCACGTCGCTGATGACCGATCGGACCGCTGGAAGACTGTCCGGCGTGATGTCCTTCAGCCCGAATTTGTTCTCCGTTTCCTCCGAGGTGGTCTTGATGTCTTCATCAAAGGACAAGGTCAGTCTCCAATTCACCGGCAAAACCATAATACCCGTCCCATGCCTCAAATTGCCCTTGACCACCTCCGTGGCTAGCTCGACATTAAACTCGCGCCTCAAGCTATTGATGGCGTGAGTGAAGTGGAAACTGTCCACCCTTTCCGAGAGCTTCTGGCCGATGCCGTGGATGACCAGGACAAGGTCACTAACCTTTGGCCCGGCACTCGCTTGGCCACACGCTGCACAAGACATCCGTCGACCTCGCGTGGTGGCGTCCCCGGACTGCGACATATACGCGCCAACCTTGGCGTGCGCAGTTTTCGCATCCATCTTTGGGTCAGGATGGATCTTCAACCAGGCTTTGCGATCGAAGCCACGGACAACAGCAACGCCTATCTGTCTTCCCTTGCGCAGGGAGCTCAGGGGTCGACGATTCTGAGATATTGATGGTAGCAAGTTAGGCTTCAAGATCTGCGCATTTCGAGCATCGGTGTAGATGACGCTGTGGGTGGCAAACAGTCGCCTTGTCCAGGCCTTTTGCGGATCTGCCGCTGCGTTCTGAACCGTCTCCGGCAGCTCCTGGCTCCTCGGCCGCTCGGTCTGGTCTGACTCTTTCATGTCGAGGCTGGTGGAAGGTCTGCTGGTCTTCGAATCTTCGGGCCACAACTTATGTACGACCTTCATCTCAGCAGCAGCACCGTTGTCGATACACGCCTGCAATTCTTCCTGGTACGAGGGTGCAAACGGTTTGATGTACTCGTAGCCCACCTCCAACCGGTTGGCCACTTCGGCGGGCACCGGCAACATGGTGTCTTTGTAGAACCATGTGGCACGTATGACATTCGAGGTATCGTTGATTGGGGACCAGTATATAGGTTTCATCACGAGTTCGGGCAGCTCGACCAAATGTAGCTTGGAGACCCCAACAGGGACAAACGCCTTCTCGGCCTCGTCCTCTTTGCCCTTGCCATGACGTCCAGCGCTTCTAGAACGACTTCTAGATTCTGCGTCCGAAATGTCAGGGTTGGTATACCCAGTTCCATGTGGCAGGGAAGAACTGATATTGCGTTCACTGGGAGCTCGCGCAAAGGGTCGACCGCTAATGTTGGATCCAGGATCAGCCGTTGGCTGAGCTCCGGATAGACCGTCTTCATCAAGCTTGGGCCGCTTCGGAGAAGAGTCGCGGCTCTTCTTGCCTTCCTTGTGTCGGTGGCGGAACGGTGAGCGGTGCTTCCTGTGCTTGCCTGGATCTTTGCTTGGTTGCAGCTGGGGTTCGGAGCTTTCACGCAGCTCTTCAGCATCCACTGGCCTGGCGTTGCGCTGCGGATCGACAGGCGTGTGTTCCAGCATAACATCCGAGCTTGAGGCCGGCACTTCTGCAGACGGTTTTGTGCGGCCGCGTGAACTGGTCTTGCTGCCAGAGGCTCCCGAGGCCGTTGCCCTGGACATTGCTCGGCTTAAAAATGGGAAAGAGAAGACTCCTGTAGCAAGATTCCTCCTCCTTTCCCGCTCCTCCTCGTCGAGGTCTTCACCGCTTCTCTGGAGGGCTTGCCATGCTTCTTCCAAGGCAGCATTGTCTCGCGGCGAGAATGGCTGTGGCGGTAGGTCGGTGGCCTTGTCTGCAGATGCAGGTGGGAGAGGAGACAGAGGATCGTCTATGGGTAGCAAGGACACGTAGAAGAACTGCGCTCCGACAGTGGGAGGTGCTTGGCCATCCTCGACGGCTTCCTCGTGTGGCTCTTCGTCGTGAAAGGCACAGGTAGGCCCCAGCGAGTGCACAGGTTGAGCCATGGGTATTGCCGGGCACAAATATAATGTGCTCTCTCTTTCAACAATGTTCCGGCCAGAGGTGAGTATCGGAAGGGAGCCTGTGGTCGGGCCTAGTCCATATCGTTTCTGCCAGGCATCGTGGCAGTCCCTTCCTGCCGCACCGATCTCTTAGGGCGCGGGTGTGTACAACGCAGGAAGGAAAAAGGAGATTAAATGCAATTTCAAGTTCCTACCTGTCGTGCCGGATCACATGGTGGAAGTCTGGATGCTGTACACAAAATCCCAGGGCGGTTCTGGAGCCGCAACACAATGACGTAGGCACCTGCAGCCACTTGGCAAACTACCTAGGTACTTTGACCATGCAGCGGGTGTACGAGGCCACTCAACAGAGCGCGGCAGCATGAGGCTGGCACAGCTGTAAACCCGCTGAGCGAGACTTAAAGTCGGAGTGCTAGATTATATCATCGCTGTCTATGCAGCAGACTGCTGGGAGTACAGGGGTCCCCCAGCTAGCTGCTAAAACATTCCCCCGGGGCCCATCAACACGAAGCCTGGGAGAGGGTGTGTAATATATGGTGGGATTCACGTCGTCCGATTTCCTCCAGATCTGCCTCCTCGCTGAACTGCTCGTTGGCGCCATCGTCATGTTCCGTCCCTAGTCGTTCTTCTTCCCAGATAGTCCCTGCTGAGACCATCCTACCGGCAGCGGTCTGTCCGCAAACCTGGTCGTTGGGAGATGTGAGATACGTCGGTGGTATCGTCTTGGTGAAGGGCATCGCAGTCATGACGAGAATTCGGCCGCCTTCGAGCTCACCAAAAGCCCAATAATCAATCCAAACAGCCCCAGCACACTTGAGAAGATCTCAATGACCAACACCTTGACAAACATCGTTGCATCCGCCGCATCTGCGAGCGCCGCACTGCTCCCATTGATGCCCACACTGACACCACAGATCAAATTGCACATTCCAACTGTCAACCCAGCCCAGAATAGTGCGTAGCCAGTGTAGTAATTCGATCCCGTGTAGAGTGCCTCTTCCGGTACCATGGATAGTTTCGAGGCGAACACGATGGACATGATGACGCCGTAGATGGCCACGACTTCGCAGAAGATGATGGAAATGAGGTTCTTCGTTCGTATCCGTGGTGCCTTGACGCCACCGCCGAGGATGGAGGTGCCGGTGATGAAGATTCCCCTGTGAAAGAGTAAAGGTCAGCATGACTACCATAAGCGCATATTGTGGTTCTCGTCTTGCTTACCATGCTGCTCCCACCACCGACAACCCTATGCAGAGTCCAATGCCCAAGTCCGCCCATGCGTACGGCGACACTGTCTCAAGGAATTGTCCAACCTGTAACTCACGGATTAGACTTCAATCGCGACCACAAAGATGATTCCGCGCGAGTGCTGCGTACATTGAATTGTTCGCCTTCGCCATTGAAGAGCATATCTGCCAGCAGCTATTAGCCGTCCACTTCGCAAAGACGTCGGGAAGCGGTCTTACAAAGCCCGATGACGCCTAAGGCACCAAGTGCGCCGCCGGTAGGGTAGATGAGACTCATCTCGCAACCTCGCCCCCGACAAAGTCCGCGAGAAGAGCTGTTCAAAGGTGGGGAGGATTGTCAGGAAGACGAGGAGCTCATGATGCGTCCGAATGAAGGCCGCAGCTCGAACATCTTCGAGGCGAGCTCGAGGAAGGTGGACCGAGCGCAAAATCACGTGGAAGGCTGACCTGGACGCCGTTCCCCTCCTGGTCGTCCTCGCAGCTTTCGGAACGGTGAGGACCCAAAGCCTCCTCTGATCGAAAACTTTAGCCTTGGAGCTTGGGAGCTCAGTCTTCTGTTTCAGAATATGTACTTTCCAGATTCCGGCATTCGGCTCGTGGACTGTCTCGCTCTTTACCAAGATCTCATCTCTCCTAAGCCTAATATTACCTTACTACCCCAGTGGTCTCCTCGCTTTCCTCCCTGGTGGGAACCTGAGCAGGATGCGGCAACTTCAGCTCTTTGCGCCCATTGCTCTTATAATATAGCACGACATCTCCACCCGTCCTCCAGACATGCACCCTTAGAGTCGCGAGCGTGGTGTTCGGGTCAACGCGTTGGCCCTGGCAGTAGAGTTCGAGATATTCTTCCGGCTTCAGCTGCTCCCCATCGGCCTCCTGCCCGCTGCCCGGCGCCGGTGTCTCGGCCGGTCTGGCTTCATTTGTCCGCTCAGCCTCAGGAGGTGGCTCGGTGTCGGTATGTGTTGCGCTGGACTGGGCTGTATCTGGAGGTGGTGCCACTGGGACGGGAGCTTCAATTCGCTCTGCAACATACGCCATGATTTTCTTCGCGCGGAGCATGCGATTCGCATTGAGGCGGGCGTTGCCGTCGGGCGACGCAATGGCTGGAAGAAGGTTGTCATAAGGGTGCAGCACAAAAGACACCTTGACGGTGTCTTTGTACGGGATTTGGTTCTGAAATGCCACGAGGCCGAGTCAGCATACGGATACCAATCCATTGGATTGGAAGGTCGCCGTGTGTTCAGGACAGCAAACTTACCCGTAACAACAAGTCACCTAGCCACATCGGCGCAATTTTTTCCAACGTGTCAACCTCAGTCGGGTTGCCTAACTCACTGATCTCTCCCCTGTATTGGTCCGCTAGGCCGCCACTCTCCGGATTATCCTCCTGGATGATAACTGTGGTGTGAGGTGGTGGAGCCAGCGCTGGCGTCTCGCTGGCCGGACTGGGTGTTATTCCTGGTGGCAGCGGCTGATCTGGCTGGTGCTCAATGTGCTCATCGTACTCGAGACGGATCTTCTGCACAACGCCGAAGAAATTGTCTTCGATGTTATGCACCTTCTCGGTGTCTTTGTCGCACGACCGCATCGAGGCTGTATCCGATAGTTTCTCTTCTGCTGAAGCGACGGGTGCCTTTACCTCTGCCGAGGTGCGTGTTGTCATTTTCTTGGTCAAGGACATACCCATGCCGAACTTCTTGCCGAACAAGCCCTTTTTCTTTTCTTCCGTTGGTGAAGTTGGCGTGGAGACCGTGCCGGCATTGTTTTCCGTTCCGATACCGGGTGTTTTGGGGATTTTATCGCTCTCTGAAGACGCTTCGGATTGATCGATCGCGGTGGCGGTTGAAGACGAGAAATAGTCGACCCCTTGTGACTCTGTTGCCGACGGGGTTTGCTGCACACGAGGAGTGTGCACTTTCGGGGTAGTTGTCCGAGGAGTGTGCAGTATACCATTAGGGGTCACTCCGCCGTCTTCTTCAGCCGTTGTAGAAAGGCTGGTGTTGAGTGGCGCGAACCCCGGAGTAGCCGCTCCAATTGCTAAGCCCGGCGTAGGAGGAACCCTTCCTAATCCGTTTGCCCGAGGCGTGGCTGTAGTCCCTGGAGATACCATAGGGGTTGTTCCAACAGATTCCGGCATGGCAATACTCGTTGGCGCACCAGGTCGAATGAGGCCAGTGCTGGACGAGGGAGTAATCTTGCTTTGAAGCGTGCGTCTGTGCTCCTCGTCGCGAGCAATCTCTTCATCGATCAACTTTGAGAAAAGATTGCGCAAGACCCATTTTCCGAGATTAACTGTGAAGCATCATCAGTACGGTCACTCGTCCACGAGATATTGCACCCACTCCTTTGATCTTCTCGGAGATGAACGTCGCTGGGCAGGTCAATCTCGTCTGCATACACCTCCGCATCGAAACAATAGTTCTCCTCGAGCATGACTGTGATCTTGCCAGTCTTTGTATCCACACCACACCAGTTTGCGACGCTCTCTGTGGTGTTGACGTCCGGCACAACTTCATCTAGATGACGACGGCCGAACGACTTGATCGGCGTGCACTGTTGCACGTCAATTGGGGCCCAGCCTAAGGCAGAGAAGCAGACTCACTCTTAACAGATCCCATAATACAACCTCACCGGCAGTGTCCAGAGTGAGGATTCGCTTTCGGTCATTTAGCATGACGTGTTTGATAAGTCCGTTCTGGCCCTCGATAGTCTCAGCAGGTTGTCCTCGGACAGGAACCACTAGACTCAGATCGTCGGCAATCATGACCTCGGAAGCTTTCCTCACGTTCGTCGCGGACACATTGGGTAATCTGCCCAGGTTCTTTCTGCCAGGAAGTAGAGTAGTGTTCGAGACTCGAAGAATCGCGGTGTGTGGTATCTTCTTCTTGTGGTCAACTTCGCCATTCGTAGTCCCGTTGATCTTGCAATCTCTGGTCGAGGTGGGTGAGGGTGTTCGAGCATCCTCAGGCGACAGGTTTTTCCTCATTTCTGGGCTCGCAGCCCTTTCCTCGCGTGGCGATGCTGGCGGCGTCTCCACCTCGAGCTCCGTGTCGACATCAAGCCAGCGGTTAACGCTAGAACTTGACGTAGCCGTCCACACAAAATCGCCCACGGGGAGAACCCGCGCAATGCCATCGTGCTCTTGACAAACGGCGACCGACACTCCGTCGTCAATTTCCATGGCACGACGGGTGTCTGTCTTGGCAACGAGTCCAGACTTGTCTCCCGAATAAAAGACGGCCAAGTTAGGGTCATCCGAATACATGCACCAGACGCTGTCGTTGTGCATGGTCAAGGTATGGACACATCTTCCAGCAGCAATGGACCAGACTTTGATGGTCTGATCGGACGAGGCTGTGAGCAGGGTGTCGCCATCATCGCTTATCAAGATGTCTCGGACATTGTCTGTGTGTCCAACAAGCTTGGTTATGCTCTTGCCAGATTTGACATCCCACAGTCGAACCACGCTTTCGGGGCCACCGCTCGCGAGGAGAGAGCCTCGGGCGCGCAGTGCATATACGGATCCCTTGACCACGTCTTGAATCTTGCCAACATCAATCTCGAGGTTCTTGCCAGCCCCGTTCAAATCCCACAGACAGATCTTGTGGTCCAAGCCTCCCGATGCAACCCAATTCGCGGTCCGGTCGGGCGTCGCAAGGCACTTGATATAATCACTGTGGGAGCCGATGGTGTATGCTTGAGTGGTCTCGTGGCCATGGGGTCGCCACAGCTTGACGGTGACGTCGGATGAGGCAGACACCAGCCCAAGATTGTTCTTGACCAGGACGATGTCGTTGACCCAGTGCGTATGCGCCTGCACCTGCTTGCGAAAGGAAACAGTGCCCTTTTTGTCCTTGGTCCCTGCATCTCGCTGTAACCTCTGCGCGTCTAGATCTAGATTCCAGGCACATATTACACCGTCCCGGCCGCCAGTGTATCTACGATGAATTTCAGTATTTGCTCGCGTGGGCGCTGTGGACAGGTACGCACAGGATATCGCGGTCTTCGTCGAATGCTAGGCCATTCACCCCAAGCCGGTGGCCTCCAGGAGAGGCTGCCAGAGGCAGGACTGGGGTCTGTTAGCAAATGCGACAGCATCTCCAGGACTGGGCGACAAACCATAGCTGATCCTCTGGCGCTTTTTCTTGGCCATATGCGGGTATCTTTCAAAGGTCCCTCGAATTTCTAACCCTCGTGACACACTGCAGTTCGTGCACTTCTAACCATCCATTGTCGCTTAAGATGCCCGACGACGCAGCTCTGATCTCGAATCCACCCGCAAAGTTGGAATAGGTCGGAGGAGCATGGAGCAGCTACCGTCGGCAGATCAAGTGAAGGTAACATTTAGCCTGCGTCGTTGCGAAGTGCGGGCAATGGGCGTTGCGGATGGCAGCGCCACTAACCCACGAGCTGCCCTAGAAGCTGGGGCTGGACACGGCCATGCGACGGGGCCAATTACCCCGACGCGATTCCGTTTATGTTAGGTCCCTGTGTTATTTAGGTACGAGGTAGGTACAGTACGGAGTACTCTCAGGTCCATATCATCATGGCTTCATTTGTGGTGGAACGTGGTAAACTGGTATCTACAATATAATGACTTTCTCACTAAGACTTTGACCATTTTCTCCTGAACGCATCTCGACCAAAGTATCCAAAGGCGCCCGTCAAGTCCCATCCGCATTTCTCGGTAGGTTCCGCCTCCGCATCCCAGGCGGCCAGTTCGTCATTGGTGTTTCGCGACATGATCAGAGTCGTTCCGGCACGGTTTCCAGGCCCACCATGAAAGTGGCCGCATGCAGTTCAGACGTCACGCCGCCAGCTCTTGTACTATTTGGCTGGTGGCGGACCTCCCGAACCAGTCTCCAGCACGTGGGTGTGGCCTTCGGCGTGGTGAACAGTGCCGTTCTCCTCTTGATAGCACACCTTTGCATTGAGCACCCAATCGTCTTCAAGCACTTCCTCCATAGTCGCTCGTTCCGCAGGATCAATCTTGAGCATGCGTCCAATGATGTGCCGGCTCTCCCGGGGGAGGATGCGGAGAAGCCGCCACGGTCCTTTGATGACTTCCTGTTTGTCACCACCAGAGGTAGAAGGCCTGCCTTCGTCAACACTCTCAGCATGGTGGTGGCCGTGTGAGGCCTGGGTACTGCCGTTGGCTTCCGAGTTGTGCCGCGAACCAGAGTGCTCGTCATTCATATTCAGCTGTGAGTGCTTTCGGGGATGAGAATCGGGGACGGGTGTACCAGGCGTGGGCGGAGAAGCGAACAGTTTATAGGAGTTGTCCACAAGTCGCGGCTGCTTCCACGGGAAGCGGCGTAGAGACATGCAGCAGAAGATAATGGCCAGTGACCAGATGTCAGTAGCTGTCGGATCATACTTCTTTTCCTCATACACCTCAGGAGCAAGATACGGGTCAGATCCGACGATACCTGTACTCAAGTTAGCGAGCTTTTCGGTATTGAGAACAGGTTACCAACCCGAAGCAAGCACGATCTCGTTTTCGAACGGATACCTGAACACGGTGGCGCTGCCGAAATCGATCAACTTCATGATCCCATGCTCACTAACCACCACATTGTCCAACTTGAGGTCACGATGTGCGAGCCCCATGCTGTGAAGGTAACTGACACCATTGACAATCTGGAGGAAGGCGCACGCAATCTCCTCCCTCGACATTTTCCCTGTCATCACAATTGCGAACAGATCGTATGGTGCATATTCCATCACCTCATACCAGCGATGGTTTTCATGGATAATGTCCATGGTTTCGATGATATTGCCATGATGCAAGGTTGATCCGATACAGAACTCGGCCGTGACCTTCTTCGAATAGTCTTTCTCGCTTTCCCAGGAATGCTTGTCTCGGAATTGCTTGACGGCAAAAGTGACCCCATCGCTGCTTCGTTTGAGTAGCCTCACCGAGCCACCGGCTCCGGATCCCAAAACTTTGCCGAACTTGCCGTATTTCGCCTCGAGGCTGTGATCGTCCATGAAAGGAACATTGGTGGGAGGAGCTTGGTGAGGAGGCGTTCTGGTGCCGGATTTCTGGTTAGTAGATTTCCGTGAAGCTGGAACGGATGCTGCCGGAGACTCTTGCAGTGTGCTGTGTTTTTTGTGGCCGTGGCCAAGTCTGAAGAATCGTTTCAATTCAGACATTGATCCATGCTTCTTCCCTTCTAGACCACTCCTCTCGCTGCCGCTATCTGTGACGTGAGAATAAGGATCTTTCTTGCTTGGTCCGAAAATTGAACTTCGCTTATCTGATCCCGAGAAGTCGCTACTACTTGGCTGCCGTGGTATCCGCTCAGCGGCAGCTGCGATGGCTGGGGCAAGGGAGCCCCTTCCCAGACTTCCGAAGTGTCGTGGCTCAGTCTGTTTCTGTTGGCCACCGGGCTGAGGTGAGGAGGGTCGAAGCTTGGGCGTGCCCACTGGACTCTGATCCGCAGGACTTGTAGACTCGGAAGGTCCAATCTCAAATCTGGCTACTCTTCTTTCCTGCCCCTGGTCAGGCTTACTTGATGGGTGTTCGTTGGAGGAAGACGGGACAGGGTGGGAAGGCGATATTGACTGCGATAGTGCTCTGCCGTGCTGGTCCGGAGGTGGCGATGTCTGTGGAGTTATAGCATTTTGGCCGGACTGGCCCCTCCCAGCAGACACGGAATCATGTTTGCCATCCTTTGAGCCGTGTGGTGTCAACGGTGGGGATTGGAAAGCAGAGGACATGGAACCATGACCATGTCTTATAGAGCCACGTGGAGTCCCGGGGCCATCGCTTTCTCTCGAAGGGACCTGGGAGGACTCCTGTCAGCGTCTTCTAGTAAGATGGAGAACGTTCCGCATACCCGGGACGGAGGCATAGAGATTGTCTCGTATGCAAAATTGGCCATCCTGTTTTCCTGTAACCGTGACTTCTGCAGCGACATGGCCAGGCTCCGAATCTGTTCATGTGCCTCTGGACTAAGCTCCTCATTCTTGACCCCGCCAGCCTCTGATATTCGTCTTGACTCGTCGAGAGGGTCTATTTCCTCATCGTCCGAAGTAAATCGTACCGTACCTTGCGCGGATTGTGAAATCTTTTTCCCTTGTAGCTCCGGTTCAGCATCTGGGACCTCCAAGTCAGCCTAACGCGTTCCCGTCACAGTCACATACCGCAGGTACCTTTTTCGCCCTTTGAGTCGTCCCCGGGAAGAAACATTGCGGACAGTTTGGAGGTCATCTTGGTGGTATCGCGGGGGTGGAGGGGTGCTGATTGCGATGGTCGGCGGATAGGAAGGCGATCGGCTACATTAACGAACGTTGATCTCTGCTGATGTGTTGGTGCAAGCGAAGATCTAACAGATGCTAGAATCCGATAATCTGAAAAGAACTCATGTTAGAATAAGGAGCACTATTGCTGTCCCACGCTGGCTTTTCGGAGAGCAGATGAGCTAATACTCGGTACGGGAAGGAAAAGTACACCGGCTGAGCATTGGCCGGCTGAGTGGAGCTGATGGAACTCACATGCGTTCAGTTACGTAGACTGCGAAATTTCGGTCTTTGATTGATCTATACACGCAGACGGAATCGCCGACGAGAATGGACCTGGTGGAGCAGGAGACGACAGGACGGAGTATGAAAATTGAGACAGCGCAAGACCAAAGGATCGCTGTTCTCTACTGGCATATGAAAGCCAAAGCGGTAGGGCAACTGTAGGTACAGTAATAACCTTGGTGCTCACTTAATAATCGCACCCCAATAGATCTGCCGGAACAAAGGTCCATACAGCGACTCAGCGTGCACGACTTGTTCGCTAGAGACACACCGAGAAGAAAGTGGGATGTCCAATTGCCCCGCCAAACACTCGTCTCAGCATATCATTGCTCTTTTGGAATCGAAGCACAGCACCAAGGATGGCAATTGGTACAATGCCCTACCTGCTACTCGTTCCCGCCCCAGGAGTCATAGACGTGGGCTGACGGTACCACATAAGGCCGACCCACGGCTACAACGAAAACGTGTATAAGTGGATATCATTAATGGCTATCGAGAATGTCTTCACGAGGACATAGTTGCAAAGGCGGGTTGCCGAGCGGAGCGCAGGAACATCCGACCTTGAACATCTTCTAAGCTTCTGGAGGCTGTCACCTGCTTCGTCTTTACCTCCAACCTATCCCAGGTTTTCCTTCCGGCTGAGCCGGAAACAGTATGATGACAACGTCGCATATCATACATCTCTTCAGCTCCCATTTGCGAATTACGAGATGTCGGTGTCTGCCTGAAGGCGAGGAAGAATGTTCGTTAGGCGCGACGTCATCTCTCGTACTCTTGTGGACTTGTGGTACGAGTATCCTCTACCAACCGAGGTAGAGCGATTTTGAGGATTGTGTAGAGTCCAATTCCATTACACAAGCCAGAACGCCTGAACCCATACAAGCTTGTCATTCCAATCTTCCGAAGTTGCCGGAACAGGACGAACCTCCCGGATGTCTCGTTGTCGCAGTGTGTTGCCATCCCCACGGGGTTGTGAAAATGATGTTATACGTTCATGCAAGATAGTCGAAGGTTGCCATGGCAAGTGACCAATACGGTTACTGGATCTGCACCATCAGTTGACCGTACCATTTCTTCCCCGGGCTTCTCTCGGGGTCTCCCTCAAAACTGCTTCCGCAATGTTGTATGAGTGCTGCTCAATGTTCCGGTGATGGCAGATTCCTCTCTGTTGACCGAGGCATGTTTGAAGCGGCCGACAAGCTGTTTCCATAACCTCTTGGAACATTTCCGGGACGGCTTGATTGTCGTACTTGCATCCGAGGTAGGACTACAAGGTTCATCGTCCGCCTGGCCCATATCCCGGCTTGACATTGTTCAACATGCGTCTGAGGATGCCAGGTGAGCAGTTGGTGTTCCACGTGTCGGTCGTCTGCATTGAAGTCGACATCATCGTGTGGTCGCGCAAATCAGTGCAAAGGACTTCCGGAATCTCCATAGCCAAACACAGGGCGGCCCTGGACCTGAACCATCGTGGGAGGCCTCGACCATGACCGGTCTCTGATTACGGTACAACTCTGACGCCGATTGACTTGCATTGCCAAATGATACACTTGCAAAGACCTTCGAGACTCAAGCCAGACAGCCGTGTTTCGGTTTGTTTAATCTTCGCGATTTCGTAGATATGTTTTAGTGATACCGTACCAACGCTCTCGTGGCCTGGTCTTTGTGCACCTTTGATCTTGCCCTTGGCTTCCTTGACTCCGGCGGCCTGAAGAAGTAGCCAAGAGGTGTTGGGTGTACGGATATCGAAGCTGAAAGAACGGTCCGGTCGAACTGTGACCCGTGCTGGGACGGGGACACCAGGAGTAATGTGAGCGGTACGGGCATTGAATTCCTTCTCGGGCATCAGCCAGTCTTTCGTTTGGTAATCTGCTCAGCAACCGCACCTTGCAGAAGTCCATGCTCTTGACACCTTTGCTACCCAGTGCAGGGCCGACCGGTGGACTTGGGCTCGCCTGCCCAGCTCCAACTATCAACTTCACAATCTGATCACGAGCCGCCACGGCCTTCGCCATGCTGCACGGAAAGTTGAACGGTTCGGAGGTGCAATGAGGGGCAGGCAAATGAGCGTAAGTATTGAAATGATTGCACGTTTAAGAATAATTGCGGCTTTGCACGAATGGGTGAATTACTCCGTAATGTTGATCCAAGTCCGAAAAAATATTGATGAAGCTCAACGCGCGAAGCGTGACCTGGCTCAGCATGCGCAGTACAGTAAACTAGGCCGCGATGAATCTAGCGCGCTTTGCTAATTGGGCCCTCCTAAGCTCCCACCTAGATCCGCCCATCGTTCGTACCATTGGTATTCCTGGCGCTGCTCAGGCAGCCCGGGCTTAATTGTGTTAGTCACCCAAGGGCTCTTTAGGCCCGGCGAAATGCTTTCTTTAAGGCACCGCAAGCATTCGATTCGTCCATTGACGTCGAAAATTCCCCTTCGCCGGCAGACGACTCGAGTGATCCCGTCCCTCCATATCCTTACTATATTGTTCTAGGCGCCAATGGTCGATACTTGTCCCGTCTCTGCCATTGCCTACACACTTCCTTTCGCAAACGTACAGACAACATGAATTGGTTCAAACAGCAGTTAGCCAACGTCGTTGGCACCGAGGAACCCGAATATGGCCCTACAGCGGTGCAACCTGTTACGAAGCAGACACCGCCCTACTCGATCCTCAAAAAGGAAGATTTGCGGTGGAAGGCCATGGAACAGACCAACGTCGAGACCGAAACCTTCTACTTTTACACAGACGAAGGTGTTACAGCCATGGCCCAGGTCATATACAGCAACGTCGGGTTAGAAGTATACCATTGGCAGTTGCCGCATGCGGGCTAATCAATTGTTGATAGTGGCCTCCATACCACCGCCCAGTTTAACAGCAAGATCTTCGATCATGAAGGACCTGGAAAGCATCAATGGTGCTCTGACCCGCTGAAGGATTACGGCTTCGATGAGCCACAGACCAGCTTCTACGCGGACGGCGTGGCTCTGGAAATGAACGACGCAGGAGATGCATACACAATTAAATCAGCCAGAAATGAACAATGCGTTGTCAATATAACACTGAAAAGGCAAGCCCCAGGTTTTCAAGTTGGCAAAGATGGCACTACGTACTTCGGGACGGACCCCGCTCACCCATGGGGGTCGATGCGACATGCCTTCTGGCCTCGGTGCACAGTGACAGGCACCATGCAAACACCCACCAAGACGTACAAGATGGAGGGCAAGGGTACCTACATCTATGCTCTTCAAGGCATGAAACCCCACCACTTAGCAAACAGATGGAATTTTGCCAATATTCACACGAAGGGCTATTCTGCGGTCTTGATGGAGTACACAACACCCCAATCCTATGGCAAAACCACAGTCGGTGTAGGCGGCATTGCCAAAGACGGGCAGCTAGTGTGTGTCGGTGAATGTACCGCTGAGCATCTTTCATCCAAGCAAGAAACGCCAAACGACTGGCCTGAGCCAACAACCATAGTATGGAAGTGGAATGGCCAGGTCGATGGTAAGCCTGTACACGCGGAAGTAAAGGGCGATCTGCCCACACGATCGGATCGGATTGAGGTTCTGGCGCATTTGCCAGGGTTCGTCAAGACCTTCATAGGCGCTGCAACAGGCTTGAAGCCACATATCTTCCAAGTAAGGCGACCGCTTTTCTTTTGTGCGTTCAGCACGCCGCTGTTGTTACTGACTTGAGCCGCAGTACTTCTCGACCGACAAGTTGCAGCTGAAAATCAAAGTCGACGGGGAAGACGAGGTCTCGGAGGCTGGCAGGGTCTTTTCTGAAGCCACCTTCATCTCCTAAGTTAACGAAGTGGCGTGTCGTGTTTGCACGCCTGAACGACACTGCATGACCTGGATAGAGCTTGAACGGTCTGGATACTGGATGATTGACCTACTCATTGGATATGCGATATACTACCACTTCGCAGTCCCCTTTTAATGTCTAATTCTTCTATCCTTGCCGGACCCTTCTTCGCTTTCGCTGGATAACACTCCTTTCTGACCACTCAGGTCGTCGACAACATATTTCATTTCTCCCTTTCTTGTCTCTCAACTCCCTTCTCTCAACGTCTTTTCTCTACATCCTTCAACACTTCAAACACCTCGAGCACTTCAAGGACTCTCGCCAAATCTCCGTTCTTCCTCTCCACTATCATCATCGTGCTTGTCAGATATCACTCTCGCACCACCCTTCACACGTCTTCCTGTTCTTTCGACGATGCCGTTGAGACAAGCCTTTTCCAGAGAGGGTCTGGGAAAGGCTGGTGCGAAGCGCCATCGCAAGCTCTTGCGCGACAACATCCAAGGGATCAGTAAGTTTCCCAGCAGCAATACAGCCCGGTAACTACAATCAGCCCGTTCCAACCCCAGAATCGAGTAGTAAAGACGATATCTGACGAACATTCTGCCACAGCTAAACCAGCCATCCGGTACGCCCGACCTCAGCGTGATCTCAAGCCTACAATGCCTCGCTACACGCACACTGAGCTCATATTGACTTGGCGCTACAGACGACTTGCCCGCCGTGGTGGAATTAAGCGAATCCAGTCGACTATCTACGAGGATATCAGGGGTGTCGTGAAGGAAAAATTACAAGAAGTCAGTCTCATATCAATCTCAGCTATCCATAAGGAGCCACATCAACAGGCCAGATCCCTCTTTACTGTTGACACAGTACCTCAGACTTTGACGCTCTGCTCAATTTGACTCTGACGATGACGATGACGCTAAAATCGAGCCAAGATTATCCGCAAATTGACCATCGTGCTGGGCAATTCAGGCGATCCTTCTCATCCAGATGAATGCCCACGAGGTGTCGTCATGCATGGAAGACGGGTATGTTATCAAACACCTTCTCACCTGGATCTGACTTGCGTCGGTAGACAGACTACGGGGTATCTCACTGACACAGAATAGACCGTCACAACGTACGACGTGGTGTATGTTCTCTACAGAGTGAGTATTCGTCCGTCTCGTTTGTTCTTTGGTTTACTCTCTTCAACATGCTGATTGTTTCCAATACAGATGGGTGAGCCTCTATTTGGATGGGGAACAGCCTGGGGCGGAGAGCCGCAGCGTTCGCGTGGGAGTGTGAATGCAAGAAGTAGGATGTGATCAAGAATCAAGACGTCAAGATCGGGTCTATGAGCGATCGAGAGACCGAGAGATCCGAATGAAACGGGCTGAAAGCGAATGTGCGCAAATGGCACCACACGCCTGGATACAACTGTCGGGCCACAACGACATCGGCACGGAATCATGTGTCAGCCCATAGCAGCGTCGTCAGGATATCCACAAGGGCTGTAGTGAGGCTGTTGGATCGGCTGAAAGCGAAAATGCGATGCAATACACTCATGGGTACAGATGTTGGCTCAGAATGACAGAGGCACAGGTCAGGCCATACCGGCGTCGCTCGGGCATTCAAAGGGCTGTATGTCGTAAGGTTGTTGGAAAGTCAGCGCCCGACAGTCTGTCACAACGCCTGCCTACCACAGTGCTGTGTCGAGCTGAGTGGAAATGAAGCCTATATGGACACAGCTGATGATACAAGATGATCAGACAGAGCGCTTTACATTTTGTATTTCCGAGCGTTGTGGCACGACCCACTCTATCCCACATCACGAATTGTGCTGCATCACACGAGCCTTGCAATGCTGTGACACAGAATGAACAAGGCGTCGACGAGAAGGAGATGCTGTGACGCCTCGGTTGGAAGACACATCCGTGTACGCTCCATTCATGTAGCTCCTGCACCTTACATGAACCTTGGACGGCTAGGGAGTGATGCACAGCGCTACGATCAGTGATTACTCCGATGGGAGGCACAGGCCTTTTGACGGCCTTCTCTTGCACGAGCCACCTTGGCTCAATCATCATGACTTCAACGGCAGCTTCCCTATGGTTCGTCATCACAACTCCAACGGCAGCTTCCCTATGGTTCGTCATCACAACTTCAACAATAACTTCCCCGTGGTTCGGCGACCCTCCAAATCCTCCTGGGCTTGCCTCGCCTCGGCGAGCGGATAAACCTTGTGGATCTTGATCTTCAATTTGCCGTCCTTCACCATGTCCAGCACGCCGTTGGCGTAGTATTCGAGCTCCTTGCGGGTCACGATGTAGCCCATCAGCGTTGAGCGCATGATGGACAGATTCTTCGCCGTGAGACGGGCGATGTTGATGGGCGGGACCGCGCCGGATGCTGTTGCGAGAGTGTCAGTAAGGTGTAATGAAGAGTAAGCGGAAGGGAGAGAAGAGAATGTATCTGCGTGGGAAAAGGGAGCGGTGAGAAATACCATTGCCGAAGTATACGACCTTTGATTTCCGCTTCGCGACCTCGAGGGATCCTTCGTACGTGTCCTTGCCGACGCCGTCGTATGTGCAGTCCACGCCTTCGCCGTTGGTAAGTTTCATGACTTGTTCTACCCACGACGGCCCGCTGGTGGCTTTGTAATCAATCACATGGTGCGCGCCGTTCTCTTTCGCGAGGGCACACTTTTCGGGTCCCCCCGCGGTGCCGATCACGGTGCATCCGGCATCGCGCAGCATTTGGGTGAGGATCAGACCCATGCCTCCCGCGGCAGCGTGGACGAGGATAGTCTCGCCCCTTTTGACCGGATAGGCTTCCTTGATCAGTGACAGTGCTGTCATGCCCATGAGGAAACTGCCCACGGCGTCTTCGTCCGACACGCCCTGGGGGATTTTGATCACCTTATCCGCCGGCACGGCCGTGTACTCGGCGTAGCCTCCGACTTTGATCCAGACGACGCGGTCGCCTTCTTTGAACCCCAACGTATTGTCTCCCTGGATCTTCGCGATCGTGCCGGCAGCTTCTTGACCTGGTGTGAAGGGAAACTGTGCGGGGTAGAGGCCACTGCGGAAGTACGTGTCGATGAAGTTGACGCCCGCGAAGCTGTTCTTCACCAACACCTCGCCATCTTGGACTTTAGGGAGAGGTGCGGATTCGTTGTATTCGAGGACATCGGGGCCGCCCGTTTTGGAAAACGAGACCGCTTTCATGGTGGAGGGTAGGGAAGACATGGCGCGGACGGTGGCTGGATTTGATGGTCGTCGCGAGTGCGGACTTGGACGAAGAGATAGCTGTGAAGTCAGTGATCGCAGACGAGTTGCTGTTGTCGCTGTGTTGAGTAGCGGTTTCACTGGCACACGAGGCCGCAAAGACATGGATCTAATAGAAGAGGACGTCGCTTCAATGTCGGGGTAATTGAACTGGTGTCGGCCGAACAAAGGAAATGTCCGCTGACAATGGCCGAACAACCGCAATGCTCGCTGAGAATCGAAGTGATGTCGGCCGAACAACTGTAATGTCCGCTGATAATTTTCCACCCTGCCCGTTGGTCTACAGCTTTAAGCCATCCAAATGAGACTCATCAAATCCCGGCATTGGAAATCGTGGTCAGCGAGATCGGAGTGTGAGGAGAAGTGGCCACGGCAACATAGCCGTTTCAGTGGTTCGTCGATCTCGTAAGCATCACTGGATAGCTGGTGATAGCTGGAGCTTGTGCTTGAGCTTCTCCGCAGGGTTGGACTTAGATTCATGTACCTACCTCGTACTGTCTCACTGTGAGGTACCTCAATGGCTACCTACAGGTATGTACGTGTACAAGACCAGCATTTACCCATTGATAGCGTGACCGCCGCTGAATGGGCCTCAATCCACTTCTGGCAAGATCTACGGGCATCGGGCAGCACCCTGTATTTGTCTCTTCATTGTAGCAAAGTATGTCTGTACGGAGTATACCATAGTCAGCTGCTTGGGCAGAGGTTTGGTCTTGAATAAGCCATATCTTACCTCCTCGACTCCAGCGTACAAGATGCGACTTTGGCACCTCCAGCCTCCCTAAGACCGGTGTACGTATTCATGCATAGAATATTTTCGCAAAACGAGGGGTAGCCAAATTTACCCCGCGAACATTTGATGGCTTGCGATAAGACGCCTGCCTTATCGCAGACGCTTCAGGATGCCGGTAAGCCAACCCTACTATGTAGTTACCCAGAGCTCATCCTCGTCATGTTGCATGGACATAATCCACGCCCTGCGCCTGCAAATGCGCTGCTCTGCCATGGTCGCGGTCATGATACGGCTTGTGGGAATGAAGCAGAGGAGGGCTGCCGGTGCTGCTGCAGTGGAACGTGTCGTAATCAACAGACGTTGCACCGAGCATGGCTTCTTCCACTGGCCGCAAGAAGCCCGAGACAGCGCCCCGTTATATAGCCAAATAGCAGCCAGCGGTGACCGGTTGTCATCAATCATCATTTCTACGAGTTAGAACGTGGCCAAAGGTTCCAGTTGTCCCGATCCCGCCGTCACCAAGCGTCATGAGATCAGTCAAGTAAGGCGAGGTGTGTCCTGATGTCTGTGGTGTCTGTGTAACCGGGCAATATGATCGACGCCAACAGCAACAAAAGGGTGTGGTGGAATTCTCTGTATGACCTTAGCAGATACCTAGTCTCAAGTATGGACCGGTCTCGCCGTGGGCGTGGCAGTCGGCTCATCCATGTTGATTTGAGAGAGATTTCGCAACGAATCCACCTCGCGAACAGACGAAGACTTCGTGGCAATATGTACTGTTCAAAATGCTGCCATTGAAGAATTGCCAACAAGGCTTGGGCAGTCACCGCTGTGATGGCAAGGCTCGCTACTGGTCCCAGCACTTGCTGTGGCCGTGCCCTGACAGCGGAGGTCGCCAGAGGCTGGGCCAGCGTGTCATGCAGTAAACAATTTTCATGTAGACGATCATGTCAGGCACTCTGCAATGATGAGTGGCTCGCCGAAACGCCCGTAGAAACCGGTGGCCCTAATTGGGTCGAGAACTTCTGAGGGACTTTGGTAAGAGGAAGAGGGACTTTCATGTGCTTCGAGGAACCACGCCTCACATCAGCGTTCCTGCGACAAGTACATTGCAGAGTAAGACTCAAAATAGACATGGAAGCGAAGAGAAAGCAATCGGCCGCGTCAGCACGGGGACCTTTTGCTAACGTTCTGAGGTCATGTAGTTGGCATGCTAGCAGAGGACCTGGAGTTGGACCGAAGGATTGCTTGTCGCGTCAAGAATGCATGCGCCTCTCAGCTGTCCGGTGCAGCCATGCAAAACGGCTGCGCGTGACTACGAATATACGGCGTCGCGCAGTAGGACATGCTTGCCGACCCTTTGGGCCAAAGCGTCTGCTACAACAAGTACACAGTACACGGTATGCGAGCCTTCGGATTAGTCTCGTGCCAATTCATCGGCGTAACGCTCTTGATCGTTGCCGTGACTGTGGCGGGGCGTGGGCGTTCTCGGGGGATCGCGACGGGCTGTTGGGGCCTACAAATGAGAACGGCAGGAGGCGCAAGCGGCGGCAAAGGCAGGAAGCGAGTGCATTAGCATTATGCAAGAATGATGTTGGTGGTGTTGGAATTTGTTTAGTTTTGTGTGGGGTTTTCTAAGCCCGTCTTGACCTCGTCTGAAGGCTGCGACACCGTCCAATGGTCGTGTCTTCCCAGTCCAAACAATTGAAGCCCTACCGCATGGGAAGATCCCTCCTCATTCAACTCTGACAGCTGCAGCACAAGAAGCCCTCATCCTTGACGGACACCGCCATTTGCATCGAGCCCATCTCCACACCGAGGTTCGCCTCACACAAATTTCACGGGTGTCTGTATCCACCCTCACCACCATGCCCCCGCCGGATCGCAGGCAATGCGGCCCGTTACGGTTGTACTTCTCTGCGTGCCCCATTGTTCTCTTTTCTTCATATCGTTGATTGCACAATATCCTTCTCCGGCTTGACCCATGGCCGGCCAGTGAATGCGTTCCCGAGCCATCTGCATTCGCGCTCAGGTGGAAGTGAGGATTTCCTAGCTTGACCCAAGCTTCGCTTTTCGACACGACTCTACGGAGTACCAGCACCTTCAACCGGTATCTTGGGCGAAGAAGGCTGCCTCGAGACTATTGCGGTTTCCCTTGTCACCTGTTACGGCCCCGAGTTCAGCGGTTCACCTTGGCTCCTTGGTTGTACATGGCGTGCTGATTTCGATCTGGCCTGTCCCTCTCTCACATTGCCTGCGCCTCCCGCAACACAATTCGAAACACAACCACCCCAGTTCCCAACGCCTTGCAATACGAGTTTCTCAGGTAACGGCAGGCCGTCAAACAACTCTTAGAACCCACGTCTTGCCCGACTGCATCATACCACTCTTGGGCGTGTAGCCTGAGCGCCTCGAGGAATCAGTACATAAGGCTGCCTCCGTTGTATGTTGGTGAGCTGGCAATGATTACAAGATCTTGGCTATGGTTGTTGGGTTGAGTGAATTGAGATGACACAAATATGGCCGCCATCTCCATGCGTGGAAGATGAAGAAGTGGCTCTGGCGAAGGAACATATGCCTGGTGTTGCTACTGACCAGCTGAAGAGCGAGGACCAACCAGCGAGCAGCAGAGGCTCTGTCGATCAGTATCCTATCATTGACGACTCTCATGTTGCACCTCAGTCCTCCCATGGTCAGGAACATGTTCGCAGCAGTGCCACTCGTAAGGGTGAGCTGGAACCAGTCTCCAACACCGAGAAGAGGTTTGTGCTCGTGCCCTCTCAAACCACAGAATCAGAGCCGGAAACTCTACGACCCTCTGATGGCTTGCATCGATCAAAGTCAACCACCCAGCTATCCCAGCCAGATGTTTCCAGAGGCAGACCTCATGTGACTAGAATTCACACGGATCTTGGGGCTGGTCTTGATGGAATGCGGACGGGGCAGCGACGGGCTCCCTCTCCCTATGCTCACACGCCGACCGCCTCAAGGGATGCTCTCTCGCCAGACGCAAACCGTAAAGAAAACTTGCTGTCCCCAATGCATGCTCATGAGGCAAGACGGGCGGCTTCTGTTCACTCCGGAACACGCGTCGCCGACCGTGATATTAGTGAATCAGACCAGAGAGCGAAATCAAGAAGGCGGCCTGACCGGAGCCGGAGTCGAGCCGCGAGGCAAAGCTTCTCTCAGTTAGATCGATCAGACTCTGAGAGGGTCAAGCGTTCTAGGTCAATCAAGCGAGACGAGAGTCTGGATAGCAGGTTCTCAAGGCGTACTCATCGCTATCAAAGCCCAGCGCCACGACCAGGTGCCTTTTCTGGCTATACTTACACAGGGCAAGATCATATAACGCCTCCTGCAACTCCGAAGCCGAACAATAATTCGGCGCGGTCGTCTGCAGTTGAGCTAACTCCCGTCCCGGAGCAGTCAAACAGCCGCCATGCTCCAGTGAATACTGACTCACCCAACACATCCTCTGCCGAAGACAGCCATAAGCGTCTTTCAAGAGAGCAGGACGGCCTCAGATCAGCTCGGTCCAGGCGAAGTTCGCGTGCACGTGGCGAGACAGAAGAGAAATCCACGTCAAAACGAGAGCGGTCTCAACGACGTGACAGGCATTCTAAAGATGACTCTAGCCGAGAACAGTATTCTTCGGACGAGAAACCCCGTCGTGGCACCAAAACACCTGTATCTGCTCGAACACCACTGAGCATGGAGGGTTTGCTTGAAAATGCCTTCGTCGCTAACCAAAACAAGCGGCCAAAGGATGCTGATGCTCGATCTCGTCGTGCCTCGCCGTCTGTTTCTCCAGCCCAGAGCCCTCCTCACACACCTCGAGACGACCGAATATCAAGAGACTATTTCGAACAGAGCCACCACTCATTAAAGCCATCCAGGCAAAGGTCACGGCCACCGTCAGTCGACGAGAGTCACCTGAAAGACTTCAGGAGCGCAAGCTCCTCTCTCCTGGGAGTGGCAACATTAGGTGCCTCACTCGCGGCAAAAGCTATCCCCGCTTTGACTCGGTCGAACACCTCCCAGTCCCTTGAGACACCGAGCAGCGGTTCGCAAAGCAGACCTAGTAGTGGACAACGGTCGAGAAGGCCCTCTCCTCTGCTGGAAGAAGCTCAACCAGTGTATCAAAGTTTGTCTAGGACAGAGTCGGTCACAAGCCGGGATGAAAGTGCCGCAACTCGTACCACGACATACACTGTTCACGAGGATCGAGCAGTACCAAAAACCGCACAATACACGCCAGCACCTCTCGAGCCTCTTCGAGCTGCTTCTAGAGCATCGTCCTATTCGCACTCTCCTGATCAGTCGCGCCCACCAGCGCCCTTCAGAGCATTTTCAACGTCCACAGCTCAAGCACACCAGCAGCCAATCCCCGCTCTTGCTCAGCAGACACTGCTGTCGACCCCGATGAGTCTTGAGCCTGGTACAGCGCTGCCGAATACAGTCGCGCGGCCAAATTCATTACCACCCTGTCCGCGGTCAAGGCCTGTTGCTGGCTTGCACGACTGGTACACCATTCGGGACATGTCATTTCTGAATTTTTGCCCCTCATGCATGGGCTTTCTTGGGTCTACCCGCTTCCGAGACTACTTCATCCCAAGCTTCCAGAAAGATCCTCGCCAGCCAATAATTTGTGCGATGAGCCACCCTTGGCTGCGTGTCGCGTGGCTTCAGTCGATAAAGCAAGACAGGAAGGATCTAGGTCTCATCTGGCACATTGCTCACGGTCCACCAGCGGGAACGAAGCCCTGCTCTGGCACGAAGAGTGACCTAAGAAGGTGGTATCATCTGACAGACCCCAGAACGAAAAGAGCAGTGGACAACTTCGATATATGTTCCGCGTGCGTCAGAAATATCGACCTGATCTTCCCTAACCTCCAGTTCTGCGTTTTCGACCGACCGCAAGACAAGAAGGAGGTCGAGAAGATTTGCAATCTGAATACTCACAGTCGGCACTTCCTACCTATCCTGAACGAATTGGAGAGGCTGTCAGAGCGGTCGAAGGATTCCATCAGGCACAGAGATTTTCAAGACTTTGTGGACTACATCCGACGCATTTCGCGCAATCGGCAATGCGTAAAGGATACGTTGCTGGCAACTCAGTCATGGCATTTCCACCCTGAAATCCCTGAGCTCACGATTTGCGAGGAATGTTATGAAGAGGTGGTTTGGCCACTGCGCGATCGGTCTATCGCACACGACGTGTCCAAAACGCTGAAGCTTGTGCCTGCACTACGCAAAAGCTCACTCCTTCCCGGCACAAGTTGTCAACTGTACAGTGAACGCATGAGACGAGTCTTTCGCGATGCTGTAAGCAGGAACAATCTGGAGAGTCTGAAACAAACGGCGCAATACCGGTATCACATGGAGCACCGGCTGCAGGAGATGCACAAATTGTATGAAATGGATCAGCTGGCGGGGATTGATCGGAGGCATGAGATTGAGAAGAACATCTCTATCTGGAAGTCCATTGAGTAATGAGACACGTGGTTTACGGTTTACGTTTTAAGATGCTATGAGACCTGGGTTTGGGAACTGGAAAAGCTGGTGCGGAGCCTGGACATCGTGTGGGCGGGTAAGGGAGGCAAATGGTAATCAAACCGGGCAACGAGACTTGTTGTGATAATGCTACCGGAGCTGAACGCTTCCTTTCACCGTACGCTTTACCCAGCCTGCATCTTCTACCCCAGATTTTATGATAATAGCGCGGCGACTTCGCAGCCCTGAGGATACTCATAAACCCGTCTAAACTTCATGGTGATCTATCTCCAATCTGACCCCAGCATATTGCTAATATACTGGTATGTTCCCAGAAAAATGGCACCTCCTGTACTAATCCATCCGACACGGGGTACAAAGCCGCGGAACAAGCCAGCAATGCCTTCCTGTGCCCGGATCTGGCGCAAGACTATCACAGCACCAGCTCTCTCTGAAGAGGCGCCTGACTCCTTCCGTTCCAGCATGATCCTGGTTTTCAGGACGTCCAGCGGCGTCGTCAGTCCAGCAGCGATAGCGCCCGCCGCACTGCCGAAGAGTGCACTCTCCGTAGCTGAGACCATTCCGGGTTGTCTGCCATGCCTTCTATGCTGGCGTTTCGAGTAGGAGTCCTTGAAATATTCCCATAAACTGAACTGGATGATGGTAAAGGGGATTTCGCGCATGATGGTCACCCCGCCACCCCTGTAGAGCTCCCGGACCATGGTCGTGTACCCATCTGACCTCCTTAGGCCCAGTATATCCTGGAATGCGAGCAGCGTTGATCCCCCAAAGAGGCCCGCTTGGGCCCGTTGCTTGACCACCTCTGTCGGCACCCGTATGGCGCACGCGGCTATCTCTCCCAACGACGAGGCGAGCATGTGAGCGTATGCTTGCTGCGAGGCAGGTGTATCGTTGTCTATCATTTCTCTTTTCACGCCGTCGTAGACCACGAAGAAGGAGGCCGCCGAGGGCATGGACCCGAGCAACGCGGAGGGCAGACCCGCGTACATGCTGCGCAGGGTGCCTCGCATGGTATGGCGAGGTAAGATGGAGGCGCCATTGTTGGTACTTATACTCGTCAGATTAGACTGGAGGCGAGTCTTGATCGTGTCCAGGGGGTAGAGCGAGAAGTCGACGGTAAGGCCGGCGAATGCGCCTGCCTGTTAATTACCACGTCGTCAGAGTCATATCGCGCGGGCAAAACTTGGATGAGAGTAGGTACGGACAATGAGGGATCTGGTCCAGAATGAGGTCACGACGGGTCGTGGAGCTTCTTGGGGAGCTACATCTTGCTCGGGCATGCCTGACGGTAGCTGAGCAACGTGAGGCAGAGCTGCAGTGAACCCAAGCACGGCGAAGGATTGTCAACTTTTGGATTTGGCTCAGAGGGTGGAATTGGTTTCAAATGACCTGACCTTTCTATCAAGGCGCCGAATAAGGAAATCTGTCACGCGCGCTGGCCCACGGTCTATTACATAGAAGCCATAGTATCACATCAAGCACTGATTGCCATTTCTAACCGTTCTAAGAGACAAACCTGGCAAGCATGCATCAACACTTTGAGGAAATTTCTTCTACTCGGCTGATGGGGGACCCGAACTGCGCTGCTCAATCGTCAACCGACCGAGCCACGTCGCCTGTTTGATGCTTGATCATGAAGCCACCGTCTCCCTTGCTCAGCAGCGTCTTGATCCAGTCGACCCCAAACTCCCACCACCCATGTCTATCTACCTTTGCCATCCTTAGAGAGTCGGGATCAAGGCTGCCGACCGTGACGTCGACGAATGCCATCGGGGTGTTCAGGAACTCGTGGTTGACATATGAAAGGTTTGTGCCGCAACGGGAACAGAACGATCGAGTGGCCCTTTCTGTGCAGCGGAACCGTGAGACAAAGGTTGGACCAGATTCTTATCCTGACTGGCAGGCCCGACTGCCTGTGAAGTTGACAAACGAAGGACGTCACTATTCGAGCCCTCCTTGGGGACGATATCCCACTCGACCCAGTCAACTGGTGCTATGAGCCAGCATTGAACCAGGCACCCCGCTTGCGTACGGCAGTCGTTACAGTGGTCGATGTCTACCATGGGCATCCGAGTTTGAACCTTCTCGGTGGCTGACACGGGGGTATCGAGGGCGCTAGGGACCGCGGGCCGGTCATCCCATGCTGGAACATTGATGGTATATCGAATTGCTTTGCAATAGCAGCCCCCAGAAAGGGTAGTGGCTTGCTTGGGAAGGTACGACATTTTCTAGTATAGGCCAAGAAATGACGCCCGAGATAATGGCTGCTTAGTTCTGTGCCTGTCTTCTCAGGCTCGCATTCACTATGGACAAGTTGGTGACGGATATGAGCGCTTGTCTTGAAAGCCGATTTGACGGATGAGTTGGGAGGGATGGCGCGGGGGCTTCTCCCACGAGGCTGCCGTTGCCCAGCAACATGGGCTGGATGTGCCCCACCCAAATACGGCGGTGAAACTGAAGCGCGTCGCGAACAAAAGCAATAGTGTAATTAACCACTTATGTCACACATGCTAATAGACATAACGCACAGTCGACGAGAGCACATTCTTCTCCCAGCCATGCCTATACACAGCATAGCTTTCTATATGCAATAGCGACGACACTTGCCTGAGCACCACTGGCTGCTCAAGCCGCGAATACCATCGATATCTTCCCTCCTCTCACCCTCACCTCATTCTCCAACCACCATTCATCACAAACAAGATGGAGCCGTGGCTTGACTCGCTGTCAGAGGACTGGAAGTCCGAGCAGCGCTCGTCGTCGCCGGTGCCTTCTTTGCCCAGTAGCCGTATCCATGGCAGCGTCGTCCTGTCCAGCTCTCAAAGCCGCATCCCACACCTCGCAAACAATATGCGCCAAGATTCTACCACTGGCAGTTTCCTGCGACACCGGTCAACACACGGCCGGGCTCGCCAGAGTGGCCGTCCTATCCTTCGAGAACGAAGCGCATCGAAGCTGAACCTCCCCGCTACCTTCGGCTCGCAAAAGACCTCGAGTCTGCCACGGCGAACTTCCAGCGCGTTTTCGGAGTCGCAAAACTCTGTACAACATCACTCTGTGCGAGAAAAGGCTACGCTGGCAGAGACGCCTGAGTGGAAGAAGCGCCTTGCCGCAGGCGAAGACGTCAACAGTGATGGCTTCGACCTCTTCTCGCCGTCGAAGTTGGAAGCCGTATTCAAACAACCAAACTCTTCGCAACTGCACAGCGACAAGGATGCTGACCCTACGGAAGCGGGCTTCAACCGCAAGCCCTTCAACGTACCCTCCTCCAATCCTTTCCTTGAACAGTATTCCAGTTACCGTGGCACCACCAGAACTCGTGTGAATCTAGAGGTGCTGGAGGAGCTCAATGAGGATGAGGAGCCCGAACAATACGGCCTTTCGGCAGTGTCGTCGGACGTTGTCAAGAATGGTTCCCTCAGAGGACTGGTCAAGCAGCGGGTACAATCGCTAGAGCGCACGGAGGACCCTCGCTCTGGTCAGTCATCTCGAAATATATCGTCCGCGGAGGATCACAGATGGAACACGAGCAGCGGGCTAGAAGAGCTAAAGAACGAGTTCATCAGCCCGGTCACAGAGTCAAAACAGAACTCTATCCGGAATACCGTGCTACGCAATCCTCTCGATCTCGATGTACAGGCACTACAGGGCAAGCTACAACAGGCGTGCTTGGAGGACGATGCACGTCCATCTTCCAGTGCGAGTGACAGCTATATCGACTATGCCAGGAAGGACGACACTGAACAGCCCTTGCACGATGAACCCTTACCCGACCTGACCTCACAGTCCCTACCGGACGACCTGTCAATGGGCACTCAAGTCTTCGAGACAAACGGAGGCTTCATCAATTCCCGACGTGGTGGCCGTTCGAATGAAGCCTCATTCCACCGCAAAAGCCTGAGCTTGAGCCAGGAGCATTCACGCCTCGACTCAAACACACGACCTGATATCCAGATCAACAGCTCGCCGCCACTTCATTCCCGGCATTTCGACGAGAGCATTGAAGATAGTAGGATCAGTGTCTCTGCGCCAGCAACCCCTCAAGACACCAGCGTCGTTCATCACACAGACAGCCATCTCCGGCCCACGTCTTCTGGTAGTCCGCTGAAGCTATTTGGGAATAGAGATACATACACAAACAACAAGTTGATGCGCATCTTGAGTCATTTCGAAGAGCCCGTTTCCTCCCCCGGGCAACCGGGGCCCGAGGACTTAGCTGAGGGAGACCAAGAGCATGCTCTGCGGATGAGCCAATTTGGCCAGGGTCAGCTCGATGGGTTCGGCTTTGAGCAGAATGTCCGCAAGCCGTCGCCTATTCAGCCTACCGGGGTGAAGCCAGAAGATAGGATCTTCATACCTATTGAGTCCGAACACCGTTTGACCGTTACGGCGGTGCAAGAGCATACGGTTGAAAGGGTTGAGCTTGCTGGAGCAGAGAAAGACAGGACGACAAAACGACGCAAGACGTTGCTCGAGGAAGAAATACTGCCGCAAGGTTATGAGAGCGAGGCTAAGGTCAGCGAGCTCGAAGAGACAGCTACCCTTGCAGGCAAGAAACGGAAAGATGCTCGACCTGGCACCGAGGGTGTTCCAGCAGATCCAGATGTCCTTGCATCCCGAGATTTCCTAAGGCCAAAATCAACGAGAAAGTCTTCCGTTAGCCGCGTGCCGTCTACTCCGAATGCTGAACCAGATGATGTGCCAAATTCAAATCAGGCCGCAAACGAAGACCTTACTGAGGCTCTAGCTGCGGAACTCGCAACATTTACACAAGGCGCTGTTGAAGTCAACAATGATTCCCGCAAGGCCTCACTCGCCACGAGAGACTACATGGAAGAAGCAAATAAAGTCATGCAGTTTATTCGATCCCGAGGAAAGCCGAAGCCTGCCGCCACGATCCCGGAAATCCGTGAGCCAACAGAGATGTCAGAGATCAATCCAGATTCCATCCTGGATCTGGACCTGGACGCCGAGTCCACTAAAGACGATTTCTCACGGCCGCCATCACGGGATCACACACCAAAGCCGGCCGTCGATCGCCGCCATGCGCGGCATGATTCACGCACAGCAAGCTACCTGCGAAAGTATCGCGATGAAGATGACTTGGATGCTTTGGGTGGCACTTCGGTATTTGGTACGCTCGCTACAGCAACGAACAAAGTTCAATCCGAGGTGGTGGAAACATTTGCTGTCGAAGAGATTCAGGAAAGCGACCCTCCCAACATGCGCATTCTGAACCCATCTGAGACTATGAGGAAGCGCAAATACTCAAGTTCTACCGTTGGTCAGGACCCGACCCTGAACCTGCAATCGGCCGCCCACAATTCCGGCCACAGTTCGACCCAGCATTCTTTCCCTACACAGTCATCCGCCTCCGGCAACAAAGGCGTCATATCGTCAGGAAGTGTGTCCATCCCGGATAATATTGGCACGATGACATTCGACCATGAAAAGAAGATCTGGGTCAAGAAGATGTCGGGGTCCAAGCCTCAGAGCAGGCGTGAACAGCAGACTTCAACCGAGCCTGACCCATTTGAGGACATACCTGATCTCAGTATCGACGAACAACAAGAGCTCCAAGCCAAAGCTCGCGCTTCCAAGCTGGCTGGACCCCAGGAGAACGAACACGCAACTGAAGATGAGGCGCAGAACAACAAGAACAACTTGCCGACTCCTCCAAAGACCTCACCTGTGACCGCGGCAAGCGTCGAGGAGCGTGACATGGCCGTATCAGAAGCTGAAGACAATACTGTGGAGATAATACGAAGTTCTCTCCGCTCAAAGACCTCAGAGCATGAAGCAAATCTCCACAACGGCATCCCATCCAAACCCCCCAGTCAGCTCAAGGACGATCGGAGGCAAGCGCGGGTCGTCACAATCGCTTTCTCGTCGCCGGTGGTCTCGGGCGTCAATTACGCCAATCTTTCCGAAGAAGACTTTAGCGAGTTGCCACGAGAGGAGGACCTGCCTCTGGACGATTCCGAGATTCATCTTGAAGATGAAGATAGGGAAGACATTACACGACAGAGATCCACCACAGCACCGATGCTTCCGCACATAAAGCTAGGCTCGGTGCCGGTCCTCGACCATGAGCAAGCAAATAACTTCCAGCCTCGGACTATCTCACCTATTCTGGAAGACGACGAGGAGCAGCTCGATCCGCGGCTCAGCCTGATACACGTCAAGCAATCTAAGGTCGTAACGCCAGCGCCGAATAGGTCCATTGCGAAGCTCCAGAAGGGCGCGAACAAAGCTTCAAGCATTCTTTGCCTAACGCCTTTATCGGACTTCTCGGTTCACCAACTTGACAGGTCGAAAGACCTCGATCAGAGCTATGTTGAAGAAAGAAAGCATCCGCACGCTTTGCGCCAGGCCCATGGCTCGTTGGCCCTTGCTGTCGATGAGCTTGTCAAAGCGATAACCGACGCTGCTCCTGATGAGCTATTCTGGGACCAACTTCGAAGCCTGGACCTGGCTCCGAGCAGCGTGTCCTCGGTTCACAGCTTGAAGGAATATTGTCCCGTCTTGGAAGAACTGGCGATGCCGGGCAACCCAATATCACAGCTTGGTGGACTGCCGACGTCGTTGCGCGTTCTCGACATCCACCAGAGTATGGTTAATGACCTGTCTTCGTGGGGTCATTTGCAAAACTTGCAATATCTAGATGTATCCAGCTGTCAGCTTGAGAGTTTGGAGGCTTTCAGCTCATTAGTCCATTTGCGCAAGTTGAAGGCGAACAACAATCGTATCTCAAACATCGACGGCATCCTGGACCTCGACGGGCTTCTTGAGCTCGAGCTCAGCAACAATGAGATGACCCACGTCGACTTTCAAGGGTGTGGATTGAGCCGACTGAAGAAACTAGACTTGAGCCAGAACCAACTGGAAGACATCACAAACCTCAGTCTTTTGCCTGGCCTTGATGAGCTAGACGTCTCTCACAACGCCATTCGGAGTTTCTCACAAACCGAGCAAATGGCACTGTGGAAGCTGGAAATCGCCCACAATGAACTCGAAGTGTTTGGTTTAAAGCACATGGCAGCCCTTCGTTATCTGGATCTGGACTGCAACAAGATTAAGGCTCTACACGGTTTAAGCTCTGCCTACCACCTCGAATTTCTTTCGCTGAGAGAGCAGAGAGAAAAGTCTACGATTGTCGAATCTGTCCTGAGCACTCCGAATGAGTGCCGACACATCCGCTTATCGTCGAATTCTGTGGTCAATGGCACTTTCATCCTGCCAGCAGCGCCTCAAAACAATCTTCGTGAGCTCGAAATCGCTGCCTGTGGCATCACGGATCTCCCAGAACGGTTCGGTCTATTCTTCCCCAATTGCCGGTATCTAAATGCGAACTTCAACGCTATCAAAGATGTGGGGCCACTCCGGAAGATGGTGCATCTGAATACCTTGCTGCTGGCCAGAAATCGCATCCAAAAACTGAGGCGGACGTGTCTTGTCATGTCTAGGCTTCCATCGCTGAAGCAGATTGACCTCCGAGACAATCCCTTGACCGTGGGATTTTACAGTCCTGCAACTGGCCATGTCCATCCATGTGAGGCACGATACCGTCTGCCTGCAGGCTCAGATGCAGAGGATGCTACATGGATGAAAGTGCTCGATGAGATAACGGGGCTGAAAAGACGTACCATTGAGTTGCTGCTTGCTGAGCACTGCAAAGAACTCGTGCACCTTGATGGACTTGCTCTTCAGCGAGAGCGGTTGGTGGCCCATGACGAAACGTGGACCAGGCTGACCAGTAAGGGAGTGCTCCTGAAGCGGACTCCTGGTGTCATCAACGAAGTCGGGAGTCAGGGCGGCTGTGGAGGTGGTGCTAATGATGGTGGCTTTGCCCAGCAAGCGCCGCGTGCTAATGATGAAGATGTGTTTGACGGATGAATGCTCGTGTTCTATAGCTGGATTTCGGGAGTGGGTGGGTTCACAAGGAGTCTGGGCACAGGCTACCAAAAGCTTTGGTTTTGAGTTCCGGTTGGATATGACGAGCGGATTGATGCATGACGGCGAGGAATGGAATGGATTGGCTGGTTAGGCAACAAGCAAGAGAAGCATATCGTGACTGTATTTCTACGCGTCGGAGAGTATGAATTGAGACGAATGTTCACATCAGTAGCAGTACGGTTTATTATGATTCGTGAGGGACCTCAACTTCGGAGTTCTCTTGATCCAGAGAGCAGTCTATTCCCGCATGCCTTTTACTGAAAGTAAACTAAATCGCGGACACTATCCTACTTCCATTCCTACTAGTACTACATTGTAGATTAACATCATCGGATCTCATGAGATACTAAGTATCTGCTGTGCTGAGCCAGCATTACACAAGCGTGCCGAGTAAACTTTTCACCTAATGCGAAAACATTTAAAAAAAATTGTAAAAAGCAAAAACAATCAACAGCCAGGATTCCCAAGTGGTCACCCACCTTAGTACTAACTGACCGGCATGTGGCTTAAGTACGGCTGAGCGAACGGGAAGCCCTGTTTTCCACATCCTATGGTCGATTGCGGGAGAAAATGTGCCAATTGATTGAATATGCGCAGAACAACTGCCGTCACCGTTCGAGGAAGTCTACACGCACCACCAACAAAGGACGAATGCCGCCGCCCTACGCCTCATTTTTCTCTTTCAGCAGTTGACTACTACGCAGGAAGGAAGCTCGAGGGGCCGAGCTCAGCTCATGCAGCTGGTCTTATTCAGGACGTCGTATGCCCATTTTGTGGTACCCACGTTCACAATGGTTGTGGCTGATGGGAACTTCTCGATGACGCTCCTATCAGACTCAGATTCCGCTGACCACTCGAGGGGTAAGCTTTCGACGCGTCACGGATTCAAGTGGCTTGGAGTACTCTACTCCCAACAGCAATCAACAACACTGAGTTAGCGACCTTAAGATTCTTCACATATGGGTCCGCTGCTTTGAGGCCGTAATTACTTCGCTGCATTGCAACCAGCTACGGTTGCTTCCTCTTCCAGAAAGTGCCAAAGACGCCGGATCCGCAGACGAAGGTTGCTACTTACCCTTGCGACATGAACCGCTACCTTTACTTGGCAGCTGAATATTCATTCTCACTGTCCGCTGTCATCTTACATCCCTGTAACTCACGGTCCGAATCATAGGCTCAGACTGAAAATTGGTCCGACAAACCAGCATCACTTGCTTGCGCCCAATTCACGTCCCTCAAGCAGCCATTGTTCTAGCCCTCCTTCAAATCGCCACAGCAACCACGCGTTCCATCATGACTTGTTGAGGTTTCACGAAACTGTCCAAAGTCGGACATTGCCCGCAACATGGCTGTTGCACGAGTCCATGTGACGATCGGAGCTCGGTATCGCATATCGTTGACTGTGCAGAGTATTCGACTATGATTGGGTTGATATTATCTTACTGTTCGATGGCTCTCTGCGCCCTCACACTTCGTTGTCATGCTCAGCTAGCCACAAAGTGGCTCTCGACGGGAAGGGGTGGCAAGATACTATGTATCTACACTGTCCTCAAACTTCACGGTCAAGCTCAGCTAGCCACAAAGTGGCTCTCGATGGGAAGGTGGCAAGATACTATGTATCTACACTGTCCTCAAACTTCACGGTCAAGCTCAGCTAGCCACAAGTGGTAATCTTCCACGGAGTCCAATGTTCTATTGTTCATTTCAGCTAGCCACAGAAGCGATCTGCCATGTAGTGGTGTAGAGCGATTACTTTAAGAACATGTCCTCTTCTTCCCCAGCCAGGAAACCTCAGGTTCGCAGACTACCTACCTGAGATATTCAACGCAATACCTGAATCAAGGAGAAGCCTTCCCCATTTACGTCAACATGGCGGACGGCAATGGACTGCCTGCCTACATTCGCGAACTTGCTGAGAAGCAAGGAGGTATGTACAAGGACTCGCAATGAGATTTGCCTGACGACCACAACAGCTAAACTGCCTGGTGATATTGCCGGTCAAATCGGATCCTTCAGTGTTGTTCCTCCGGAACTGCAAACAGCATACCAAAATGCAGATTACGCCACCATTCAATCTTACATGGACAAAGCAACGCAAGATTTGCTCCCGATATATGCCGCGATACACGATAATGGAGATGGCGCGTTTACCAAGACCAAGCCACCCCCCAACGACCCGGATAATTACTGGTACCTTGCATGGGCAGGAGATTCCCAAAGCCCTGATGCTTTGATCTGGTGCACGACCTTTCCTTTGAGCTCGACAGATGCTCGTGTAGGCGACCAGACCAACAGGGTTGCTCAAGTCGGGACCTGGTCCAAGAACTCCAATACATGGGGCATCTCCAATCAGATTTGGTCCAGCTCCGAAGCTGCACTCGCCGCAGGCGGCGTGGCCACGATTGTGTTGAAAGCTGTTTTCAAATACGTCCGCAATCGGCTCCGGGGTATGCTAGCTCAACAGGCTGCGCAACAAGCGGTTGGTGAGGCGGGCGAAGAAGTTGTAGCAGCAGGTATCGTCGAAGAGGCGACTTGGGTCACGATCACATCATTTGTTGGTGGCCTCGTTGTCGGGGCCGTCATAGGTGCCATTGCATATTATCTCGTAATGTGGATCATCAACTTTCTTGTCAAAGCTTACAAACTCTGCATCAGCATCTACAACTGGGACACCGAGCACGCCTTCAACCTTGTTCAGGAGTTTGGGAGCAATGAGACGCCAGACGGTAACATGACTCTTCCCTACAAATTGGAAGCCGCCGTCAGTAAGTTTCAGTGCAGGAGCTTCAGTTGTGTACCCGCTGACTCTCTCTAGCGTCTGTCATCGGTCCGGGGGGGATCCCAATCCCTGTCGACCCCACGTATGAGTATATGGTTCTAGTCTTCGACAATGGTATGAAACTCTCACACCACTCAGCCATCACTAACGGCCTCAGTTGACGAGTTCATGAACGGGCTCGGTGTCGCCCTCCGGCTGCAGACTACCGACAATACCACAGGTAAGTTCGTGAACGTGAACCCATCAGTTACTCTAATGAATCGATTTTAGGACTTCAGTTGAAATATCTCCTATCGTACTTTCATGACAACAACATCGGCCTCCAAGGTGGTACAAACGAGGCCCTCCCTGACTTCTATAACGACAACAGCACATGGCGCCCGACAGGGGACACCAAGTTCAGCACGACCATTCCAGGTATCAATGTGCCGATTTCCTGCTCAACTCCTGCCCTCAGTGGCGCCAGCGATGATTTCTACGCATTCGATGTACATATTGGACTGAAGCCTGGTGACGATTTTGGAAAGCCTCGTCCTGCTCTACCTCCAAGACGACGCTTTGAGCGCCCGAACCCCATCCCCAAGCCAAAACCTGGTGATATTGTGTCGCTCCCTAATGGCGGGAAGGTGGAAGTTGGGGAGTGAGAGAAAGCGCTATTACTGTCCTGTATCCGCATGAACCAAAGGTCTCTGCTCTCAAACACAAGAGTGTCCGCTCATCTCATTTAGCTAGGGCCTCTTTGAAATACACAGTACACATAGTGTCTCATACTACACAGTTGCACAGCCTTCCACATACAACTGCTGAATGTCGAGAGATCAACAAGGCACCGCTTTGGTCATTTATAGGTCATCAACGAGCCACCACTTGGTCATCACCTAACTTGTCTAAGCCATTTGCCTATTATTGGACGCCGAAGCACTCACTACAAATAGAAATATCTGGCATTCCATGGCATATTGCCATGACACTTTACTTCAATCCAACACTCTACCCCACCCTAATCCCTCCGTGACCCTCTTACTAATCTCCTCATTTTGTGCTGCAGCAGAGACAACCGGCAACCCCGGCGCATATGTCCTCACTGCACACTGCCACTGCCCAGACCTTGCGGCGCGCCTTTCACCCACACTCCACAAGCCGTGTGATCCGCAATTCCACGGGACTGCACTGCGCGGCCCAGTTCTCGGTGTAGAGATTGTAAAAGTCCCCGCTGAGGCATTGCCAGAACGTGGTGGAGGGGCCTAACGCTAGCGTCATTACGCCGTCTTGTGCTGCTTCGTCGTTGCTGTCGCCATTGCCATTACCGTCGCTTTTCCTGGTGCTGTCGCTTGCTCCATCCTCGACTTGCTGTCGCGAGGTTGACACCGGACACACGCTCCACCCGGAGGTGTAGATGGCGCCGGATTGCGGAGGACCGTCGAATTGGAATTGGTAGTTTGAGGCGATATACCCCGTGCGGTCCAGGCCGTCGAAGAGATTGTTGTCCTGGAGGTGCAATCTCAAGGTAGAGTTCGTGAGGCAGGACACGAGGGATAGTCTGGTTGGGAGGTCATCTGTGGTGCTCTCGCTTGCGAAAGGAGATGGTGCTGCTGCTGCTGCTGATGATGATGATGAGGCTGCCGCTGGTGGCGAGGATGCGGTGCTGGTGGAAAGAGATTGTACCGCTGCTGAGATTAATCGCGACGATGTATTAGTTGTGATAGAGCCAGCAGAGGCGGAATAGATACTAGTACCGGGATTGAAATAGCTGGAAAATGCAGATCCGCGTTGCGGTTGTATGGCGACCGTTGTTGAAATGGGTGTCGGCGAGGTCAAAATTCTCGAAATGCCACAAGCTTGTTCAATTACTGAAGGCGGTTTGCTGGTAGTAGCCAACGGAGGGAACGGCGAACGAGAGCTCGAACATATTGTGACTGTCGTTGGCGAGCTAGCTTGTCCCGTGGTGGCCATCGGCCCTTGGATCTGCCCATCACCGATCTGCGTCACTGGTGGGAGGATTGCCACCGAAGACGAAGTGGCAGTAATTTCTATGCTGATGGGCACGGTGTGCATTCTTCCTTGCACTTGTCCGTCGTCGATCTGGTCGACTGTGCCGACTGTGAATATTGGGGATGGAGGCTGTTGCCTCCTCTGCAATGTCTGTGACGGCGTCGACGACGGAGAAGGAAGGGATATGTTCATGACTGCGATGCCGAAGACGGATGGAAAGGAGCCTGTGCATCCTGGTGGAGGAGGTGACGGCGGTGATATTAATGCTGTGACGGCTTGTCGTGGTGCGATGGGTGAAGCGTATACGAGGGCGACGAAACCAAGCAAGAGGTTTGAGGCGACTCTCATAGTTCAGATCAAAGTACCAACTGCGGTGTGATGTGGCAACCCCGATACCTCAGGAATCAAAGCTGCATGTTGTAGATTGAGGACCATCTCGCCTTCACAAACCATTGATATAATTACTCGTTTTAAGCACAGTCCATCGACCGACCTCCCAGGAACCCGCGGGTTGGGAACGCACAGATCCACGATGAGGCCTGATGTAGGCTCGTGCGGCTTCTAGCATACACGCTGAGGAATGTCAATGTTCTTGCACGGACCGTGGGTCACCCAGAACCCCCAGGCTGAGCGACGAGGCTGACGAGGTCCAGGAGGTGGCCGGGCGGCCGCCATGTCAAAGCATGTCCATGATTGGCTGTACGCACGTCATCGATGGCCCTTTTGCTTGACCGTAGCTAGTGCTAACGACGACGGCATCTTTGCCGAGAGAACTACCTCGGCTGTCAGGTCCAGGGGAAAGTGACTCGGTCTCCGCGTGGAGAAGAGGAGGGTCGGCAGTGCTATGATTACTCGTACTTCAGATTTCAGAACCTCTCGTCAATTACCTCTTGTCGGTGGTGGCTTCTCATCATCTGTGGTAGTCCTTACTGAGATTCTGACACCCCGTGCACTTTCCCTTTCTCAGCTGGAGAACAGCTGTTCGATCCGGCCGTACTGCGTTACCCTTGTTCACTGACTGATCTGACTACTTCTTACTTCGCTACTCTCGGCCGCGTCCCCCGTACATATACCAAATAGCCAACGTTGCCCTCTTCTTATCTTCAGTTAGTCACGTCGCAGCATGTCCAGCAACGAAGCCGCCAACCCAGACCCCAGTGTCGTCCCTCAGAACCCTGCCGAGGCGATGGGTGATGTTGAACCTGTCAAGCCGGGACAGTCTCCCGCATTGAGCAAGGTCCCGAGCGAAGTCAAAACTACCATCTCAAAAGCTGACGAGATCTTAATACGTCTCAGCAAGTATGCAAACCGATTTGTGAGATGCCTGGGCAGGATACGGCGCACTGACACGTCTGAAACAGATTGATCAAGACGACCGCGGGCTTGGGCGCAGCTCTCTCGACCTTGAACTATGCCATCTACCTTGCGGCCTACCTGCATGCGAACGCGCCGACACGCGCTGCGCTCATCACATATATATCCCGGCTCATTGGTCGCACACCCCAAAAGCTCCCAGCCGGTGTCCTCACGCCCACCGCACCTACCTCATTCCTGACACCACTAGGAGCCCTGATCTCAGATACTCGCACCTCGCTGCGCCTGACAGGCCTCATTCCATTATACATATGGCTGAAAACACTCCTTTCCAACAGGTCGTCCAAGAATATGGATCCGGCGCTTCACCGGATTGCGCTGGTGCAGTGTGCCGGCTACCTTGGGTTTCAAGCCATGGAGAACGTCTACCACCTGGCAGGCAAGGGCGTCGTGCCGATGACGGTCCTCGAGAAGCGTGGAGGTGTGGCTAAATGGGTTGCCTGGAGCTGTCGCGCGTGGACCGTGGGCGTGGCAAGCGACTATCTTCGCCTCTGGCGCGAGGCCGAGATCAACAAGGAGAAGAGACAAACCCAGTCGGCAAAGGAGCAAGAAGATTTCGACCGCAAATGGTGGAACGAGTTCATGGTGGCGACATACTGGATGCCAGTTGCGATCCACTATAGTCTGTATCCCGCTGGCATTCCAGGCATGAACACTGGCTTGGTCGGTTTCTTCGGTCTGATGGCTGGGCTGAACAACTTCAGGAATCAGTGGGCTGCCACTGCCTGAGCGTGGTGAGGAGAAGCGCGGGTCAGGCTGGGTTCAAGACATGTTGGTGGTTGTGTGAATCATATGCCGGCACTGGTAAATTGCACATGGTTTCGAACACGTCGTATTTGTTGTCTCCCATATTTGTCAGAGTCTGGTAGTAAAATGGGGCTGGTTGCATGCACACATTTCCTGCCAGCAGAAGGGCGACTTTGCGATCAAGTTCCAGTTCAATTTGCAGTGAGACTCACATGGTTTCGCCTACTGTGTATGCCTCTTCAGCTGACCAGCCCCTTCTGCCAACTGGCGCACGACATGGCCTCGAAGCTCGAGACTTTCCCCATGATCGTTGCCCGTTCGCGTCTTACCCCGGGATTCGCTATGACTTCGGTGTATTTCCTGAACGGGAAGACAGCACTCATGAGCAACATCCAATTCTAAAACCACCTTGCGTCCTACACCCTCGCCGCTGCGACGATATGTTGCCCACTCTGCAATGTCGCGTGAGCAATGGAATCTCTCTGTATGAACCCTCAACATGCGCCTTTTCTTCCTTCCTCCTTGTACGGATGCTTTGATGAAGAGATGTCAAATGAGCCACATCTCACAGAGCGCTCAAGCAGAGTACCGTCCTGCGCCACTCATGGCCGAGATTCAGGGAAGGGCAAGAGAATGACTGCTGCTAATCAGTCGAGCCTCGCATGCTATGGCTGTAGGAAGTCAGGCTCACCTCAGATCTGTTCAAACACACGCCCTATTGCTAACAGTGAGGTAGGCGCAAAGTCAAATGGTTTGTTCGACACATGATGGCCGACGCGTGTATTGCGCACTTCATACAGCTACTAACAACGGTCGATGGAAACAGCGACAAGATGCTACCGAATTGCATCGTCTGCATCCGAAACGGCCAACCCTGCTGCTATCCGAATGTTCAGCAGAAGCCAGGCCCGAAACTTGGTACGTGTACTCCCTTTGCTTCGAGTACGAATGACCGGGTGTCTGACGACTGAGATGTCCTCCGCAGGCTCGCATTCAGCAAAACATCGAAAGCGGTCTTCCTGGCGTTCCAATCCTGACTCCATAAGCCACAACGAAGACATCATCCAGGCCCCTGCCCATGCCGCCACAAGGAACCAACGACTCCAGCACTCGCCACCAGCGTCCTTTCGAAATGCTGGAAGTCCCACTGGATCTGCGGCCTCGAGTCCAGATTCCACGACAGCACAGTCGTGGGTCTTTCATCATTTCCACGAGGACCAGTCATACACGATTTCGCCCTTTACACCACCAGAAACCGCGGTATCCAAAGACTCTCTAGGCTACAGAGCACCCCTTCAGAATAACATGGCGCCCATCTATCAAGCGCTTGGACTGTCGCGGCAGATGCTGTCTACATTGTAAGAGTCGCATCCATCGATGTGATGAAACGTCTGCTGACATTCGCCTAGCATTGACACCTACTTCGAGAACATGACATTTCTGTCTCTATTCCACAGGCCAACGTTTGACACTACAGTCTACAGTACCGTCGAACTTGGCATTGCATCTGCCCTTGTTGCGGCCATGTGCGCCTTCGCCGCTCACTACATGGAGCCAGCACAATCGGGAGAGCGTGACGGACTTCATGCCGAAAGATCGGACTCAATGTTCGCTCCTGGTCGCTTCTATAGACTTGCTCGTGCGACCATCCACGATCAACTTGATCTATGTGGTGATAGCAGGCCTCCCTTGGCTCTCCTCCAGGCGTATGTCCTGATTACATTTTATGAGATGACGATATCCGCACGCGGGCGGGCTTGGAGGTCCTTAGGTGCGTGCGTCCGCATTGCGCATGAATTGGAGCTACACTTGACCGATGCAATGCTGCAAGGCAGGTCAGTAAAAGAACAAAGCTCGTTGGCACAGACAGGTTCCTGGCTTCGAAGCGAGGAACAGCGACGAGTTTGGTGGGCATTATACGAGCTTGACATCTTCGCCTCTACTGTACGTCGACGCCCTGCCTCCATCCACGCCGGCGAACACGCTGTGCTTCTGCCAGTAAGCGACGCAAGCTGGTTCGAACGCAACCATCAGGCAAGCTGCTTCCTGGATCCTGATCCCCTTCATCGTACGCGGAAGCTCCTGGAAAGTGGGAATACTAGTGGAAAGGCTTGGTATCTTGTCGTGAACTCATTGGTCCATGACGCACATACGACCACGAATCCCACCGCGCATTGCGACCGCATGGCCTCGAGGCAAGATATGGGAACGTCCTGTCACTCCGAATCAGTAGACGAGCGGAAGCTGGCAGTCTTGGATGACTTCCTTCTCTATTTCAAGACAGTACTACCCAAGGATCTAGCGTACGAAGGCGACTATTTGGCATTTTCCACCTCCTCCGTATTCGGCGGGCCATCCGCAAGCCAAGATTGCGACATCCAACTCATTCATGCCATGCTTCACTTGGGGAAATTGATGGTGTTCCATCATTTCTGCAGCCAGAAAAATGCTCCACTACCTCCCGGAGGCGAAGGCCTCGCTGATTGCCTCACTCTGAAACAGCCATCGGTATCTGACAAGCTTCGAGCAATCCTCGGCTTCACAAATGATCAGATGGCTTGGGACAGATACCTGGTAGCTGCAGAAGAGATCATGCGTGTTGTCCGAAACGCATCTCCGAATCATATCCGATACGGTCATCCGCTCCTGGCGAGCACGTTCTGGATCGTCGCGGCAACCCAGATCTTTAAGAAAACATTCGCGACAGACGACGCGGCCCAAGAACTGGCACAATCCAACTTTGACCTCCTCAGGCTTACTCTTGATCACAGTCACCGATTCTGGCACACTTCGGATCTAATGGTCAAGAACATCGACACCCTTGACACACGCCTTGCTGAGCTGAAGGCCAGGTTGACTGGAGCGGAGCAAAGCAGCCATGGCCTGCCAATATCTTCTGCAGAGAAGGCCACCTCTCAGAGCAAAAGGCCTCACTTCACCGCTTCAGACCAAAGCGATACTATGGCCAGCGGCTCTCCTGACAACGTGCTGCCAAATGTATCTGACCGCAGTGGCACAGGTCATTATGAGCTGAACTCAGGAGCTCCAGCAGACATTGACAAACCTAACGACAGTGAGCTGCACGCTTTTATGTACGATTTTTGTGGCGATAACTGGGACGTATGGGGGCAAGAGCTGGCAGACTTCTTTCCGTCAACAGTGGCCTCGACTTGATACTCTGCAACACTCGGAAGGTGATGGGCTGCACAGATGCTCCGCTGGCAGTTTCTCCAAGCTCCCTCATGGCCATTCACAGTAAAAGCACGTTCGAGGCAGGTTGTTTGCTTGATTGCTAATTGGCATTGAAACAACGACCCCAGGCGGGTATACATCAGATCTCTGGATGCAATCTCAAGAACTCCCCGAGTCCCACGCGCTTGACATCCGCATATAGCTTGTTGTCCAGTTTGCTCATCATGGTCTTCCGCGACATCTGATGTATCTGGTACGTATATCCCATCCACTGCCAGAACCTGGCCAACCCCAACTCCTGCTGAGTAGCCGCGGCAGTCTTCTGCAAGTCCTCCGCGGTCCCCTGAGGTTCGAGCCGAACAGCGACCCCCCTTTCCTTCTCATAGATCGCGGCGATCTCCCTGACGCTGTACTCCCAACTGCAGTACCTGTACACGCCCGGCTCGCGAGACTCGTCGCAGATCAGCGCCGCCGTGAACTCGGCCGCCTCTTGTTCCGTGGTGATCTGCCACTTCTCGTCCCCCGTGCCCCAATACTCGGCCTTGGGTTTACCACTGTTAGAATCCCAAACGCCGTGCGTGGACGGATTAAACACGCCATGTCCAGGCAGGGAGAAGAACGTCTCCGCGAAGAATCCGATAAAGATGTAGAACGGTTTGATGGTGGACGACATGGCCAGCTGCCGCTGCGTGGCGAGGAACAAGTCGTAGTAGACAACGTCCCTCCAGTCGAGCGCGGTCCAGTCCAAGTTCCATGCAGACGGCATGAATCGCTGTGTGTGCGCAGGGCAAGGAAGGTCAGCAAATGGCGTGCGAGACAAACAAGGTACATTGTCAGCAAGCAAAGAGCGCATGAGCGGGGGCTTGGGCGCGATCGTCCGAACTCACAGAGATGCCTTGTTCCTCCATCAAGCGCACAAGAAGCAGTTGTCCCTCCAGCACCAGTTCCGGCACGGGTCCATACGCACATATCACGGCGTCGACGCCCTCAAGCGCCTTTCGGATGGCAGGCACATCGTGCCACGTCTCCATGTCGTGGAAGCTTTCCAGCAGTTGCAGTTTCGAGGGAGCCATCTTCGCCTCGTGCCTGGCTAGGCCGCGCACTTGGGCTCCCCGTTGCCGGAGGGGTGCGATCAGCTTTTGGCCGATATTGCCGGTGACTCCGACGATGAGGATCAACATTGTTGGACGGTCTTTGGATGGTGGGTTTGGGACCGCTGTTCAGGAAGGGGCTTGTCGGTTCATGCGAAGTCAGGTTGGAGAGCCATGAAAGTGGCAGATTTAAGAGATCGAAGAACAGAGCAGTTCCGCTCAGATGATTTTCAGCAACCACAAAGGGGTCTAAAAGTACTGTACGTGCCCGGACAGACTGAGATCGGCCGGCCCAATTAATCAATCCCTTAACATTGCCTCACCTACTCTAGGGCTAATTTCGGTGATCTCTCGCTCCGCCGGGTCGTTTTTCGCAAAGCTTCTTCTCCGCGCAACGGAGCTTTCCACGGAGGCGGAGACCCCACCGGGTGGTGGTGGTGGCGTTCGTTTGGGGGGGTGGGATGGGCCCAGTGCCTGATCCAGCAAACATCCCTTTTCTCAAAGCGCACTGCGGCCCTATACGTATGACTAGACCAGGCGTACATGATCGTTACCTACCAGGGACGCAGGCGTGCGCATGGACGTACTCGTACTGTAGAGCCACTCACACCTTCAACGTTCACAACATTGTGACGTGTGTGCTCATCTTTTGCTGTCGTGGTGCTTGCTGCATGTAGGGTACCCAGCACGAACAGCTCCTGTCGCTCGCCCTCGCTCCGGTCTCGGGTTTGCATAAGATCAGTCGGGCGAACGCAACTCATTTATCTCCGCTGTCCTGTCCTCGCTCCACGCTGCTCCGCTCTTCTGGTTCTCGGACGAATTCGATCCCAGCGACAACCATGCGTACATGGTGTATGTAGCGCGGGGTGACATACTGTAATGAGGAGGAGGCTCCCGGGCGGGCAAGAGCAACCATTTGAAAGCAGCAGGGGTGAGCGGAACAACTACCGCTGATGACAAAACTTGGGTATCCCTGATCCCTACCTGTACGGAGTACATACTTACCTACAATACAGTACGAGTACAGTAATTTACTGCGATCGTCGAGTCCGTCTCTGCATCCACAAGGGGTATACGTGGGATCATGACTTGTAGCGTAGCTGCATACGCTTTGGTGATGGCTGTTTGCGGTCCATCTTTGCGACGGTGCTGTTCGTTGTCCCAAGGACCCAGGGCGCCTCATCGCCAACATCTACCCCTTTCGGTAATCACCTGCGCCTGCACCTCCACATAACTGCGCCCGTCGGTATGTGCGGATGAACTCCGACTCCCCGCCGCGACGAGGGAGTTCGAGAAGGCGTTTCCTCATGGGCATGTGCGGAGTGATATGCACGATGCGTAATGCTGGTGTGCGCCGCTGTGCAATGCAGTCAGGGCTCGACGAGATTTGCGTGGACAGTGAGAGTCTTGCACAACGCGTATGGATGCACAGACTAAGCATGGGCAGGAGCATTGCAGACACACGCCATCAACGCCATCAACGCCATCAACGCCATCAACGCCAACGTCGTATAACACGTGGGTGACACAACACAGACTTGCACCGGTCTGGCCGAGGTCCGCAGAAACACTATACAACAGTATACGATGAGCATGGGTGTTACTGCTCGCTGGGCTGACCCAGCGAAGCCGGAAGCGGCCATGTCATGAATCCGGAGACGCGCCCAGGAAAGGTACATACCTTACAGTACAGTATTCTGTTTGTCATGCTGTAACTAAAGTGACTCGACGTGCTGCGGCTCGGTCGTCGACATCGGTCTATTTTTGACGGCATAATTTTGCTCGGCCTCACTTTTCGATGGAACTGAATTAGGCCGCCAATGCCGCGTGTTTCTTTACTGGAGCTTCAAAGTGACGGCGAGGTACATATGTCTGATTGGATGGTTTTTGGCTGGGGTAGTATTAGTCAGGACAATACCACTGGTGCCACGTGCAGGAGGGGGCGTTGACTGGGCTTACCATTGCAACCGGGCGCTGCCACGACATATAAGAGCTGACGCCTGTGTAGGGCCGATATGCTACCAGTACAAGATCCGGTCTTCTCGGACGTTCTCATCCTTGTGGGGAGAAACTGAGCCTGTTACACCACGATGCCAGGATACTTGATCAAGAACGGACGGGTCCTGACCTGGAGCAAAGACAGGAAGTCGTCATTTCCTCAAGTGGACGTTCTGGTGGAGGGACAACGCATCTCGCAAATCGGACCGAACCTAGACATCAAAGATCCAGGAATCGAGATCATCGATGCGGCGGGGTATATCGTGACTCCGGGGTTCATCGATGGGCATCGACACGTCTTCCAATCGCAGCTACGCTCCACCGTCAGCAACCATACACTCCTCGAGTATTGTGCCCACCTCCTTCAGGGACGGATGGTCTTCCTAGACGCCGATGACATGTACCTCTCGCAGCTATCGGGTCTTGCAGAAGCCATCTCCTGCGGTGTCACGACGGTCATGGACCACTCTCACGTGGTGACGACCCCAGAGCGGGCTGAGCGCTGCATTCGAGCCACGGTCGAGTCCGGGATTAGAAGCATATATTGCGCTTCTCCTTTCGCTATCCCCACGTCCCTCAACCCCATGAAGCTGCCCGACATGAATATTCGGCACAAGGAGCAAATCGACCTGTTCAAATCGCTCCTGAAACAAAAGCCTCTAGGCGGGCAAGCGAATGACGGACGTCTCACACTCGGCCTAGGCTTCGACACCATGCACTGGATCCCTGAGCATGAGGCCCGTGAGATTCTGAACTTTGTCAAGGAGAACAACGTCCAGGTGACAATGCATGACGTGCCACGGTACAATCTTCCCAGTCTGGCCTTTCTGCGTGCCAAGTCCATGCCCCTGCCCGCGCAGATCACCTTCTCTCACACGTGCGAACCCACCGCAAAGGACATTCAATTCGTGAAGGACAATCAGATTGGTATCGTCGCCACGCCGGAGTCCGAGATGGCAATGTCCCATGGCATTCCCTCGGCGTTCGACTTCTACAGGACGCCGGGCTGCCGGGTCGGACTGGGTGTCGACTCTCCCGCCATCTCGTCTGGCGATCTCTTTTTCCAGATGCGTCTTGTGTTGCAACAGCAGAGAATGCGTCAGAACGCGACCTACCACGCACGGGGGAAGCTGCCGGACCTTGTACCTGCCTCGACGGATGAAGTGCTCTACATGGCGACTCTCGGCGGCGCAGCCGCAATCCACATGGAAGATGAGGTGGGCAGTCTCGAGGTCGGCAAATTCGCGGATATCGTCCTCATCAAGACGGATTCGCCGTCCATGGTTGGGGCGGTCGATCTAGGCGCGGCGTTGGTGACGCATGCGGCTGCCTCGGACGTGGATACTGTACTGATCAACGGCGAGATTGTCAAACGCAGTGCAAAACTGCTGAAAGTGAATTGGGACGAGTTGAAGGGGAAACTACAAAGCAATAGGGCGGTGTTGGAGAGGAGGTTTGAGAAGGTGGATTGGGAGTGGAACAAGAATGATTTGAAGGATTTATGGTATCTGAGGGACGTGTTGGAGTGAATATGCCCTTGTAAGTGCCTGGAGGATGATGTAGTCGCCTACGATCGCGCAGAGTTGTGGCAGAGGTGAGAGGGAGGTGAGAGGAAAGTGAGAGAACGGTGAAGAAATGAAAGCGGCAGCGGTCAACTGAGTTTCATATTCATGCGCCAAGCGCTGCTAGCTCCATTCTGCTCCCATCAGACTCAAGAGGGCAGAATGTCTTTTCCGTGTGCACGGAGCACGCAGCAGTCCTACTCTCAACGTTTGTCGCACATGTTCAGAACAACATTCATCTCAGCAACGCAGTTACTATTATGATCAGCTACAGAGATCACACAGCTAGCGAAGGTGTTCTCGTAGATATATTCCGCAATGATGTAAACATGATGTTAGGAAAGCGCTTCCAGCTCAATGAGACGTCGTGGCAAAGTCGCGCTGGCCGCCCACTCACGGATTCGTGATCCGGCAGATAGGATGATCTCATAGGTATTAACGGACGATTGAGTTTCAAGTACAAGAGTCAGGTCGCTGAAGTTCGACTTGTATCTTGGTAAGCTCGCCAATCTACTATCAATTCACTCCCCGGACTTTAATCGTCGTCGCCAGACCAGCCATCAAGATGCAGTCAGCACTACATAGCGTTATCGGTCCAAAGAAGGAACTCCACGATCTCTCTGGACGGACCGCGGTGGTCACAGGGGGCGCGAATGGAATCGGATTTCAGATCTCACGGCAATTCGCCCAGGCGAAAGCCAAGGTCATCATGGTAAACCGGAAAGAAGAGCAAGGAGACGAAGCAATCAAGCAGATCAAGGAGGAAACCCCCGGTGCTGATGTGGATTGGGTGGGATGCGATCTGGGCAACCTGAAAGAGGTGAAGCAGGTCTTCACTGACCTTCGCAACAAGCTCGATCGGGTGGACTTGGTAAGTGCCAGGTGATTGAGAACTCTTACGAGGACCAAAGACTGATGGACTTGGCAGCTGATCTTGTCTGCTGGCATTAACACAAACACCTATGGTCTCGACGCCGATGGTATCGACCGCCATTTCGGCGTCAACTTCCTAGGCCAATTCTACGCTGTGAATTTGCTTTACCCTCTCATTCGCAAGGCATCCAAAGTCTCAGACGTCCCACCACGAATCGTCTTCGAAGCCTCTGAAGTCCACCGTATGTCTCCTCCGGACATCCATTTCGGCTCACTTGAAGAGATCAATGACGAGAACTTCGGCCCAACGCATCTCTACGCACGTACGAAGCTGGCCATGATCTTGTGTGCGAAGTTCCTTCTTCCCGAGAAGGTCATCAAGCCCAACGGCGACAAAGTGTACTCCTTGAGTGTGCACCCAGGGACTGTCAACACGAATATGCAGCAGCAGTGGAAGGATGCTTACCCCGGCATCTTTGGGAGCTTTTTGAGCTGGGCCATGACGACTGTTGGGAGAGATATTGAGCAGGGCTCGTACAGCGCACTGTGGGCCGCCACCGCGCCAGAGATTGAGGAGAAGAACCTTCAGGGTTATTACTTTGTGGATCCAGTGAGTACTGTACTTCCAGGGTTCCGTAACTGGAATCGCTGACATCAGATGTAGGGACAACCCGGCAAAGAATCATCTCAAGCTTCAGACCCCAAGTTAGCCGACGCTCTCTGGGAGTTGAGTACTAAATTGATCAAAGAAAAAGTCGGCGATGATGCGCTTGTGCCCTGGGACTAAGAAGGATGAAAGCAGGTGAAGCAATGAGGAAAAGTGAATTAGGCCGCCTGCCTCCTCTCGCACACACTTGTCTCGTTGGCGTGAACGTACGGTGTTGCAGAATAGCATAATTGAAGACCTTTGCGAGTGTCATCGGCGCGAGCGTGGTAGCCGGAGCATGAGTGTCGAACTCGCCGTCATGTTGTTGTGCGGCGATACTCGTTCCCACTTGAACGTTATTCTCTTATTCTGGCAGGACGCCATGATTCGACTTTTTGATGCGGCACTCATTTGTCCGTACTTCCTGTACTGGATCCTCGGGCCGCTGAGCATCGCGGTGAACTCCTGATACCTTAGCATATCTGGTGCTGTTTCGATGGAAACTGCGACATTACAGCGGTTGACTCCTTCACAGGCTCGAGAGGTTGTGATTTCAAAGGAAGCATGTGCAGTATTTCTCCGATGTTTTTCAGTTCCGACCTCCGACCTCCTTCCGGCTCTCATCTCACTGCTGCCTGTTTGCAATGTTTGCAATGTTTGCCAAGTCAATTGCTTGGCACCCTTCCGACTACTTATTTCTCGCTTGCCCTCCGTCTTCTTTTTGAATTTCTTCATACTTGTACGTGCTCCCCAACCCAGCATAATGTGATTTTCGTTTGACTAACATTTGATAGACCTTGTGGGAGCGACCCAGCTCAAGCATTGGGTTTGCTATGGCGGTGTCCCTGCATTGCACATCGCGGTGGATGTCGCCATTAAGTGTCCTTCGGGGCTCTTATCCGCGCATTTTTTGGCTCATTCCTGCTCTCGGGATTATCTTTTCATCACTGTCTTGCCTTGCGCAAAGCCTTGGAGAAGAGAATGTTGATCTAGCTTACAGCAATGTTTGAAGTAGAGATTTACTAGTCAGCGATTGCGGGCGAACGTGAGGAGGCATGTTGAGATTCGGACGTCGTATCAAATGATGGGCCATGTAGATACGTCTTTCTAGGCTTTCGAGACGCGCTCCTGGAGCTTCTCATCCATGTTATTGTGTGCAGAAACGCTTTGCCTCGTGGAGCTTTGACAGCACAGGCAGCACCAGCAATGTTTATTGTGGGAGCCAGGCTCAAGTAGGGACCGACTTCGCGGTACTAAACAGTTGACGAGCTCCTTCTTCCATCTGCTTCCGCCGTATCAAGCTTGACGTCTTTTCTCAGCAAGGACTTTTAAAAATGAGCACTACTCACTACAAGCACGGGACAAGCTCAATAACTCCGATGGCTGAACGGTCAGTCAACGAGCACGCTTTTTACGCGCCATGAATTCAGCCAAACCTCCCACCAAGCTTCAAATCACATCCGCAGGCGCATTAAAGAAGCTCTTGTGTCAAACGTTGAACATCTTGAGAAGAGAATAGCTAGGCTGCACACATCTGAGAAGTCTACATTTTCGCGTGTACTGACCGTCCCACGCGTGGTTGGAGTTCCTTTCTTCGTTCCGGCTCACGCATCCAAATCGGCTGACTTCAGACATACCGAGAATCACAGCGCTTTCGAGACTATTGAACAGAATGCTTCCAGATACGGGACATTGCCAATTGCGGACTCAGCGTACTGGATATCCGCTCAGAACCGAGCTCTGACCGCTTACCAGCCGGTGCGGAGATCGGCTGGTAAATGTGCAGGCCGCGGCGTACGCGAGCGCAGGCTTGAGCCGAGGATAAACACAGGACATATGCTAAAGATATACGCTGACGGCCAGCCGCAGCAATACTTTACTGACAGCTGATCTCACCGCAGCGGCTTCGACTGTACTCCTTACTGTCGCGAAGCAACACGTTGCCGCCGTCAAGATGCCTCCTCCTCCGCACCCGCCACTACAGGTTCCCGACTCATACAAATCCCTTCCTCTCAAGCAAATCAAAGTCTCCTATGTGCCCGACTCGTCGCCTACTCCGACGCAAGTCCTGTTGATCACCTTGAATCGACCACAAAAGCACAATGCCTTCACCGACCAGATGCGGGAAGATCTGGAGAGGGTTTACGAGCTCATTGACATCGATCCCCGGGTCAAGGTGGTGGTCCTTACTGGCGCGGGACGAAGCTTCTGCGCCGGAGCTGACCTAGAAATTGGTTTCTTGGGATCAAAAGACGAGACTGGGCAGATCAAGCATCCCAAGACGGAGCGCGACGTGGACCACAGAGACGGGTAAGGAAAATGCATACTATACCGGGACAAAACCACTGACATATGCTTAGTGGAGGTCGTACTTCTTTGGCCATCCACCACTGCTCGAAACCCACCATTGCTGCCATCCAGGGTGCGGCTGTGGGCGTCGGTATTACCATGTGCTTGCCAGCTGCCATTCGCGTGGCCTACGCCAAAGCCAAGGTCGGCTTCGTCTTTAGCAGAAGAGGCATTATCATGGAGGCATGCTCGTCATACTTCCTGCCTCGCCTGATCGGCCACTCTCGGGCGTTGCACTTGACGACGACGGGCGCAGTCTATCCTGCGGAGTCTCCACTCTTTGGCACCCTGTTCTCTGAACTGCTACCCTCCCCTGAGGCTACCCTTGCTCGGGCCCTGGAGCTGGCGGACGAAGTTGCGAAGAACACCTCGACGGTCTCGACCAAGATGATGAGAGAGCTCATGTACCGTGGACCTGACAGTGCTGAAGGCGCGCACCTTCTCGATTCGAGAATCATTCATGGTTTGTTTGGAAGCAAGGACAATGTTGAAGGTGTGCAGAGCTTCCTGCAGAAGAGACAGGTGAACTTCACTGGGCAAGTCCCTCAGGATGCTCCAGATGGCTATCCGTGGTGGAGCCCGATCGACATCGGTCAGAAAGCGGTGGACCCGCGGGGAAAGCCCAGGCTGTAGACTTCTGGCGCTCTAGGGAGATCCGATAAATGTAGATACCAATGTGATGAGGTTGTTTGAGCTGACTCCTGCTGCATATTGGGTGTCCATGTGTCTTGAACCGCCAGTAAAACGTGTGCTCAGTCATCCGTCGCCAAGGCCGTATACTGTACGATTTTAACAAGCCATCGGGGTTTGTCGGCGTTGGTGGTCAGCGATTGGCGGAATCGTCGACGAGGGGAAGCAAAGATTCGTTCTCGACCCGTGGATCACATCATCAATTCGCTGGTTAGCAAGCCCGATTGAGATATTCCATTCTGCACTCTTTCTCCATAAAGACCATCCGACGTTCCTTATCTCGCTCCCTCCCGGTGATGTCCATTGCGTCCCGTCGACTCTGGAGGCTATCTGCTGCGTACACGCCCAGCACTACCTTGGCTCTGGCTACCACAAGATCTTCTGCTGTCGAACCGTTGCACGCGAGCCCGCGGTCGAGCTTCGCATCTGCCTCGCGACTTTCGAGTCTGACGCGGCAATTCTCCTCCACGGCCTCGAAGATGGCTCCCATCACGAAGCAGTATGACTATATAGTAATCGGAGGTGGATCAGGTGGCAGCGGAGCTGCCCGAAGAGCCAGCGGATGGTACGGCGCAAAGACATGTATCATCGACGCCGGGGTATCGGGAGGCTGCTGCGTGAACGTCGGGTACGCGCACGGTAACCCCCTCATGCTTCGCACCGTAGACAAGAGTGACCGACTGACTCGATCTGATTGACAGATGCGTGCCCAAGAAAATGACGTGGAATTTCGCCTCCATAAGCGAGGCCATCGCGGCGGGCAAACACTACGGGTACAAGTTCGGCGACGGCAACTCGTTCGACTTCAAGACCTTTGTCGACAAGCGCGACGCACGCATAAAAGTCCTCAACGGCGCTTACGAGAACAACTGGGCAAAAGAAGGGATCGAGCTGATACACGGCACCGCGACGTTCATCAGCGAGCATGAGATGGAAGTCAAGCCCAAGGACGGGTCAGAGGTGTTCAGAGTGACGGCGCCGCACATTTGTGTCGCGACAGGCTCATATCCGACCAAGCCGGAGGGCATCAAGGGCTCCGAATACGGCATCACGTCGGACGAGTACTTTGCCATCAAGTACCTGCCCAAGAAGATGATCTTCGTGGGCGCGGGCTACATCGCGGTCGAGCTCGCGGGCGTGATGAACGCAATCGGTGTTGAGACACACCTCTTCATCCGCGGCGACACGTTCCTGCGGAAATTCGACCCCATGATTCAGGAGACGCTGACCAAACACTACGAGGAGATTGGCGTCCACGTGCACCGCAACCACCCCGGCATCAAGGAAGTCATCCAGTTACACGGCGGAGACGAGGAACACTCGGACCCGCGCGAGAAGAAGCTGAAGGTGATCATGAACGACGGATCAGAGATGGAAACCAACGAACTATTGTGGGCCATCGGCCGCGGTCCCGAAGACCGGGGCCTGGGCCTGGAAAACATCGACATCAAGCGCAACCAGAAGGGACATATCGTGGTCGATAAGTATCAAAACAGCTCCGTCCCCGGCGTGTATGCTATTGGCGACATCACAGGCCAGGCTGAACTCACGCCCGTGGCCATCGCCGCCGGTCGCCAGCTGGGGAACCGCCTCTTTGGACCCCCAGAGTTCAAGGACGCGCATCTCGACTACGACCGGATCCCGTCGGTCGTATTCTCGCACCCCGAGTGCGGCACGACGGGACTGACGGAACCGCAAGCGATAGAAAAATACGGCAAGGAGAACATCAAGGTGTACCACACCAAGTTCTCCGCCATGTTCTACGACGTGTAAGTTTCTACATGCCTTGTGGCTTTCGACTCGCAGCCAGCTGCTAACACAACGCACAGATATCCGCCCGAAGAGAAGAAGAAAGAACCCACCGAGTTCAAGATCGTGTGCCAGGGCCCGCGGGAAGAAATCGTGGGGCTGCACATTCTAGGCCGGGGCGTCGATGAGATGATGCAGGGCTTCGGCGTCGCTGTCAAGATGGGCGCCACGAAGAAGGATTTTGATAGCTGCGTGGCAATTCATCCGGTACGTTTGGGCTGCGGTTCTTGCCACCCCCTTGGACGACTCTGCTCGTTTTTGAATCTGAGAGAAATGCTAATCAGATTGTCCTCCACAGACAAGCGCCGAAGAGCTGGTCACCATGAGATAGGTCGATAGATGGCGTGATGCCAATTTTGCGGCCGCTGGTAAATTTCCGACTGGGTACTGTACGGGCTTCATCTCTGCCAGCACCAAGATGTCCAATAGACGGAACGATGCATACAGTGATTGACTGATTGCACCAGGAGACCAGCTCGGTCGATCTACCCAGTAACCCGACACATCATGCATAAATTCATGTTGATGGGCCTGGCGTGAGGGAATAGTCCTTCAAATCCAGCATAGCAACAGTATCCTGTGCAACTGTATCTAGACACGCCACCTACAGTAAGCAAGCTTCGCTTTCGCTGACATGCTTCCTTGCGTGGTTCAACTGTTCAGCCTCTTCTGCACGCCTCAACTACAACAGTTACTTTGCTTCTTACATTTCACCCATGTACACGTGGTACAGTACAGTGTACCGTGCAAGTCACAAAGCCCAAACCCTCTCCTTCCCCCCAGCATCTCTCACCCCCATCCTATTCATCCTCCCATACTGCCACCTCAACCCCAACGACGTGGCCGCCACGAAGAAGCCACACGCCGCACAGGTGAAATTCCCCGTCGGATACCCGCTCTCGGCCTCCCCCGCCTTCCAGATCCACTGTGCAATGATCTGCCCGATACCCGCGCACGAATTGTTCAGCGCGATCGCGAACGGGATCGTCAGCAGCGAGGGCGTATTACAGGCCACCCAGTTCGTCATGCTGGGCGCCACAGGGAACGCGCCACACGCCGCGAGACACAGGCAGCCGTAGCGGCTCACGTAGGCGTCCGCGGGGAGGCAGCCCGCTCCCAACCACCCGGCCGCGCCCGCCAGGGAAGCCAGCGCAATGTGCAGGCCGCGCGCGTTGAAGTGGTCGGCCGAGTAGGAGAGGGTGATGGCCACGCAGAAGCCGACGCACCAGGGCGGGACGGTCAGGAGCTGCGCGTGGATCGACGTGTAGCCGAGCCCTTTGATGATCGTGGGCGCGAAGAAGGTGAAGCTGCCTTGGGGGACGACGTCGGCGATCTTTGGGGGATAGTCAGTCAATTCTGCGATAAGTAGTTGTTGGGTGTCACGCGGGGTTGCGACGTACGTATGCGACATAGTGACACAGCATCCTCGGGCTGAAGAATGTCTGCAGCACCTCCGGTCGCGAGGCGTGGCTCCTTAAGTAGCCGCCGCCTCCTTGCTTGAGGCGATCCTCGGCGAACTGCTTGTCCGAGGGGCTCAACCACTTCGCGCGGGCAGGATAGTCGGGCAGGAAGAAGAAGAGCAGGAACGCGCTGAGGATGGTGATGATGCCTTCGATGATGAAGAGCCAGCGGAAGCTAAAGTGTGTCGGTCGTGGGTCAGCAATCGTGGTCTCTGCTTCCCAGAGGCCGGCAAAACTCACCCTTGCAGGCCGGCGGCACCGTTCATGTGGCCCACTCCGTAGGCGATGGCTCCGCCGAACGCGCCGGCCAGGTTACAGAATCCGACGACACAGGCGATCCTCACGGCACGCTCGTTGTACCGGTACCACACGGTGATGAAGTAGACGATGCCGGGGAACTGTACCACAGAGAGACCGCCGTCAGCCAGAGCCACTTCGACCACATGCCTAAAAAGGGGAAAACCTACGAATCCAGCTTCGAAGACGCCGATGAGGAACCTCAGTGACACGACTGTTGCGTAATTGTGCACGCCGGCAGTCCCGATTGTCAAGGCGCCCCAGGCGAAGAGCAGGAATCCCAGCCATAAGCTTGGCCGCACCCAATGTTTCATGACATAGTTGCTAGGGACTTCGAACAGGGCTGCTCAACAATGTCAGTCAGAAAGACTAAGTGGTGTGGCAAGGGAGGACCCGGATTAGGACCCTCTCCCGCTTGCTCCTTGCTTCAGCGAGACCTCACCGTAAGCCAGACTGAACAGCGTGACGGTAATGGCATATTGATCCGCATTCATGCCGGTCTGCTGCAATAGATCATCGCCCGTCTCTGCATTCAAGACTTTGGAGTTGCCGATATTCCCTCTGTCGAGGAAGTTCAAGAGGTAGACCCAGCAGCAGAGCGGCAGAATGCGCAGATCGAGTCGGCGGTTGAAGCGCCTGTTTCGCCTTTCATATTCGACTTGGTCGAGCGAATGGGTGCTCTCGTCGCTAGGGGAGGCGATGACGACTTTCTTTGCGACGTGAGACTAAGGGTATCCGACGAGGCTGGGGCTTTCAACTCACCTCATGGCTCGGATCCTCGCGATGCTCTGCTGGAAGTGCTTTGTCCATGATTCACGCTTGAATGATTCGGGAAGGCTCTGGACTTCAGAGTCTGGACTTTGGAGTGCCTCAGGGATGGATAGAAGGACTGAGCAACCCAAGGGCTAGACGTAATGCTGGGTTTATGTCATAGCCTTTGGTATGCCCTTCGGGTTGACAGTGATGGTCACATTCACGGTCAGCCACCGACCGGCCACAAGCCCGTCATGCCCGTCTCGCGCATCCTGGAGGTTGTGTCTCGTATTACTGGCAGCAAGCTTAGCCAAGCTGCAACAGAGGGGTCTTGTGCATCTCGGCAAATGGAAATGTAAGGATGCCGTATGAAAATCAGCTGAGAAGGAGCCAGTGCGTGCAGGAAAACAAGGCGGGGTGCAGATGCGGAGAGATGATGGTTCCATGTGTGCATGGTCAGCACGGGGTCGGCGGGGATCGACGGGGTCTCTGCAGGGACACGTCAAAAGGACAGGGGAAGGAAAATGGGGATCTTCTTGGAGGCAAGTCCGGCCATGCTGCCGGCCACACTCCGTCTTATTCAATTCGGCAATACGCTCCCTGTGGAGGTCGAGACATGTACCACCTGCAACCGTGGACAGTTCATGTCGAAGAAAGCCAGCCGCTCTCGGCCTATGCGTAGGCGTCAGAGTCTTCCTCCTCTCCATCTCTTGGACCGCCCTCGTCCTCCATATGCGCATAGTCCCGAGTCCCGTCGTCATAGTCCTCCTCGTTCCGATGAGGGATGATGCTCTCCTTAATACCAAAGCTCTCGATGATGTCCTCCCAAATATCCATGCTGAGGGTGAAAATGACTTGGTTCCGGCGTGCTTCTTGTCGCTCCTCCATGGACCGCACTTCTGCCATGCCCAAGGTTGGCAACCCTTGACCATCCAGGCCCAGACCAACCTTTCCCTCCTTGATCAGAAAGCTCACATAAAACATATTCTCCACTGACTGGCCGAACGATCTTGGATTGATACAGAAGTTGAACAATGGTATGCATTCGTTGTCAGCAATGCAGTTTCGTCGAAGGATCTCGCGTGCCTGTTCTTCCGAGACATCATCCTCCATTTCCTCGAGTTCGTTCAACTCTGTTTGCGCAGCTTCGCTGTTCTTCTGGGTTGCCTTCTTCAGCAGGAACGCAATCTCCGTGCATATCTCTGTAAGATTGGCAGACTCTTGCTTTTCCAAGTCTTCTGGACCCAGCTGAACGGGCCGAACTGCCTCACCGGGCTGTGTCCGGGCTTCGCGGGCCTTTCGCTGCATCTGTTGTCGGAATTTCTTTTGCACCGACAGCGGACCAAGGAGGAAACCGGTTAGACAGGGACGAGAGTTGTACAAGAAGCAAGCATTCCTCCCAAGATATTCCCAGTTCATGGTGTCACCAGCGTCATCTTCGTCGTCGTCTTGATTCCTTCGTCGGCCTTGTGTTTGTGTGTCACGAGGCGCACCTCGTCTACCCGGTTCGTCGCCTTGTTTCATGAAGCCGATACACTTCGTGACAAAATCATCCACATCGATCCCAGTTGTGCCATCACCAAGGGTAATGTTGTTGATTTTCCTGTACGACAGGTCTGCTGCCTCCAGGATGAGGCGCGAGTCGATGGTAGCTTCCGAAGTCTGTTTGACATCCTTGTAGAGCTCGTCTGCTCTTCTCAGAGTCTCCTCCAGTCCCTTTGAGTTTGGCTGTAGGTACTCTGCTCTCGAGTCATGTAGCTCTGATAAGAGACTGCGGAAGCCCTTTCGCAACCGCCGCCGTTCTACGGGCGCTTGCTCGGGATCATAGAACTGCTGCGCTGGGGGCGTTTGAGAGTCATCGTCGCCGACTCGACCCCGCTTCCTGGGTTGGGCTGGTGTTCTGTCTGACAAGCCTGCGGCGGCACTCTTCCTCTTTCCCTTTCCCTTACTATTTCGGCTCCAGTGTTCGTCCCCTGAGTCGGAGTGAGTAGGGGAAGGAGGGGTGGTCAATGTTTCGGGCGTCTGGCGGTCTGGCGAGTTGGGGCTTCTCGCGCTGTCATTATCAGAAGAAGCTGGCCGCGGGTTCAAGCGAGCCATCCTAGGCGCACAGGGGCAACTGGCGACGGAGGTTGGATGTCAGAGTGGCCAAGCAGACGCGAGAGCTGAGAGCTGACCCGAGTCGCACCAGCCAGTACTGACTTGACCAGCGGCTCAATGTATTTCGCCGATGCCATGATGAAATGAGGCTCTACAGAACGCGACTGCGCCTGCGCCGGTTTGTCGCGCCGTTCTCAACGCGTCATGGAAGCGCTAGGCTTGGTCCGGTTTAGTGGTTCAGCCTTGCAACGGGCAGGTTCTCGATCAGGCTTCACTCTGTTTGACATTTTGACCATCTCGTCCGCTCATCTGCGCTTACAGTATAGCAGCATCTGCTTGCCCCTCGCAGTTACTTCCCATCAATGGAAATCGTCGCGCATATGCAACGGCCATGGATACCTACACGTTTGCAACGTCCCGTCAGATAGACTTTCCGGTCTGTGTCAGGATGTGAGTTGCCGATTATTCCGCTCACTATTGGCGAGCCATCCGCCGCATCAAGATGAGCGGGCAAAGCAGTTTCCGCGCCTTGTTACTGACTTGGGCAGAAACAACTTAGAAGGCAGACAGAGCACGTTTCCATACACAATTCTGCTTAAACACCCAGAGATACGGCATGTTGGCTCAGTTCAAAGCCCGAACTCGGAGCTTCATGTGACCGCTCAGCTATGGGCCGAATCAAAGCCGCTGGGCGTGTCCATGCAAACCCCTCATCTGTTCTTTAAGAACAACAGAGTGTGGAACAAATGGCTGGAACTTCCTGTCTTGGTCAAGGACTGTCCTATCTCATCCCAAGTCGCCATCACAATCTGGGACTTGTCGCCGTGCCCGGAGAATGGCAGCCTCGATCATGCGATCCCGTTCGGTGGCACCACCATCGCACTATTTGACAAAGACGGCACTCTGAGGAAAGGGCGCCAGAAGTGCAAAATTCATCGGCGTAGGGCCGCTGACGGACACGCACCAACAAAGACTCCACACATTCCTCGCCCGAAACGACGAAAACCTAACGAGCCGCCACCTGCCTCCATTCCAGAAGAGGAGGAGCTGGACCGGTTGGAGCAACTGTTCAAGAAGCATGAGATGAACGAAATTCCACAGAACGACTGGCTTGATCAATTGGTCTTCCAGAAGGTTGGCAAGAAAGCACGTGAGGTCGACGAAGCAGCAAGGAAACGGTCTTCAACCACGAAAGCCTCGAAGCGCAAATCACTCAATGCTAATAGTCACGAAGCGAACGGGAATGTGGATCACGACGATGAGAGCGATTCGGACCATGACGCGGACGATGAAGAGCGTTTCACCCTCTATGTTGACTTTCCCCGTTGGGACTTTCCCATCATCTTTGAGGACTATGGTTATGAGCCATCAAGGATGATGAAGGAATTCTCCAGTTCGATGTCTGCCTCAGCACTTGGTGCAAAGCCTCCACCAGAAGTCCGCTATGGGCCCGGGATTGCTCCCGGCACATCTGTCGTAGATGACGAAGAATACCCCGTCGTCCAAATGTTCGACCCGGAACAGTTCCAAAGGGAGAATCCCTGTGAGAGTAAACACCGACGGCTAGTGCGAAGTGACAGGAATGCATTCTCCGACAGTGATCAGAAGCCGAATGCAAAGATGAGAGACGAACTAAACGAGATTTTGTCGTATGGCCCCACGCAGGAGCTGAGTGCTCAAGACAAGGACGTCATCTGGACTTTCCGGCGTCACCTGAGTCGAGATAAACGAGCTTTGACCAAGGTTGTCAAGGCGACGGATTTCACCAATCCAAACGAAGTTCGTCAACTGGTTGAGTTGATCCCTCGATGGGCGAAGATTGATGTTGATGCCGCCCTGGAATTGCTCGGCCCAACGTACGACAATTCTGTGGTACGAGCATATGCGGTGGACAGACTTCGACAGGCTGGGGACGCAGAGTTACAATTGTACCTTCTTCAACTCGTCCAGGCTCTAAAGTTTGAGAAGTACGAGCAGACCGAGGAAGGCCTCCCGGCCGCATCACTGGCAAAATTTCTGATCGATCGTGCCGCCAATAACTTCCTGCTCGGCAACTACCTACACTGGTTCCTGATGGTCGAATGTGTTGACCAGGGGACAGAAACCAACACAGCAAACCGACAGCTCTTCGCGAGAGTCGAGTACTACTTCATGCTGGAACTGGAGAAACGGAACCCGGATTTGCGCAAGATCCTGTTACGCCAAGGTGAACTGATCACCATCATCTCAAGCATTAGCAAAGATATCCGGTTCAGCAGGACCAACCGTCTACAAAAGATAGAGATGCTTAAGAAGACTCTGGCTGATCCGAAGAACGACCTTGTGAAGATCGACCCGCCAATACCGCTGCCCCTGGACCCAGAGGTTGAAGTGTGTGGCGTGTACCCTGACGAAGCAAATGTCTTCAAGTCGTCCTTGTCGCCACTGTACCTCGACTTCAAGGTTGCCAGTCCCGCAGCAGACGGATCCAGCACATCCGCACAGCGTTCGCAGACGCACGGCAAATACCCCATCATCTTCAAGACAGGCGACGATCTGCGACAAGATCAACTTGTCATCCAGATCATCACACTCATGAACAACCTCCTCCTCAAGGAGAACCTCGACCTGAAACTCACGCCATATCGCATCTTAGCCACGTCACCTTCGGCGGGTGCCGTGCAGTTCATCCCGTCGATGCCCATCTCTGCAATCTCGACAAAGTACAAAGGATCCGTGCTAGCCTACCTCCGCGCCAACAACCCCGACGCATCTGGGCCACTCGGCGTGCGCAAGGAAACCATGGACACGTACATCCGCTCGTGCGCCGGGTACTGCGTGATCACGTACATCCTCGGCGTTGGAGACCGCCACCTGGACAATTTGCTTCTTCAACCGTCAGGCCACTTCTTCCACATCGACTTTGGCTTCATTCTCGGCCGTGACCCGAAACCCTTTGCCCCGCTCATAAAACTGTGCAAGGAAATGGTGGAAGGCTTGGGTGGGACGACATCCCCCCAGTACGCCCAATTCAAGCAGTATTGTTTCACGGCGTACACAACGCTGCGGAAATCGAGCTCCTTGGTGCTCAACTTGTTCAGTCTCATGGTTCAAAGTTCCGTGACAGATATCAGACTGATGGAGGAGCAGATGGGAGGCATGGGCGGGGCAGTCGGTAAGGTTCGAGAGCGGTTCAACTTGGACGTCAGTGAGGAAGAGGCCGTGAGGGCGCTGGACCAGGTGTTGGCCGACAGCGTCAATGCTGTTTTTGGGGTCGTCATCGATAGACTACATGAGTTTGTCCAGGGTTGGAGAGCATGATCGCACTATAGATGTGCGTACCTGAAGCCATACAACTCGCGTATCAGTGGGCCACGCTCTGATCGAGCATCGTGAGTCACCTGCTACAAGGGGACGTGGCGTCACCATGAAAGGTGTGACTACGGGACGGCCTTCGTTGTCATTCTTGTCCTTTCGCGGAAAGAGATTGGACATCCACCACCGGTTCTTAAATACTCTCTCATGGAAAACCCTTCCGAGCTTCAAAGGTGCTTCGCACACTTCTCAAACCAACTACCAACATAACTACACGCGACTTTACCGACCACACTGTCCGTCCACAGTGGCAAAATGGCAGTAGGATTGCCATGGATGCCTTCAGGAAGTAGAAATAGAGACGCGGTTGGACGAAACGAGAAGTTACTGTAAGTCTTGGGCAACTGTCCGAACGAGCAGAGATATACGGAGTGATGTCTCAGCCTGGCATGATTTCTGACCCTGTCCACGCCCGCCCAGACCGTCTGCTCACCCCAAAGCGCACCTAGTTGATGCTAGTCGACTACAACTCACAACCAATACCTAGGTGTACAAGGGAAGGCGAAGCGACAACTGTCGATTCTCACCAGTAAGCATTCATCACAAGCAGGCCAAGTACAGGTTCCGGTCTCACCAGCACGTATCCGTCGAGTCTGGCTCCCGACCGCGAGAGGCGCTCATCCATCACACCGCGAGGAGGTAATTATCTCGGATATCCAACGTGGAGTGTCCTGTCCATTTCTTATCCATTTCCTTTCTGAGGTCTCGTTGCTCGACGTTTCGAGTCATTCGCCCCGTCGGACACGGCTAAGGGGCATCTCAATTGTCCATCGTGGAGCGTCCACCTTCCACCTCTTGATCAACTCCTCTCCTCGGTGGCTTGCCATCCCTTGACGGTCATGCTCATCCACGACGTCAGATTCCAGCTTCGATCTCTTCTGCGCGGATGTACCGGTATGCAATCCGGATCCCCGATGCAAATCAACCCTCCTGTTCTTACGAAGGACAGACGCCGACACGAGATCCAACCAGCCATACTCGGTATCCAGTCACAATACCGGGCTGCAATCCGTGTCCAATCCAGGTATGTAGAAGTGACGGAAACCACCCAATACAATACAGTACCGTGGACCGCCGGTCTTCGTTCACGGATTCAGTCCCATGGCCTCCATTCCACCTCCGCGTCAGTACCCTAGGAGCGACATGCAGGCGCCAAGGTGAGTCGCATGAACAGCAGTCGACTCGATCCATTGTGGAAGAGAGCCCCGGTTCTTCGGTATTGCTGAAGACGACGCTCTCTGTCTCGCTGGGTAAATGATCGCAAGTATTCTCGTTGGTCGTTTGTATGGTTCTTTTCTCTTGGCTGCGCCCTTATGTTGTTCTTAGGAGCGACATACAGGCGCCGGGGTGAGGTGTATGAAGAGCAGTCGTTCGATTCGTTGTGAGAAAGACCCGAGGCTCCTTTCCTCGACATTACTGAAACCGAGTCTTTCTGGCCCGCCCGCAGGCAAGTGATCGGAAGTATTGCCTGTCGTTCGTTGTTCGTTGTTCGGTGCTTCGGGCTCTGCTGCCATCCTGGGCTCCCATTGTGGGCTGCCCTTCTGTTGTCTGCCGTTGTTCTGCTGTTTCCATCGTCCGAATTGACCCGGTCGTTAATCTGGGACCCCCATCATTGTTGGTCCTGTGCTGATCGGTGCTGGAACGCTCTCATGCTTGCTGCACCTTTTCGCTGACCCTCGAGTACCTGGTACACACCGCGCACGTCTCAGGTCCTCTTCTGCTGTTCCATCGTCCGAACTGACCATGATCGTCAATCGCACCCAGTCTTTGTTGAGCCGGTATTGACCCTCCAACATCCAGGGCACGCCTCAGGTACCTGGGTTCGTACTCTACCCGCTTGACGTCCTCACGACGTACACGCGCGTCGTCCCCGGCGGTGCCCTGCCTTGGGCATACTCGTATTTGGGCTTGCCGATGGTGTTGAGACCGGAACGCACCCGTTTGTAAGTCGAGCGGATGGGCTTGGTGAGGATCCGGAGCATTTTCTCGGATGTGCTTGTTAAGGCTCTGATGGTCATGGTTGGCATTGTGATTGGGGTGCTTGGTGAGGGAATGGAATGTTGTGGACTGGGCTCTGTTACGGGGTTGGTGTATTGTAGTGTCTTGTAGTGTCGTGATGCGGTAGATTATCGTCGTCAAGTGTGCAGTCTCGGTGTCCAGTGTCGAGTGTTGTTGTCAAAAGTGAGTGTCGTCGTCGTTGTCGTCGTTGTCGTCGTTACCAAGTGTTCAGGTTCGTTGTCAGTGAGTGGTGTTGTTGGGGGATGGCATCGTGTTCAAGTACATATGAATGCGCGAAAACTGCGACAGAGAGCTTCTGCTTCTCTTTTTTCATCGCCCAAAGACTCACATACTCACAGCACGACTTTGCTCAGGGCGGCTGAGCGTTTCATCTGGTTCAGAGTCAACCATTCTTCCATGGTTGGCGCTGGCTGGCCAGTCACCGAGCGTGCCGCTCGCTTTACCACCCCATCCTGTGGTTTGCATGGGACACGGGGTTCCACTATGCGAGGAACGGGCCAACAGCGATCCAGTGGCTCAGAAAATAGCCTTCGTGCTGTTGTGGTTGAAGCTCAAGAGGTGTTCAATCGGATCAAGACCATGCATGGCCATAGCTCCAACCAAGGATCACGATGGTTCAGGCACTGCATCCACACGTTGAAAGGCCATTGCGCAATTCTACGGTCTGCATGACTGGTGTACCAGCAGAAGTCGTGACATGGCGTGATAGTATTGACTATTGCCGCCGGGACAGCGCCGTCCAGGCAAGCTCTGCACATGAGCGGCCAAAGCTGTCCGAAAACCGCTTTCCACGCTCGCGAGTCCTTCGGAAGGAGAAAGAGCAGATGTCCTTGCCCCAACCCGTCAACGGTGCACCATATCCACCACTTCATACAATAGTTGATAACTCCATACTCCTCGCTAAAGCTGATAATGTCCAGCAAAACGATTTCTGGGATTGCCCCATGACAAATCTAATCTCCCCCCTGCATGTCGTCTCAAATCAAACACTGACTTCACCTTCCTCCTCTGTTGTACCGTTGCTACCACTTGGGAGCTGCGTGGAAGCTTCATCTTCTGTAGGATGCTCACCCCTCTCGTGGGTCTCCAGCACCTGGTTGTTTCTGATGTCGGATAATATCCGTCCAAAATACGCCTTAAGAGTTCTCAAGCCCCGCAGATAGCCTCGGTCAATGTCTTTCGGGTGAGCAGGCGGTGCTTGAGCATGGGGAGGAAGTTCGTCTTCGCCGGTGACGCAGTTTGCAAAGTCCACCAGCTTGATGTCGATCGGTGGAGGCCACTTTTTGCCTTCCTTTGCCTTTTGTTTGGCGATGTCGATGCCGTTCTTCGCGGCCTCTTCGGCCTCACGCGACTTGTACGGCTCGGCATCATACAGCATGAGTAAGGAGCTTGCGTAGAACCGATACCCAGGCAGCCTGCGCACCATGCTCTCCAGCTTGTTGAGTTTGTGCAAGATGGTGGGAATATGCCTTGCCACACTATCGTAGCTGACTCCATCATAAAGAAACCTTGTCAAGGCCTCCCTGAATTGCTGTCCAGCTTTGAGGTCACGGCCATAGTATTTGTCCTCATACGAGACCTTTCCTGTTCTCGCATTGAAAGTCTGCATGCCACAGACCCGGACGCCCAGTTGCTGTGAAGTCGTTGACTTGCACTTGCTGCGTTGAGATTCCATCTTCTTTCTCGTGGCTTCCACACCAAATTGTCTCGTGCCCATCTTGAGATCGAGTACACAAGGTCGTCCCATCCCGCTGGTGAGATCCTCCAGCAGGATGAAGAACATCACTCGGTCTCCAGAAGCAGTGTACGTCTGTTGAGCCTCCTTCGGGTTAGAGGGTATAAGCCTTGTCTGAGAACGCTCTCTGGCGCGGTTGTCCGAGTTGTTCTGCCGGTTTCCTGCTCCATTTGGCCCGGATCTGTCTTGCGCCGAGCTGCTGGTGGCCGAATCTTGTTCTCTGCACATCCCATTGGTCTTTGACTGCTTCTCATCCTGGTCCATCGCAAAGACATCCTTGCCTGTGTCAGGTCCGAAATCGGTAGTGTAGGCTTCGTCCTCAAAGTACTCAAGGTCAGGCGTTTCCTTTGTGTTCACCGACGGCCGCCTCCGTCGCAGACCCATGCCGGAATGACGTCTCTTAAAATGACTCCTGCCTTCTGCGCCAGACTGGCTGGACATCTCGCTGCCTGTCGTTCTGACTTGCTCGAGGTTGTACTTTAAGTCATCCGTGGCCGAGACGGATACAGAATACATGCTGCCTGTATCAGCAGTCTTTGACACCGCTTCACTAAGTGGAGCCATGCGAGGAGCTTCGTTGCTCGACATTGAAGTATCCAGTTGACCGTCTGATTGGCTTAGATCTTTCCCCTCCGTATGAGGGAATGAATGAACGGAGAGATTACTTCTGCGTCGGCGCGGGTGAGAGCCTTTGATGCGTGGAAAGGAACTATGTGGAGGTGGATGGCGGCGAAAGTACTGGACGGGTGGTGGGCCGAAGACTTCGCGGAGAATCTTGTCCTTCAAGCCTTCATTGACGGTGGTATGGCCCCAGCTGTTGGAGTGTTCCGGCATTGACGGCCTGGTGGGCGAGCTTTCGGACAGTTGCGAGTCATGCGTCGAAGACTCCGCGGCGTCGAAGTCCCGGCTGCGCTTACGGCCATGATTCGGGTCAGCACTTTTGGGCCGTTCCGGCAGGGCAAAATAGTTGGAGGGAATGATATGTTTGTTCTGTTCGAGAATGACCTCGGGAATGCTGCCAATCTGCTGCATCGAGTGGCTAACTATCCGTGGATGCTCCCCCGAGGTCGATACAACGGGTGCAAGCCCAGCATCCGACACGCCATTCGTCTGAGAACATTGCAGCTGATCTTGGTTGAGATTAGTCTTGTCGTCCGTTTTGGAATCTGGGTCTTGCGCTTGCTTCGGGAGTTTGGAAAAAGTGACATTCAGGACACCGATATATCTACTTCTGTCAGCGATGTTCCCATTCTTGGCGCTTTCGCCTCGAATTTTGATGCAACGACGACGAACGAGGGACATACCTTGGGAGGAATTTGAGCATATCAGGGTGTCTTTGCTCAATTCGTTCGTAGAATTCGTTCTCCCTGTTATTCAGCTGCTTACAAACGGCCCGACGAGAAAAGCGGAAGATGGTAGAATGTCCACCGACTTGGTGCTTATAGGGTTCAAGGACAACTTTGGCCTTCGTCTTCGGTGGTGCTTGAGAATCGGTGGGTCTACGGGAAAGTGTGCTCCGCTGCGTGGGTGTTGTTGACACGTCCTCTGGTTGACTCTGCTGACCTGCTTCATCTCCGGATTCGATTTCCGATTCGGATGTACTGACAATGGCGGTGGTGGGAGCCTCTGAAAACGGGGATAAAGGTGGCTCGTCTCCGGAGGCCTCATCCAGCGGACGATAGTTTCCGTGGAAGATCTTTTTCTCATGTTGGGAGACAACAGATATGTCAATATGCTCGGTAGCTCCAAGTGCTTCGTGGGCTTTGTTGTCAGTGGAGAGCACAATTTCATCCGTCGCAGATGGCAGCTGTCGCGTGACATTGAGAGCCGGGGAGACAGTGTCACCTGGCGAAGTGTATTGCTCGATCTCTTCTATCGATGGACCGGAATGAGGATAGTAGACGGCGGCCGAGATGTGCTCTTCTTCAGTGGGGTGCTGATCCTCTGCCTGGTCCACGGTCGCGACCTTTTCAGCGGGAGTCGGGGCACGAGATGCCTTGTGTGACACTTTGCTCTCATGCAGGTCCGGACGTTGAGCGAGATCTTGATGTCGGAAGTATGGGTCATGGTCATGCTTAAGCGGCGAGACAGCTTGAGAACCATACACACTTGTTGAACGACTGGCATCTCGTGTAGAGGCCTGAGGATCAAGCTGCTCTCTCGAAGATCGACGTGTTGCCCACGGAGATACCGTGTCTTGCTCGGCAGGGCTCGTAGGGCGCGAGGATGGCTCGAAGTGTTCACCCAGAGTTGGTGCAGGAGACTCGGAGCCAGTCCTCGGGTCAAAAATACCCATCATATGGCTGGCCTTTCTGCTCCGTGCATTCCCTCCGGCTTCTGGTTTCTTGACCGTCGCCTCAATGCTCTTGTCCACAAGTTTCCGGCCTCGGCTGGTGCTGCGCTCTGTACGTGGTCCCCTCAGGGCGTTCCGCATCGAGTCACCCCTTTCGAACAAAGCATGTTGCCCATTCTCACGGTCGGAGAAGCCTGAAATGTCGGACGCCGTTCCGCTAGTTAGACTGTGTCGTTTGTTCTCTGTCTCTTGAGCATCCCCCATCGTGACACTGAATCTGTTCGCCCACGGATTTGAGTCGGAAGCTATCCGCCGCACGCCATGGAGCGGTCCTGGCGAAGGATAAGAAGTTGAAGGCGGAATGTCTACGTCAGTAAATGATTCTGACCTTCGGATCCATTCCAGGGTTCGAGGAGAGTGGGTGTGAGGTGTCTTGTCGGTGTCGGGAGGGGATAGCGGGTGGGTGACCAGGGTAGACATGTTGAAGGGCACCTTCCGAAGCGGATTCGAGGCAGGAGACGTCCGTGCAGCGTCTAGGGAAGTGGAAGGGTCGCCCGGGGAGGAGACATAGTGTTCAGCAAAGATACTGTCTCTTTCTGACAGCTGTGGGATCTGGTCGCCCGCGGTAGCTGCTCTGCGGAGGTTGTGACCCGGATTTCTGCCATTCTTTGTATTTGTAGAAGAATATATTCTTTTTGTCCCCCGTGAGATTGGAATGGGCTTGGTATTCGACGAGGGACTCAGGCTGTTGGCAGTGGAAGACGGGCCCGATGGACGGCGGACAGTCGAGTGCCCATTTACCGTCGAGCCTGGCGCGGACGGTCTTCCGGCGGGAGCGCTACTTGACATGGGGAGGACATCGGGTCTCAATGGTTCCCCTGAATCAGCGTAGGGACGTGGCAGGAAGATACCACTCGTGGAACAGTGATTCGCCAGGAATGACCCGTGGAAGTGGGTGGAAGGAAAGAAGCGAGGGAGGGACAAAACGTCGGGCAGCGCTGAGAACTTCAACGTGCTGGGAATGTTCCACGCAGCAGGTACAGCAGCCGGAAGAGGGTGGATAGGCGGTCAATCTCTGGTGGGACAGACAAGAGTCGTCGAGCAGGCACGTGGAGGAGCGAGAGGCTGAAGGAAGAGATGGATGATGATTCGGTGAACGAGTAGCGTCGTGTTGACTGCCCAGCTCACTCACGGATGTACAAAGCACAGGCGCACGGTTCCAGAGGCGATCCCAGGAGCGATAAAGACTGGACGGAGTCAAGGGGATATGATAGTTTCGTTACAGAGTTCTCATCTTGACGTGAACACTACGCAGTCCACAGATACTTTCACTATGGTCCTCAAAGTGGGCAGCTTCCGGAAGGTCTTAGAGCGGAGTGCTTAACCGCAAAAGCCCGACTCCGACTTCTCCATCCTCGCATTATTTTCTGCTTTGCCTTGATCGTTTGTGCGACCCCAATGACGTGGAGGTTTTAGCGAAGGACTTCGCCGTCAGAGGTGGGCCAGTAAGGTGCCTCTGAGGCGAAATCCCGCAAGCCTGTTGTTTACGACTTTCCCCCTTCTTCTTATCCCCTCAAACACATTTCACCGAGCACGGCACGTTATTTTGACCTTCAGGATCTTCACCTTGTTTGTCCCCCAAGAAATGCCCCTTGACCAAAGCTTCGACCCGCTCAGCCAGGGGCTTGCGGCATCTACCCTGAACACACGTCTCCTCATGGCCAGTTGACCAATCCTCATTCTCAGCTGTAGCACGTTGTGCTCCCATGCATGATCGACCATGACTGCCGGGCAGCGGAAGATGCTGTCCGCGTCGCATTAACCGCAATCCTCCAGCAGTATGGAGCCACGTCGTGCGGTCCGAAACGAGGGCCACCCTGCCCCATGCCACCTTGGCTATCAGAGCTCGAGGCTTCCCGTCCATCCGGGCGCGGAACAGGTCGAAGTGCTTGGTAGGCGCTCAGCACGACTGTCACGTACGTATAGGGCCCGGTTGCAGAGACGCTGAAACAGAGAAGTCGCCATTGAGAGCTCAGCAGCTGGTCACATGTGGCACTGAACGAGGTGTAGACAACTAAGCATTACATTACACGGTACGGAGTATCCTGTTCAGATTCCATCAATGCCAAGGATTTCTGTCGGATTTCAGGAAGCGGACCAAGGAATCTCATCTGGCCGTCTTGCCGTGTTCCATGCCCTCAGATCTCTAAAAGTCTTGAGCGCTGCTGCAAGATGCCTGACATGCCGGGCCTATATCTGCATGTGAACCAGACAAAAAGACACTTTGCGTCTGCTTTCCAGAGAAGTTTTCACCACCTACCAGGTAGGCTTTCGTGGAATGGGCCCAATTTCTCCGCCTTCTCGAAATGCAAAATCTGTAGCTCAGGCTGCAGCTGGAGTCAACACACAAGACGTCGATGGTACAGGTTTCCTCCAGCAACAGTCGACATCAGCAACTTGAAGTCTAGTGCCACAACGACTGTACCTAGGTACTTGAAGAATCTCGCCCGAACTCCACCTCCCCACGTCAAGTTCTACACAGAGTCATTCTCTAGTTCCGCCTTGAGCCTATCACGATTTTTCTCAGGAGGTGACGCATAGATTTGATGCCAAACTCTTATGTACTTAGTATATGTGTGGTATTTCCATCGAGGATATTGTGAGCATACTTTACTTTGGAGTTGTTTAGTCCCTCTGGTGGGACCCGACTACGGGCATGTACGTCACCTTTAGTTTTTGATGTGTAGGCCGCTCATCTTCAGGCAGGTCCGTCAGCGTTTTGGTGAAGTGCGGATGAGAGCACCGGACATCCGACATGGATGGCCTCCTGGCACGGCCGACAGGAGGGTGCTCTGCCACCGTCCTGGCTTTTCCTGAATGGAATTGACGAAAGGGTGGTCAACAGTACTGTGTTAGTATTCCACGAGCAATATGCTACAGTGCCAGCGTCAGGAAAGCATAAGTCACCCTCTCAGAACTCCCGGATGTCAGAAGCCTTGACAAGCCTTTCAGATTGACGTCAGGCTTGAGAGGTTCGGGCCAAAGTATCTGCATCGGCCTCCATGATGCGTGGCACAAAACCCGCCTTCTGGATTCACAGGGCAGTGTGAGGGGAACAACTTCGCAAGTGAAGACAGACCCGACTGTCGCAATCCTAACGAAGCGCCTCTTTCGAAATCATTGCAATGCGAGATCTCTCAACTTCTTCCCCGCTGGACTGTAGTACAAGAATGGTGTTTGCATGCCGAGTCACGTCAACTTCTCTGAGCCATGAATGGCCGAAATAGGCAAACAAGTTTCACCGTAAAAATACTGCGTCTTGAAGGGCGATAGTCTGGGAGAATATTGCAATGTGAGTCGGTTTTGAATACACCCTTCGCGATCGTACTTAGGCGGCCCTTTACAATCACCTGCTGTGACAGTCGCACTTCGACATCGTCGGTGATCATTTCAAAAGACGAATCATCACGTGGAGACGCGACTTTTCCTGTCATTTGAAAGCGCGTCCGCTTCAATCAACATCATACACTGAATTGGACGACGGTCCATTGAGTCTCTATGACGGTGTAGCGGCAATGCCACCAGAGATAGCAGACTCTGACGCCGAGTCTGATCTTGGCTCACCCGACAAGCGGGCGCATGTGCTCGGAAAGACAAGTGAGGCCGTCCACGTCCCACTCGCCTCACCATCCGAAGTGGATTTCGATCAGTTTCTCGATCCAACCCAAAGACTATCGTCCTCTGCTTCATACCAAGTCAATAACATTGTCCAATTCGACGGTTCCAGCGACAACATCGTCAGGTCTGGAGTCGATGGGGCGAGTACGGATACTCATCTCACTTCACTCTCACTTCACATGTCGCCCGCTGTAAAGGCCAAAAAAAGAGCTCACAGTGCTCTGCAGGATGTCACCAATGATGCATCGCATGACAGCTCCGACAAGAAAGCAAAGTCTAAGAGGTCGAAGACATATGGCGCAGCGTCCAGGTCACGATCTGCCTTGGGCGACGACCTATTCGCACCGTCTCTATCATCATTATCAGAACTCAAAAACTTAGGACCAGAGAACACCGATGCATCTGCAGCAGATCAACGAATACCTGGCTCACCTTCGGCGCCCGCTGGGCCGAGCACGCTTGCGGCGACGACTTCACGTGGACAGGCTGGCGTCATTTCAGCCCTTGGGGGACCCGTTCCCGAAGCAGCACCCATCATGACGACTTCGGTGGCTTCAATGGGCCAATATCAATCCATCAACTTGGATTTTCGTGGGGGTCTAGACGTTACCGCCAACCCATTTGGGCCAATGAGTCAGGTATCGGTGGAAGGAGAGCCCAACCAAAGCGGAACTGAGAATCGCAAAGGCTTGTTACAAGCCGCTGGAGAGCAACCACCACACGACTATGTGAACCCGTCGAACCTCGATGTACCAGAGGAACAACTACTGCCTCCGACGTCTCAGCCATTCCCTCCACCATTGGCAATGGATCATGCCCAAGTGATCCAGACTGCGGACTCCGCACCCACTCCAGACGCAGGCATCGATCCTCAGGCACCCGAGGCTATAGCTGGAGCCACCGACCGCGATACGGAGACCGTCCTTCCGTCCACGGAAAAGCCGGCCCCCAAAAAGCGTGGACGCAACGCCAAGAATTCGTCGTTGTCTTCAACCTTACGAGCTCCAAGTTTCGGTGAAGATGTCGACGAGCTCGCCCTCCCAAGTATGCCACCACCCAACCGGCCTCGTCGGTCAACTGTCGACTCCCTGTCTCAAGCTTCAGAGACGTCAGGCCCGATCTCCTCCACAAAAAGTCGAAAACGAGGAAAGTCGAAGCCGGCGGTTGTAGACGATCCAGTAGAAGCCGACGAATCATCACCAGCGAAACTACCGGCCAACGAGCTCAACCTGAGTGATGAAGTTATAATAGGGTTACCAAAAGAGGCCTACAAGCCGCGTCCGAGTCGCTCACGCTCGAAGATTATTGAGGAAGAAACCCCTCCGCAAAGGTCCGGCGAATCATCTCCAGTGAAGCCCACTTCCAGTGGGCCCAATCTGAGCGACGAAGCAGCTATCGGCCTGCCCAAGGACAACTACAAGCCTAGACCAAGTCGATCGCGGTCAAAAAAGGTTGTCGACGAGGCACCCAGTCTCCCGCCTCCAGAAGAAGAGTCCGACCATGGAACTCCAGCCAAAAGCATAACTACTAGCATCGCAGAGGTAGAAACACCTCCAGTGGCTTCGACCAAATCCAGCACAAAAAAGGGCCGCAAAAGCAAAGTCAAGCGTGCGAAGACATCGGCCGCAGCTCTCCTCAAAAAGGTGGAGCCAATGCTCAGCGAGGGTGAAGAGGATGTTGTGTGGATGGATACGAAGCCCGCTCCAGTGAAACTGGATTTACCCCCTGATTTGAGTGCTCTCAAAAAAGAGGCTGATGTGCCGGGTTCCCACGAAGGTGAGGACGGCAGCCACAGTCACGAGCGCACGACAGGCAAGGACACTCACATAACAATTGAGATACCCGGCCCGGCGGAGACTAAGAACCCTGCTGTGACAGAGCCTAAGAAGCGCGGCAGGAAGCCCAAGAAAGTACAGCAGAAGACGGAAGCGAAGGCGGTCGAGGAAGACGAGAAGGGCACGCAAGAGGATAACATGAAAAAAGCGCGACCGGCATTGGCCGAAAAATCCAGCAATGTCTGTGATCCAGGCCCAGGACCAGGGCCAGACATCCTTAAAAGCCCGATAGGCAAGGCCGCCAAAACGACTCCCACCGTTTCACCATTCACGTCCCCCGAGCCGGAGGCATCAAGACCACAGTCAAAGTTCACTGTGGCAAAGAAAGAGAATCAACCCCTGACCACGCCAGCGAAGCCGAAATCCGCCACCGCCCCGCCGTGCTCGGCCGAGAAAGGCCCAGCGAAGCACTCCCCGATCAGCAGCCTCACGTCCTCTGGACGCAAGGCCATCTATCGCGTCGGTCTCTCCCGACGGCAGAACATCCCGAGTCTCTTGAGAAAGGTGGACAGGGACAAGCCACCGCCCAAGAACGTGGCGATCAAGCAGAAGGAGAAGAAAGTGAAAGTGGATGAGAATCATGATGGCGAGGAAGGCGGAGGCGGTCGGGATCCCAGCGAGATGAGAGGCGCAGATGGTATGTTGATCGAGTGGGAGTTTTGAAAGAAAATCGGTCCATCCAAGGTGGGCTCTTTTCACCTCTGGTTCATTACTGCTGGCGCGCACTATTGTTTCATCATCACGAACCTTATGACTTGACGAAAGAAGATAAATTACTGTATGCGACGACCGCAGCGCATGGCATGGCGCAGCACGGCGGTCGTGGTGCCCGTCGGTCTTTTCGACTGCATACATATTAGAGGAAGCAGTGGAGAGCAGAGCAGCTTGTCGTCTGTTGCATGCGTCTAGGTTGTAGGATTCTCAAACGACTCTGCGCATCGTATATGGTGCATTGTACTGTACTCTAGATTGGCAGACTGTCCGCGTTGCTGCGAAGTGGATATCCAGCTTTACCGCTCAACCCTGCTTAGCATTTGAGTGCCATCCCAAGCCTCGCAGATCAGATCCGGCAAGTAGAACACCCAACGACGTTCCGTTTGGCTCTCGGAGGGTGGGACAAGATACGCTACCTAGGTCGGCACGATAAGACTTCAGCGAGACGGCATGCCAGAGCCATCAAAACAGGAACCAAAAACTGGAGGGCAGTTCAGAGGTTCTGTGCAAGTCACTCAACATTACTGGCCTTTAGATACCGGGACGCCGTCCAATCTGGCCGGCCGTGTCTCGCACTTTCAAGACACATAAAAGATCAATCTGCAAACTCCGCTCCATGCGGCTGACCGTTTGTGCGCCAATGGTAACATCCAGAACACCTTCATTGTTGGTGACCAGTCATGTAGCTTCACTCCCTGTCTGAGCACTCCGCCCGCAGACTCCTGTATCCCGTGGTATCACATATTTACTCCTGCGTCTGGATCTTATTATCCCCCCTCACAACCTCTGAATAGCTCGGCGGCGCGCCAGGCTCGTCACTCCCTGCACCGACGCTCGGGCCCTGAGGCGCCTGCTGGCTGCCATTGCCTGATGGGGGCGGCGGAGCCGGTCGGTTACTCCCCTGAGCACTTGGCGGAGGCGGAGCCGGTCGATTGTGTCGCTGGCCTTGCGTGCCGTAATCTCGTCGCGGTTCATGCCGGATATAATAATATGTGACTCGGCCGCCGTGCTGGCCGTGCTGGCCGCCGCCTTGGCGTTCCGCGTCAGGCAGCACTTCATAGTCGTAGTCGCGCTCGGGGTGGCGGGCGATGATGTACCACGCGTGCAGGAGGCCCGGGAGATAGCCCAACATGCAGAGGAGGATGTTGATCAGGGAGTCGAGGGAACAGAGGCCCGATTTAATCCATACTATAGGCAGAGAGTGTGCGGGTTAGTTTTGTGTTTGTGTGGTTGCGGAGGGAAGGGTACCATGGACGCTACGGACCTGCAATAGGAGGGAATAAGATGGCGATGAGGCCGAGGAAGAGGTCGCCGCAGGACATGGCGGCGTAGATAGATCGTTAGGGGACAACTATAGGCATGCAAAGATGTGAATGCTGTCAGAAGCGTATATATGGTGAGATGTTGGTCGTGTTGCCTGCCCAGTAGAAACGGAGATGCCTGGTGGTGAGAAAGGTCGAAGTACTGTAGCATTAATCGCGCATTGGGCAGGCGGAAGTCTGGGGGTCATGCGAGGCTGAAGAGGGGATGAGGAGGCTGAGCATATGACGCAACGGAGCCCGCTGGTCTTGGTTGGTCGTACCCAGTCGCGGGAACCAGTGTGAGTACTCCGCCGTACTCCATTCGTACTGCAAAGCGTACTGCGGAAAATGCACCACATGTGAATGGTGAGGCATCAGGAGGCATTCAACGGGCATCAAGGGCATGGAGTCACATGCTGCACGTGAGTATAGTGTTGCATTGTGGCGATCACCGCGATCAGCAGTCAGACTTTGGACTCAACTAGATCAGGGTGTATGACAGCTAGGCGAGATGAGGCCGCGCTCTGTGAAGGATCAGCATCTCCAGCGCAACATGGGCTGGAGGTCGGACATGGTGCGAATTCAAACTGTAAGTCAACGCTGGGACGAGGAGCTCTGCTTTCAAGGCGAGAGAAATAACCCTAGCATTGTCTGCCACCAGTGCTTGTATAGAGTGTCGGCTCCTACGCAGTAAGCAAAAAGGCCACTTCTCCTCCACAAAGTTTCCTAGAAGTCAGATGCCCTCGTCCTTTCTGATCGATATACAGCGGATGTGATACTGTGGACGGCCTGGACTTCGAAGCACGTGGGAGCCAGTATCGACCTTCTGGCGTCCACTTTTCCATGTCAGGACTCAAACTACGTGCTGAACATGAGTTGACTTGAACGGCCTGTAGTGTAGGCTCGTAGAAGCAGACATGTCCTTCTCTACTGGTAGGATTCAACAGCTAGTCATAGTATCCGGTGATCCAAAGAGACTTAGTGTTCTCGTCGAAGCAGCTGATGGATATGGAGTGTTGCAGCCAGCACTGGCAAGACGATCACCATGGCCATGAACCGCCCTGGCGTGATGCATGGAGAGCTGTATACCTGGAACACGCCTTCGGGATTCTCATGACCTCAGCCCTGTTTGGGTGCCTATCTCGTGCCCATGAGGCTTTGAGCAGCTCAGCCGAGTCCGTGGAATCGGCCTTAATCTTGCCCCACCACAGACTCAAGACGCATTCTGTTCAGCAATCGCCAGGCTCAGATCAACGTCTCGGCTAATGTCATCAAGCTCGCAGCTTGCCTCTTCCTAGTCGAGTTGCTTGCGGCGAGCAACCAGACATGCCAGGTAGAATCAGCGCGGATGAGAGTTTCTCCGAGAGTCAGCAGTGTGGACATTTGTCTGTTAACGCTCCTGAGACGTTGGAGCGACGCTGCTGCATAACAGGATGTTCTCACGCAGGACGCTGACTTGTGTAACCTCGTGAAGGAGGTCACATCTTCGCAACCGCTCGAAAATGGGTCGAAGGCCCGGAACCTCGTATAGTGGTTTATCCTCACACATGTTTCCAGCCATTCCAGATGAGAATGTGCTGCTCATCGATGGCACAAATCGCACCATTTTCCTCACGTCTCTCCAACGAGTTCTCGCCTTCCTTCACCCATCTGGCCATTTTCCTCGTCACTTCCTTCATACTCTTCGTTTCTCGTGGAAGGACGACCCTTCGGAGACGATTCGTCCAGAGCCCTGTGACGTACTGCGTAGCAGACACGAAATTCTCCTCAGGACCGGAATGTGTAGTATTGTATGCATCCACAGTGTACCCGACCCTTACGGAAGGGTTGACGTAGATCCTCTGCCCCGCTCCAGGGATGGTGACATTCATGTCCGTATGTATGAGGCAACACTCACTTGCTTCGAGGTGCTTTGAGGCGAGACTATCGCTAAGAGCACGAAATCGCAGACCTTCGTAGAAGGGAGCACTATCCATCACAATCATCCCATTCCAGCACGACGAGACTTTTGTGGGCATGCCCTTAAGCATGGTCTCACGGGAATCTATGCCGCGGAAGTACGGAAATGTGGTCTGGATCGTTCCAAGTCCCTCGGAGTCACGGAGCGCAAAGGTGTCGTAGTATGCAGGTGGGAGATGGAAGTCGAGTGCACACGCCGCAGAGAAAGAGCCTTGATTTGTTGCCAGAAGTGTGAGGACATCCTGCGGTCGGAACACAACGTCATTGAGGAATAGTATCTTGTCGAATTTCTGGCCTTGCTCATCATGGGATTTGAAGAGCGGATCTAGAGCTCTATTCCGTAATCGCGCAAGGTAGGGAATCCTTCGTAGCTCCTTGCCCCATTGCGTCCCGACAGTTGTGGTCTGTATCCAGCCTTGACGCGGAGTGCCCTGGGAATCGAGGGGCCCAGCATTGATCTCATCAGCGTGTGTGGTCGGATCTAGGATTGTGACATGGGGGATGTTGTTCTGCACCAGTATATCATCCAGTTGTTTGAGGACCTCCTTGGTGTTGTCCAGGCTTCCGGATTCAAGGATGCTCACATGAACATTTTCCTTGCCCAAAACGTCTACCAGGTCTAGAAGCGCCTGGCCCCATCGCTCTGATATCACGCGGGCATTTGTCCAAAACTGCGCAACGATGTAGATCTTCTGGTCCCTTACAGGCGTCGGGAGAACGGCGGTCGAGGTATACGTGTGTGATACCAGGTTGCGACTGAACTCGCGGTGGTGTTTCAGTATGGTAAGGAGGTCAAGGACGAAGAGCGCGCATAGAAAATAGAGCAGTAAACGGACAAGACGTCGTGGCAGCGAGGATCGACGGTAGGAACGGCGGAGCATTACGGCAGCAGGGGCGAGCGATCCATCTGCTCCTGTACTGGAAGCATCATGAGGGAAGTGAGCTGGAAGGCAACAGAAAATGCAATGAGACGCTCCGGTGGGCTTGGGGCGGCCGTCTGACTTGTCTTGGAAGCAGTCAATTGATGAGCGACTGGAATAGAACGAGAGCCCCTGAGCGGTGCTTATGTAAGCGACAGCCCCTAAATTGCATTCAATTGATCCTGAGGTGATTGACAGGGGAGTGATACCCAGTAGGTAGATCGAAAGAATACCAAACTTGTGAACCATTTTAACCCTGACCTGGAAGCCCAGAGCAGGAGGTATTGAGGACTACTCCTTATGCTTCATTCATTCAGGTGCCGGCATGAGGGAAATGCAGACAGAAACCTCCCGAGCTTGCTGCCTCCCTTCCAGTTTGGCTCTTTGGTTATGTATATGCGGTCAGCCCTGGCACCACGTCGAATCTACATTGAGATTGATAACCAAGCGATAACAAAACGACCACTTGAGGACTGTGTCGTGGCGCAACCTCACCCGGTACCTGGCCGTTCTGAGAGGACCCAGGCCCTCAAACTGGTATGGTATTCCTCTCAGTCAAACGCACGAGCGGAGCAAACATGAAGATGAGCAGCAGGACACGTTGTTGCAAGCTGCCGGGAGGGTGAAGTCATTTGTAAACGAGGTCTTCATTGAGGGATAAGTAAAGAATTGCACAATGCCACACCAGTAGGTGCGTACATGCATATGCCCAAAGCTCAAATGTCGGTGCAACGATACGGGTGGCTTGCATGCATGCGCTACCACCACATGGCACAAGATGCAGAGGCGACCAACCATCAAGGACTCGGACCTGCAAGCAAACATAGATTGCGTATGCTGTGCAGCACGCGGGTAATTGCCCTTTCTAATTCGGTTATATGGATTGCAGAAACAGCAGGATCTCATCCAGCTTCACCGCAGAGATGAACATGCGCACGATCTGACAGTGGTATCAATAAAAATTGCTGTGGCGCCCTGTATACCTAGGGAGACCATGGCCCAATGATCGAACAACCACGCACTTCCACGACGGAGGGCGCAAAGATGACCACGACAAACAGCCGGGCCGGAGATCCTACTGACCACCCGCTGGGTAGTGAAGTTGATTCTTCACGCTCATGCCCAAAGGCAATACCAGGCTTGCGCTTGCCAGTTTAGCATGCTCCTGCTTTCATTCTCCTGACCTGGCGGGGTCTGTGCTATGGACAATATAAGACCGTGAGCTCGTTTTGTCCTACCATCACCTGAGGCGACCCATGCCACGAGACACTGCAGCCAGCTTTTGACCACAGGCAAGCATCCACCCAAAATACTAAACACTCTGCAAGTGGTGTGGTGCTGACTTTTGCGCGGTTCCGGCAGCGGCAGAGGCAGCTTTGCTCACCAATCCCTCACCATGCGGCGCAAGACTGTGGCACTCTGCATAGTGCTGCTGAGTTCAGCAAGCGCCCTCTGGGTACCACGTCAAGAAAGCACCATCCAAGTGGACCATGACCGAAGCTTGACCAGACGAAACGAGACCGCGGCCATGGCCGGCGAACTGACCCTGAACATCGACCCAGATATCGACAACCCAAACTGTGGCGGAATCTACGAGGCACAAATCAGCGTCGCGCTCGCGGCCGATCCGTTCTACCTCAGCAAGGCATGTCAGAACGTGCTCAACTACCTCGGTGGCAATAAAGGCAAGAAAAACGTCAACATCGTCTTCGCCTGCACAGGGGGGTCGGCCACTGGGGTAGGAGACCGGGACATCAAGTTCATATTCAACATTATCGCCAGCGCTGCCGTTAATGGTGCAAATTCCGGGACTCAATTGGTTCCGAGCAATTTGGAAGTCGTTAATGAGGTGGACAACACTTTCATCAGCACGCAGGTCAACCTGGGGGTGAAGATGAGCGGTTCGATGGCCAAGTTCCAGTACATCTACTGCTAGTGACGGTGGAAATGGACCGGTACACGTCGTCGAGGTGTCGAGGATGGAATCGAGGGTCGTGACCGGTGAATATGTAAGAGATCCGTGAAGTCGACCTCTGTCGAATGGTGGACCAACATATTGTCCAGGAGTACTTGTGGTTTCCGTCAAAGACACAGCATGAGACGACGGCCGGAGGTGTTGTTGTCTTGTAGAGAATGAACATTGTCAAAACTCGCGAGGAGCCATGCTTCGAGCTTGCTCTAGAGGGCGATGCCGCTTGCAGTCAGGGACGAATAAAAGAGAAACCCGTTCATATGCTTTCATCAAAAACCCCCAGCCTGCCAGATCAAGCCGTATTGTGTTTGGTGATGCCTCTCAACCGAGCTTGTCGAGCAACTGTCTCCTCCGCCGATCCATCAGCTCCTGCTGGACCTCTTCCAGCGTAGGTAACCGCCATCTCATGCCGTCGCCCGCATCACCGGGTAAGGGCTCCCAGTCCGGATCGTCATCGGCTCCCTCGTTACCATCCGCGGCCAACTTCCCCAGCCTCTCCACGGCCTCCTTCTCCTTCCGGCGCTCATACTTGAGAAGTGCACCGTCCTCCTCGTCCGCCCCAAACCCGAAATACCTGGCGTCGAGGTTCCGACGATTAATCTCCTGGCGGGGCACATCCTCGTTTTCGTCATCACCACCACGAACCCTCCTCTTGGCGGCCCGCTCAAACATCTCCTTCACGCCAGGCAATTCCCTTGCCCGCCCGAAGTATCTATACCCCTTACCCCCACCGGGGACTTCGCGCCCCTGGTCGTCAAACACGGTGCCCCCTCCGCGCATGTAATTCGGCCCGCCGAGCTCCCGGATGCGCCGTTCCCAGCCCCACTTCTCCTTCATCAGCTTGTTGATCTCGTCGTTGAGGTCGCGGATCTGGAAGTCCGACAGCGACTCGTCCTGGATCTTGGTCACTTTGCGGCTGACTTCCTTGAGGATCTGGCCGCGCCATTTCTCGCACAAGGGCACCGTGTTAATCGTCGAGGGGGCTTTCGGGCGGCGCAGCGACGATGAGGGCAAGAGGCCTGACTCTGCGGCTTGGGCGGCGCGGAAGCGAAAGAGCATGGATTGCGCTTTTTCCGAGTTGCGCGCCATATTTGTGGTTGTGGTTGTGGTTGCGGTTGCGACGGCGGGTCGGATGAGGATGAGGTGTCAATGAAGGTGTGATGTTGGTGGGTAGGTAGGTAGGTAGGTAGGCAGAACGCGCCTAGGCGCAGTTTGTGCTACTTCGCGTATGGAGGCGGAGATGGGGCAGTAGGCGGTGCGACGAGAATTAGTAGCTTGGTCGAAGAGAGATCCGGGCGTCTGGAATCGTACTGAGCCTGGCGGGTTGAGGTTCAGGATTTGAAGTTCGAAGTCGAAGTTGCGGAGAAAAAGTTACGGAGATGGCGATCCGACGAAGAATTGTGGCTGCGATTGACGATTATTCGGGACAGCTCTTTCGAATGCTCCCAGTGGAACTCGACACCAACGACGACATCGCCCTTTGGATTTTAGAACGTGGCAACTTCTCCAGGGCTGCAGCAGGCGGAAAAGACCCCAGAAATGCAGTAATTGGCGCTGTACAGCCATTCGGCCTTTTTTCGCCTACATTTCTCCCAAATCCCACTCAAGCACATCACGTTCACCATGTCCGCATGGTTGCAACGCCAGAGCTCCCTGTCAAACAGCACCTTGAACCTCACACTCGCCGCCAGCTTTGGCGCCATCACGGCCGCGACCGTGATCTTGACAACCACAGCAATCCGCCGCCGGCACGCAACCGATGAACTCAAAGCTTCGATCCCTCCTCTCTCGAGCGACCATCAAGCCGTGCCACTGAATGAGTTTGGCGGTGCGAGTCGGCCAACGATAAGCAACAAAGAGGATGAGAGGTCCGCGTTGATCGCCGCCCGGGCAAGAAAGGGCGAGTACGACGAAGAGTTGATCCTCGAGCAGCTGGCGAGGAACCGAGTGTTCTTGAAAGATGAGGGCCTTGCAAAATTGCGGGATTCCTTTGTCGTCGTGGTAGGACTGGGCGGCGTGGGGAGTCATTGTGTTGCTGCGTTGGCGAGGAGCGGTGTCTCACGGATAAGAGTCGTGGATTTCGACCAGGTCACGCTGAGTAGCTTGAACCGACATGCTCTTGCCACCTTGGCGGACGTGGGCACGCCAAAAGTCCACTGTGTGCGGAAGAGGCTCGAGCAGATTTGTCCGTGGGTGAGGATCGATGAGCGGAATGAGCTGCTCGGGTCGAGGTCGATAGAAGGGTTGCTTGCGAAGTGGGATTTCGAAGTTCGAGAGGGAGAAGAGGACAAGGAGGTCGATTGGGTGGTCGATGCCATTGACAACATCGACTCCAAGGTGGCGCTTCTGCATTACTGTGCGCTTAAGGGCATCAAGGTCATCAGCGCTATGGGCGCGGGTTGTAAGAGTGATCCGACGAGGATACAGGTCGGGGACATATCGACGAGTTTTGAGGACCCCTTGTCGAAATCCACGAGGCGACGACTGCGGGTCATGGGAATCAACGGCGGGATTCCCGTGGTGTTCTCCACGGAGAAGCCGGGAGAGGGCAAGGCCGGGCTACTGCCTATCACGGATGAAGAGTTCGAAAAGGGAAGTGTGGACAAGCTCGGCGTGCTGCCTGAGTTTCGGGTCAGGATCCTGCCTGTGCTGGGGACAATGCCAGCCGTGTTTGGATACACGGTCGCGAACCATGTTATCTGCAGTATAGCTGGCTACCCCATGGACTATCGAGTGGGCGACCGAGGAAGAGAGAAAATGTACGATGCCATGCTCTCGGCATTGCAGGGTCTAGAAGAGAGGCAGATCCGGTCAACAAACGGCCAAGACACCGTCGGACTACGTATACCAGTCAGCCGCGATGATGTGGCATACCTCGTGGAAGAAGTCTTCCGCGGCAAGAGTGTCGTTAGCGGCCTGGGAACCCGGCTGGCTCTGATCAGATGGAGAAAGCCAGGCGGTGGCTTCAGAGTCGACCCAGAATACGAAAAGGAGGGACAGAAGAGGATCAAGCTTCCTCTGACGGATCTCGTGCTCATGACAAAAGAGGAAGCTTTGAGGCATGAAAAGCTGGTTCTTCAAGGAGACGCTTCGCCAGAGAGCATATATGACGCAGATGTCCTTGCACAGGTTAAGAGGAGACATGATGAAGAAATGGCGTATCAGAGGTTTAGGTGAGCATATGGTCAGCCTGCCGTGCAACATCGCTCCTCTACAGCCTTCAAGCGCGCAAAGTCGTCGTGATGCGGCATTGCGGGCCCGTGAACAGTTCAGCCGGCCGAGCGACCACTACATCCACCCGGTCGCCAAAGTTCCGAGACGATTGTGGGATCAACCGGGGTCAGTTGATCTTGCGATGTTTCTGTGCACTGCGACGAAATGCGCCCGATTTACGCGTCTACTGCTTCGGATTTCGAAGCTCTGATGCTCTCATGGCATATGCGGGTGATCCCGGTTGAGAGAGCAGCTTCCGATCAAGTTAGTCTCATAGTCGACGTCCTGATCATGGGGAATTTTAACCGGCATCAAAAGAGATATGCTAGGGTCAGATGGTGGAGGAGGAGCATATGGTTTCGCCTGAGTCTCGCGGTCTGGACCTCATACAGAAGAGAATGGAGCCAACCTCGGGGCCCTCTGCGACCTTTCGGGCCCAGGATGCCCTACTTCTCTGCGCGCAATGGCACTGAGACGCGCCACAGAGACTGGCGACGACAATGACTTGGATTCTTTGCCGTTGTCGACCCTTGAACTCAGACAAGCAGGAGACCACATGCGCTCCCTGCAACAAAGATTGCCGACTCTTAGCATGTTATCGAGGTTGGCTTGGTCGCTTGGTCGACCATAAGAAGGGAAAAAGACGGATACATATGCCGAGTCACTAGAACTACTGGTCGAGAAGCTCGATCCTCAATTGTAGCGTCTGTCACGCACTCGACGGATGGCGGCCCAATCGCTCGACATGCAGGCAAGCATGTTTCGACACGATTAGCCAGAAGCAACATTCGTGGCGTCACTTTACACCTCCTCTTCACGACAGGAAAGGATTCCAGGAACTCGCTGGTTGAATCCTGCGTCGAGTCTCGAGACCTCCATGTCAACTATCGAGCTCATTCGCTGCTCCACATCGTGCCGCCAGTCTACCCGCCTCGATCGACCTGGCCCCCACGAGCGACGGGCATGATATCAGGCTTCGGAAACGCCTGTGATTCTGGACACTCGTTGCATTTGATGATCCTCAGGATTCAACTTCACGGAGGAAATGGCCGAATCGAGATTCATGAGTGACTATGTACTTCATGGCGACGATTCAGCAGTCACCAGTCAGATTCGGCTTGAGTCTCCCATGGCTAGCATCTAGAAAGGCGATCTTTCACGTGGCCTCGTGACTCACCCTTAGATGACGACGTCCCAAGACATCATGAAACCATTCAAGACGGGGAATGAGTGGTTGTTATCGACCATCGGACCATACGGAGATCGAGAGGCGAAAGGGATGCCAGTCCAGGCCCGATTGCGCGTATTTACGCTATGATTCAATGATCGACAGAGACAAAAACACTCCCGCAAGCGAGACAGGTTAGATCCTGACCTAAAAATCTACGGGCGCCCTGTGATTCATCCAACCAGATCTCAGGAAGGTCTTCGACGTGAAGCTCATTGGCCCTTCATCAGTGTGATTCGTCGCTCAAAAGACACGGCGGGACCTGTATTGGACGAATCGATACTCCGTACCATCTCACGTCCTTCGTCCTCGCCCGCTTCCATAAGAGTACTGCCCAACGTACAGTACTCGGTACTGGGTATGTGAACTGCCAACAGCCCGCGGCCGTGTCTCTATGATGCTGGCGTGGCGCCCATGCGTGAGCTCTATTCGGATCCTCACAATCATTGCAGCTGCCACTGCTACTGCGGCAAAGGCAAGTAAGTATACATACACAGCAGCCCCAGCCGTCTGATCACCTTTTCCAACCACAAACACGTCGAACTCGAACTTGAACTTGAACTTGGCCCCGGGGATTCGATTTCTGCTATCACGCCCAAGGACACCTCCCAACCATACCATGGCGCAACACCCGTCCCCAGATCCTACGTCTACGTCCACGAAATCACCCTCCACGGCCCCAGCCAATGCTCTCTCCACCGAAAAGAGCCCCGACCCCTGCTCCCAAATCGAAAGAGACCATCCCCAGCACACGTCCACCTGCCCGAACTGCCAAGAACGAATGACCCGACAATTCGACAAAGTCCTCCGCGGCGTCATGCTCCGGGAAGGCTGGACAGAGGAGCAAGTCCACGCGGTCTCCCCCCTGCGAGGGTTTGCCAGTAAGCAAATGAAGGATCTGGCTCCCGATCCGGGCGCGCCCATAGAAGTGCAGAGACGAGTGTACGCTAGGAATTGTGTCGAAGAGTTGCAGGCGAGGATTGATGCTGCGAGAGAGGTTCATCAGGCGAGGATCGATGCCACTAGGAGGAGTCGTGAGTCATGAGGCGAGGTCGAGGAAGTGAGAACGCCGGTAGTTGGACTAGCTGGCATCTATCTGGCACCTAGCTGTTGTAGTGGCGAGGTACTGAGGTTCTGGGGGTTTACGGCTGGGGTGGTATTTCGACTTGTGCCTGCGCCAGGTGAGGGAGCCGGTTAACGAGGGAGTAGCTGCCATATAGGAAGGATCGCTGTGTGGTTTGGAAGGCAGGGGACCAGACCTTCCCAGAATGTCAGGTTCGTCGGTAGACTCTCTACACGGCAAATCGTGGTGGTCGTCTGGTTGCCATCTGAACACGTTACCGATGGCCTTACGAACATTTTGACAAAGAGTTCCTTCCCTGTTGCTTCCTCTCGTACTGCCATCGAGCATGAAGTAGTATCAGACTATTGATTCTGAATCATGGCTGGTTAAGGATTGCAGAATGGTGCCTACGGGTTACGGGGCTTCCACGATATGATCCCCTCTTGCTATGGGCGAATCGTTTACATAGAGTTCCCCGACAGGCAGTAGATGCCCAAAGGAGGATCTACGAAGCGCCGTCTCCATAAACTCAAAGTAAAACATTCTAGGATACATTGATCACGACTATACCCGTCCAACGTTCGGATCATAGGGTGAACATCTCTGACAACAACCTGGCCTCGCCCATAACAACACGCACTTGACCGACTTTCCCAGCTGCGGCGAGTACACATTCTGCCTTTGCATCCCCAACTCTGACTGTAACTGCGCGTAGGTTGGTCTGGATATAGGCACTGGGGCCTCCCCCAAGATTGGCAACATCCCGAGCATCACGTCGCCCGTCACATTCTTTTTCCCGGAAAAGAAGGTCTTGACGTGCTCCGTATGATTCCGAAGAAGAGCCGTATGCCTGTTAAGATAGGTCTCGTACGTGCAGCCGTCAGTGGCATTGGTGCGCCGGTCCGCCCATTGCCAAAATCGTTTTCGCAGCGCTCGCTGATATACCCAGTGGAACATACTACCGGGTACTTTCAGGGCGTCGAATCCCCCACCAAAGGCGTGCCGTAGGGTACCGAAACTATATCCAAAGGCACTTCGGCGTAAGGCCTCCTCGTATCCAAGGCACCAATTGTCGTAGCGCTCACGGTCCAGGTCGGTCGCTGTTTTGCCAGGGAGGCATTCCAGGATGTAATCAAACCAGATGTGGCGAGCGTTCTCTCTGCCTAGAACGTGTGCATCGTCAAATTCCCAGTTCTTGGGACTCGCAGTGCGCCCCTTCCTGTCCAGTATCAGTCCAAATGGTGTGCTTGAAACAGCGGACTGCTTTAGCTTAGCCACAAGCCACTGTACTTGCGGGTGCTCCTGGCATTCAATCCGAATGTCAATTGAACGGGCGTTGCGAACCCTCTGGAAAAGGTCGACAATGTATCGGAAATCCGCACATCCGGGGCACCTCAGCCGCCTCAGTTCGAGAATATCTGGTATCAGCACTTTGCAACAGAGGACACTCCGAGTCCATCGAAATGCGGTCTGCGTGGACCCATGCCACCACCTCCCCTGATCGTCGTTGTGAAACATAACCTCAATTGATGGCATCCTAGTCGATACCCTGTCGGGTGCCAGTATGATGTCATTTGCCTCGTCTTCCGGAAACCTGTCAGGATCTCTCCATCGTGGTAACAGGATGGTCAGAAGGCGCTTCGTCTGATACCAGCATCGGACGAGCTGGCCTGGGTCTTCCGGGTCTGGTGCATCGATGCGGACTCGGATTTTTCCAAATTGGTCGACGGGCATAAAGTCTAGGTACACGCTCTCTTCGTGTGCAGACTCGACGCTGATGATGTTCCGGTTCTCGCCCCAAGGGTGGCCGTGTCGGTTAACAAGGTATATGACCGATCTAGGCGCTCGGGGGTCGATGTGGAATCCAAGGACGAACTTTTCGCGGAGGTATGGTAAGCTCTCGAGATATAACTGCTTGCTCGCCCTGAACAGGGCAGTTGCGCGTATATCCAGACAATATTGATAGATCATATTTCTGATCTCGGGCGAGATCACGCGAAAGGCACCGAGAGATGAAGGGCGCTGTGATTGGGACGGTCTCGCTGATGGCAGGAGCGAGTGCCACAGCTCGATTTCCCTGGCTGATGGATCCACCTGTCGCCTATTAGGCGAAAACCGGGGCTTCGTCCTGTTCAGGTATTGAGCATACATACTGCAAAGAGGGTGATAAAAAAAAGGTTCGGTGAATGAGATACCTCGATAAAGCTGTAGATGTGAATGTGCGTGCCGACACTCGGGATCAAACTATATCAAGAAAAGACGCGCAGAGACCTTGCAATAAATAAGGATGTGAAATCGAGCCTTTTCCTGGCAAGAGCAGCCCGACCACGGCAGCGAGGGCCTGCAAAGTATGTCCACCGAGGAAGGAACAATACATCCCCAGAACAGGCAATACCTGGCTGCTCGCACATCGTCCATGCAAAGACGTCTCTGAAGTGGCATACCATCGTGTTGCCCTCCTCAGGGGCCGAGCTCGCTTTCATACTGAATAGTAGCAAAGCCAGTCCTCCGAGGGGTAATGAATTCCCTCAACTTCTTGTGCGCACCGCATTCCTTGTCGTAGTAGTCAAAATCCTCTCGTGACTTGAAGACGGTGACAGCGACCACCGTGTATCCTTGGGCTCGCTCATCTGATGAGTTGGTCACGCGAGTCGCCTCATTGGATATGATATACGGTTTCCCATCCTACTCTGGCATCAGCACATCACCCAGGCTTCGGCTGTTGTTCCGCAAGAAGCACAGAACCGTACCTTCTGCGCGGTGGACCTCAAGATCTGGTACTGGTCCAACACCGCGTCGATATCCTCCTCTTTGGGTATCTTGAAGAGTGTAATTCTCTTGACTGTTTTGGACGACATTGTGGCTATTGTACGATCCTCCTCGTCCTGATTCGAATCAACAATTACTGGCAGTCTCACATCAGGAGCAACATCAAACAAAGTCTGACAGCAAGGACATCTCCAGTTCCCACATCATAATGGGCAGCTTCCGATGCACGGGACCACCCCACCTGTCTCATCCCGTGCTCTCTCGGAGGGGGTGGAGGGGATATTGAGGTTGGAGAAAGGCATGACAGATTGCGTAATTGTCGTATCTGCGCCCTCTCCGCTTTTTGCTCTATGCGCCACCGTAGACAGTCCGCCAAATTCTTGGCGATGCGCCGGTTTGCCGCCGTTGCGATCATTCGACTCTTTATCAGCTCGACTCATTCATCGCATCCAGGACATCTAAGTCCACCTTTATGTTCATTTCTGAGCACTGGAGGACCTATGTTCAACACATCGCTGCGCCGAGTGGCGCGCAACTGTAGCCCTGGGTCTCCGATACCCTCTCGCCCGAGTACACCTACGATAGCGACCTTCTCATCCAACTCGCATCAGCGGCGGCATTCGTCTTCCAAGCCTCCTACACCGCCGAACAATGGCTCCCCACCTATTCCAGCGGCTCAGGTGAAGCAGGTGGGTGCTCCACGATCCGAGTCGAAAAGACCGGGTGCCGAGTCACGCCTATCGAAGAAGAGGACTTCAAAGGACAAGTTGGATGCAAAGCAAGAGGCTCAAGAAAACTGGACATCAAAGTTGCCTGCTGTCCCTAGCTTGCAGCACTTGAATCCCAAGGGTACGTTCATCACTCCTCTTTCTTTATAGGAGCTAATTATATCGGCAGACGTCTACGTCGCCTCATTCTTCTCCACCTACCGGCCTATGTCCATTACCGGTGCTGTTCCCACTGAAACCTCGCTCGAGGCGATCGACAAGCTCTTCGCGCCGAAACCCAAGCGCTCACGCAACAACACTCAGGACGTCATCTATACGCTCGCGTCTGCGGTAGAAAGGCTCGACGAACACATTGCGGAAAAACAACACGCTCATCCCTCCCAGAGTCAGAGCGGCGAGCAGAAAGCGGCCTTGATCAAAGCCCTCACACAGCGCAACGAAACGCCGATCGACCCCAACAGGACGCACCACCTCGATGGCGCACCCTCACAAACAATCAACCTCAACGGGGGCAACGTCAAACTCGTGATTCAAGAAATCCAGCGGCGGTTCCGACCCTTCAACGTCCCTCCCGTTCCTCAACCGATAGGTGATGCCGAAATTGACGCCGCAGAAGCCAAGGCGGCGGAGGTCGAGAAGCAAGAGGAAATGCAGGCCAAAGCACTGGAAGTGGAGATCGAGCAGCAGGAATACGACCACGACCCCTACATCCAGCAGGTTGTCATCAACGTGCCCCGCGACGCGGATCTGCAGAACGGCAGGTTCTTCACTAGCGGAACGACAATGATGGAGATTCAGAACCCCGAGGCTGGCGAGGCTGTGCCAGAAATGGAACCTAGGCGAAGCAGAATCGGACGAAGACGGAAGACGGGGGATATCTCTCCTGGTCGGAGAATACAGCAAGGCACAATGTACGCCATAAGTGTCAAGAGGCAACGGCGGCTGAAGATGAAGAAGCACAAGTACAAGAAGTTGATGCGCAAGACGAGGAATCTGAGGAGGAAGCTCGGGCAGATATAATGTGGTTTTGGATGCGACCTTAAGGGTTTGGACCGTCTTGCATTGTTTTCCACGCGTCGAACCGCACTGCTCTGCACTGCCTTACCTTGCATTCATTGCGAGGTGGCGATTCTTCGCCCTGCTAGACATATTCAACAGATATGGTTGACGGAACAAGCGAGAGATACTGCGCACTGCATCGGCATCTGCATTCAAGGCGTTATAGAGCGAGGGCAGCATGTCGTCTTTCACCTGCACGCTACCTTCCCATCTCTGCCACGCATGTCTTAATCGATAGCACTGCCTGCAGCGCTCTGAGCATACTGCTCAATGGCACGCGTCAGCAGAACAGAAATACTACGAATCGTCTCTCATAGAGGTCTCGTCTCTCATGAAAGTCTCGTCTCTCATGAAGGTCTCGTCTCTCACTTGACATGTCGTCTCTCACTTGACATGTCGTCTCTCACGAAGGTCTCGTCTTTCATGGAGGTCTCATCTCTTACTCTCGCACGCTCATTCTCACACTCTCATTCTCTCACCCTTTGCTCAACCAGTCAGTCAGTCAACCAGTCAATCAATCGCCACGCAATGAATTGGTCAGAGTCAGTAGGTCAGCTACATACTAAGGTATCTAGGTACCTAGTCACCACATCATCCACCGATAATTAGATGACCGAACAAGTCACCGAAAAGACAGACACCGGACACATCCTACTGCAGTCATCTACGGAATACTTACCTCGCACTCATACAGTACGCTGCAAGTTGGTAATTACCTCTACGTAGCTGATATGGACACACACAACCTGCCCGTTTGATCTACCTGCTTGCTTAACCCCACACGTTTGTCCGCGCCATACGTGTGTTCTAACGTGGCATTGTAGAAGTTCTGCTCCCACATACATAACACAGTACGAGTATTGTACATAGTCGCCCCACGCTGGCCCTTGAGTTACTGTGAGCAGATCGGTGGCCGATCTCGGAGCGGAGACAGGTCACCAGGGCCACAGCATTGCGCCACAGCCACTGGGCCACCTGATCAGTATGCACTGTGTAGTGTGGGAGTATGTACGGAGTAGGTAACCAGAACATTACGCAGCCAGTTGGTGTCAGTTCGGCCTGGTAAAGTCACTGCGGAAGGACCTGGTACGTACCTAAGGTACTGTAGCTGGTAGTCTATTAACGCTAGGCTTCACCTGCAAGTCATCTGTCACGCGCGCGTGGAATGGGTGCTAAGGTTGGGGGATACATAATGCTGCAAAACGATTACCCGACCGTGATGCCCGCGAACGCCTCGAGGCAGGGTGGTCTCCTTGCCCTTGCTAGCTCTGGTCTTGTATCTCACCAGGTGGAAGGTCCGTGGAGGTTATGCACGAAACAGGCAATGCGAGGGTCGAATGCCTACAATACGACGCAGACTTTACAGTGGTCCTAAGTTTCTTGCAATACACTATACTGTCCTATTCCGAAGCCCTGGTAGGCAGCAGGCAAACCATTAATGCCAATGCCGCCATTTCTGTGCTCAAAGAAGTTCTAGCATTTGATACATAATCGTCGGGTTCCAGGTCGAGTTCCTTTTCCATAAACTCGCCCTGGGTGTGATGTGGTGTGTTTGATCGGATGATTGTGGGGTGCCAATTCGTGCTGAACTGGCGTGGTGGCATCGATTGTAATTGAGAAGTCCAGTCTCTCGCTTCCCATCGTACTTCTCGTTGTTTGTGCTTCCCGCTATGTCTCACTCTGAAGCTCTCATTCTCGCGGTGACGCTCCAGCGCAGCCGTCATGTTTTCCCTCCTCGTCTAGCAGGTGACATCGGTCTGTGCCTTGGAGTTCATCAACAGCGCGACAATCAAGCCGTAGAGTCCCAACACCTCGGCGAAGATCAGGATGAGAATCATTCCGACGAACAGGCGAGGCTGCTGAGCGGTACCTCGCACACCAGCATCACCAACGATACCGATGGCGAAGCCCGCAGCGAGACCGGCAAGGCCGACGGACAGACCGGCGCCGAGTTGAATGAAGCCGGTGAAGAGAGCCTCCTTTTGCGAGAGGTTGTCGGAAATTAGCACCGAGACGACTAGGCCGTAGATACCGATGATACCAGCCATAATAACGGGGACAATGTCTGTAAGGATGCGTCAATTGAATTGATCTGATCTGTGAAAGAGAGACGAGCGCACTCTTGACGATGAGGTCAGGTCGAAGAACACCCATGGCGGAGATACCGACACCAGACTTTGCGGTTCCGTATGCAGCACCAAAGCAGGTGAAAACGATGGCGGATGTGCAACCCATGGCACCGAAGAAGGGCTGTTGAAGAGTGTCCGGGTTAGTCTCGAGTCTCAAGCGAGGAGCTGCTCATTGAGGCGCTGCAGTGCGTCATAGGGTTCGACCGGGAAAGAACATACCGCATATACGGGACTATAAGGACATTCGTATCAGCAGATATACACATAGAACATCACGCCTCGGCCGGTGTGTCGACTGCAAGCTCTGCCCAGCTTATCGACAATGACGGGCGCAGGCTGAAACGAAACGAAGGCGATGGGGGGCAACAGGAGAACGTACCAAAGATCGGAAGACATCTTGACTGATGGAGTCGCCTTTGTAGGATTCTCAGGTGGCCTGTTGCTGAGAGTGAGCTTGTAGATGTCGATGAAGGCGAGCAAGATGAAGGCTTTGCAGTGCTGGCGGCGAAGAGAGATGCAGTGGTTGATGATGTTTCGAAGATCGAGTTTGGAAGGGAAGCTCCAACCTTGGACTTGGCAGCCTGCCGGCAATGGAAGGTCTGCCGAGAAACCTCGCTTCTCCGCATAAACTTTTTGTCACAGCCAGAAAATAATTTCTCAAACGCGACTCACTCACTCAAGCAACACCAGGTGATACAGTCACTGTTCGAGCAAAGGGCGAGCCAACGCAAGGAACCCTTTGCTGCGGAGAGTCTTCTTAAACCACATCTTCTCACTCCCGTCACTTTCGCATACCTCTTATCAACCCCACGACAGTCGCTATGGCCGACAATCCAAGTGCCGCCTGGCCCGTTGCCGACGAAGCGTTGTCGCAAAAGATTCTCGACACCGTCCAGCAAGCTTCTCACTACCGCCAGCTCAAGAAGGGTGCCAACGAAGCCACCAAGACTCTCAACCGCGGCACCGCCGAGCTAGTTGTCCTCGCCGCCGACACATCTCCCCTCGCCATTCTCCTTCACCTGCCCCTCCTCGCCGAAGACAAGAACGTACCGTACGTGTATGTGAACAGCAAGACCGCGCTGGGCCGAGCTTGTGGTGTGAGCAGGGCGGTTATTGCGGCCAGCATTACCACGAACGAGAGTAGCGATTTGATGCCCCAGATTCGGGAGCTCAAGAATCGCGTGGAGAGATTAATGATCTGAAGAGCTAAGGTCAGCGGATCTGCTCCCGCGAGGCACGTGGGTCAGCTAAGAGGTTTCATTTCGAACCCTAGAATCCAGAGTGTGATAAAGGCTGTCGCAAGACTGGGCGTGTGAGGAGGGTCTGTGGCTGCATAGCGGGCTCGAACCTACGGCCATAGCCGAAGGAGGGAACAGCGTCAAAACTCGACAGTGACTGAGGACACCGGTACCGGTACCGACACCAACGAAGGCTGAAAGAAACTACGTTCCATGTGCTTTGGGTATCATGCTCTCAGCCCTGCCTGAATCACGGCTCAAAACGAAAAATACATTCTAATAACCAGCTCATACCCGCTCATTCCTCTTCGTTGCTATTGTGCTCGAACAGCCAGGACCTCATATTTCATGGCGATGAATGCTTGAGCTTCATTCCCCCACCAACAAATTCCCTTGCTCTGCGCCGTCAAGGACCCTCCTAACATGTCCTTGCTCCAGCTTCCTCGCCCTGTCCCTGCCTTCCTCGAGTCTCTGGACGCCCAGCCGTATGTTCTCCACGTGCACAGCAAGGGGGATCTCCTTGTGCCCTTTCAACACCTCCGCGCTGGAAACCCTCGACCTGAGCTCCTCCAGCTCAGCCCCCATAACCTGCAATTTCAGAATCGTCGCACTGACATGAGCCCATGCAACCTTCCTATACTGACCCACTTGTCTCAACAACCCCAGCTGATTATTGAACTTCCCCAGCTTAGCTCGGTTCCCGCCGAGTAGGGTCCAGAGATGTGAAAGAATCTCGTCTTTCTCTGCCTGAGCTGCGATGTTGTCATGCATGGCGATGGCGTGAATGACGTCCAGTCGATCTTCCAGGTTTTGCAGGACGTAGAGTAAGGCCTGTGCTTCCTCGATAAGCCGCTCGATCTCGTCGGAAACGACGCGTGTGTGAGCGATGTATTGGTCTAGAAGCATTGCTTCGTTGAACTGTACGGGCTTGAACGGCGCGAGGATCTTGTCTTGGACAAAGCTTGGGATGACACCTCGTGACGATTGTTTGTGTGCCATGTCGTCCAACACACGTTCTGTCCAACGAGCCGTGCTGAGCACGATGTCAACGCCCCTGCCGACGTGCGAGTTGAACTTCTGCAGGTCGTACGAGGCCATACGAGCCGTCTCAATAAAGCCGTCAAACTCCAGAACCATCTCATTGCGAGACGCGAGTTGTGAGTATCGCACAATCTGGCGAAGGTCACGAATCGAAGTCTCCGACCGTTTCATGTCTAGAGGCAGGGTGACGCCTGTTGCGGACTCGGACAGTATCTCCTCAAATTGAGATTGCGTCTTCATCAGCGCATCAAACTCGACCGGGGCCGAGGTGCCAGAGGAGATTGTCGGGCTATCATGGTTGGGTGACGAATAGCGGCAAATCGGCAGACTAAGAAGTGAGAGTCCCGGAATGCGACATATTGGAGATAAGGCGGTATATATCGAGGTGGTCAAGAGGTTCTGCACAAGCATCAATATGCCTGCGAACAGATAGGCCGCCAAGAGCCATGAGATAGGTCGTTTCAAGGCTTTCAGTGTCTGCCCCAGGATATCCAGGAGCCATTCAGCGGCATGAACCAGGATGAGAACAACCTTATCGATGACTGGAGACGACGCTGCCCGACGCGCCCGCACTTTGTTCGCTTGGCCCGACCGTACTGATATTGTGGATTGCTTCAAAGGAGTCCTCTTGGTAGGGGTGGCAGGCTTGCGCTTTTGGGCGTTCCTGTCCGATGGCGGTATATTCGTCGACATAGTTGGCATGATAAATTGCGGCTCGTGTGGTGCGGGCGGGGTCATCCTAGGAGACTGGCGTCGGTCGCGCACAATACGAGTCATTTTTGGATCGCGCCTGACTTCGTAGTCATGCTCCTGTTCTGACTCTTCGGAGCGTTCGTCCCAACTGATACTTCCCTCACTGTCCTCATCCTCCACTACCCACGAACCGTCCATATCGGAAGTGCGCTTGGTAGGCATTTTATATGCCGATTGACGTAGGTTCGGTGAAGTTGAATGTGGCTGACCAAGGTCTGTACGTTACCTGTAGAGGGACAGTCTGGGAAGGTATCCAGCCTTGATCGCTGCATATGATGGCCATCACCGAGCGAGGCCAGTCATTGTAATATCACTTGGCAACTATTTCTTCAACTTTGAGGGATGGGTATCAATATCTGACGGAACGTGAATATTCGCCACCTTTACCCGAAGACAGCACTATGACAGGCGACAGCGGCCAGGTCGCGTAGGGGCCCGTTGTTTGCGAAGAGGCATCCACGCCTCCAGTTAAACGTCGCCCGTTACGTCACATCAGTGCCGTCCAATAGCAGATCGCCGCAGCGATGTTTCAGCCTTGTCTTCTACCTCGTATTACAACTCACCAACTTCACTCGGAGTTCAGTTGGGCTTTACTTATAATCCGCTTGCTGATTCTTTGCCACAGTAAAGTTACATTTGTGTGGCTAACAAGGTTCTACTAACCTCTCCATATCTATGGCGCATCATGATCAAATGCTTACTGAAATACTTAGTGATAAATCCTCGACCTTGCAATCAATTGGCATACCATTACCAACAGCCAACTGTATCCCTCAACGACTGACATGTTTTGCATGGTCTCCGCTACCGCAGGACTTGCATTATGACTTGACCGATCGTGCCAACCTCGACTTCTATTGATACAAAGGCCATAATGCATGGACATCGGAAACGACGTGGAAGTATCTCTCCGATTCAGATTCACGGTTGGCCGGCTTTGGGATGGTAATCTCCTTTTGGGATCGAACAGGCACAGAAGAAACCAGTCATACAACGAAAATGTTTGTAGCTTGATTTTGTGCGCAAATGCCGTCTTGTCCATTTGGGAAGCCGCCACCGCGCAGATTGGAAGCACATCACGTCGTCATATAAGGCTGGTTATCAGAATTGTCAATCATGCGTCGGAAGATTGCGGCGGTTGAATGACTTACAGTCTCCATCTTGAGACATCGAGGGAAACTCCAACAACAAGGTCGTAGCGGGGACTGATCATCGCAAAGCTTGGTAAGGCTCGTCAGACATACGCGGTTGGGATACACTTGCGGAGCTCGGCCAAGAGAAGTGATGTTGCGCCTCGTAGAATAAAGCGCTACCGGGCAGTTAGATGTCCCAGCAGCAAGCGGTCTTATCGCCCACATGCTTAACGTCGCCCCTACGTTCTTCCTTGATCATATCGGCTCGAATGGTCTTGTTCAAATTTCGATCTCTGCTCCAGCGTTAGGATGGTAGGGAGTGTTATCAGAAAGGATCTCGTTCTCGTTCCGAGGCAGGGCACGGCTCTGGCGACACCATGGCCGAACCGCGAACTGCTAAAGTCGCGTCTCTGCCCTCTCCTTTCTGAATCCAGACATCCCATTTTTGCCATGCTGCTGCAAATCCGTTCTGGTCTTTGGTCGTGTCAGGCTTTGTATCGTGCAATCTCCTACAGGCTATGGTGATGGGCTCATGCACGAAGAGAGGGAGGAGATTTTTATACTGAAAGTTTCGAATTGTGAGGGCGGATGCTTCTCCATGAATTTTGAGTGCTAGAGCCTTTCCAAGCACATCCAACATCAACACTGATGTAAGCGGACCATGTACCAGAAGTTTGGGAAGGCCGTACACTTGTCGGGTGTAGTCGCCGTCGAGATGAATAACATGAGCATTGCGCGTCAGAGCACTGAATCTAAAGAGCAGGGTTGCCGAGGGTATCATGGTTTGTGAATAGTCCGGGTCTGACGGAAACGCTATCTTGCGGACTGCAGACGCTGACTTGAGGCTATCCGGAATCTCACGCATGAAACATAGGTACTTTTGCTCTCTGATCAGGATATTGTGTTCGGCCTTTGACATACAAATCTGGTTGCGACTGCCACGGACAGGTTGCCCCTGAGCATCAAGCTCGGGCGCAAACAGATTTTTTGTTATTGTAACCATAACTTTCGCATTGTGCGCATCGGCGTTGCCAACAAGTCGTGTGTCGGTAATCTTTTCGTTAACAGCAACGGACACGGGTCCATGACGCCCCTCAGTCCAAAGGAAAGGTTTTTGGAAGTCCAGATGACCTCCAGTCCATACGCGAAATTTCCATTCGTCGTTAGGAGCATGACGCTGTTCGGCGCCATCATGGGAAAGCTCATGCTCATCAGGTAGACTGTTGAATGACACTTGGTGATAGCCCGGAGGGACGTGATTGGGATATGAAAATTGCGGCAACAAGAGGTGGCTCTGGAGTGTTTTACGCAAGGCTCGGATATTGTCCTTGTCCCATAGACCTTCTTCGGTCGGCAAGACGCGGGACTTCATCTCCTCGAGTTGGTGGGCAAACTCTGTGTTGGCATCTTCCGAGGCTTTTGTGGTAACATCTCGGCAGAAGATCGATCTGATCGCTCCATTGCACCTAATCCGCCGTCTCCGAAGACAAGGTCTCTGAGTCGGTAGACGTAGTGGTGAGGATAAAAGAGGCATAGGAGATGTACTTAACTGGCCCGTAGTCATGAGCACATGTTCGAAGCAAATCAAACAAGTAATGGGCAAGAGAGGAGATGAGATTCAAGTGAGGTCGCCGGTCAGGTGACTCGGTGACGTCTTCGTGTTGTTCCTGCGACGCGCATTCAACGCGTGTACCATGAACCCAGCAGAGCGTTGTCCTTATCCGCATCAGAAATAGGTCGGCATTTCGAGGCCGTAGAGGACTTTACCTATCCGTGGTATCAAAATGTCCTTTCGAAACCGTCCGCTGACCGAGTTACAACCCTCCCAAACACCATCGCGTTACGCGCCATCGACACCCCACGCGATCCGCGCTCTCCAGCAGCGAAGCGGAGCAAAGACACGATCGGTTCGCAGGCGGGCATACAGTGCTACCGTGAGGCCCGAGTCGGCGAGAGGAATCCTAAGGCAACTAGCTAAGCTTACTGCACCCACATCCAACAAGATAGTGCCTACGCCTGGAACGGTGAAAGGGAAGGAGAACCAACAGCCAAATGAAGACGCCGAGGAGAGACTTGGGAAGAGGCCACGCCTGACTCTAGACACTGATGAAAGCCTTGAAAGTGTGGACGCACCTGATATCGGGTCTGAAGAAGATAGTGACCTTCCACTGGCACCAACACCGTCAGTCTTGCTAGACGACGACCATGAACGCAGCGACATTGAAAAGGACAATCCGACCTTTACGCTCAAGTCTATCGAATATGCCGACCACGTACAATCTCCTAGAACCGAGCGAAAGTTACTAAGACGTTCATTTCCCGCATCGGAGCCGGTCATCTATCATGGTGAAGAGGAGTCGACATTTCTCTCTGAACGAGGGAGGAGGGCACCAACACAAGAGCCTACAGAAGCACTGTCACACTACGATTTCGGCACGGTCAACATAGAAGAAGCGAGTTATCGTGAGCAGTTAAAGAGTCCGGAGAAGACACAAGTTGGCGTTGCAGACATCAATACAAGTTACTCACCCATTGAGGATGCAGGCAACGAGACTGAGGCGTTACGACATCTTCAGGCCTTTCACAGCTCCCCATCTTTGGGCCCGCCTGACGACAGCAATGTGGAAATTCCCACCTTCGATGACACGAACTTCCAGTTGTCCGAGCCCGATTTAGCAGCCACTTCAAAGCAGACGCGAAGCGGTCCAGCAGCAGAAGTGGTAGAGGCATCGTTCCAGCAGCACGACCCGCATGAACTCAGAGCCGGCTGGGAGTCTGATGATGAACATCATGAAGAGCATGAAGCTGACCTGGAGGCTGAGCTGGAGGCCGGCCTGGACAAGGATCTAGACGGTGAGGCGCCGGCCGAGCCACAGGCATCACCAGCAAAGCTTTCTAAACCTGCATCCACAGCACGCCGGTCAAGGATGAAGTTGACCCGCCGTGGCGAGATGGTCCCGTCCTTGCCGTCCAGCCTGGTGAAGCGGGTCGCGGTTGGGGCCCAGGAACGTCTGGGCAATCGCCGCTCCAAGCTTGGGAAAGACCACATGAAGGCACTTGAACAAGCCGCTGAGTGGTTTTTCGAGCAGATAGGGGAAGACCTTGAGGCTTACTCGAACCATGCTCGGCGCAAGAAACGCATTGATCAGAGCGATGTGCTCTTGTTGATGCGTAGACAGCGTATTCTGCAAGGAAAGCGTGAGCTTTTGAAGGCCGCAGAGGAGTTTCTTCCCAAAGAGGTTGTGGAAGAGTTAGATCTTGAGTCACCGGCCGAGGCTCGAGTATAGGTTACCACTGATCGGTCCATTCCCAACTTAAGACGATATGGGCCTTGGAAACCTAGGATTTACCAACTGGTAACATGACGAACCCTTCTCGACGGATCGACTGGTTTCTTCTTCAACAACATCCACATCATGAATGTGGTGGCAGCGGATAACGAGTACCTGATGATTTTGATGAGACATGCACGCTCCTTATGGGGAGGCCACTTACCAAGTGAAGATGTACTGTAAATGATTGTTCCTCAAATTCACCTCTGGTGCTCTTCCGATTGGGATTCCTTTAGCTTCTCGATGATAGCTGACCAACAGATCCGGAGTCATAGTCTCTTCGATCCAGACGGGCTCGGCACTGGCGACTTCAGCCATTTCGTGCACGTCGGGGAAGTAGAACTTTCCGCTCTCCGGTCTGTTGCTGGGCGTAAAGAAGTTCTTCTTCCACGGCTCTCTTAGCAGGCCTGAGACCGTGAGTTCGCCTTTGGGCAGAGAATCTTGGTCTCTGTCGACCTGAAATCTCTTCTCTTTACTGATCCATCCTCTGTTGACGAGTATCGTGCTTCCGTCCTCTCGCTCCAAGGGCGTAACAACCATAAACCCATCCTTCCCATCGTGTGTCCGTGGCCCAATCAACATCTCCTTATCGTGTCTGAACCGCCCCGTTGCATAAACTCGGCGATAATCAATTTCATGGATCGCGTCAGGGTCGATTCTCGGAGGTAAAGGTAGAGGAGGTCGAACAAGTCGATCCTCGTATCTTGCAATGAGTTTGGTCTTCCAGTCGAGACGTTGGACCTGCCAGGAGCCCAGCGCGAATGCGGTGATGGGAATCAAGGCTAACAGGGCAATGCCAATCTTGTTGTGCTTCTCTCCGATGCGGACGAGACGGGGAGGGGCGTCGACTATTGACACGAAATCGGCACTGTTGTTCAGTGGTGCTGGGGAGGATTCCTTTCCGCTTGCAAGGTGCCGAGACTGTATTCTATCGAGCCGGTGAAGGGACGACTTGAGGCGTGGAAGTAGTGAGCGAAGAAGCTTCAACTCATACTTGGCCATCGTGAAAAGCCCGATCTTACGGGATACGGACAGTCAGAAGAAATGGCAGTGAAGCTCGTTATAGATTTCTCAGAGTGGCATTGATCTAGACTTCCACCATTTGCGCGTCTCCAAATGACGTTGACAAGGCTACGGTCCTTCGTCCCACCGACCACACTTTCCGCCTTACACTGCTACAGACGCGCACTCAGCATGTTTCACGAAGGGGATCTGCAGAGTGGCATAGAACTGGCTGTCCAGCAGTCCAAGGCCGTGCTGTGCTTTGTTGATGGTGAGCCGTACATCCCAGCCAGGGCCATACCCTCTAATATGGCGACAAGATGACACGGAGACGAGCGCTCAGTGGAAAGACATCTTGGAAGATGAGACCGTAAGTCTCTGGTGCCAGAGTTGCGACGCATAGCTGATCTTCCGGCACAGATATCTCACGCCATCGCAGCCCAGGCCGTTGCGCTCCGACTCCAGGCAGGGTCGCCAGAAGCGGGCTTCCTCACCCCGATTTGCGCAATCAACAGCACGCCGGCCATCGTTGTCATCAAGTAAGAGGCTTTGGCGAGCTGTTGATTCGGAAGGTTGACAAGAGCAGGGATGCCCAAGTCCAGATGAATCTTCAGTCTGCCGAAGTACCTTTCAAGGAATTGAAGCCAAGGCTTTCGACAACATTCAGTACACAACAAAATCGACAAGCTCAGGAAACCAGGTCCGTGGAATTGGATCCTCTGCTGAGCTCGCGCTAATCGGTCATCAGTGAACCCTCCTCTACAGACGCCTCCGATGTGGCTGTCGAATACCTAGACCTCCAACCTCAACCGGGCCAGATGAGACTGCCGAACAATGCCTACGATGCTCTACGGAACTATACCCAGAAACTCCTCGACGAAGGGAAACCCCATTCAGATGTCTTCGAAACACAGTTAACCCTGTTGAACAACATACCTATTTTCAAGGAAGAGGTGTCAAACCTGCGAGGGCCTAAATCAAGGCGAGAACTTTCAGAATATGCAAGGTCACGGCTACTGCGACTTCCAGCTGTCGGGCTGAAGATACCGGACCAGAGTAAAACAGCTGCGGCGTCATCCTCACAACTGCCTCAGCAATCAATCGCGCCATCAAATCCACCTGTCGCAGACTCGGAGGGCGAAGGAGTCTACCCAACACCAAACCGTACGGCACCAGCACCGCAGACCCAGTCGCAGTTACATAACACTCCACATACCGACTCCTCGCAACAAGCCGCAATTTTCGAGCCTGATGAGAAACAGAAAGCCCAACGGCAGGAATACATCCGCATGCAGCGCGAGCGCGAACAGGCCGCACAAGCCGAGCGCGAACGGATAAAGGCGCAAATAAAAACTGACCGCGAAGAACGACGCCGAGTGGACGAGCTTCGCAAACAAGGCTACCGGTCATCAGAAACAGACACGGATTCGACTTCTACCTACGCCCGTGGGGGGGCTAGATCTCACGCGACCGCGGACGTGCGGGTCCAAGTCCGCACGTTCGATGGCTCGACTTTGCGAACATCACTGCCGGCGTCCTCACGTATAACCGACAAGCTCCGCCCCTGGATCGACGAAGCCACGAGCACAAACGTCCCATACAACCTCAAGCTCATACTCACTCCCCTGCCAAATCGGACTATTGAAGCCGGCGAAGAAGATACTTCGCTCTCAGATTTGGGTATCGTGGGAAGTTGCACCCTTGTCATGGTGCCCGTGAAGGGCTATGTGGAGAGTTACTCGACTGGTGCGGGCGGCTTGATGGGGCAAAATGGGCTGTTAGGCGGTGTGGGAGGGATGGTGAGTGGGGGATACAATATCGTTAGTGGCACGGCGGGGTGGGCTTTGGGCGGCGTCAAGTCCCTGTTGGGCTATGGAGGCCAGCAGGTGGGAACAACTGGCGCGAGTAGTAGCAGCACAAGCACACCCAGTGCGGAACAAGGTGCTGGAGGACCCAAGAACGTGCGGATTCGCACTCTGGCGGACCAAAGGGCGGAAGAAGCGAAGAAGAACCAGCAATTTTACAACGGCAATCAGTTGAACTTTGAGCCGAAGAAGGACGACGATGGAAAGAAGAACTGACGGCCGGAAAGGGATCTGAATGCCGCATGTGTGATTAACTGCATTGGAGCAATATATACGACCAAGACGCTGAACCAAGAGGGCAATCAATGCATAGCTCCAGACGGATCGGCCAGCCTTGCCCTGTGTTCCGGACATCATGTCTCCCGTCGTATACACCTTCGAGGCTGTCAATGTGCCCCTGAACAAGAGCTTGGGATATCCCGCCGTGACCATCGCGTGAGAGACTTGCATCTACTGTACTCTCAGTCCCACACAATCAGAAATTCAAGAGGCTCAATAGTTCGTGGAGTGCCTGACCACCCTCGCTTCAAACATTGAGATACCCTACGTAGATACCTCGACTGCCCCATGGCACCCTGAAATCCTTCCGGCAGTGACACTGATCAACCCCGCAAAACCTTTAGCCCTGTGCGCATCTCAAGACCAGAATTAGGGTTAAGCCCAGATCCAGACTCACGACGAGACCCGGATCAATGCACAAGCACAGGCACAGACCCCGACACAGGCACAGACTCAGACACAGACATGAATCCAAATTCACAGGACGAGCCCCTTATCGAGGACGGTACCTTGTCCTCAACGTACTCGCCTGAGGCGCCATACGTCCGTCGCTCAACAACGTCACCACCACGACGGTGTGCATGATCGGTCGCCGCCCTGCCTCTGAGTCTGGCTCTGCTTCCGCTTCTGCTTCTGCACGACGTTCTTGACGAGCACCACCACCACCACCACCACCACCACCCTCACCACCCTCAGAGGCATGTTCCGTCACGGCTGGGGTGCCGAGCGTGTATGTGCTAGGCGCGGAGGTGCCAAAGACGATGCCGCATTCTGGCAGTGTGGTGGAAGTACTGGCGGTAAGAGGCTTCGACGGACTTGGAACTGAATCTGGCATCGTAGATTCAGTTCCAATTCTAGTCGTATCTGGACTTACGTCCTCAGGCACGGTGCTGGATACTTGTAGCGAGTCGATCTCGAACCCTCCGATGGATGACGATTTTGTCGGGACCACATGTCCCAGTGATGTTAAAGAGCTGCTCGGACCAACGGCCACGGGCGACGCCGTCGTGATTACTGTCTTGACGAGGGTGATAGTTCGTGTTCTGGTCGATTCAGTATCGGTGCTCGAGAGTCTCGAAAGCATTGCGCTCGGTAAGAGGGCCGCCGTAGACACACGACCCCCAGCGTGCGGGATTGGAGACACGGTGAACGATCCGATGGGGCCGTATGTGTCCCTGGTCATGCTGGTTCCTGTTCTGGTGGTAAGGGTGTTTACTCCTTCTGGGACTGTCTGCATGGGAGGCGGTCCCGAGACTGTAACGTTGCTCGTCACATACATTGTCGTCCGCACTCGAATTGTCGTTGTGGAAGTAGGCGTCAAGGAAGGGGAAGCGTCAAAACTGAACAGCGACGGCGACCAAGACGGCAGCGAACTCCCCTGAGCAGGTGAGATTGAGGTATTGCAGCACGTCACGATCGTGGCGGAGGCGAGTTCGGGCTCGGGCTCGTGTCCGCCGTCGGGCTGGGTAGGCGACACTGACATCGGGATCCTCGTATACGTAGAGAAAGGTACGTCAAGGGCCGAAGTACAATCGACGTTGTAGTTTCCTGGCTGCAAATCCTGATATTGACCTGCTGGAGAGCCATCCCCTGTTAACGCCGAGCTGCCTTCGAGCCTTATGGAAGAAGGGTTTGAATCCGTAAAGGGGTCCCACTCGGTGTAGGTCGTCAGAGGTGATATATGCAGCGATTCGGCAGGGACGACTTCCAACGAGTCATATTCGATGGTAAGTGAATTGGTGCGCGTTGAGAATTCTCGCCTGGTCAAGGTATCAGTTGGCACAACATTGGATCGACTGCGCATGAGATACCGGCCTGATGCAAATTCGCTAAGAACAAGCACGCCGCATAGGCCATGTAGCAGAGGTCGCTGCGCAGGCAACCGCGCAGTACGAGAACCGCGCATCTTGGTAGCCACACAGTCAGAAAGAAGAACAGGGTGGAAGATGATCAACTTCCTCTTGGTCCAGTCGTAGTAGTTGGTCAAGGCTTGATGCAGAAGTGGAGACGAGTCTTTGTGTTGATGTTCAAAATGTGGAAGAAAGGATGGTGAGACAGCAAGAGAAGTAGTGGCAAGATATTTTTATGTGCATACGCGACACCCGTCACTCGTGGGAATGGGTCATGTGTTTCGCCTCTGAAATCCGGCCAGGTGCCGGTGTCTCGACGACCTGGTGAAGACGACAAGTCGGTGACATAAACAGATGTGTTGGTCATGAGAGGCTCACTATCAAGAAGCTCGATGCAAAACGTGACCACTCCTTACCGCCGAATCTCCAGCCTCCAAAGAGCTCTTGCGGATGACCCTCAGCTTTCAGATGAATAATAGGAGCGCAAGACAGAGGATCCCACACAGCGCAGACCAACTTGCCAGATCGATATGCGTTCCACCATTTGCATACACCACGACGGTTCCAGGCTGGCTGCCACCGCTACTGCCACCACCTCCTCCACCAGACTGTCCACAACCGGGAGGACCTCCTTGGTACGGGTCACCTGGCGGACCCCAGGTGTAGTAATAGCCGGTCCACTGAGCGCAATCGACTCTGAACCCCTGGTCATTCCAGCAGCATTGCCGCTTTTCGAGGGGATTCTGTGGCAAGGGGGCGATGGTGATGAGAGCCGAGAACGGGGCTTGCGATGTGATCGAAGTTGGTTCTGACGTCGCCGTCCAAAACGTCGTAGGTATGACTGAAGTTACTGTCGCGGTTGTTGTGGTCGGCACCAACAACTCTTCGGTTTGGATAGGTAGCCGCGTGACGGCAAAACTGACGGCAGTTTGGACGAACAGTAAGATTGTGAACCAGGCCATTTTGTTCGCGGTGAAGATGTTGTAAGTGGGAAGCCGCGGGAGGTAGCTGGAGCTCAGGTATAATAGAGCTTGGGAGCTTTTCTGTCACCTTGGCTCTGAATGGTTCTGGACATTTCGAGCTGCATGCCGAGTGACGGGCATGAAATTGATTTGTGCGCTCTCGACGGCTTCTCGGGCATCAAGTGAGAATCGGACCACTGAGTAGACTTCCTGTTCATGGTACCTGCTTCTGCGTGGCTGATGTCGGTGAGCACAAGGCGGCCCGGCGTGGCTCGCTCTGATTGGCGGCCTTGACAGCTTTCCCTTGCGCCCAAAGCTGCACCTCGGACAATTCCCAGCTCCACATTGGCTCCAACCCGAGTGACAGAAGCTTGAAGGAGGGCGAGATTGTGACAAGGTAGAGTCGGAATGCAGAAACCGAGATGTGCTGGAGGATTGTCTTGCATTCACCACCTGCGTCATCTGTGAGTGCTGAACTTGGCGCCCAAACTCGAGCACAGAAATGCCTCGAGAATTTGGAGACTCGTATAGCGTGAGCATGTCTCGTATTTGAATTTCGTAGGGGACGAACATTTTTCAGCAAGCTCACTTGCGCTGTGTCAGGTCATAGGTATGTCATCATGCTGAGGTTGTGGCGGTACACTTGTAACGAGGGAGTCGCCGAGGATCTCGAGTGTCCTCTTGTATATTCTTGATAATGCAAGCGCAACCGACATGGGTTGTTCGTCGTCATCGTCCTCGTCGCGCTGTCCTTCCTCGTCCCTCTCGTTGTCATCAACGTCCGCGTCAGCGTCAGTGACATCCTGTACGCTTGCCGCGTGTCCATTGGATGAGGCTGCGTTAACAGCCGCGATCCGAGTCTCTTCGATCAGTGACTTGATCCGGACCTTTTCTGTCACCGAGACCTGAGTGTTGGTGGCAGATATGGCACCATTCTGCGTAGGTTGTAACAGGCTGGCAAAACCCTGATCAATCTTGCTCAGCAGGGGAAAAAGGGAGTTCGAGAAGGGAAAGGCCTGGAGGTAAGAGCAAGCAAGTCCAGCGAGTTGTAGCAGATACGGGATCTGAATGGATGGTGTGCCACTGATCCAAACAACGTCTACAAGCGGCTCGACGTCTGCGACGAACTGATCGTATGTGGTGTAGCCCGGGGTATCATCGTTTTGCAGACCTTCGTCAGTGAACTTCTTCGCATATCTTCTTGTGATATTCAGAATGTGGTTGTCTAGGTAGATTATTAGCGCAATCTCTTTCTGTGAGCCTGGCTGAAGGCGGTGCGTGCGAGGAATCGGCAGGCTAGAGGCTCGACTCGATGTGGACAGGTTGCTCGGGGCGGGAGAGGCAGCCGAGGCAGGAGGAGTAGGGAGCGTCTGAAGATTCGAATAGGCCATGGCTGAACAATGGCCGGCTGTAAAGAAGCTGATGGATGGGCGCGGTACCGTCACCAAAGGTGAATCGACGCTTCGCTCAACTTGAGAGCATACGAGGCTCTATCTTGCGCCCCTCAACATCAAGCCAGACCACTTCCATCAGAGCAAGGAGCAGACGTCACACTCTCTTTATACCATAACAGAAGGCGAAATGTTGGCCAAAGTCGTGGAGTGACTTGAATCTGAATGGAGACCTAAGTACGAGGTACCAGGTCAACGCAATCAAATATGACGCATGCACACTATCGTGAGGTCCTCACGCGGTCGTCTTTCGGGACCTGTTTTCTTCCCAGGTGCCACGCGATTATCTATTTACACGGTAGATAGGTATCAATCAACATCTTCAGGACCTTCATCAACGTACAGTACATGCAGCCGAGTATCCGGAGTACGGGGAGAAGCAAGCCTCGCCTCAGCATCCCGCTTCACATGGCAGCCCGTGGTGAGAGTGAAATCACGTCTTACAACATTGTCCCGAAACACCGAGGCCGTCGTGCTAATACCGTCGACTCTGCGTGTGGACGAGATGGGTGACTTTTCTCACAAAATCGAAACTAATGCTAAACTTCTCTATTTCTATTCGAGTGCCACTTGTCTGAGTTTCTGTCGTCTGTCCTAACATGACAGCCTGCCCATTCCAGGCGAAGTCGGGATGGCTTCACAAGACGACAATGACACCCAACCCTTGGCTATTGTTGACTCGCATATCCACCTCTACGCAGCTTCTCACATTCCGTCGTTGAACTGGACAGCTGACCTTCCCAAGGATCACCGCCTGAACAGACAGAACTCTGTGGACCAGTACCGAGCAGCTACCGCGCAACACTCGGACCGCCTTCTTGGTTTTGTGTTTCTCGAGACAGACCGGAAGTCCGGCCTCGAGGAGACTCAGTGGACAGACGCTCTCGAAGAAGTTGAATTCTTGCTGAGGATCGCACGAGGTACACCGCGTGAAGGGGAAGGCCACCGTCCCGAGGATGGCAAGCTGGTTCTCGGAATCGTCCCATGGGCTCCTGTGCCAGCTGGCGAAAAGGAGTTGCGAAATTACGTGCAACGCGTTCGACAGCGCGCGGGGGACGAGTGGCGTCTCATAAAAGGCTTCCGGTACCTAGTCCAGGACAAGCCGAAAGGCGTCATGCTCGACCCGCAGTTCATCGAAGGGTTGCAATGGCTAGGTAGTCAGAATCTCACCTTTGACTTGGGCGTCGATGCACGGTCGGGAGGACTCGGCCAACTCGAAGAGGCATGCGAAATGATGGACCGTATCTACTACGCCCTCGGCAGCTCAAGCACAGTCAGAATCATCATCAACCACTTCTGCAAGCCCAACTTGCGACTTTCCCCTGCAGAAGCACTGGCAGGGCATCCGGACTTTGCGAAATGGTCCGAGTGCATCGAGCGAATGGCATGTCATCGGCACACGTACATGAAACTTTCGGGATTCTTCTCCGAACTGCCAGCGCAAGAGGAGAACCACCCAGCAGACATCGGTGCATTAGCGGCACGCACGAAGCCCTGGGTCGACACCGTTTTCAGAGCTTTTGGCCCTTCACGAATCATGTTCGGCTCCGACTGGCCAGTGTGCAACGTTGGGGGTCCCGGCATCGCGAAGTCATGGCATCATTGGCACGATCTCGTGGACGAGATTCTCAGAGCGCAAAGCCTGAAGCGCGATGAAAAGGCGCGAGTATGGTCCGGCACGGCCGTGGCGGCGTATAACATCCGTCTCTAAACAATTGACTCTGGACACAGAGAACAGGTACTACCGACATCGTTCCATGAGCTTTGCATATTCGGTTCAGTCACTGAAAGTTCACGAAGGCGCCTCCGTCAACCAATATCGCTGCGCCAGTAACGTAGCCACTCAGTTCTCCATGGGCGAGAAACAGCGCCGGCCCCGCCATATCATCCGGCCTGCCCAGCCTCCTCAGAGGGATCCGCCCTTCCATGTACTTCTTCTTGTCACTCCCATCCTTCAGATCATCATCATTCAGCTGCGTGCGAATCGTACCGGGAAGAAGGGCATTACACCGGATGTTATACCGGCCCAACGCCGTGGCGGTCGACTGCATGAGACTCAGGATCCCAGCCTTGGTGGGCGTATAGTGGCATTGCTGGGCGCCCCCGACCAGTGCCGAGATGCTCGAGACGCCAATGATACTGCCCCCCTGCGGTGTCTGCCGGGTCATCTGCCGGGCCGCGGCCTGGACCGCGTAGAAGGCGCCGGACAAATTGGTGTTCACGTGGCCCTGGTACAGCTCGGGAGAAATGTCGAGGAATTCCTCAAACTTGCAGATCCCGGCGTTGGAAACGAAGGTGTCGAGTCTGCCGAACTTGGAGACCGTCTGCTCCACGAGAGAGTGGCCCGTTTCGGGCACTGAGATGTCTCCTGGTACGGTCAATAGCGGCACGTCATCAAGGTTGTGCAGTTCCTTTGATGGCCACCTGGCTTTGATGGCGTCGAATGCTTCCGTGCGGAGAGACGTGAGGAGCCGGTCCTCGTCCTTGTTGTGTGACGCCAGGTAGTTTATGGCGACTTTGGCGCCGTGCGACAGGAAGAGGATCGTGATCGCTCTTCCAATCCCGGTGAGCCCACCCGTGACTGCGCAGACCTGCCCAGCGAGTAGCGGCGGGATGGTCATTGCGTAGCTGAGAGTGGCAAGTCGACGTAGATTTGTTGTCAGGATAGGCTGAAAAGATGCCGTCCAAACTGAATTGGCTGCCAAAGATCTGGCCTCGATTCTAGACTCGGCCGGAAACAAGTTTAATGGATGAACTGCGGTCTTCTAGCTGCGACTGTTGATTCCCTGTTTCAATAGACGTTCGGCACTCCCCTTTGTCGTTTATTCTGTAAGGTAGTATAGGTATAGTGAGTTAATTAGCTACTTCTTCACCTTGCAGACAAAATGCCAACCGCAACCTTCGTGAAGCATTCATCCGGCCACCCCACATGATTGCCTCGACCGAGATTGTGCGAGCGAGGGGGAATGTGCTCGGGTAAACTCACGCCGAGCTGACTTTCTCACTCCGACGGCTGTGTTGTACCTCTTCGCCTACATTACAGAGGACAGTACAGTAGATAAGAGGCCGGATTTAGTATCCTGTGACCCCGACTACCGAGCAATGTGAGTACCTGATATCGTGAAAGAACAGTGTCGTCTACGGGGAAACGAAGATTGAAATTCCATCAATCGACATTTGACCATCGACCACACCACGAAAAGACAGCACCTGTCATGTTGGCCCACGAGGGATGAGATGGTCATTTCCATACCTCATACCAAGTCTGTCAAGCACGTACGATTCTGTGGGCACAACATCCCGTTGCTCCGCTGTGCCGCTTGCAGACTGGATCTTAACCATCAAACACATTCCCTATGCACCGACCGAGCAGCCCGTGGACGCGTGCTCACCCTGACTCGGGGCAGGCAGCTCGACATCCGTTTGCCCCCTTTTTATTGCAGTCTGCACACACTTCGTCTGCCTGCATCGAGTCTCCTATGTATGAGACAAATGCTCTTGTCTCCGGCCTGGCTTCGAACTGCTTGGACGTGTCCAGGTCGACCTGCCTCAAAGCGCTATCTTTGGTGCGAAACAACGTCCCATCTTTCGGAGGGCATATGGGCTCAGATCCTTTTCAATTTGGCGGCAGGACCCTCATCTACACTCTCGCCGGATCGTCTAAGCCGTCACCTCCTTCCATCTTGCATGGCGCAAGTCGTCGACTCATCCAGCTTGGAAGAGCAGGCCGGGTTGAATCAAGGCTCGCCCAGCCACTTACTTACCATTGAGGCACGTCAATATGGCCAGCTGTTCAGCGATCAACCCGCGAATTCGGTTTTCTACTCGATCGACGGGTCGACGGGTCTGCTGTGCTGGAACGGACATTCGGCATTCAACAGGCAGGATAATGCTGCCCTTTGAGCTAAAGGTCGCATAGGAGTAGGCAGGCGGGGACATGCCGGTGAGGCGACGAGCGTCAGAACCAGGACCAGAGACGAAAGTAAACCCGACGTTTGTACGATGAACTTCGAATTTCGGAGGATCGCGGCGTGCTGAGCTCGAAGTGCAGAAGCAAATCTTCCTCCCTGCAAAGACACCGCAGATATTGGAACTGCCTTAGCTTGACCCCTCAAGCTGTACAGCTAGCTCGTGGTTTCTGTGCGAAGGACCGCAAGCACGTCGAAGCCGGTAGACTGCCAGTACCGGGTCTGGTGTCCCGTTTCGAAAGGCGACAACAACGCAATTTTGGCTGTGAGAAGAACGGGAAAGTGCAGAGGAAGGACGTCGCCATACTGGGCGGTTCTTGCCGAATCAGCATACCAATTCGGATCAAGGGTCACCGCGACAGATAGGTAGGAAACGCTCGAGTTGCCGGTCGGTCCTGCTGTCGGCCTGCGCGATCGGTCTCTGACACTGACATTGACACTACCTACAGTACGAGTGTGCAGTACGTACCGGGTCCATTACGTGACTTCAGGGGCTTCTCACGCGCACGTTTGCCGGACGAGCGGCTCTCATGGTTCACTACGCCAGTATTCAGCCACCTGCAGGCAAGCCATTATAAAGACTGCACGCGGCCGACACAAAGGTGGAACGTACCTAGATACGTACCCGGTACCTAGTCCGTAGGTAGTGGCAGACACAAGTCAACACTGTAGCCACGGTTGTGCCAAACTCCATTCATTGAAGTCGAAACTGAGATCGAAATCGAAATCGAAGACTAAAACCGAAACCGAAAAGGCACATGCGCTGTCGAGACCGTGTGCGAGGTACGAGGACACTTAATCTGTACCGTGTAGGAAACATGAATCATGATATGCTGGACTTCCATAACCTAGATCTGAACGGATCCTGAGAGCGTTTCGCAGTTGTCTCGGACTCTCTGTGCTTTGCCAGAAGTCACCTTTCATCTTGAGTGGGTGCGAGGCGTGCCCCACAATCAGAAGACCAACTATGCACGTATGCAGTCATTACTGGGGTGATGAAGGGACTCAATTACCTTGAGGTAGATGAGATGCGCCTGCGGGGCTGGGGACTCATATGCTATCCTACCTTGGGAGGTATGCAACGCTGTGCTGCGAGTTGCCATGCTACTGGTCCTGTCCCGTCGTGATCCGTCGAGTTTTCTAGAGTCGACCGTCTCTAGAGGGAGCTGTACTTTTGACGAGTCAAGAGGAATCAGGATCCGGGATCGGGACACTGTGCAGATGCATAAGGTATGGTAATTACAACACACATACTCGTGGCAGCGATGGCCAATCAGTCGAGTGAACGGCCGCTGCTGACGAGAGACGAAAAATGAGAGACACAACGCCAGGTACATACCCAGGTTCCTACCTAGGTACCCATTACAGTACTCGTAGGATCCGCGCGCTCCGTGCCATGGCTCTTGCGCAAGCGGATGACAAAATTCCCTCACAAGGTGGCGCGGGCGTGGACTTGGACTCTCTTCACCTCGTTCTCACCACCAACTGACCGTTTATTCAGCCACAGTACCGGATACCCACTGGGTAGTGAGTGCATGGTCGTCCCTCAGCAGGCCCCTAGTATCATACAGTGCCAATACCCCATCAGGTAGGTATCTCTTCCGCGCACATACAGGGCCAATAGGTAATAAATCTACATACGTATTTGGCCGCCAGCTTTACGCGCTTCAGTGTGTCCATGTTCGGGCACACGCTGAGAGCTGCGATGCCAGGACTTGATTTAAACGCGCGATGTGCTGATCGCTGAGAAGTGAAGCCAAGTTACGCAAGTTGGTGACTTGGAGTGCCAGGGTTCTATGCTAACTTTACACAGCTTGCATGATCATCCAAGAATGCTGTACACATAGCCACGGTCGGCGCCGGGACGTTCGCTTGGCCGGCCAAAAGCCTATCTTGCTCGCTGACTGACACGAGGTTCTATGCATATGCATATGCTCGTGCTCATGCAGACGCTCGCGAGAAGCCCACAAGTCACTGTCAAGTTTTCATTGTCCAAGTTCCAGCCTCCAGCCTCCCAGTCCCGCGGCCGCCACAGCCACTTCAATGCGGGGCACGGGCGGAGGATCGAAAAAGTTTGCCCCAACAGCCGAGGGATCTAGCTTGGGAACAATCCAGTACATACAGCAGTGCAAGGTACCCGGAATCCTCGCTGTTCCTAATCCTCCAGAGCCCTCCAACTAGCGAGACGAAGACGCAAGACGAGCCAGCCCTATTGGGTTTTGCGGCTGAAGGGATGGTGTCTGTGCTTGATCCAACTTCGGTGGTGACTCGTAGTGCCCTGGCTTCACCGTATCTCGTACAGGTCCAGAGAAGTTGTCTATTTTTCGCCCCCATCTCATTCCTTCCTTTACCGGCCTGGCTCCCTGGCAGCACTGCTAGATTCGGAAAAACCGGAGAGACCTTTCCTCGCAACTTTCGTCGCTTCCGCCGTCACCGAGTCCGTGACGTCTGTCCTACTATACCGGCACGGATCTCACTCTGTCGCGGGCGTTAGTCTGCGTAGTTCACAGTAGCTTCGCTTCCAAGACTTGACAGATTTGACAAGCAGTCAGCAGTAGTACCGTCCCGCGATAATGCCTCGCTGCAGTTCCTTTCCTGCGACAACGCCGGTGGGCGCTGGGATGCACACGGATGACTTGGGAGCGTGACTGCGGCGCGGGTCGGATTTGGTGAACCCCGCGCTCTGAATTCGCGTCTCTAAAATCCACGATGCGACGTCAACGGGCCTGCTGTTGTTGCTCAGGTGCGTCAACGTGCGTCATGCTCATCACTACGAGTGTCTTTGCATGGTATGGTCGACCGAGAGGCATCTCAGATTCGCCTGCCCCTCTGCTGGCCCTGGTGCCCCCAGGAGAGCTTATGTGGTCCGTTCCGGGGATTCGCCATCATGGCCCGCCGTCTGGGGTTTGGTGTTGTCGAGTCCGCTTGGACGGAAGACGCAGCAGAGCCAAGGAACAAAAATTCCAAAACCCCCAGAAAGTTTTGTTGCCAGCGGCCGAAATATCCTGAACAGACTCCAACAGATGTAGCCTTGCTGCTGCCTACCTCAGCACCCGCCATGATGGGTCAAAGATCTAAAAGTAAACCGTGTTTTCTGGTTGCCTGATGTTGCTCGCCTGTTTAGGCAGACGGGGCCAAGACGGCGAGACGTCTCCCAATGCATTCATTCCCGGTGTTCCGATCAATAATGCACGAGCTGCAGAGTAATACATATATCGACGAATGACTCAATACAAAATACGCCCAGCTGACGTCCCAGGTCAATATACCCGCTCCCCGTAGTAATCATCGCCGGTACGCCATGCAATCTTCTTCATGCTCTGCATGTGGGAGACCAATGCCATCCAAGGGGAGTACCCGGAAATAGTGCTCTATCTCGTTTCCTGCGCACTGTGGGTGAGACGTGCATCATCAGGAAGCGCCTGCGCCTCCTCGCCGATGCGGTCCGATCCTGACGCCCTTGCCAAAGTTGAGTCTAGTCGACCTCGTGTTCGTGACCATTGTAAAAAGAATGTAGTGTGACGTACGTCGAGTGTTGGTAGCGCCGAAGCCGTGCCCTTCGATCATAACCGAGGATCTGAAGCCGGGCTTTGCACTGCCAGAGTCCCGACAGACTGCAAAGGTTGAGCTTGCTGGGATCGACGCCCGGCATA